TTTGATAAATTTACTCAAAAGTCACAATATACCTTCATTAGGATAGGAATTCATAAGACTAGTACCTAGGTAAGTGTCAACAGTGTGCATTTGCCCATTCAAATGGTGTGGTTATATTCCATAATCATGAGAGACTGTAACTCCCCAAAGGAAGTATCTAGATTCTACAGTGAATCAACTGCTAAAAGAAATAACCTCTTACATGACGAAACTAACGTTTGGTCGGGCAGGTACCTAAGTACTTAACGTCATATAAAGTACCTAGTATTTCTTTCTTTTTGGGAAAAAATATTAAGCTACCTACCGAAAAGACTTTCATTACTAGTACACAACATGGAAGCATACCGCGTTCTTAAGTTTATTCTAATTTATTATTGCCTGAGTTTGACTTAACTAGGTAGGTACTGGGTATATAGAGCTTCACGGCGCGTTCCCAAGGCTATTTCTCACACATGAATTTCAGCTTTGGATTATGTTTTGCAGCCACATACGATGGGGGCACCAGATCCTGCAGTATGTGCAGGGGTTTATCAAGGATCTGATTTTTGGATACCACCACATTATGGGGAAGTTCCGTTAGTGTTGGACGCTTCTCAGCCATACATTGTTGGCATGTCAACACGGGGAAACCGGCAGCTGTAGTCCTCCAAATCCCCCGTGTTGCACGGGAGATCTATGTACGCCAATACCTAGTCTGGGTAACAATATATTACTGACACGGGTAAAATAAACGACTTGCGGGGAAGCTAGCTTCCTGGACTGACAGCTGTGTGATGTCGTGATACGGTTGCCGTCCCCTGAAAGAACACATCCATGGATGCTGACCGCATTGCTTTTTTATCCCCAAAAGATGACCGTGAGCGGTCCGAACCCTTAAGGTGGGGAATGGAGAATAGTTTACCTACCTCCTACCTAGAATATATGACGGAATTTATAAATTAAGTCGGATCTTTTCCCAGTGGCAATCATGTAAACAGACCCTTCCGATAGACACATAGCGTGGGCGGGCTTGATGGGATAGCAACCCACCTTACCAACCATTGAAACCCTATGCGAAGTGGCGTCGACACCCCTACCGGGATCTTTATGATTCGGATCCGAGCTTAGCGGGTCATAAATCAATCATGTTCAACAAATATCTAGCTTCGTGAGCATACCCCTGGCAACACGATGCGATCTGCTTAGATTGGGCTTAATTGAACTGGATATATGTGAGCTTGGCCATGAGAACAAGAGCCCATACGGTCTTGGACCCCCGCTCAAACGTTTTCAGACTGTCTATAAATGGCTACGTGCATGTGGTAAGTAGGTACCTAGTTCGGATATGGTTATTAGGTGTTTACAAGGGCCTAGATGCAGATAGTTGGTCCCAAAGACTGACGTAAAGGAACTTGTGTTCGCCGATCTCGACCTACAACTTCAAGTAAGTAAGAGTGAGGATCTTATAATAGGGGATATTAAGACAGCCATGCTTAGGTAACTAGGTACGATACCGATAGGAATATACGTGACTACCTAGTACGTATTGAATACCTAGGTAACTTGTGTGCAATTGCCATTATGGTGCACCAATTTGGCCGATTTCTTCATGAGATCATGATGGACATACTTACCCAAGTAGGTAACTAACTAGATATGTATGTTCATATATTAATATGCGATAATTTCTGAAGTAGTGCTTGATTTCTCTAAAAGTAAGGGGAGATAGAACGGCGACTGTGACGATAACAAGGATGGTGATATCGAGATAGTGATGATAACCAGAAAAAAAAAGCAAAAAGCAAAAAGCAATGACCTTTACCGTTCGCACATGTTGTGTAACATCAACTAGTGGCGCACATTTAAATTACCTACCTACCTACTTACAACCCAATAGGTAGCTAGCTAGCTGCAATGACTCAGAGCTTGGATGAAATGAGCCTCACACATGAAGTAGTGAGAACGGTTTATCCCGGAATATCAAGGAGATACCTTGCAACGGAAAGTTATAGGCTTTCTCTATTATGAACGAGGATCTGGCACTAGAGAGACATGCTGAAAGCCGTGTTGAACGTAATATGTTCTATTGTGATTCTTGTTTAAGCCAACGCACAGTTGAGGAGTCCTCGCCGGTTTCACCTGCATCGATAGATACAGGATAAGTCTCACGCTACTGCGTTCATAGTATGTGACAGCCACTTAGACGTGGAGGTGATATCCAGCTAGCTCATAAGCCACCCGAGTGATATCAGGATCTAACAAGCGGTACCACTCTGCTTCTCGTTCCGCTTTCTACATTGCCGCGATGTGCTTAGAAAGAGTCGTATCCCGGCTCTCCGCCCTTAATTATAACTCATTATACATTGAATGACACGAATGAATTGAAAGAAAACCACAATCGTTGCCGATCTAGAGACCCAAAAGGGATGTAACCTTTCGGAAGGATGCATTATTCGTTGGTCAAAATAGCCTCGGGTTTCAAAAGCAGAAGCCCTGTCATCAGTTATACCAGCTAATTAATACCGTTTCCTGGAATTTGCGAATTTAATATTAAAGCGAATCTCACCTCATTTGCCCAACTCAAAATTCCATCATCTCCCACGATATTTCACCGCTCCTTTCACTATATTATCGCCCATAACTCTTCAAAATCCAGCGGAACGCCATTCACTCTTTAACGTCCTCCGTTCTAGCCTCTTAGCTGGCCTAAGAATGCAGGTTCCCGGAGCCAAGCGCGACGGTACTTCTGAAGACCCTACACTACATCTCCATTTCCGGAGGTAGAAACTATCTAGCTATTCTCTATGTCGAAATCTTCCCTCATCTTAAATATTATGCAGTACCTATCTAGGTAGACTGCGGCTCAAGTTCGTTTTCACACCAGGCTATGCCGGATGGATGTTCCCGTTCTTGAAGGACACATCGGGTCGTACGAAACCTGATTAGAGATCACCAGAATGGAGCCTGAGTCGTTAGGCGCCGGCTCCCCCACTAACGGAGTAGATATATCACTCGTGGACCTCTTCGGAGACATGTAAGCTGACAGATACTGAGCAATGTACTGGTAAGAACGGCAACAAGGCATCCAATTTGACTAACGTTTCAGTTCCAGGATGATTATCTGCTAGTGTACCTAGGTAGTGACATGAACTATCCTCATCATAGAGGTGTATTCTTTTCTTTGACATAAGTCGAAGATAACCAGATACCTATTACCTACCTAGGTAGGTACTAGGTAGGCAGACTTTCTCAAGGACCTCAGGGAGTACGGTCCGGCAGTCCTAGAATCATAACCCAGCCTTAAGTCTTTGAGATAGCATGATGGGTAGCATAGGTACTTAATTTAAACAAGACCTTACCTACAGCTTCTTCTTTCGTTCGAAAGTCACGAGGCAACCAGTTGTCTAATCACATCCGTCTATACCTACGACATCCAAAACCCCCAAGAATATATACTTATGCATTCGATGCGACTTAAATCTATTACCACCCAGAATATGACTCGGGATTTAACCACGGCTCAAATTGGATAGCTAGCTTTCTTATCTAGAAATTAAAATAAAAAGGTAAGGTCAACGAGTATTCATTTCCGGAGCCGGTTCGTACTAACCTGACATTACTAGATTGTCTAGTTTATGAATCCACGACTATGACTTTTACTTAGTGCGACGTCACACATTTACGCCTCGTTGAGCAAAAAGATGGGATAGTCGAGGAATTTGTTGAACAGCGCTCGGAAGAATATATAGACCAGAGGGTGGAATAGACTCATGAGAGCCGTAAGTCAACAGAGACCCGTAGGTAAGAAAAACGCGATGAAGCGAAAATACGATACCATTAATCTAAAACTTCCTTAGTAAGAATATGAATATCTAATTGGATTTTCCTGGCGCCCAAGCTGACTGTATTTCCCCTGGTAGAAGCGAAATATGACAGCATTTTACCCCTGTAGTCGCGTCGGATACCTCCAAGTCTAAATTCAAGAGTCAACACTAGGGTCACTACTAAACGTCAATTAACTAGCTTTATTTACATCATGCGAGGCGTCTTTTTGCACTCGGCTGGGTATGGCTAAGTGCGGTTTCTATCGTTCTAAACCTACAGCGACCTCAGAATGCTACTACAACAGAGGCATCGCGGATTCAAAGCCACTTCTCGGGTTGCCTAACTCGTACGATTTCCCAAGGTACTAGGTAAACTCAAACAAGCCTGATCTTTCATATCTACATATCTCTATAGTGAACGGACTGCAATGCAACCACTAATTGTACTTTACCTGGTAAAATCCTACCCCCTTCTTGATACCCGGTGCAAGAGTTGATAAAGTAAACACGAGAGACCGGCTCACAGAGACGTACAAAATGTGGCCCACACGGAAAATAAAGACTAGGCGTTCTCATACGTGTAGATACTTCATAGATAGGTACCTACCTAGGTACCTAGTATTTACGGTTAAGCATGTCTCAGAGCGATTATCCGTTGCAGAACGCTGCGACGGTAAAGTGGCATAGGAAAGCTACATAGGTAGGTACCTAGCTGTGGGAAGCCACACTTTACTTAGGTAGCTTGTATATACCTGGTATTTACCTACATTTGTAGGGCTTGATCTTCGTCTGCCATGCTAGCTATCAGCATACCCGCCCCCCCATGTTACATTAGCGTAGCTTTCTCTCCTTCCCCATGACCTGGCCCGAATATCGTTAGAACTATTAACTGTCGAAGGAATAGAAATCAAGGGTTATGGTACTTGATACTAGTTCTTTGCATTTAAAGATGGGGAAATGTGGACGTGGCTGTTTTGCTGAGGTACCATGTGACGTCGCGGCACTCCCATGGAACCATGGAGCGCTGGAGTACATACCGGGTACTAGGAGGCTGGTAGCTAACAATGTATCCTGCAAGCTCTTAAAAAAAAAGACCGAGAAGCTTTATCCTGACTTGTCTGCCCGCGCCTTAGCCCAGTCGCCCTTCAGCCCCGATCTTCCGGTAGGTACCTACCTACCTACCTACTTGTGTCAACGTGATAGACACTAAGGTGAAGTATCTTCGTTGGTCAGCTCTCCCGAGCCTTAAGGATTCTTTTCTAAGATAGGATAAGCTGCCTGAGAGTGAGTTCCAACGCTCGTTCGAATTCTGCTCGCAGTCAGGACGTGGGTCTTTCCATAGTGTGAACTACCCCGAATTCTCGGCACATCTCAAGGGCCGCAATGCTGTATTGCGTTTAAATACCTATGCCACGTTGAAAAGGCGGAATGCCATACGAATGGCCCATATAGAAACCTCACGTCGTTAGCTGATTCCTACCTCGTTGGTGGGGTCGCCGTTCGGTCTGCCTCATCGCTGTCCCCGCCCCTCGAGTCTTTTTTTCGCTCGCGACCCACTGAAGGCATTGTATGCCGTTAGAATGATTGGTACAGGAGATCTGACTTCCAGAAAGAAGCCAGCCCTTCTTTGGTGAGTGCCGGTACAGTTAGGCAAAAGGGGCCGCGCCCAAATTGCTGATCTTTTGAGCCTCCGACCCTTCTTACCTCGTCATAAAAAGACTCAATAATTCTGCCCTTTCTTTTTTCCCCGGAGTGCAACTTCCATATTAATTTTTGATTTTTGCCCCCTCACCACATACCTATTACCTAAGTATGGCGGACAGTCATCGAGGACATGGCCATTCACGGTCATCTTCTAACCGTACTCGCCAAAGCGCTCGGCCTCGGTCCCAGCGTCATCGACGTATTACGGAACCTAGTAGCACACCTTCTATTGTTGGAGATGAGGTCGTGGGGTATCAAATATCTTTGGAAGAAAGTAGCAACACCAACGCCGCGTATTTACAGGGCAATACCGACATGGAGGAAACAGTGACGTACCAGAATATTCATCCAACCAGCACTACCACGACAGATCTTTCAAGATCCGTATACACCACAAGCATCTTCAGACCATCGACCGCCCCTCATGGGGGGGATGATGCCAACGTTACATCATATGATCCTCACATATCCAACTATGATTCGTATCCGCCGGATATCTCGCCTGACTACCACCAATTGGACCCATCCTACTCGATGACTGCCGCCATGAATACTAGCTCCAGGTGGCTATACTCAACATATCTGTCCTCGAATGGCCATACCACCAATACAACCACGTCTGACGACGTGACTGCATACACCCAGCCAGTACCATACCCACAGAGAGACACGAGGTTCAATATTTTTAGTATATCCCCGATTTCATCGCCTGGTGAGATGGAAGTTATAGACGAGGATAACACCCGGCAAGAGACAGATGGTGTGTTTAGCCAGGACCAAGGCCCACACACTCAAGCATTATCAGACCCCTATGACACATCTTTAGGGAGACGGTGGTCTACCGAGAACCATCATGGCTCTATTGAGTAAGTTCAACGTGCTTGTAGGTAATAAAGTATCGACTAACTCCCTAAAAGGGACACCACCGAGCAGGTCATCCCTGATAATATAGGGAGGCAAGCCGAAGAAGAAGAGCAGAATCACTCTATCGACGAACGACTTGGAGAAGACAATATCCGCCATTACATGGTTCGTATAGAGCCATGGAGCCCAGTGAATCGGCACAACGAAAGCCACTATACTAGCCACTCATATTTGCGCCGCGATTCTTCAGATCATGTCGATGACGAGGATGAAACTAATTAGGTAAGCTCTACCCCTGCCTGGCGAGGGTAATCTCTGATCGCTAGTGGTTGGAGAACATCGGATAGAAGTAAAATATAGTTCATACGGCGTACGGTTTCCCTTATCTCGGACGGAATTATACCTTACCTAGGTAGGCATGTGTCGTTGATTGTAGAGAACGTGGTTCAACAGGGAGAAATATGCTTTTGGGATAATGTAAGGATTGGGTGTTTCAACATAGGGTCAAATTCTTGTAAGAAAGCAAAACTCGCCACCGCCTGTATGAGCTGTAGTGTTAGGGATAATGAAGATTTACGTCGCCACTGACTATACACCGCTAGGCCGGCGAAGCAATACTAACCCATTGATAAGCCCGAAAGCAGCCGTGGGAACGCGTCTTTTGGGCTTACGGTAGACACGACTAATTATTCTTTCCCCTAAGCGCTAGAGCCGATATCCATTCACAGTCCATCTTTTATATAGGTAAGTCCATTCTGTTACTCAATGGCGAGTTGTAATCCCGGCTTATTTCATCTTGCGTGAAAACGCACGTGAAACAGTCCACCCTGATCTGAAGGATACCCTGATACATGACCACAACAGAAACACGACGTCGAACCAACGTCAAATCTTCAGAAAGGGCGTGCGAAACGATTCGAGCTCTCTAACTTTAAGATATTAATGTCTCAAATGAGGCAACCAGTAATTCTTTGAATAAGCAGAGGAACCCCCCTAAACCGATGTTAAGCGGTCCGTCAAATCAGACGGACTCCTCACTAAATTCAGACGGACATCCACCCAACTATACCTAATCGAGGCTAGTCGTGTGGATACATGTTTTACAGTACAGTCTTCCATATCAACCTAAGTACCTTTTCGACGTGCTACTAAAGGAATTGCCCCCCCCCCCCCCCCTCCCCCCGTATCGCCAGCCTCGCTGTCGCTTTTTGGCGCTGTAAAAGGAAGAAGTTACAGCCTGTTTATAGTCTTCTTGCCTCCTGAAATCATTAGTGGCTTTTATATAGACACCTTTGCATGGGGGGCTTCATTAGAGATAGCTCTCATAAGAGCTGCAGTAAGGTTGCGAATAGCCTCATCTATGCTTTCCCATGTTTCATACCAAGTATCCCTTAGAGTAATAACGAGGTAATTGATAAATCTTTTTGGCTATATCAATAGCAAGAATATTGATATATTAAATATATCGAAACCTATGTTAAAATTAACGTTGTCGTCGTTGATAAATAGGTGTTAATAGTCCTATGTCGAAAAGATACTTAGATTTATATGGGAGATTGTACTGTAAAGCAAGTATCGAAGGGACTAGCCTAGTTAGGTATAGCTGGGTGGATGTCCGTCTGAACTTAGTGAGGAGTCCGTCTGATTTGACGGACCGATGTTAAGCCACGAAATATCAACGCCACCATTACCTACCTATCTACCTAGGTAGTTTCGAAGGCTTCGCACAGCCACCCCACCGTAGCAGTAGGCGGTACCACGTAGCCAATAGATCATAGAACTTCGCCTCGACATTAAAATGGAATCCTCTATAGCAGGTAGTAATGCAACGAAAACTTCGTCTAGGCACTACCCAGATGATACATCTCTAACACTGTCGCGGAGATCATCCGATCATATGATCGCAATCATATATCGAAAAATATATTATAAAAAATCTTTGGAGCTTTAATCCTATTAAGCAGATGACTTCTCGGGCGGGATCTATACTTATAGCAGGTACGTCGAAAGAGAAATGAGCGGAATATTGATAGGAAAAAACCTAACTACCTATTTATTATCGTCAACTGACCTGCTTCATAGTGATTTGTGGATAGGGATAAGGGGGGAGCGTGGTGATGAGAAGGTCGGAGTCAACTATAACGTGGATTATGCTGTAAGAGCTGAAATCACCGAGAAGGGAAGAATGGGATCCAGGAGGTCAGATTAAGCTCAGGCAGAGTACCACCTAATAAATTCCCCGAGGTCCGCAAGAGACGACCCCAGCATTACCAGAAGCTGCAGAATGTAAGGCACAGCCCTTGGCAAGCCCCCATCCAGGTCCCGGGGTAAGACGGGTTGATGCTTGAAAAGGGAAGCTCGCGTGGACCCTCCGACCGTCTACGAGGGGAAACGATTAGCATCATTCTCAATGTTTGCTCCAAATCGAACCTTATTATGGACATTAGCTTACCACTATGTAACTAACTGTTCTTGGAGGGCCATGGACTTGCACCCTGCACAGCCCCCGCGCATAGAAGCGGGAACACCCGAGATAGATAGCAAGACTAGGAGCGGAGGCCTTGACTAGGTAGGTACTTACCTATTGAGTTCTGATGATTAGCAAGTATCCAAGAAGTTCTATATGATTAAAAAGGGGTTACTCACCTTGTTACGGTGTAAACGCTTGGTGTTGCTCAAGGATGTTCTTGTATGACATGGATATAAGGTGTGGATGCCGAAATTCGCAGGTGCTCAAAGGAGTCGCAGAACTCAACTAGCAAAGCATTATTATCAGTTTCTTGAAAGTTATTATGCAGTCTCATGAGTTATGACTCTTGGAGAAGAATTGGCTTTCGAAATAATACTCCAACTCCGAAACTGATTTCTTTAGTACGAAATGTTGCAATACCCGAATCCAGACACTAGATCGTTGTTCGCTACCGCATATACATCTATGAATACCTACTTAGTACCTACCTATATGATACCCAAAACGGTTATCACTTAGCGAGATCGTGAGTGCTATATAGCAACATTTAAACACGACTAAAGAAAACCAAAGCTTTATAGTTCCCTAGAAGTTAATATAACATCACCCACAAGTAACCCACTGAAGAGGTACTCATCTTGAGTAGATGGACAATTTTACTTACGAGATAAAGCAGACTAAGATCTGGCTGCTTCTGCCGAGTGAAATCTCAATGCTTTAATGCTTTAGCTAGGTATCTTCTCTAAACAAGCAAGGTAGGAAGCAATATGACGGTGTACTGACCTAGGCTAATATGAACTTAGCTACATAAGTTATGCTATATCCAAGACTTAAATGCTCAATTAATCACGCATTATCTAACATTCCTATGTAACCATTACCTAGTAATGTCAGATTTATTACGTGTTGTAGTCTCAAGAGTGGGTGTCGTCCGCCCTACTTTCGTTAGCCTTATATCTTTTCTAAGAACAAATAGGAGGCAACCTCAAACTGACCTTCCACCAAGCTGACTCACAAGTTTGACGTCAAGTCATACGCCAAAAATATGGGACTTTTGTGATGAACATTCATTTATCTTTGAAGGTATCGATTAGCTAACAGGGAATCGAAAGAAGACCAGATGTTAAAATCTGCCGAAGAAGGATAAGGTAAACATGGGTCTTCAAAAAGTTGTGATCAGTCACACCCATACTTGATGTCGGTAAGTGTTATATGAATTTAATAACCTCTATCGGCGTGTCCAGGTATGTATTTAGTAGTTAGGTACGAGGTACGTATGAGATTAGTTTTTGTTTGACCGAGTGAAAGATTAATTATCGTGATGCATGCACTAAATAGGTACCTAGGTATATATCTGCATAAAGCCCCGCTTAATAAGCTACCAGCTCTAGCGTTTATCGCTATGCAACAGACCATTCCAATTTTAAGTTCCCAGGCTCCCACTCTTCATTTTCCAATCCAGACGTTGACTGCGCATCAACGTAACTTTTACAAAACATCACACCGATTCATCTCAAATCACTAGAATACAGGTCATGAAGTCGAGAAAACGTACCGCCGACAATGAGGGCGGGAATGCCTACAAGAGACATCGAAATCCACAGTACTCCGGAGGGACAAAGACAAACTCAACTATGGACCCGAATTACGGCCAACGAAGCGCCTTTGGTGACTTCGAGTGTCTTACGACTGTGCCAACTGGAGACAGTGATCTAGACTGGGAGGATGACTCCGACGCTTTATCATATCTTAAATCTGTACGGTAAGCTAACTTTTTCTACCACCTGCTTTCATTCTGCAGATTCGCAAGGCTAAACCTGTATTTCGGTTTTCTTAGGTGATGATACTGATATGGTGAGTATAGAACCCAGGCATCCGCAATCCCACACGTCCTCGCCGCGAGCAAAGCTGGCCCGCAACTGCCTCCTCAATTTGCAGCCCAATCTACAAATGGAAGTCTGCAAGGTGGAGCAGAAAACATCGACCGGAGTATTTATAAAGATGGCACAGGCGATTTTAGAGGATACTATCATGATGGAGCGTATACCGCATACCCGTCAGGCTACTTTGATAAAGAGGAGGACACGGATGAAGAACAAGACGGAGACTATGATGAAGCAAATCAAGACTACGAGGAGGGCGAAGAAGGCGAAAACCTCGAGCTAAACTACGACGAAGATAGTAGTCTTGAATCCGACAGCGAAGGGCGCCCACACAACAGCAACGTAGACGAGATCCGCGACGCGTACTTTGCCTCTCTCACGAACCAATATCTAGCCTTACGCCAGATCCTACAAACCGACCCTCCACACGACGTATTATTGTCCCTCCCCAAATCGAATCCAACCGAAGTACGCGAATTCGGCTCCCGATCCGACACCTTCCCCAAGTGGGCTGGTCGAATCCGGGGCACGGACCCACTGCCTGCCCAAGTCGCCGGCATGCGCAAGGAAGGCGTGATCCGGCTCCTACGCATCATCCTTGGTGGCAAGTTCCTGCGCAAGAAGCAGACTCTCTGGGAGCGCACTAGCAGGTGGATATGGGCGCTGCTAGCGCGCCTGCCCGAGAGGGGCGAGCTAGACTACCAGGAGATTGGGTACATCCGCGAATTGGGTAAGAGGGCGGTTTTATTGATGGTTAGCTTGGTCGAGATGGAGGTTCTGAAAGAGCATTATGACGTCGGCGATAGTAGCGCCGAGAGTCTGGGTGAGCCTGAAATCGACGACGAAGGCATTGACGAGGAATTGAGCCCGGAAGGATTTGATGAGTTTGATGACGTGGAAGAGGAGGCCACAGCTACGAACGCCAAAAACGCCCAGCCAAAAATAGTTACCGAGGCCGGAGCTTCAGTTCCCAAAGAAGTGGCGGAGGAATTATCGGACGTCGAGATGCAGATTGATTCGGACTCGGAGGCAGAGGATGGGGAAGTATCTGAAGTACCCCAAAATCAAGCAGAAGAATTATCGGCTGACATAGAGACGGCCAAGGCTCGGCTCCTGCGCCAGCTTGGCGCGACGGACGAGGAAGAGGACGCGGAAGCCGTAATCCCCGAACCTGAAACCACGGACCTCATGGATGAAGCCTTTGCCGCCCTCGCAGCAGACGAAGAAGTTCAGAAGAAAGAGGAACGCCAGAGAGCTAAGATCAACGAACGCGCCACTCTGAACATGATCCTTACTGTAGCCGGTGAGTTCTACGGCCAGAGAGACCTTCTCGAGTTCCGCGATCCGTTTGGCGGGCTTTAGGTCGAGTAGTAGGTAGACCAAACCCATATTGTGACCATACATTCATGTGATCAGACTGTTCTATACATAGCACTCCTAAACATTACGCACTCCACGCCCCAAGCCGCGTGGGATAATAAAATAATGAGTCTTAAACCAAGTCCTCGCTATCAATGGCAACGTGCTACAGAGGTTAAATTGTATATCAATTCATGATTTGGTAGTACAACCAACCAACCAACCAATCTTCCCATATCGATGTGATCTAATCCGTTCCGACTGCGAGAGTATTTCGGATGATCCCCCCCTTGCATGTACTCCCGTTGCGCACGCACCCATAAACCAGGTAGGTTACCTACATATACAAAAATGTTGCATCTCCAATGCAACACCAATAAGAAAAAAAACGCCGTGGCGCCAGCCGCCCCCATCATGCAGTATACGCTAAAAATGTCCTCGTCCGCCGCCAATGTTCAATCCGATCCAATCCGTAACATAAAATACAGCAGCTTCCGCTGTCTCTGTTCCCTTAACCTCTATGCATATCCCCCCTTTCCAACCCCTCACCCACCATCCTTCGTATCTCAGGTATCCCAGCGTCCAACGCGGCATAACAATCATACCCCCTCCTCTTGTGTAATCCAAGTCTAATCAAACATCACTCATCTCAACCTCCCACTCCCCGCCCCTAACCAAGAAATCTGCCTCTCCGAAATCACTCACATCCGCATCCCCCACGACTCTAACGTTCTCCCTTCCGCTTACCACGCCCTTTCCACCGCCCCGGGTCCTTATCTTCCGTGGCACGGCCATAGGACGACCGTTGCTATTCCCCGGGGACCAGCTAGTGGGCGCGTGACTCCGAGGACTGACTTCGCCGTCGAACCCGTCGCGCCATGCGTTGAAGTCGAAGCTGACGACGCTGAGACGGCCGGGTGTGGACGGGGCTTCGGGTTCTTCGTCCTCGGTGTAGGAGCGCTTGCGTGTCGAGCGAGGGGAAGCTGGGGCGGTAGAATCAAGGGAGTCCTGGCTGCTAGTTAAGCCAGGGACGTCGTCGTCGTCGGTCATGGCCTCGTCTAGGGGGTGGCCGTTTACGCTTAAGAGGGGATGACGGGCGGATGTTGAGATGGAGGATGAGGATGTAGGTAGTAGGAAGGGTGAGGGGTGATCCGGTTGTGTGTCTAAACCGCCGACTCTGTGGATCCCGCAGAAGGGGAGGAGTTCTCGCGGCGTGGAGATGGCGTTGGCTCGGGAGCGTCCTTCGACCATGGTGTTGGGGTTGGTGGTTGCGTTCTCATCGAAGAGCCCGAAGGCACTGTAGCTGCCGGTTTTGTAGCCCTCGGGTACGGATTTGCGTACTCGCATGCCCACCGATAGCAGGTTTGCTTGCACGGTTGCGGGTAGAGGGGGGCTGTTGACGTAAGGAGGGGAGGAAGGTATGTTGAGGTGTTGTGAGGACGACGACGATGATGGTGATGCACTGTTGAAAAATGATGTGATGTGTCGTTGAGCAGGATCGCTTGCTGCACCAGCGAACTGACGTTTGGTCCGCGGAGCTGACATGGTTGGAGGTTGGGTAGATCGATATAGGGATGGGTGAGTTACGTGTCTGATGCAATGCGGCCCACACGAACGGGTCCGGGTTGCCTCAGATCAAATGACGACCCCAGAGTTCCGGAGGTTTGACTAGAACGGATCGGATCTATCGTGGTGATGGAACAGGAGGTAGAACGCTAATAGGTTCTACGGAGTGTGAACCCACAGAGTCGAAACGGCTCAGCCACGCCGATCAATTACTCCCTGATGGAATCTAGAGAATAGAACCCCTATTTTAAAGGAATTATTCGTCGCATAGACAAAATAATTAATCCCGTCTAAAGCAGAAATTTCCGTCCGATGTAAGCGGATGACGATGATGAAAAGAAGGAGGGGAGAAGTTGTGTGTTCGAAAGGAGGCTGGTCAGAAGTTGGGGGCGGTTGATCAGACGATTAGCGATTAGGAGAACTTGGAAACTTGGAAGTGGAAAGTGGGGGATGCGCGATGCGCGTAATTAGTCCCTTCTAAGACGTGTTTTTACGCGTTTTAATAGGGTCTTGACATCAAAGTCAATATCTGAATATGTACCTAAGTATCTATGTACCGATGTACATATCTCAGACACCTTCGAGATTTTGACCGCCTCACGTATCAGACGAAGGTCCCCTTGCACAGGGAGCACAGGGAGCACAGGGAGAGATGAATGGAACTAATTGTTGAACCCCAGAGCTACTGGATTTGTATGAAGCTGAAGACAATAATAAGATTTGCATAAAGATCTTAAGTGTCATTCTTTGTTAAATCTAGTTAACGTTCTTACCTTTGAGCTACTAGCTACTTATTTGTAAGTATTCAAGATATTAGGTCACCAATCTATCCGATGTATGTTACCACATCGAAAGGCTTGAAGCAAGTTAAGCCTACTACTTTACTTCTTCCTGGGAAACTCTAGATATGAAATACTTGGTAGGTACCTACTAGTACCTAGGTATTATAGATTGTCGGCCGTGCACTAGACTATTGCTTTTAAACGGCAATGAGAGTTCTAATAGAATGTGCAATGCTTCGGCCTAGGAAACTTTGCTTCTGTCGAATCTATCCTATCCGTGGATCACATGAAAAGTCAACGCGAATTCTACAGTTGCCGGACGGTATCTACAAGACAAATGACATGGAAGATAAGCGTAGCACCATTAGCAAGTCACGGTAATAATGACATATTGTGGAACAATGTGAATTCGCCTAATGCAGTGATGCAGTGAAAACATACGGCCACTGCAATCGGGTATGTAGCGATCCTCAATTAACGTTCCACATCCTCACATCAGACCTACGGAACCTACCCCTTCAGAGATAGAGACCAGTCGATGCTCGTGGAAAGCCATTTCCAGCTGTCCACCCATGCAGTAACTACCATCCTGCCTCATGTCTCGAGGGCGATGACTGCGTAATACACAAGGCGATAAAAACGAGGAGGAAAAATCATTCGCGGAAAAACGGATGATGCAAGATATCAGGACCCCAAACGCCCTTTTGTATTGAAGGTTCTTTTTTGGTATCCGTCGTCTATCTGCAATGACGTAGAAGTTCGTGAAGAAAGTCGATTTATGTCCGGAAGACAAGATGCCAGTTTTCATGCGCCCATTCCGTCGAGAGTGCCTTGCAGATATCCGAACCACACTATGAAGTCGTGACCATACCCATTAATGAAGAAAAGACGAGACGAAATCCTCTACTTTCTTCGGAAAGAGCAACCCTCGGTTAATCGAGCCTTACCACCGGTAGGTTGGCAGAGGACGGTGGTGCATCCCTGGCAGATGACGACGGTCTGGGCGTGAGAGAATACGGTGGTGATTGTGAAGCAACCGGGGCACTTGACGTCCATGAAGAAGGACCGAGGGCTGGGGACCAGAGTCTACGCGAAATAATTAGTACGCCTTCACCAAAATATTCTACAGTGCGATTTCTCTTTGGGTTAATCGTACCTTCAGCTTGTGCTTCTTGGCCTCGGCAGCCGGGCTGGGGTTGAGAAGATCAACAGCGAGAACCTAGGCAGAAAAAAAATTGTCAGCATGAAAGTCCATTCGTTGTTGTGAATCCAAGCAATCATCAACCATCCAGCCACATCGATCGCCGCATCGGATAAAGAGGATAGCAGAGAATAATTGAATTCTGGTGTCGCAAAAATAGCCGGGTAGTTTTTTTTATTGTCGGCGTCGCCATCGAAAGGGGTAGTGAGGATTATCGACGATTGATGAAGCGCGAGTCGTGGCAGTAGATCGATGACTTATTGGAAGGATAAATCAAAATGAGGTTATGCGAACTTACCATCTTGACTGATTGTCACAAAAAGTGTCTTATGCGATGGATTGGCAAGTGTCAGGTTGGTCTGCGATATCTGAAGATAGCAGGAAGACAGGATTTGTTTTGGCGAAAGACGGTGGTAGTTAAAGATTGAGGGGAAGGTCGTGTGTGTAATTTCGAGGTTAAAAATTCGTTTAGTAAATTTCGGGGGATGCTGATTTTCCTTAGCCAGATTGGCTGTGCAAGAGGCGAAATTCACTAATACCCTTCTGGCATGGACAAATTAGGTTTAGTACCGAGGAGGGCTAGGGCTTTTCAAGGCCCACACTTGCATGGCGTAAACTAATTGAAAACTTACAGCTGGAGGAAAGTTAAAACAGCTGTCAGCCAAAGTGGGTAAAGTGGGATGTTGTACCTAGGTACTCACCTTAGAGGGGCAGGACGCCGTAGGAGGGGTTAATAATGGAACTTGAGCTTGGTTGTTCCAAGTACAAATGTAATCATTCGTAACACAACATCAGGCAGCATCAAAAGATCCAAGGCAACCAAACAATCAATTGATCTATATCCACTTCAGTCTCGTTCCAAATCTCACGAAATTTTATTTTATCATCTTTTCATTCACCTTTATCAAATTAACAACTACTACCTAATTGAACAAATCAAACTAAGATGGCCGCACCTACAGATCAACGGATAGCTGTCCCTATCGACGACCCCAACGCAGATACCGAATGGTATGAACTACAATAAGTTTTCTTACCCATAACAATGTACTTAATCGTAAAAATAGGAATGACATACTCCGCAAACATGGAGTTATACCCGAGAAACCTCCGTCTCCCACACCCATGATCGAAGAAGCCATACTTGAAGGCCGCAGAATAGCACATGAGAACAGGTTGGAGGGGAAGGAACTCGATGAGCTCGATGCTCTAGAAGATGAAGAAGATGAGGCTTTCTTAGAACAATACCGACAGAAGCGCATGCAAGAGTTGAATAAATTGTCCAAAAAGTCAATCCATGGCTCGGTGTATCCGATATCGAAACCAGACTACTCCCGCGAGGTCACTGAAGCCTCTAACAACGGGCCTGTATTTGTGAACCTCGTTTCCTCACTAGGAACGAACGTCGAATCGAGAGTTTTATCAGAGCTTTGGAAGCAAGCGGCGAAAGAATACGGTGATATCAAGTTCTGCGAAATAAGGGCGGACAAAGCTATTGAGAACTATCCAGATCGCAATTGCCCTACTATCCTCGTGTACAAGAACGGAGATATCGTCAAGCAAGTAATCACTCTCGTTACCGTAGGCGGAGTACGAATGAGTATGCTGGAGATTGACAACTTGCTGGTCGAGGTAGGCGCAGTCAATGAGAAGGATATGAGGGTCGTCAAGAGAAAGAGAGATGCCGAAGATGCTAGGGAAGAACAACTCATGAGTAAAGGAATCAAGAGTGGGAATTTAAGACATGCGACTATTGATGACGAGGACGACGATGACGACTGGGATTGAGACCATGCGCATTGGGGTCATATCGCTCTCCCAATTTATCTACATCTAAATCCCTATATCTGCAAATCCATTATATCCCGACTTTGCAAGCATTTAACGCATTGCCTACGATAACATCGATTTACAGGGGGGTAGCCCTGGCGTCGAACTTCCGATGAATGGTAGTTAATTCGATCCGATATCGAGGCACTTGTATGGACTATAAATCGGTGAATCTGATGAATTGTAGGAGCCTACCCCTTAAAGTCAAAGCTAGTTCATGATTACTAACAAACCTAACTGAATAATAGGACCTGCTCAAGCAGAACAGCTCAAAATAATTGAAATATGTCCAATTTATCGGAATTTAGGGGCAGGACCCTTTTTTGGAGACCCCTGGAGCCACAGTTATTTGAACCAAGACGCTGGGACCAATGTACCATTGTATCAATGCATTTTGCATGGTTGTCTCCGATCGTGGAGCCGCAAATAGCCCATGTGTTTGCCAATTGGGGAAAGTGGGCCTGCACGTCTTGACGTCGGGACGTGACGCGCCTACTCCAACTTGAAAAGAATAGAAAGGTCGTCACGCTAATAGTTTCGTGTTTACACACGATTCGCCATTCACTCCTCTTTCTCCTTTGATTTTACTCAGCAAATAGACTGTCAATCGTTCAAACCTCTCGTGCAATTGTTACGACCAGCTCACTCCCCGTAGCTCTTGCTTTTAGGCACAACCAAATTAGGGCTATTGTACCTTTGGTCCCTATTATACCACGAAGATGGCCGAGGAACCAACTCTTCCCAAGTTGCCCGCAGTCGCTTGGGATTTCGAGACCGAATCTTTTAGCAACACGCGAAAACGTGCTCGTAATCGAGGTGAACCATCCGCACCGCCAATTTTCACCAATTCGAGCGACCCCGCCGTGTTCTCTAGTGATGATGATCCTCAGTTAGAGAATTATACTCAAGGAAGACATCGCAAGAAACGATATATCGGTTCCTGGTTCCAACAGCATCTCGCATCAACTGATTCAATCTCCGGCGAAAGTGTACAACCGGTACCCAAGGCGAATAGGACGTTTGAGCGTCAATTTGATAGTGGAGTTTGGATGGGAAGCGACATTTCAGTGGATACAGATGACGATACGATTCTAGATATCGAGATGCCTACCCAGTCTAAGCTGCTGCAGTTGCGACATGCTCGTCCTGTCACAACTATCTCTCCCAACGAAGCGGCCGCCCGGGAAAAGATCCAAGCTGCTATCGACAGTGGAATCCAATCTATTGATCTCTCGTAAGTAGATAGCTCCCCACGCGCAAGCCACTGCAAGCCTTGTATAGCTATACCTACACAGAAACTGATTTTTGCAGTTCCTCGGGTATCGAGTCTCTTTCCAACACGACCGTATCACAGCTTTCCATGTTTGACACAGTTCCTATCATTGAGGAAACATCTCCGTTCGAGTCGAGGCGGCCATTCCTTGAAGTCTACCTATCTAACAACCCGCTCATCCGTGCTCCTGGAGCTCTGTTCAATTTAGAACACTTGACCGTTCTTAGTCTTAGAAGTACTTTGATTACCGAGCTTCCGCCAAGTATCGGAAACCTACGCAACCTACAGACCCTAAATCTATCTCTTACTCGTCTTCGACATCTTCCCGGGGAACTCTTAGACTTGTTGAAATATCCGAGTAAGCTTCGAACCTTGAACATACACCCTAACCCCTTCGAACAACCCGACCACATCGAGCCCCTTATCACCATGGGCATCGAGATAAAGAATCCCTCTCGCGACAAGTTTACTCCTTTTGTAGACGAGGCACTTCGCATCGATCATACAAGACAGATGCGATTCTGGCTCGACAAGCAGGACGGTATTATTGATGAACCTAGGCCCTACTTGAAAAAGCCAAGATGGGCAGCTGCCATACTCGCACGATCACTGGTGCAGTACAGTGATAGCCGAGGGGTCGTCATCTCCAAGTTTCGGCTACTAGAGCCAAGACCAAATGTTCCACTCGAGCAGGGATCGTCGTCGATTCGATCCATCCAAACTGAGGATCTGTGTTCACCACCCGCGATGCCCCAATCCGCTAGAAACGAGCTTGCCTCCGTCGCCAATCGAGGCCGCGTACCATCCCTATTCGAGCTAGCTCTCCAGTCTTGTATGAAGAGTGGACAACTCCATGAATTGCCGTCCCTATTCCCACCGAATTCGCCGCAAAGCATCATCGACGTGCTGGGTCGTCTCGCTGATCAAAGCGAAGCAAACGCCAACTCGGGCAATTTACCCTGCTCGTTATGTGGGCGACGAGTCGCAGTACCTATGACTCAGTGGATCGAGTGGTGTCTGGTCGGGGATCTTGTCACGGATGGAGTGATGCGCGCGGAGAAGCCATGTATCGGACAGGCTCAACTTGTAGTCCCATTCATACGACGCGGCTGTTCTTGGAAGTGCCTGCCAAAAGTAATGACACCGGGACAGACAGTACCAGGGATGGTAAGATTCAGTATTGATTAGCATCCATAAGAGCAGTCCACTCTCCAGATGGATAGTTCTTCCGTTGCAGGCGTTGGAGAGGAACGACGTGATTTATGATACCCTAGGCGTGCCAGAGCCAAAGAGGCTGAAAGGCATGGTTTAACCAGAGATTCACAGTTGAGGTTGTGTCTAAAATAAGACAATTGCAAAAAAGAAGCCCAACAAGTTGCGATGCCATCGAGAGACTTATTGAGGGAGCGGGCCATTAGGGTTGTTGAAGCAGTTGCTTCAACATTTCCCCTATTGAGATGTCATCTGTTACAGCCAGGAATCGTCAGAATCCTGTGCAATCGCTTGTGCTTAGCAATATAGTTGCTTCAAAATCGAACAATTGAACAAACGAACGTGAATTTTCTAGTTGCTAGTTGACAATTCGTAGGATTGGACATCGTCGCCCACATAAATGAGTAAACCGAGAAATCCGTTAACGAAGATGAGAAACTCTGGCCCAATCTCTATATATGAACCTCGAATTACAATAAGACATTGTTTTAGAAGAGATTAATTATTAGAGCATGCTTGACACATTGGTTTCACGAGGCCTTCTTAGTCGAATTGTTTCTGATACCCGTTCCTCCTTATGTCTTAACACATCCCCAAATAGGTATTAGTAGATTGTTGACCTATTCACTTATAGAGAAGCATAATGAGCCTCCACATAAGATTTATCTTAGAAGATTGAGGTACACCTATGAGATTCATCCGATTGGTCATGTCTTTGTTCCAGCACGGCGTTCATGCGCATATGCAGGTCTCAGCTCTGTACATCAGCGCCTGTGTACCTGCTCAGTCTTCAAATAGAATCTTCTTAAGCTTAATGCTTGTGTCTATCTTGGGTTTATTTTATGAGCAGCTAGTTCTTCTTTGGTTGTTGGTGGAGAGTCAATGAGGTAGTGCGAGAAGGTAGGTAAGGGGGGGTAAAAAAAGAAAATACCTACCGGTACCTAGCACTATTAAGCCAGATACATATAGCTAAAATGAAGGTATCGTCGTCCTTCTACTAACGGGACGTCCCTCCCTACTACAAGGCCCTCTTGCTTTTAATTCTCCGTATCTCCGCGACCTCCGGCTAGCCATCGGTATTAAGAGAGCATTATCGTATGAGATGGGTCGTTTGAGGGGCTAGTCAATGCCATGTTACTAACTAGATCTAGCATAGGACCATTAAAAACACAACCTCACGATATCAAGCATCGAAATTTTGCTCCTGTTTAATAAATTTTTAAGGTAACATTAAATGAGGAGGTCGTAGGTGACTTGTACCACTTGAAGCAAGTCTTCAGGACCCTGGACATTATACCTAGTCGTAGATACCTACGCATGTCGTGTCCTGGTCTTGTACAGCTGAAAGGTGTTATAATACCCTACTCTGCTGTATAAACAGAGTAGATCAAACATCGTTCTACACTGCACGATCTCGGGAGGATGCATATTCTTACTCGTCGAATACTATCGGAGCATGAATGGAGGCCAGCAACAGCCCGATCCGCGGCAAGCGAGATCTCGGGGGTCATATTTAAAATTCGGTCTTACCGGAGCAGCGACCTGCCTAGTGCCAAGTAAATAAATACTTCGGCCAAGATTCGGGATCGCGAATAACAAAGATATCAGACATCAATCTTCGATGCGCGCGACGTTTACTCCGGCGGCCTCGGGTAGCGTGTGTTCTCACGGGGGCTGTTATTCTAAAAGCCTAATACTAATCGGACCAGGTAGGGCAGACCACATGACCAGTTTAGGGCTTTTGAAAGGCTTTTTCTTTCTTCCATGCCAACGTCCGGTCAGCGCGGGACTTTTCGTCCGCGGGCGCGAATGAACGTTGGATCGTGCGTTTGTTGGATCTGGAAAGAATCGTGGATGCGCCCGACGATTGTCGACCGTCCGAGGATTCCGAAGCGGCTGGAAATCGTCTGCCGATTTAAGCGGCTGCATGCAGGTAGGGGGGGTAAAGTGCATGTAGTGTAACACCGATGTAAGTCACGCCGTCGTCAATATTTTGGTGCTCGTCTATGTATGTCGTGATGTTAGGTACTATCTATGCATAGAATCAGATTATGTGAGATTCTTATTGTTCTTTTAGTATCTAGGCCAGTTCATTGAAGCTTCTCTCTACCAGGTATTCATACCTAGAATTGAGGAAGTTCCCATGGTGACTCAAACATGGTTGCAATTCCCGTCGGAGATTCTTGGCGGACCAGGGTGTACTGACTTATGGTAAGCGTTGCAGGGGTCTTGAAGCTTGTAAAGCTTGTTTGCTGTCAGCCCTGCCGTAACTCTCCATCGGCGAAAGTTGACAAGTCACAGATGCTCAGCTAGCCGAACCACGCTAAACCTGATGAGGGAGGATACATGGAATAGTGTCATTGAATCATTCCGCAATTGGTAAGATTCTAGTGATTTGGTGGTTAGGTTCATGTGCAAGGGATATCTAATAGACCCTATTTGCTGAATCATCGTCTGATCTCAGGGCTAGCATATGGCATTTTGAGAAGCTGATTAATGTTGAATGGAGAAAGTGAATAGCTTCTTATTGTCCTTGCGGTGATTATTGTTCTATCTCCGAGATAGGAGTTGCGACCTGTTGCCCACTGGTGGATTGGTTGGCTGCCCAGGTGAGTAATAAAAACAAGGAATAAGGCATAAGACATTGGCTGGTTAGAAGGTATAAGGGACCTGGGGAGTTCCTTCACCAACCTCGCTGGTGCGACTAAAAAGGTAAGATTAGGTACCTACCTGATAATAGAAGGAACCTATCGGAGTTCCGCAGAACGCCAGCTCCTTCCATTCGGCATAGTCGGTGCAAGGAAGGTTCTCTCTGTCATTTGTTCTTTTTTCTTCACTTCTCTGCTTTCAGATTTCTAATTTTCGTTGTCATTTTGTCACGCTCCACATTCCAATGGTAGGATACCAACTAGGTATCATCGCAACCCACATGGGAAAGAATCTTACCCAAATGTTACGGACAAGGCAAGGGTCATGTCCTCATGTCCACCAGACCCGACCTAAGACGGCGACAACAAGAAGGCACATTCCGAGCCTTCCGACAGTTGCTTGCCTTTTTATATTACCATAGTATAGTTACTAGCGTTATGTACCTAGCAGTCTGGGTCCTAACTGTGTACATTGTCGCAGATGCTGTATGCTTACTAGCTAGGCATCTCCCCTTACCCTCCTTCTTTCCCTACGGCCGGTTCGGGAAACCATTTTTATTTATATATGCCAAGGAATGTAGTCAAGATGCCGAACTCAAGCCTGCCTAGTATTATAAATATTATATTAATCTCTGCTTACCGATTTACTTAATGTTTCGCTTTTCCCTATGTTTTTACTCCTTGGGGGTCACTCAAAGCTGTAGCTAGGTCTTGGAACCTTCTGGCGTTGCTAGCATCTTCAGCCATCATCGCTACTGTTATCACCGTGTAGTTTTCGTCGAATAGTATCAGTACCTAATAACAAGAATGTCATCATCGAAGCCTCAGACGAAACCTCTAACGCTCGAAGGCTTGGTCCGGTGGGCCCGCCTCAAGAAGTATCGCATCGAGGTTACCTATGGCGTTTACGTTTATACACCGGTAGAAAAGGCCATCTTCTGGACCATTTTCTGCTTCCTGTTTGGCGTTATCTCCTTCGCCGCCCTTTTGTACACCAAACGGAACGTCTCCTTGCTCCTTAAGTATGCGTACATCTACGTCAACGGCAGCAGTGGCGCTACTAGCGCCGTCTCCAACCTACTCCCGAGGAGACACACCGCGTTATCTCTCTCGGGAAATGGCATAAAGTCGCTTGCCGAAACGATGGGCGGCGCCACCAACTCCCAGGTTCCGTGATCATGCAAATGTACATTTCCGGCATGGGTCATTTATCCAATCGGAGGTGTGGGAGGAGGCGAGAGCTACGACGCTCGTTCAGGAAGAGGCGGACTTTTGGAAAAAGCAAATACTGGTGAATCTTGATGCGAAGCTACCGATTCCACCGCATATCTCGCAGTTCGCTACTGCGTAGGGCGAGACCGGTGATGTTCCAGCTTGGAGGTCTGTAGGAACACCAAAGACCGAATGCTTCCCCAACACGGAACGAGATTTCAGAGTTGTTTTAATGGCTGAACGAATCCTTCAAATCACCAAGAAAATAAAAATAAATCATCGGTTAAGGGATAGGAAATCAAGAAAAAAATAATTTTGGGATAGGGGTCGCCCCTGAAGGAGGTGGAAGCTTGGCGTACTCGAATCACTCTAGGAGTTGGTCACAACGCATATAACGGATTAAACGACTTATATGATGCTTGATCGAGGTGTTCACGGTGTTGAAAGGCCTAAAGCCTTGGTTTTTCTTATGAGCGAGGAGTTCTATACCTTTTTGGTGGCAGCCTTAAGATCCATCAGATCCCAAGGTTCGCTTTTTGCATAGGAGGCGCGAATCTTGGATATACCCTCGCTTAAAGGCGTCTGGAAGTTTGGGGCTGATTAACCCTGGATACTACCTACTTGCTGACATTCCAATATCAATTTTTTACATCCTAGGATGTCATTTGGGGTGTTGATAATATTGTGATATGAAGTCTACCTATTCCTCAAAATGCGATTCTAACACACTCATGTAGATCCCAGTATCCAGCTCCCGCTTTAAACCCGCCTCTGTCAGATCAGGACGCCTTAGAGATCAAATCCTTAGCAAGCTCTCGCAGTTTAAACTTCTGTATCTTCCCACTCGCAGTCTTGGGAAACTCATCAGTCCAAAAGACATACTTCGGCACTAAATGACCGGAAAGGTGTTTCCTAACCCAGTCCTTCACCTCATCCTTCGACAGTACCTTCTCTTCACGCACTTCCTCCGCCTCATCAGTCTTCACATCCCCATGCACAGCAACAAACACAGCAACAACCTCTCCATACTTCTCATCCGGCACCCCCACAACACTCGCCTCACGCACAAGCTCATGCCGCATAATCTCCTCCTCGATCTCAAGCGGGTGTATATTCTCCCCAGCCCGAATAATCAAATCCTTAATCCGTCCCGTAATCTCAACGTAACCCTGCTCATCCATACGCGCCTCATCCCCTGTGTACATCCACACCTCCCCCTCCTTCTCCTCCTCCCCACCTTCCTCAATCATAACCTCATCGGTCCGAGCCTGGTCGTCGAAATACCGCTTCATAAGAAGATACCCCGAAACCGCCAGCTCGCCACACTCGCCCCGCGGAAGCACACGCGTGCTGTCGCGTCGATCCACGATCTTGACCCGCGTATGCGGCATCACCATCCCCACGGTCCCCACACGTTTCGCCGGGGGGTCCGCCGGGCTCGTCATCAGGCTCACGGGACTGGTCTCCGTCATCCCATAGCAGATAACCAGGTCCTGCAGCCCGAGCCTAGCGTTGAGCTGTCGCATCAGGGGTTCCGGGACGGAGCTACCGGCCGCAATACCCTTGCGAAGGTTTGGGAAGAGGGTTAATTTACCGTTATCACCTCTTGATGGTGCTGCTGACCGCAGTCTATCCACGAAAGCCGGCGAAGAAAGCAACTCCAGTTCCGCAGCAAACATAGTCGGCACACCATACAACCCCGTAGCATCATGTTCCGTCGCCATCAACAGCGCAGCAGCGGGATCGAACGCCGGGGACGGGAATAAGATCGCGGCGCCGGTTGTCGCGGTGGCTTGGAGCCCGAGCACGCAGCCGAAGCAGTGGAATAGGGGGGGTGGACAGACGATGCGGTCGTTGGGGAGGAGACCCATGCGTTGTGCGATGAGGCGGCCGTTGTTGAGGATGTTGGCGTGGGTTAGCATGGCTGCTTTTGGGGCGGATGTGGTGCCAGATGTGAATTGGATGTTTATCGTGTCGGAGGGGTGTAGGGGCGTGTCTGGGACCACGGGGTTGTGGGGGAGGGTTGAAGGGGGGGCGAGGGAGGAGTAGGGGATTAGTGTGGGTAGGTCTTTTAGAGGGGGGAAGCCGGCGTGTGGGTGGGAGGGCGCGTTGTCGACTATGATTACGGATTGCAGCGTGGGTACGCTGGGGGACTCGATTCGGCCACCGCTTTTTGCGAGATCGGGGATGAGTGCTTTTAGGAGGGCGTGGTTGCTACGGCCGCGGCATGGCTTGTAGGCTAAGTCTGTGACGGCGCTGATGATTAGAGCGGAGACGCGGAGGTGAGAGAGGGCGGTGACGAGCTGTTTCTCGTTGAAAGTTGGGTTTAGCGGGACGAGGATAGCACCTAGTTTAAAGATGGCGTAGGTTGCCACAACGTGCTCGGCGACGTTGCCAAGACTGAGGGCTACTCGGTCGCCTTTCTTGACACCTTGAGACCTTAGAGAGTGTGCTAAAGCGTTAGACTGGTTGTCGAGAGCCTCATAGGTTAAGGTTATGCTCCCGGGCTCCGGGGAGAGTGGGTCAGGTGATTGACTGGGTTGTGGGAGCCGGAATCTAGCTGCTGGTTTGTCACCATGTTGAGAAACTATGGAGCGGAAGTGCTCTGGAATTGTGACGGTTATAAGTGGTGGCTATAAGACGGACGTTAGTATGCATCAACTGGATATGTAGTATGGCTATTGTTGAAATAAGATTGTGGCCTTAATATTCCCGCATGTATATCATGACATAATCCCCGAAGATGTATGTCGTCGACTAGTAAAGCTAGGGGATTGTCCAAATATAGCCTTGTCTCAATGGACAATAACCTTGCGTTAAACTCCTAGCTGAACAAAAAGGACATACTTCTTGTGGTCCCTCGGCATAACTCAGACTCGAGGTAACGATGGTTCTTTGCTGCACAGCTTGTTTCCCTATCGAGTGGCGCGTAAATAATCCCCGCCTCAGGTGTTCATGTGTCCCATGGTGTAAGGCAACACGTCTCCAAGATCGATAGTATAACCTAGAGACACGCAGTTTATGAAGAGTCAACAGTTGAAACGAAGACTTCATGTTGTCCTGAGTACCCAATGTTCAACAGAGGCCAATGGGGGAATTGAAAGTATATTCGAAGCCCTAGAATAAAGAGCTGTGAATTTATTCTTCCACAGAGGACATGTCCTTGTATCCCTTACCTACACCTAGGCCTGGATACTCGAATCAGAATAAGCAATAGGCGACACAGTCGACGCCCACTCGTACTCGTGTTACCCACACTCAGCGGCTCAACATCCGGCGTATAACAAATATTAGACGGCTGGGAGGGAATTGATAAAAGCGGCTAGGAGGGCGGTCCGTATGTCTCGGATTTATAGATTAGGACTAAGTCGTCATATTCCCGGCGCTAAGTGGGGATGAGCAGCGGTCGACGGAGGCAAAACGCGGGGGAAGGTATTCTGGGGTAAGCCGGCATAGATAACCGGGCTATAATGCCTAGAAATTAGTCAATAAATAAGCTGTCAAAAGACCAAGATCTCCTGCCCTTTTCAGAGATAGTGACATACACACACACAACCCTAGTTAGTAAGATTTGGAGAACAGACAATATGGAAGAGAGTTCATCATTAAGACCGAAGAATGGATGAACCAAGTTGGGCTGGCGAGCAAAATCGGACTAATCAAATATCCACCAAACGCCACAATCCATGCATACCTAAGCGGGTATATACAATTGGTCCCTCTCCGGCGGACGGTATATCCCGAATGCCTCTTTTTCTTCATTGCGCCGCCAAACACAGCCGTGAGCGTTCTATATCTCTTGTGCGTGCCCACCCAAGAATTTCCGCACCAGGCGCCAATTACTATCCTCGGAACCAAAACAATAGGAGGACTAGGTACTCGTACAAACTGGGGAATGGCGTGCTAGGAAACATAGATCTTCGTTCAAGTCAATCCCGACATGAATCTTCTCAACACAGACCAGAAGATTGACTTGATAACTAGTTCCGTGCAGCATCCCCGTGAAATCCCGGTATATGTTTTCCCATGAGAGGTCGTTAACTTCGTGATGAATAGTTTTACAAACTCCGTATACGATCGCCGAGTCCATAATGTCAGACTATTGAGCCGATGATTTCCAACAATCGGTGGAAATGGCTTTTATTTGGATAAAAGCTAATCTCTCGAAGGATCACGGGCGATAGTTTAAGTGATCTAGGGCATTAAAGGCGCAATTAATAGCCCCTAACCCGTCGCACCTATGTGCCGTTCGCTCTCGGGCTTCCACGTGCCTATAAATGTCAGAAATTTATTTTTTGGGTGCTTATGCAAAACGGGAATCTTACCTTCGAAATCATGCTTCACGAATGCCATAGGATCATCGTAATCCTTTGCCCCCATCTGTTGGACACCTGGCGAAAAACTCGTGATCGGAAGCACGACAACATCACCGACCTTCTTCGGGCTAACTATTCCTGTGAAGTTCAAATACGAAATGTTGCCCTGGCTGGTTTTCATGTCGAAATAACGTGGGTCGTTGAAGTAGTCGAAAATGGTATCGGTCCAAACGGCGGGTCCGGTAAACTCTACCACACTCTTCTCTTTTGATACGAACAGACCTTCACGTTTTCGTTTCAAAGTTTCTTGGGTGATACGTGCAACAAGATCGCGTAAAACTGGATGGCCCGGTTTTGATTGGATAGTCCATTGGCAGAATTGAATCCGTCGACTGTACCATTCCTTCCAGTCCGGTCGGTCGGGGTCCGCCTCAATACCAATAACCAGACCAATACTCTCCTTGGGCACAGAATCTGGAATCCATTCCAAGGCACTCCTGATGGCAAACGTATCAATGTCGGAGTAAATTCCGCCACGAGCGAGCAGGATCAGATAACGGAAGAAGTCGGCTTTTAGCACGGGCTGAGGTAACGCATTGTACGCTTCGAGAACTTCAGGAACAGGGGCATATAGTAATCTGATCAAGTGTACAGCAACTTGATCAGTGATGACTTCGTGTACAAATCCGGGGTGCTGCATTGTCCAAGAAGCTTCCTGGTCTCGGAAGTTGAATTCGCCATTCGCAGGTGTCCATTTCCAGGTCTGCCAAATGTAGGCAGGGAACTTTGACTCGACATCATACGGGTATTGGTATGCTAACTTATCATACAAGGACATCTTGGACATATCCTGGATAGCCTTCTGGGCGGGGACAGGCTTGTCTTTTAAGACTGTATCGGTCTCTGGAGTATAAGAGGTGGTAGAGGGATCATGCTTCGCTCCGGCATGTTGATCGTTTGCGGCTGCAGGCTTCGGCGGGGGTTTGCGAAAAGGTTCGGGATCGCTGGCGTTGGTATGGGATCGTCGAAGTAGTATAAATGCTATTAGGAAGAATACTGCGAAGACTATAGCCCTCTTGAAAGATAGCATCTTGCGACTCGCCATATTGACACGTTTATGGTGATGTGTGCGAGTTAAGGATCTGCAAGATTACTCCTCAGGTAACCTATGTAGGACGAAAGGATCAAGATGATTCGAGAGGCATGCGGCAAATTTGGAGGGAGGAATTGAGGGTATTAGGTGGTATCGTAGGAAACCTTGAGGATCGAGGGTGAAAAATGAATGTATGTAGTTAGTTGAGAAGACTCATAGATGCGAGATTTGCGTATAGGTTACAGATGGAAGAGAGGAGGAGAGGAGGAGAGGCTCTACAGCGACTTTCGAAAGCTTCGAAAGTTTTACGTTTACGACAATAATATGAAATAGGGAATCACGGAAAAGTCTTGGCTCTTCTATTTCAAGGCTACAAGTAGATTAACTCGCCTGTCCCCACCCCCCTTTATGTGATTTTATGGGATTACATGGATTGCAAGGATTCGTAGTTTCTTGGCCGCAGCATCCGACTGCGCGGATTCGGCATAAGATGTTCAATAATACATCCTTGTAAATGCATATCTGCACCTCAACTATTGATTAGCGCCGTTAGTGTCGTTTTGCGTCGTGGCCTGTTGCGACATCCGTGGCTTAGCGGGTTTCGCGTTTCGCCGTTTCAGCCCTTTATCGATTGACATCTTGGATTGTTGGATTCCTTTTTAGACGCACACACTGCCACGCACGCAGTTAACGCTCGATGGTAACTTAACCTCAATTTTCCAACATCTAACAGCCCGTTATACGATGACCAACCCATCTCATAGTAGATTACTCTCTATACGTCCAAGCGGTTAGCAACGAGAAATATATTCCGGTTTATTCAGATATATCAAATACGAAAGCAATTTTATTTATTATTATCTCACATTTTACAATACGAAGATCTATTCGCGATGTCCCCACTTATTAACTCCGAATAAGCCTTACTGCTGTAGCCTATATCGCTTGACCGAGAAGAAAAGACAATATTAGTGAAAGGCACAGCGATGCCAGAATTATCCTAGATCGTCCAGATCGCTCGGTTCTCCCCCCGCTTTCTTAAACGGTTATATCGTTTGTTTGGATAGGCTCGATGGATGGGTTAAGTTCTATGCGAGTCATGCTCCTATGCCCACCCGGACACCAAATTCCAGAAAACAGCTATTGACATCATGATACTTCCATTATTCCAGAGGAAAAAGCAAGTCTGGAAAGATAAGACAAATGACGTGATTTGATGGGTTACAAATATTAGTACGCATCAATATGCTGGTTTAATACTAATTGTCTCGGGTAGGTTATTACAATTTCTAGGAAGTCGAGTTTCGCACCGTATCTGCGTATTCTTTCCAGAGCTACAGTATTCACTACTTCAAATATCCTGTTACGTAGCCCCAGGTACGACAACTACATGCGCACCACTTAGGCAAAATCCAGCATCTATTACTATGTAGCTCACTGCTGCTAGTAAGTCTTAGTCCACGTGTCGAGTCATGAGCTAGAACCATAAACCCGATGGGTTTCAGCACATACTAGGCACACCATACGTTCAAATCCCCACTTCTCCATTTTCTATAGCCACGCAATGGCAATGCCTCTATGGATTAACGCGTCATATTCTACTACATGCAGATACCGCAAGATGGGCATGATGAACTAAGTAAGAGATCGTAATTGAATATATTTATTCTAACTCATATAAGACCCTACAGGTGTTCTCGCAAGTGCTCATTCCCTCCTAGTGGCGGCGTCCGAGTGAGAAGCTGAGCGTTTCGCCGTACTGGATATTGTAGTGTTGGAGGGTATTGACACTTCTAAGATTATCACCCCTGTAGCTCAACATCACCTGTTTGGGTTTCACTCCAAGCGATTGCTCGAGTGAATTGCGGATATCGTCCTTGACAGTCTTGACGGTAGTGTCATCATCGACAGCGATACGGATTGAAACGACCACGTTGCCAGCCTCCCGCTGACAGACTGTCGTTGCCAAATCGTTAACTGTTGATCAAGGATGCCATGGGATGCCATCACCTAAGACATACCAATATTGCCGGCACCCCCGAAAATCCGGACTACGAGATCCATAGTTGATCCATCGGCGACGTTCCCGTCGGCCAAGGTTGTACCGCTCTGCAGATCCTTGCCGGCAAAAATGAGGCGCTGGCGTTCGGGGGCGATTCCGGTCGAGGTTTGGACCTTGGTCTTGACATCGTCAATCGATTCGGAGGACTGAACATTGATAGTCAAGTTCTTGCCAGTCGCTACACAGAATGATTCATGTCAGTATGAACGAGACTTTTATTTGGGTTCAGACGTCGTACGGAGCTTGACGAAGATCTGCATCTTCAATTCAGATGTATTCGTTATTGTTATGTGGTGGAGGTAATTGGTTGTAGGTAGGTTCTGTTAGGAACTGTAGCTAAGACACCAAGGAGTTGTGGGATTCAGGACGAAGTTTTGCGATGATGGTTGGTGCCAACGGGTACTATTTATCATCCTGGATCCGAAGAACAGAGCAGCTCGAAATGCCCCTGGCCACACGCAAAATCACCTTCGACTAGATATCCCGTCATATCTGACCTGGTCTAGAACGTCAGTAATTTGGTGGTGATTAGGACTCTTGTGACGCTGCGCAGGTGTTCATAAACACAAAAGTGGGCCTTATTCAATGCGAACAATGCGCTATTGGCTAAGGACAACGACCCTGCCCCACACGGGCCGTCCCCGAAGTCCCCGAACCGGAATCCACTCGATCCTACTGACACTAGACTATGGAATATTCCAACAGCTCTGTACTATTCACTTCTAATGATTAGACGGTGACAGGCATGAGTCCTACTTAGTACCTTGAGTCATCACGTAATCTGCTGAAGAGAACGCGGGGTAGGGTTAGAACCAGAAAAGCACAGCCCCTCTAACGTACCTAGAACCCCGGATTCAATCGCTTGTTCAGTAGCTGCCGAGTTAGCAGACAGCCTAGAATCGCATCTACCGCTTTGGACATCACGCAGTTGAACAGCAAAAAAACCCTCGGGCTAAATAAGCGGTCTAGTTTGATATACGAATAATTTTACGGCGGACCCAATCAAATCATACAAAGAGCTATTGCAGACTATCATCTCATAATCGCCAGTACCTCAGGGCTCAAGTTGCATCTTGTCTTGCCCCGCCTACGTCATGTCATCCCAAAAGACAGCCCATCCTCAGGAAGTGAAAGAGAAACAGAAGAATTCAGTCAAGAGATGTAATATATGTAGAAAAAATAAGAAGAAGGTATTACCCCTTTTTCAATTTTATCCAATGTATTATTAGCATTGACTTGGGCACAGTGTCATTTCAGTAACAACGAGTCGGAGAGGTGTGACTATTGCAAGCAGAACAACCTTGAATGCTCTGAAAAGACATTCGCGCGCGAGGCTCGCAAGGATATCACTTTCCAGACTTTGGTCAAATTCCTCGAGGTGCAGAATAATTCCGAAGGGTTGTCACAATTACACATTGCAGCTATACTCGGCAACTTAGAAATCTTGCAGGCGGCACATAAAGTCAACCCGGAGGCTATCAATGGCAAGGATAAGGATGGCCGAACACCACTTTGGCATGCACGCGACAAGGGCAACCTGGATGCTGTGAGATGTCTAGAGTTGGCCGGGGCAAAGACGGATGTCATAATAAAGGCCAGCGATGATCAAAAGAACGATCACCCAAATGTTCCTGGAAAGCAGGCACTCACAACTCTGCCTGAAAGACCTAAAGTCAGCCCAAAGGAGACTGGGAGCACTACCGGAAGCCCCACATCGAAGAAGTCGAGCAAGTCAAGCAGATCGAGCAGCACACGTAGCTATAGCGAGTTCTTCAACTTAGACTTCGACTTCGACTTCGACGAATACTATGCAAATAGGCCACCTATTTTCACCACCACTGAGGATAAAATGATTGACCACTTAACCTTTACTCTCGAAGACGAGGGTACTGGCGACCATGTCAAGACTAAGAAACGCACGAACAGCACCCGGTCTCGAAGCGAGAGGAGCAGAAGATCAAGCAGAAGAGGCAAGAGGTCTAAAGGAGGTTCTTGAATCAACGTACAAAAAAATCCTGTTACTAGTCAAATGATAACATTTATCTAACATCGCTACGCCAACCCAAACACATGGTGGTAATACAAGAATAGAAAAAGGTATCGCTTCCAACCCGACCGCTCATCTCCTTCCAAGACATAAGACTCATGACGGATATCGTACATAACCGCAGGGAAACTCATATCTTCATAGATATCTGAGGTTTACCAAACCCCGGTATATCGCATACTTTCAAACAAATTCAAGCATCGCAACTCAAACATCATGACCTAAAAACTCATTAACAACCACTCTCACTCTCAAATCCAGGAGCGACATATAACTTACGGCCAAGCTGCTTCCCGCGCTTCGACACCTCGCGCGCATGGTACTGCTTGATCTTCGCGCGACGGGCTTCCTCCGCGGCCTCGAGCTCTAGTCTCTTGACCTCGGCGCGGGCCTCGCGCACGCGGATGCGCGCTGATTCTAGGGCCCGGTCGGCGTCGCGCTCTGCTGTCTCGGCTTGCATGACGTGTTCGCGCGCTTGGATTATGGAGGGGTCCATGTCGGGGTTCGAGCTGTTGCCGTGGCCGAAGGTGCGTTGCAGGACGCTGCGGTGGCGTGAGGGGGAGGTTCCGTCTGAGGTTGGGGGTTAGTTAGAAGGAGTAAACTCGGCTGATGTGGGATTGGATGGGGGGCTTACCGGAGTGCTGAGAACCATTTGTGCTGCTGGTGCGGGCGCTGGCTGGGGGTGAGGGGCTGCGGTGACGGGAGCCGAAGAGGCTGTGGGAATGTCTCTTCTCGGGCACGGGCTGCTCTTCTACGACTTCCTCTTCGGGTTTGCGGCTGGAGAAGAGAGGCATTTTGGTGGTGGTTGGGTGTGATTATGTAAGAATGGGTTTATAAGATGTTGTATAGAGTGACGAGTTTCTTAAGAACCTAGAAGGCTATATAATAACTGTAGGTTTTGAGGTTAAAGGGCGAGGTTTGATGGCAGGAAAGTCTTGTATCCCATCGGCGGAATTGTTCTCTATTTCTACATCTCGAATATGCTGTGTATCCCATCTCGATGCCGTGACGCAAACCGGTTTATGTTACAAGCAATGGTGATGTATAACATAGTAAGGGAGCAGATCACTAGTATGACGTATGTGAAGCCAATCAAATAATATACATCTACAATCAACCAATTAGAATGAAGGTGGTGACGAAAGCGGACCTATGAAGGACCCCTGAAGCTTAGAAAATGCAGGGACCATCGTAGCCCTCCATTCGCCAAGTTAGGGCAGGGACTATGGACAAGGATAGCGGACTTAGCGGGGACTTTGACGTTACCTAAGTGCCATCATTTCGTCCTAACTTGGATTCTTTCCTTCTTCTTATTTCATTTCGTTCAGAAACTTGAAAATATCCTCGTCCAGAAGAAAATCTACTCAAAATGGCATAGACAATATACCTTACCCAGCTGTCAGGGACCTTACTCAAGACCTTACTTGCGCTATGAGCCGGCAGTTGTTTGTCTTAAGGTTCCAGCTTCATGGCGCCGAAACACCATTGGAACTTGGCACATAGATGTTTACCTCATCATGCAGCACTCTTATCTCGATCGCATTGCGTAAGGCATCCAGGCTGCCAGGCTGCCAGGCTGCCAGGCTGCCAGGCTGCCAGGGCATCGCAGCTTGCTAGCGTATTAAACATTCCGGACAAACCCTGGACTTCTTCATACGTACATTGCATAGTTTCATTGAGTTTATCTCCAGTTACCGCATCTGGTTGTCAACCAACTTTGGATTGGTTGATGGATTAGACCGCAATCTATGAAACTTGAAAGTATCGCTGGATAGACCCCGGGAATAGTTGATTATCAATTTTGCGAACAACTCCTAACTCCATACAAACAAATTGACCACGGCATTAACCAATTTTAGTCCTCATAACATTCATTCTTCTCATACCTCATACTAGAGTTCAACTTATTCTGTATGCACTGTATCGAGAATTATTAGCTACTAATTTCGTGGTGGGAAAGCCGGAAAACTTACTCGTATACGACCTCTAACCCTCTCCAAAGGCAGCTTCCAATCCACATACCGGTATTCAACTTGGAAGCATATCTCTCGTCCGATGTCTTCATTGTGATGAACACCCTGAACGGACACAATCTTGGGTTCGCATCCTTCGAGGTCTCGGGATCTTGGAGCGCTTTAACCAACTCTGGGGACCCGGTCATATTTCCCCGCGTTTTACATTCAATACTGACACTGATGTCAGCCTCTATATTTTCCGTTTTCAGATTAACGACCGTACTATGCTGGTACTTTGTCTGCAGTCTGTAGTCGATGTGTAGCTTCCACTTGAGTTGCCGCTGCGTTACCATAAGCCACGTCTTGGCTTTCTTGTCCACCGTTCTATGTGGGGTCAATCTTCCACACTACGATCTCCCGCAGGAACTTGGCTGCTTGAATAACTCACTACAACGGATCCACATCCAAATTGACCTGCGAAGGTACCGTCGGAAAACGTCGACCATTTCTTGAAGCCGTCACTCACGGCGACGGATGCTGACTGAGAATTCAGAACGACCCTCATTCGAAAATCGAAGTCCAATTGCGGGGTCGGGATAGCCATATGTGGATAAGGGAATCGCGCCATCGCCTCATTTGCTTCCTTCGTCATTTCGCTTGCGACACGCTTGTCAGATACAATAGCAAAGGGTTACCATTCTTGCGATTACCTCGATGCCTTTGGTCCCTTTTTCTGGAGTGCTTGACTTTCAATCCATTTTCTTTCCACTGATTCCCACCCGCTGTGCCGTCTCTCGGAAGCAACTTTCATCCACTCATCCGTCACGACTAGGGCCGTATCCCATTCTGGGTCTTCCGTTGTGTCAGGCATAGCTGACGACGATTGTGCGGAGCCTGCTACCTTGGATTGGCATATCTCATCATCCGATGATGTGTGCCAGAAATCCATGGATATTGCATCGGCCAACTTATAAAAAGGCCAATTACAAAGAATAGCTAACAGTGGGAAATAGGAAAGACCATTGTTGCGGAAGGGATATATTCTGTTATCCCAACCGCACATTCGGCGATATGTTCAACTCCGATGTTGGTGACACTAAAATGAATTAGCCCAAACCTGGAGTAGATGGGGTAGACGTACCGGCGAGATTATGAGAGTCGGATGAACATCAGGCCGCGAAAGGAAGTAGAGTTACACCGAATTACATTGATCCTGGAGATCCCAAAGGAGCGGTCCGATAAATAAGAGTTGCTTTCTCAACGAACATCATACAATACCGAATATCTGACCCGGGACGGAATTGCATGAATACCTACCTAGGTAGTCTGCTCGGTGAATCCATCTCTTTCCGGTCCTTGGTATCATTCGTTGGATGAGAGTAGAACCATTTAGCGAGATGATCGACAGCCCGTTTGCTCATCGAATAGGAGCTACTCGGAGATCCGTTGTCCGGGCTAACAGACTAGAATGAACCCGACTTTGAGAAACCGTTCCTTTACTCGAGAAATGGCATCAATGATTACACGGTCTAGACTATTCACGCCTTTTTGAATTACGAAAGCAATCACAAAGGTTTATGGACTTTCACCTAGATTTTGGTGTCACTGTTCGATTTCAATTGATATTCTACTCGGAGATAACACAGTCGAGACATGATTAATACGCCTCCAAATGCTTAGTATGTTCCTATCCACCCGCTCAACCCATCGCTGCTAAAGACTGATCATGAACAACAACAAACAGTAAAAAAACCAAAAAATTGCAAGATGCCCCCTTAATGCTACCCAGATCATAAAAATTCCCAATAGCGCTCTGTGCAAGTTCTGTTTTCGTCGGCTGATCTCCCCGTCACTTTCATCTTTATGTACTTAGTCGATCCCCACCAAATATTGCTCGCATAAGAAAGCAAAAGAGTGCATGATGCTTGGCCCCCAATATCTCCAATGCTCTAGCTCCCTAGCTCCCTTATCTGTTGCCTAGACAGTGTTGCACAACCTCAAATGAGAAGATGGAGTCGTTCGAAATTGCGGCAATGGTGCTGGCAATAATATGGATATGATGTCGATTATTGCACAGCTAGACGTTCATGTCGCTCTTCATCTCATCCCTTTCTCAGAGAAGACTGCGCGGGCAATTGGAAGGACATTTATTTGATTCAGAGCCTTCAGTGGGCACGGACGGATACGGGCATGGCTCCGGGGACGGTGCTCCCGAACGCCTACCCCGATCCGGATCTGAATTGCAAGAAGGAAGTTTGATGGTAGGTGGATTTGGCTGACTCATAGTATGACTCTAGGGCCGTGAGAGTTGTATGGTGAGATCTTGATGCGGAATTTGAAGCCATAATGTTGAGAATGCCTTCTCTTTGTACGTTTTCCAGACCGAGCATCGCGGAAGGGTTCATGCATAGTATGACTCCTTTGTCGTCAGTCGCCAGGCAGCAGCAGTCACCTCGGATCCGGATATAGATGAAACCTAAGACAATGAGTGGTGAATGTGGTTTGAATAAAGGGTTGAGGTATGAGGTAGGTAGGTATCCTTAGAGGTTCAACAACTTTGAACCAATCCAGTCCAATCCAATCCAATAATTAACAAGACTTGTTAGATCCGACAGGGGGAAGAAGCTCGATACTATTCCAGCGAGCAGTACTTTTTTTCCTTTGTGAACCAGCCTATCATTACACGATTAAACATTATGCTTCATTCCCAGCAACGCGGACTCCGGATTCTCAACTCCTGTTAATTATGGTTCACGTTTAACGTGAACGGTCAACGTTCGCATTCACGCGCTCGCCTGCTACGGTGACCCACGGTCTAAGGTCGTTCCCGATCTCCATCCAGACCAGGCCTAACTGATGTTCACACCAGCTGTGGAGCCACATGATATCCCTGAGCTTGGCTTCGAACACATCTCGCTCGATGATGCCACGCATCCGACAGTAATTCTTTAACGCGTTCACGAAGAAGTCGTGCTGGTCGCCCTGCAGAACAGAGGAATCCAGCGCTACAGGGATGCGGATGCAGGACCCGATGAACAGCGACCATAACAGAATGTTGGCGTGCAGCTCGTCTTTGAGAAGTAGCCGAGATGTGCTGGCTTGCGCGAGCTCGGACGGAGGGGCATATGTGGATATGCTGCCTTGTGGGGGCTGCACCGCGCTGCCTAGGCTTATTTGGGACTCCGGCGCCTCGTAGCCTTTGGGCGGTGATAAAAGATCTAATGATAGGATGGGGTCGCAGAGGGCAGACATCAGTGCATCTCCCAGTGCGCGGTGCCGTTGCGCTGATGGGGGCTGGCCCCTGATGGCGAGGTGGAGGAATAAATGCGCCGCGTACAATAATACTTCTGATAGATCGGTCGGCGAAGGGTACCGCCTCTCTGGTTCTTCGATCGATGTCAGCAATGGAGCGGAGCCGGCTCTCTTCCACGAATTCTGCGACCGTAATAGCTCTTCTAGTTGGCATAGGCGCCATTCGACCATGTAGATGGAGTCGCTGACTTGGATGCGCTGGCCGTATGTGCTCTCGAGGCTGGCGTAGTCGAAGCTGTTTATGCACTCGGTGATAGAGTACAAAAGCTCGAATAACTCGACCGCCTCGCGGTTTTGGATCGTTAGGTCCTTGAACCCGAGCGGTTCCATGTTCGCTAGCATCGACCGACTTGTGAATTGGTCGTGTAGGGCGAGCGAAGATGCGAGTTGCGGGATGAAGGGGAAGACTACGGGTTTGTGCGCCGCGGTTGCGTAGGAGTAGTCAGCCCTACGGTGGTTATGGTGGTTAGTAGGTGGTGGCCATGCAGGAGAGGGAATGTTCTACTAACCATGATATTGACCGTTGAAGGATAGTGCTATGTTGGAAACCTTCGACGATACCGCCTCTGAGATCGACCATTCTTTTCAGGCCGCTCATGTGTGCTGCCGCTGCAGCTAGCGAGCCGATGAAGGCCTATGCACTGTTAGTCCGACATGTGGCTAGATTTTGAAGTCGGTTTTCTGTTGAAGACTTACTTCGATATTAACGAGGAGAGCAACGGCGACAACTAGCCCATCTGAGATAGGTTTGCTATCGTCTTTGCCCTCTAGGTTTAACCTCTCGTTGATAGATTTGACCGCTTGGAATCGGTGGAAATCGATGGTACTCGTGTCCGCCCACACCGCAAGCGAATTATGCATCGCCGCTATCATCGCGATGAATGCATGCGTAGCGGCTTTATCAAGTTGAAGCTATGGCATGTTAGTCTCGCCCGTAGAATCAAAACACCACACACACTTACAGCTTGGACCCAAGTCCCCTCGGGGTTCATCGCGAAAGCGTTCGCAAGGAACCCGGAGTAATCTGTTCTCGTTCTGTTAACAACCTTAATCCAATACATGCATCGCCATACGGATCCTACTTACATGTGTTCAAATACGTCGGCGCCCCGGTACGGTCGAACCATCTCTCTACAACGTCTTGCTGCGGCGATAAGCATACGGCCATACAGTATTTGAGCAGGGTCTCCGTAAGAGGGGTCTTTTCTATATGCAGCAGCGTGAAGTTCGGGAGTTCCTTTGCGACGCTTACAGCAAGCCAGTTGGTCTTCTTCAACTTCCTCTCATGCCTCGCCACCGCCTCCTGCTTCCCGCCGCTGGGCTTCACCCGGAACTTCGACGTGTGGTCCTTCTGCGACCCGGACTTCTTCGTCCCCTGCGGCGGCTGGCTGGGTCCGTTGGGCAGCTTTTGCCGCCGTGCGTGCGAGCGCACCTTTCGGCGTGTCTCGTCATCGCGCGCCACCGTGTTAATGGAGGTGATGAATTGAAAGCCGGAATCCTGACTCGGTGCCATTGTGCGAGGGGTTTTGGCCTGTGATATGTCCCGAGGGGTTTCTGATATTATAGACCAATTCTCCTCGGGGTATTTATGACAGTAAGGGAACGGTGGTGGTGATATTGCTGACACCCTTTCGTAAGCGCCATGTCCAAAAATTGTCTTATAACTCAGATAGTTATATATATACCTAGTATATATGGGTTGGTTGGGTTGTCTTACTCGACCACATGCTAAAAGAGAGAGCTTTTAAATTGCGAATACCAGATTCATCGATGTCCAGTTGAGCCTGCGTTATATTGCTCCGAGAGGGAGAGGAGCGTTGTGCGTTTAAAATAGGAACACAGCCGCTCGTGTACGAGATGATGTGTGTATGTAGGTACGGAGCAACATTATTATTACGCGGTTCGCTCTGGGGGTTCGTTATGATTAGTATGTTATTATGTGCGCTCTAGATTTCACTATCATCGTCGTCTATTATGACAAATCTACCTATATCTGAACCGCAAATCCACCCCCTTGGTCAATAACTAATTATCATCGAGAGAGTCGCAACCGATGGCTGCAAACAGTAAGCTTCAGTGCAAATCGAAAGACGCCCGGGGAACGCACCGCGCGCATCGCGAGACCCCTGAAGCCGCTTGTAATTTTCCGTCGACTTTCCCCAGCTTAGCGGCGCATGTAACTGAAAGGTGTGGTTACCAACCCCACGGCAAATCCCGCGTAACGACCCTTGTACCTGGACCGAGTGGTGGCCACTGGCCATGGGTTGTGGAGTGACTGGGAAGTGACAGAGTGCTTAGCGATGTCGTTGATATCATTTTAGCACTCAATTTGGGGGGGGCCTCTGCTCCGCCGCCATCCCACATCAAGTCGACGTCGTAGTGGTAGTGGTAATACCAAAAAAGCTACGGGGCGGAATTAGGATCTCACGGCCCGTACGGACGGCCTCGACGATGATGCCCACACAAAGGGTCAGACCATTAATAGAATATACATAATAGACTGTGACAATTATGGACGTATATAGGTATATACTTACTACTATACCTACGTATACCTACCTACCTACCTACCTATGTAGGCATGTAATATGTAAGTAATACCTATTATATAGCGTACTAAGAATTGGTTGATGACCCGTCGTCGCATGGTGCATGATAAATTGAATATTGATGATGGGGGCTGTATCGTAGAGCGTATTAGGGTGCCGCATCGTGAATGATCTCCTGCAAGCTCCGTTGCTAAGGGTGGCGGAGCTTTCAATATGCAAGTTCGTCTGATGACAGTTCCGAATTCCAGGTAACAGCATGCAGAGCATGATCTCCCTCCATCCCATCCCATCCCATCCCTCCCATACCTTACCGATATACCGACATGCAAGGTGGACCTAACTTTGACGACCGTCGTCCACCGTCGACCATAGCAGCATAGTACGCTGTCAGGCTGTTACGAGCCGGCCGATACATTTGTTCGCGTTTGCTTTATCCCGGTCCTAGCCAGGGGTTCCTCATTGTCCCGATCAGGAAATTCAGATGGTCTTGGCGTGGCTTGGCAATGAGCTCAACAGCTCCCGCGATATTTCCCTGAACTGCAACCCAGATGGAGCTTGGCCTATCCTGCCCATCCTGCCTATCCCGCCCATCTCGCGATTTTGCTGGTCACCTGGCTTCTAGCTCCCATTAGTAAATTCCGCGTAAGGGTGTCTTTTTGGGTTTTAGGCGGCGAATCAGGCGAATCATTCATGTATTTCCGTACTATCGTATCTCCTTCCCCCGCCGTATCTATTCGGATGATTCCATCCGGCCAATATTACGCGGGATGTGATGTGCGAAGCTTGGGAATCCCTACCGAATTCTCCATTCCGCCTATCCCCAAAACGCATCTACCGTGTTACCAGATCTTGCAGCTGCTACTTTAAACGTCAACATCAACATTTTAATGTAGCATATTCGTTGCTGCGCCTAGAACAATCTGGCCTTCGCATCTCCGGATCCCGTTCTTGCAATATAATTCTATTCATCACCAGCTCCTCCTCTGAGTAGGTAACTCGTTAACACCAATATCGCGAGTATCATCGACCTGCTACTTTGGGAGTTGGTTATATTGGCATCTCATAGTAACGGCCAGTAAGTTATAACCCGTCACTATCGCTATCGATGGGTCTCTAATAAGTTTTGAGGCTTAATAGGTATCCTATGTATGGCTGATCTGGTCTGTGCAAAAGATAGGGGAGCCGTTGGCCCGCTAGCTTGGGACTCGACGGACGTCTATGTACATCATACTAGCGCGCGCCCCTGAAGTCTGTGGCATCGGACGAAATTATCGGCTATTGTTGATACGTACATACATGCTAGGTAGGTGTGTATGTTACAGATGTTGAGCGATGAGCTTCGAACGCCAAGCCCATGTAGATCTGCAGCCGTATGGAATATTAGGTGATTATCATGCTTGCTCTTATTCTCGCTTATAAGCAGCCACGCGTCACTAGGGCATCGCGTAACTAGACAGCTAGAGCATTTCGAAGAACCACGCCAAGTGGCGCGAGATTTGCGACCTGAGACGCTGCTCGGTTTGAATCGGGAGTAGTGTACCTTCGATGGCTGCTGTTGAACTTATCTTCGACCCAGAATTTCTTATACGCATGATGAATAATCAGCGATTTTGTCTGACCTGCGTGTGGCTTGGCCTGGGATTATCGTCTGAAGCTTTCGGCATAATGATCCTATCCTTGCTCGCACGATGTTGATTGTGGAGCCAAAGCCTTAGCTGGGTAACTATAGGTGGAGGCTCTACTCAGAAAAAGGCCGAATCGTTCATCCTAGTATCCACGCAACTATATGCCATATGGTTAAGAGTGTATCATAATCTCTAACGATCCTGAGGGAAGTTTCTTGAGAAGATGATTGCCGTGAAATCCCCGCTTGGTGGAATCCGCCTCTGAGGTAACCATAAATCCGACCAAAATCCTTTTGTGGTATGCTAACAACCGGAAACGCCTCAAGCTCGATATTTGGCCGGAAAGTTGTCCCTGAATACCCACCCATAGTGATACTCGAGATCACGTTAACCTGCTACTAAACTTAATAACTACCTCTCATTCACGTATAGGTAGGAGTATACGCAAGAGCCACTAGTGAATTACGAGCATCCACCTCGAGACTGGCATTAATGTCAAGCATTCATGGATTCGACTATCTTTAGCGTGGTCTCTTGGGTGGTTATCGCATGGAAGACCTGCAACGTCGCAGGTGCCATGAAAAAAGGGGTTCTGTTTGTCTGGTTAAACGCTGACCCCTATTACATAATAATGTTAATATTAACATGCTTCTTAAAGGCCTAGTCTATTAGAAGGCTAGCCATTGAAGGTCTGGCCAATTTGAAGCTCATTTTATAAGAAGCTTGGTCCGGTCAGGAAGACATGTTGTTGTTCGTGGCTAAGTCCTGGGACAATGTAGAAAACAAGCCAAGCTAGCTTGCGAGTATGCCATGATCCTAGGCAGGAAACCTGAGAGCTTTTGACGTCGGACTTTCCACATCCGCTAGTTTACATCTTGACGATGTCACGATTAATTTTTGAAATAATCCAAGTTCTAGGCATCCAAGCGGACATACCCATCTTACCCATCTTTGGATAAGCGGGAAATGAAGATGGCATCGGTATAGTGACTGCGTGCCGATAGCATCACAAAGGTGGCTAAAAATTCTGACTTTGGGCCATGGCTTCAAGGCCTAAGGCCTAAGGCTTAAGCGAAACAAAAGCCCCATTAGAGCTAAAGGCGGAGTCCCCGCAAGGCTTAGGCTAGAATAGCCTTCGTCGTCTAGTTTAGACTACTAGGTAGGTAACCTTTGGCCTAATCAGAAAGTTCAATAAGTTGAGGCTATCCGCACAGAATTCTGTATCGGCAAACCACGTTGATATTCTGGTGGTTTTATGTCATGCTAAAGGCTCAATAGACTTCGGACGTTTACGGGGTTCTCCGCATCTTTCGGTCGGTCTAGTATCGAGGCTCTGCCGAAATCTGCCAAGGCAGGTTTGAGATGTTAGGCTGCTAAAGTTCGGTAGAACAGGCATCTTAATAAGGATTCTAGCAACTTATTATCGATAGTATAGTCCAAGAATATGGGAGAAACACATGTTGAAAATATGTTGGGATTGAATTGATTGAGTTTATTATAAATGACGCGTGGCTGACGCTTTGAACGTAATAAGCTGTTAGCAAAAGGTTAATGTTGGGATGGCGTTTACCTTGGATATTGAAAAAATAGATTCAATTTCTGAATTATGTTTGAAAAAAAAAAAATACTTAGTATATATCAATCGAGTATGTCTAACCTGAGCTTTCGAAGTTTTCAAACAGAGACGTGTAGTTTCGGAATTACAGAATTAAGAATTAAGAATTAAGAATTAAGCTTGAAGAGACAGATCTAGATCAAGCTCCACTAGGAGACGACGGCAGGAAAACGTGTTCAAGGTACGTACTTAAACTGACCCACTATATACTCAAATGGGAAATTGTGGAGCTGACTAATAATGGAAGAAAAAATTTCGAGGGGCTGCCCGATAAGGCTAAATTTTTTCGAAATGGGCTTTTGAAGATAACCAATCTGCAATCTGCCAATCTCACTTTTCTCACAATTTCAACTTCACAACAAAATAAGACGCTGGTTCACCGACACACCTTCCAGCGCCCACAATCGAGGGCATTTCGGGCAGTTTCGGCTCGCCCTTCTTCAACGCTCTGCGACGCCCATTCTTATTTTTAAACAACTCGGGCTGTCTTCGTCTTTGTCTTATTCTGTCTAATCTGTCAACACCGACCGCTCACGATGCCTCACCAGGTCTCGCCGCCGCTAATGGTGGCCAAATCCGGCGATGCCCCTCCCCCGCCTTCGCAACAAGATGTATCGTCAATTCTCAATACCATCTTCACTGCCAAGACTTCTGCTTCTTCAATCGATGCCTGCTATGGTCTTTGCGAACTTCTTCTCAATACTGTTGGTTTCCGCGGTCTACACGAATATGGCATAGTGGCAGAACTCAAGAAGGCTGCCTCTGACAAGAAAAGTGGTTTGCGACGAGAGAGCGCCCAGAATCTTCTTGGTGCTCTTTTCGAAAAGTTCCCACCCCGCCAGCAATTGAGCGAAGTCGTCTTCCTCGTTCAAGATGGCGGTCTGGTAGCAACCGCCTTGGATGCTTTAGCCGACAAAGGCTCAGTAGTTCGCGATGCTGCGCAATATGGTCTTGATGCGCTCTTCGGCTTTTTGAGCCCCGAGGCCATGGTTGTCGGCTTGTTACCTGCTCTTACCGCTTACCTATCGAAGAAAACTGGAAAATGGCAGGGCACAGTTGGAGCCTTAAAGTTGATGCAGAAGATGGCTGACAAAGCAAAGATGGAGATTGGCTGCACGAAAGAGCAGGCTCATGAGAAGGATATCCTTAGAGAAGCTATGGGAGCAAAACTCGCTAGCTTGATCCCCATTGTCGAAGGAAACATGCACGATCTTAAGTCCGAAGTTGAGAAGCAAGCGCTTATCACGATGCAATCTATTACGACGTTGCTGTCCAACGATGATGTCGCTCCCAGGATTCCTCTCCTTGTCGACACCATGCACCACCCTTCCACCCAGACTCTCCAGAAGGCAATCCACGCTCTTTCCCAGACGACCTTTGTTGCCGAAGTGACGTCTCCTGTCCTCGCCCTTCTTACGCCTTTCCTCGAGAGAACCCTCAACAACCCCACCACCGCACAGGAAGTACTGCGACAGACAGTCGTGATTACCGAAAACTTGACCAAGCTAGTTCACGATCCTATCGAGGCGCGTACATTCCTACCTAAACTCCAGCCTGGTGTGAAGAGCGTCGCCGAGCGCGCACCTCTACCCGAGGTACGAGAAATAGCGACCAGGGCCTTGAATGTTATGGATAAGGCTATGGGCGATGATAATGCGGTGGTGGAGAGATGCTCCGCGGATGATGTCGCTAAAGTCCTTGACGCCGAGATTAAGAAGAACGGAGGATTGTCAGGTGACCTAGACTTTTATAAAGTCGCCCGCCCTTACATCTGTGAGATGGTAACCGAGGATGCCAATCATCGCCAAGTTGATCGGATCCCGGCTAGGATTGCGCCTTATCTGAAAGACTTGATGCATCAACCCGGTGCTAGTGATGCTGTTGCCTCCAGCGTCCATGAGTTCTATCTTGCCGAGGACCACCGCAAGTATGGTGTACCAGAGAAAGAGGATGACGGCGAGACAGAGATTGTCAATGCCGACTTTTCATTGGCGTATGGTGGTATGCTTCTTCTATCTCACACCAACCTTCGATTATTGAAGGGACACCGATATGGTCTTTGTGGTCGTAACGGTGCTGGCAAGTCTACATTGATGAAGAGTATCGCTGGTGGAAAATTAGAAGGCTTCCCGCCACAGGATGTGCTCCGTACTTGTTATGTCGAGCATAACCAAGGAGAAGACGCCGACATTACCATCCTAGATTTCATGGCCAAGGACCCTACAATCGCATCTGAGGGCAGAGAGAGAATCTCCGAAGTCCTTGCCGAGTTTGGATTTACAGCAGGTCCTGAGGGTAGACAATCTCAAAAGGTTGGCTCTCTCTCGGGTGGTTGGAAGATGAAGCTCGCTCTTGCTCGAGCAATGTTGCAAAAAGCCGACGTTCTGTTGCTCGACGAACCTACCAATCACTTGGATGTTGCCAATATTGCGTGGTTGGAGAACTATTTGAAGACCCACACAGATATCACCAGTTTGATTGTTTCCCACGACTCAGGTTTCCTGGATAATGTAACAACTGATATTTACCATTACGAACCCGGAAAGAAACTCGGCCACTTCAAGGGCAATCTCTCAGACTTTGTCAAAATCCGCCCGGAAGCCAAAGCTTACTACACTCTTTCTGCCTCCAATGTTCAGTTCAAGTTCCCGCCTCCCGGTATCTTGACTGGCGTGAAATCCCAAACGAGAGCTATCATTCGTATGACTGGAGTCTCTTACCAGTATCCCAAGGCGCCTAAGCCATCGCTCGCTGATGTCTCTTGCCAGCTGTGTCTTTCATCTCGCGTCGCCGTGATTGGGCCAAATGGTGCAGGAAAGTCGACTTTGATTAAGTTGTTGACAGGCGAGGTGATTCCGACCAGCGGAAGAGTGGAGAAGCATCCCAACCTGCGAATTGGTTACATCAAGCAACACGCTCTTGAACACGTCGAGATGCATCTCGAGAAAACGCCCAACCAGTATCTACAATGGCGATACGCTAATGGAGATGACCGAGAAGTGTTCCTGAAACAAACTCGTATTCTTTCCGACAAGGACAAAGAGCAGATGGACAAGCGAATCAACCTCAACGATGGGAAGGGTGAGCGACAAGTCGAAGCTCTTGTCGGTCGCCAGAAGTATAAGAAGACGTTCCAATATGAAGTGTAAGTTTGCTGTCAATATACCTTATAAAAACACCGGTACTAACGATATACAGGAAATGGAAAGCTTGGCTACCAAAGTACAACTCGCAAGTGTCTCGTGACACGCTTATTGAGTGGGGTTTCGATAAGCTTGTACAGGAGTTCGACGACCACGAGGCATCTCGTGAAGGTCTTGGCTACCGAGAGCTTCAACCGACTGTCATCTCGAAGCACTTTGAGGACCTCGGCCTCGATCCCGAGATTGCTAACCACAACGAAATCGGCAGCTTGTCAGGAGGTCAAAAGGTCAAGGTTGTTATTGCTGGTGCGATGTGGAACAACCCACATTTACTCGTGCTTGACGAACCTACTAACTTCTTGGACCGTGATTCTCTCGGTGGTCTTGCTGTCGCGATTCGGGACTTCAAAGGTGGTGTGGTCATGATTTCCCACAACGAAGAATTCGTCGGTGCCCTATCAACTGAGCAATGGCACATCAACGATGGAAAGATGGTGATGAAGGGCAATGTTTCAATCGCCCTCGACCGCTTCGAGGACAGCAAGCCAAACAGCGGTCTCACTAGCGGCATCACGAGTGGAGTCAATAGTACAGCTGCCAGCAGCGCCGTGAGCAGTGCTGTGAACTCGGGCGTTGAAGATAACTCGCCCCTGAAGTTTAAGTCGAAGAAGAAGAGGAAGAAGACTAAGAAGGAGCTGAAGGAACAGGAAGTTCGCAGACGACTACGACACATCGAATGGCTCAACAGTCCAAAGGGTACCCCACACCCCGTCGATACCGATGACGAAGAGTAATGGCATCGCACTCATTTCCAGCATGACACTTTTCATGAGTTTGGCACGCATTTCTTTCTAGCAGGTGGTGGTTTTTTATGTTCCGGGCTTGGCTCCCGTAGATGAGGTGATCGTCCATAGAGTCGGGGATGGATGAATTGGAAATTGGCATTTTAATCGACCGCACAATAGAAGGTCACATACAGGCGTTAATTTAGACGGACGGATGGCATGATAGAGCGAGTATACTTGGTATTCGCGAGCTTGTTAGGAGCTAGTAGATGAATGAACAAGATTATACGTTGATGATTATATGTCCCATGGCTTGATTGGATGCGTGATGTGATGGTTTACTTGGGACTAAATATGGCCGTTTTGTGGCGAGTAAACTCAATTATCCGAAGAGAGCCGTATCATCAAGGGACTTCGCGATTAATGTAGGGATTGAATGAATAAAAAGAAGATTAATCTAGGTGGTGTCTAATGCAGACCCCCCAAAAAAATCAATCTGTCGACGCTTTCTTGCTTATATTTTAAGAACGTAGAAGCAAAAAGCGAAGTCGCGACGATGCGATATCATAGCTGAATTGAATTGCCCACTACTGGAATCGAACCAGTGATCTCATCATCACACTAGATGTGGTACTAGTGATGCGCTTTACCACTAAGCCAAGCGGGCAGGCATGCTGACTAATTGTCTTCCTGTTGAGAAGTAACAGCGGTAATGGGGCTTATATCATTTGCAGATGCATGATGTTGATGCTAAATTTACAGCGCGCGAAACTAACGTAACACATACAACGCAAGCAGTATTGTTCTTTGCAAAAAGAAATTACCAAATAAATGATATATGTTTTTTCATGTTTTCATAAATTAATATAAGATATAAAGATTAGCCCAATTAGGAACTCCAGAAACTCCGACAAGTGTTGAATTTTTTCTATCATTTCGTTGTGACATAATACCGCTCGGAGCTCGGACATAAGCAAGCTTGAACTACAAACAATTCACATATTCACATAACTACATACATACCCATCTTATACTATCGTCGTTATTGCCAGGACAGATTCATGATGATGTTTATACCGTTCCCGAAGGCAAGTCCAGAACTTCAAGCAGCTCATATTGCCAATCAAGAAAGAATATGGAAAATGCAGCAAGCATCATCGAGACAGTTAAGAATCAACGGTCAACCCAATCGTTTACCATCACCACCACGATCACCACGATCACCGCCAGCAGCGTCTCCTGCCGGTACCGAAGAAGCGTCTGCCGAATTATCAAATACTCTAACGTCGCCAAACTCCGAAAAACTCCAGAATCCAGGCTGGCCAGGTTACTTTTTTCAGCCGGCTCAGATGCGGGACAGACCGACTAACTACCCCATGTTCCCCGACCTAGACGAGCTCAACCAAATGGAACAGCCGTATGAATATACTATAGCACGAAAAGATCTTCCCTCAGGCGTAGATCTATCGCAACCACGTGCTCTCGTCCGACCGCGTTTCACGTCTCGAATCCTCGAAGAAGAACAACATACAATATCAAGCCCCACCGTCTCTCGTGAAGCACAAAGATATCTCCAACAATCGAACCTTTCTCGAATGACCCGCAGTATGAAACACCGGGTCACGAAACAAACACGCCAATCAAAAGGTCGGGAGAGTAAGAACAGAGATCTCTGGGAGCTGGATCAGAACGGTACGCTTTTTATTTCAGAAAACTTTATACGTACCTACGGCAGTTAATCACTAGCACTCAACTTACTGATAGCGTCCAGGTAACCCCTGTCGAGCCGTCGACAAGACGAAGAAAGGCGCGAAATAACGATAGGTCTCGAGCTGTGACAAACACCTTGTCCAAGCCAACGGGGGCGATGAAAACGCCCGATTTTAACGAGGGTATTATGAAGTTTTCTTAATGATGGTTGTATGGGAAAAGGATCTTAGGTTTTGGTTTTTTTTTCACCACGCTCCTTATCAAGAATTTTCAATCGCGGTAATCCCGATGTCTCCGGCGCTAAATCGTGATGAAAATCCGTTTGTCCAGCGCAGCGACGATGGGTGGTTTACGTAATAGGCCAGGATTAGTAATCGGTACAAATTAGGTAGTAATCAGTTCTTTCGCTCCTTTACGTTGGGTTGGTTTCTCTGGTGTAAGAGATATCTCTTACAATCTATTATATCGAAGATGGCTTTGATGTTGGCTTGTAACAGGCTCTTTAGGGCGGAGAGGCCGCTCCGCTGTTGGTCTCAATATTTTGGAATCCAGCAAACGGCCTAGCTTCCATGGCCTCCCATCTGAGGGAAGTGGCATCAATCATCTATGGTCTGTCTCCATAAACCACATAATTACTCTCAGTCCTAACATTTTCCAGGAGCAAGCTTCAAGAACCATCCAACAACAAACTCTTGTCCTTAATTGCTGTCATCTTATTCAAGGCCGGCCCTGCGGTCATCAACTCCGCACAGTCAATCGATGCCGTTATCGCCGGCCGATCCATAGCTGGCTCTAGTAGACCTGACGTCTACGTCAGCATATTCACCATGGATGCGTGTCAGACGTGCTTACTTTCTCGGTGCGATGCCATTCCCCAGAGGTACTCTGACTATCGCCATGGTTCTGAGTCCCGGCGGAGCCATATATACATGGGTGAGTGGTCAAATGGTGGTCTTATATGTAGTAGTAGCTATTATATGGCTTACTTTCTGCGCCCAACAGCGTTGGAAACTACCTATTGACCATAGACCACGTTTTTCCTATGCAAACTTTCGGCGACTAGTAGAGGGTTGCCCTCTTTTGCTGGGGCTCTGTTGGTGTTTCAAACATGGTTGTAACCGTTTACTCACTGTTCTTTTTATTCTCATTCGTTAACAGCGACACCACCCTACGCTTGGCAGCTTACATGATCTCATTTGTTGCATCTACTGTCGCTGCGCCGCTGGTCTACTCTTCAAGAAGCATCCCACGTTCATGGCTTGGTTTGCCGGCGGCGCTATACTTATGCTTATCGGTAACAGTCTCCTAACGGCCATTAACGACAATATCTCCCATGGCACTGGCTGTAGGTAGATCATGCAGCTCGGCTATACCGTGATCTGAACCGAACCCATTCCCTCATGCTACGGGGTTCATGGGTTGCTTCTAGACGGCCGGCCTTGCACTCTCTCTTGCTACTTCTATGTCGCATTTCTGAACGGCGCCGCTGCAGTGTTTGAGCGATCCTCCTGAGCGTATCGCTCAGTCATCCAAGCAACCATCGACGGCGCTAAACCCGCTCTTGTCGAAGACCTCAGCCCAAGAAGCCGCTTCTTACACCGTAGCAAAAGTATTTCACTTAAAAATTGTTAGCTCCCGAATTGGGTTTCTTTTGTTGCTACTTAGCAGGTGCGAGGAATTGCAACTTGGTTCGCACAATTAGTGATTCATAATTCATGTATACCTACCTAGCTACCTAGCTACCAATCTACCTGCCGAGGTAAGCTCAGATTCCAAATTGATAGTCATATAGCATTTCGGCACCCGGATGTACCTATGGAATCAAAAGAACGTCATGAGTTGGTTACACACAATACCCCTTACGTCGGGATGGGGCTTTTACGTGGCATGTACACATTTTCTTTGTTCTTCGGCGTTGGTACGGATCCGAGCTTCGACTGACCTTATTAATCACTAACACCCACGTCAGTTGCTTTATAGTGTGCTCTCTCAAACCTCTGTTTTCGATCTCGAGCTTCTTCTATAGCTGATATTCAATTAACTAAGTTGCCAAGCTGTTATCCAATACAACATCATGGGGTTATATACAAAGCTTCCGGTTGAAGTCAACCAAGTTGATGTGATCATTGCGGGTGGTAAGATACACCTTCCGAACCTAGACTTGAAGCAAAATACTACCTAATGAGCTAACTCTTAATTAGGTGGGACCGCTGCCTGTGTCGTTGCCTCCAGACTCGCCGACGCAGATCCCGAGCTATCCATCTTGGTGATTGAAAGCGGTCCAAACAATGAGATTCCCACTATCCAGCATCCTGGGTTGTTCATGTTGCACCTTTCTCCCGAAAGCAAAGTCAACCAATTTTATCTGACAAAAGAGTCTCCAGAAATAGCAGACAGGAAACTCGTGTTAGCAACTGGCAGTGTACTGGGAGGTGGATCATCTACCAACATGATGATGTATTCTCGAGCCCAACGATCTGATTGGGATTCATGGGGCACGCCGGGATGGTCGGCCGATGAAATGTTACCATTCTTAAAAAAGGTAAACTATGTATCTTGAATTCAGTTCGGAACGATCTTATTAACAGTTCATCCGACAGCTGGAAACCTACCACGGTAAGGATGGAAAGGGCGTGCATGGCCATGACGGCCCAATCCATGTGTCTCGAGGCACATATAACTCGCAGAGAATCGAAGACGAGGCAATTGCTGCAGCAGAGAAATTGGGCTGGTCCGAAGTCGATGGTGCGTCAGACTTCGGTACCGCCAACGCCTTATGCAGGGCAAAGCGATTTATCTCAACCGATGGAAAACGCCAAGACGCGGCATCGTGCTACCTGCACCCTCGGCTTCGCGATGGAAAGCATCCAAATCTACACGTTCTAGTTGAATCCCAGGTCACACGTATCCTACTCGACGAGGATCACAAGGCCGTCGGAGTTGAGTTCAGACCCAACCCGCTGTTTCATCCCGACGCGGATCAGTCAACCCGCAGCGTGAAGGCTAACAAGCTTTTCATCGCTTCCTGCGGAGCTTGTGGCACGCCCTCTCTCTTAGAGCGCTCTGGTATCGGCGCACCTAATATCCTGAAGGGTGCCGGAGTTTCGGTCGCAGTTGATCTTCCAGGAGTTGGCAAGGGGTACGAAGATCACCACCTACTTGGCTACCCATACTTGAACAATTTAAGCGACTCCGAAACGTTAGATGGACTCGTGCTCGGACGTATGGGAAGCTACGATGACCTGATGAAGAAAAACGAGAAAATGCTAGGGTGGAACGGTCAGGAGATCCAAGGAAAGATCCGACCAACCGATGCTGAGGTCGCCGCCCTGGGACCCGACTTCCAAAAAGCGTGGGACCAGGAGTTCAAGAACCAGCCAGACAAGCCTTTGGCCATCATCAATATAGTCGCTGGGTAAGTACCCCTCCAGGCGAACAGAGCGATTGAGATTCTCAGAGTAACCATTTCTAACAAAAACATAGTTTCCCCGGGGACCTCCGCCAAGCCACCGGCGACCCCTGCCTCGCCGTAACAGCCTTCACCGTGTACCCCTTCTCGCGCGGGCACATCCACATCACCGGTCCCAGCGTAAGCGACCCCGTCGACTTCGACACCGGGTTCTTCCAAGACGAGGGCCAGCTCGATATCAAAAAACACATCTGGTTCTACAAGAAGCAGCGCGAGCTAATCCGCCGCATGCCCTCGTACCGCGGGGAGATGGCGAAATTCCACCCCCCTTTCGCAGCCGACTCAGCCGCCGCATGCGTTAAGCTCAGCGAAAACCCACTTTCGGGTGATGTGGCTGACATCACGTACTCAGCCGAAGACGACATCGTGCTGGAGAAGTTCTTGCGGGAGAATGTGAGTACGACTTGGCACTCGCTTGGCACGTGCAAGATGCTGCCGCGCGAGCAGGATGGTGTGGTTGATCGAAACCTGAGCGTCTACGGCGTTAAGGGGTTGAAGATTGCGGATCTGAGTATTGCGCCAAGGAATGTGGCGGCGAATACTAATGATACGGCTTTGGCGGTTGGGGAGAGGGCTGCTGATATTTTTATTAGGGAGTTGGGGCTCGGCTCTGCTTAGGTGGGTTTGATGTCTTGGGCGTGGGTTGGGTAGGTAGGTAGGTATTTAGTTGTTATTGCTAAGCTGTTCATGGTGATCTATCACTCCGTCAAAACCACATACATGCCTAGATGATGTTTCCTAGCAAATCACAACATCAATTTCCCTCCAAAATACCCTCCCAAGTGTCTCTACAGTTAGGTTTTCAACATCATTTCGCTTCAGGGTCTTTCTTTTCACCTCTCTCAGTCGTCTTCGTCTCATTCTTCAACTGGCGTTTCTCCTTGACAGCGGCCGAGGTTAGCTCCATTATCAACCCCAAACTATTAACCAAATTCTTATGCGCTTCGTTCTCTTGGTCTCTTTGCTCCTTGGATTCATGTCGTGGGTTCGTTCTGCCCTCGAGCTCCTTCTTTTGGTCGTCTGTGAGTTCGTTCGACATGGTTTCTATTGGATGATAGATTGAAAGGCTAGACGGATGTGCTGAGCTGGTTCGAATATTAAACTGACCAGAAGTTGGTAGATTCCTGAAAATAAGTCGTGTTTGATCTCTAGATATAGAGTTCTGTGATTATTAGGTTGGAAGGGGTCTCGCATTGTGGTAAAAAGCACTGCATCTGGATACAATGAGCAACAAGGCCATGATACACGAGTTAGGTCCTACTAGGTAGTCACCGTTACGTGTTTTGAAGCTATGTAAGATGCCAAGTAATTACTTCGTCATTTTAAGATCACGAACAGCACAGGAGTTCGGATTCTGACCGATTCAAGGCATCAGGGAAAGGTCGTGGAGATTCTACCCATGATTCTCTTACACATAGACGTAACTGTCAACCCGATCAGGAGACTGGGCAGACTGCCACAGCGCGTCTTGGTTTTTTTTTAGAATCGATTCCCCTGAGTCTATTATTAATATGGGCCCCAGAGGTATGGGACGTAACACGTGCTGCTACCGGTTCGCTCTTTCCTCCAAGGAACGACTTTCAAGGTTCCTTGCCTTTTATCTCCCAATACCAAACACTATACCATCAGCACACCTACTCAAGGCATGTTGCAGCAGGGGCCTGTGGCTCAGTTGGTAGAGCGCCCGCTTAGCACAGTAAGTGCGGGAGGTCCAGGGTTCAATTCCCTGCCGGTCCAAGTTTTCTTTTTGTCTTTTATCATCTTCTGTCTAATTGGCAATTATCTTCACCGGAGCTGTTAGATCACACTCAGTCATAGATATTCGCCTAATGACACCCGTGTGGAAACAATTACCAGCCAAGGGTTAACTCCATGATTGATGTGTGTGTCACTGGCATAGGTAGGTAGTCTGTCACATTAGAGGCCAGGGTCTAAAGCAAAAATTCCTAGTAGTCTGTATCCAAAGCGCCATCTATCTTCCCGTCTATTTCCAAATCGGCTTCCCGTCATCAGGCAACTGATCTATCATCTCGCCCTCCGGTGCCCCGGCGATCAAGCGCTTCAAGTTTTCCCGTACGCTTAGTCTTATGTACGGTGTCCCCGTTCCTGTCGCATAACCGCCACCTTGGCCTTGAATGTTTGAAGAACCCCCTTTAGCGTAATGGTGGCTGAATAGGGGTGGTTGGACTGTGAGACAAACTGGAGCGTTCGCGTTATGTTTATGGCCATCTTCACTGTCCTCTAATTTGGATTGGGCCTTGTCTTTGGCTACATACCCTCCTTCGCACCATTTCTGTAGCATCAAGTCCCATTGGGTATCGTAGTGGGAGTCGAATTCCTGGAGCAGTTTCCGGGCTCCTTGGTGGCTGACTGCGTAGGCGAGACTGCATACAGTTCCACTGGACGCATGTACGATGCGAGTATGAGGCGGGTAAATCTCTCCTAGCTTGTCTAGTAAAGCGAATGGGTGAGGTTTAAGGTGTCGAGGAGCCGGGACTGTGTCATCCCCCGGTATTGTGATTTTTAAGGGGTTCACTTGAGGCTTGTCAGAGGGAAAATCGGTACCGCAATGTCCAAGCCAGAGAACGTCCCAATCCTCACCGTATGGACTTTTATGGGCATGGCCATTATAACCCATATTTGGATTGAGTTGGATCGTGTCCTTTTGATATTCCATGTTAGCTGTCCCATCATCTTCTTTCTGTAGTGAAAGTGGGGCAAAATCGAGCAACCTAACTAGGTTCTTATCAGACTTTGACTCTCTCAACCATGTTCGCGATGCCGACGCAAAGGTGTGCAGTTGAGACTTCAGGCGTATGTCCCAGTCGATGTCGTCCTCCAAAATCAGCGCGCTTTCAAGATTGTCCTTTACAATGGCATGTAGCGCGTTCATATGGGATCTCCAGGACCCCCTCGAGCCAGAAGAGCGTACTTCAGTACTAAACTGGGCCGCGAGATCCGTTACTTGGTCGCCTGATACGCCGTCAATCCAGGTGAAGGTGAGGTTGCTAACAGCTCCTACTAGAGCCATTGAATCTCGGCGATCGGTTCGAGACGGAAGATTGATGACGAGTATCTTTGAGAACTGTGATAAACGTTAGAACACTAAGATACAGGATACCTTTGAGGAGACGTGAAAAGTAGTATTACCCCTAGAGTTTTGTTGAACACATCTTCACTAGGAAACCAGCCCCCAAAACCACCTATTCGATCATAATTCGTAAATCTCAACCAATAGACGTAGAAAAGAGGAGCGAGGACACACGCCGCTGCGAGTGTTCTACGATAGAGCGGCATCTCGTATTGACAAAACATTCATTTTACTATACCACTACGCATCTCGAATGAAAGATAAAAGATTTTCGTGAAAGAGTCAGATTTCACCATCAAGATCTTCAATGTGTTCAAAGACGGAAGTGCGGCTCATTCAAGCTAATAAGAGGCTCGCGGATAAAAGGGCCGGATAATGTCATAACTTCGATCTGCAGCAAGGATAATGATCAAATTATTTGCGTGATTTCATCATAATTGAACGGAGTTCTTGTTTGAAGACAGGTATTATTATGCGAGAAAAGTTAAGTCCTGAGGGGGGCATGTGATGACTCCGAGGGGTGTCACGTGGCTTCTCCGGCGGAGGCCGGACCAACTACGTTTCTCTAGCATATCACGTGAGATTTAACACATTACTCTGTCTGTCGCCTTAATACCCAGTTGTTATTGTGTTAGAAAAGCCTGGCACACGTTTACTTTATGCATAACGGGCAGGCAATCTATCTAACAAGGCCCATTCGTCTCTCTCCCTCACGCAGAGCTATTGTGGATCTTGATGTGGCGTGACAACTCAGCATTGTCTCTGAATTTTTTGTCACAACCCGGCCAGTGGCACAGGAACTCGTCGACCAGGTCATTGGCGGCTGCCGATGCCTGGTGGGTTCGGAGGTGCTTGAGCAGCCTCGCCTCGTTCGCAAATTGTTTGCCACAACTGTTCCACTTGCAGGTCGTTCCGATATGAACGGTCTGACCGTGTCGAACTCGGTTGGTAGTCGACTTAAAGGCCTTGTTACAAATGTGACAACGGAGAGGATCAGTTGCCTGTTGACCTTGACCTTGCGGGTTGGTGCCCGGCGTCTGTCCATCATGAGGGGCGGCGGCAGTAGGTTGACTGACAGCTGCTGGTAGGGTCGGCAATATTGCTTGCTGCTGGGACTGGTTGTCCTCAAGCCGGTGCTGCTCATGGGGCGACATGAGATAAGGGCCGTGTGGGTGAGACGGCGTTGTACGTGGGAGAGGGGTGCGTCCCTTCTTGGAAGTCATGGTGACCTAGACCGACTTCTCAAGAATCGGAACGCTCACCGGTCGCTCGATCTCGATACCAGCATGATAGTTTCTACCATAGGGGAGTGGGACAGATTGGGGACGAGGCACGTCAAAGGGAGGCTGACTCATGCTCTGCGATCCATGGCGTCCTAGGAAAAAACATGAATGTCAGCAAAAAATATTTATGAGAATAGAAAGCAGCTTGAAAGACTAGGAAATGGTCGCACGTTAAGGTCGCTGGTAAATGGCCTTGCAAATGTGAGGTATGTGAAGATGACGTGATTTAAATCAAAGGGTTGTTGATAATGCTTACCTGCAGCGGGTCCCTGCGAGAAATCCATAGTTGATTGATTTCAATGTTGAAGGTTTTTGTGCTTCAAGTTAAGAAGAAATCGCAGCGAAGGTGACGAGGAAGATTGTGCGCAATATTGTTGAGAACCTTGAGTTGTAGCAGGTCGGGGGACGAGATAACTTTGACGAAATTATCTGGTACTGCGCAGAGAGAAAAAAAGAATGGTAAGGAAGAGAAAGAAAAAAAAATTATCGTAGTGGTAGACAGATGTATATATAGTCTTCCTAGTGATCGGGGCGCACTAGTGGGCAGAATGGACAATATTGTTCACCGCCCACCTGGGCAACCGGCACCCCTTGGTTTAAGTATTAAGCCATGCTTGCAGCTGTACCTTCACGAAATCGAACAAATAAAAACTTCAACCAAATTTGGTTTTCTTATATCAGTCCAAACCTAGACAAACCTGAATTATTTGACCATCTGCATATTCTGATATTGCTTAGTAATCAACAAAAAAGGGGAATAGTATCGTCAATGTCACCGTCGCGATGCTTGGAGTTCTAACACCAAAGTCAGACCCCGAACCTCGAGAATTCGTTCGTTTCTGCCGTTTCATACACTGGAGAGCCAACTGGTCTAAATCGTTGAATTAATCACGTAAATAAAGGCTGGTAGGGTAGATATCCACCTACCATGTAGGGCGTGGATTGAATGGAAAGCTACGACAATTCACATAAATAAAATATTCCTCTAGTTCTACGAAGTTCATTTCGTGTAGAGCACTGTAAATTTTTCGTGTCTATTATGAAATAAGCGATACCTGATTTACGCCCCCCCTCCACTCAATGTCCGTATGGTGCCTCGCGAGTGTCTCATCGCAGCTCGAAGTCATCCTCCACCCAAACCCAGTACTCTTGCGTCGTGAAGAATATCGTTATTACTCAGAGAATTTATTTGTGGTAGAGGTCTGGTAATCTCAATCAGTTAGCTACATTCCTAAATATCGAATAACCAAATCATGTGGACTCTAGTTACTTACATCTGAATCTGCGCCTTAGGTGCTGTTATTGTGCACTTTAAGATGACGGTGCATTTCTGGCATGTCCTTAGTTCGTCGGCCACAGCTCGCCCAATGGCATAGGAGCTTGTCGTTATCGACAGCCGTTGCCCCGTCGTGGTGAGCTTGGAGATGCTTGTAAAGTTCGTGGGAGCTTGGTAATTCTTGGCCACAGTCTGGCCAGTGGCATTTGGTGCCGATGTGAACAGTCTTGATATGTCGGCGAAGGATTTCCTCTGACTTGAGCGTTCGATGGCAGATGTCGCAAATTACGGGCTCGTTCCGGCGCTGTCTACGCTAAGCTAGCTTATGCTGAGCTCGGTTACCTGGAACTTGGTCGCCCTGGTCATGGTCGTCTTGGGCTTAGCCATCTTGAACATAGCCATCTTGAGAATAGCCAGTTTGGACGTAATTAGGTTGAGCATAATTAGGTTGAGCGTAAACTGTTGAGCGTAAACGCCCTGGGCGTAGCCGCCTTGATAATGGCTGGCTTGGGCGAAGCCATCTTGGGCATAGCCAAAATTAGGATGGCCGCCGACATTAGGATGGTAACCTTAGGCTTGCTGCCCGTAACCTTGCTCTTCGACTAACTTGGGCGGATATAAAGGACCAGTATTAGAGTGAGCTTCATTTGGTGACGATGTAGACATTCTGAGTAGGCGTTGATCGATGTATTGGTTAAGTTGCACGCTGGTGGAAGCATCGGGCCAAAGGAGGGAATTACGGCCGTTCTCCGGAGTGGGTTTATACAGAGAAGGAGCCGTAGATTGCCTTCCAGCAGCGTGTGGATCAACGTGGTCTGGTAAGGGAATAGGAAGTTAGTAAGAAAGATTTGAGGGTATAAGATGCGGTCGGCAGATAATCATAGATAATTGAGCGTGTCGCGATGTGCAGTGTTGTGAAGCTGAGAAAAGTTGGCAATGCTTACCTCCACAAACGGTGCTATTAGTGAAACCCATTGTGATAAGTTTATGGGGTTGGATGGGGTTGGATGGGTTTGGATGGTGGTGGTTTAGAATGGTTATTGTTAAATAGAATATATAAGGTCAAAACAACTGCTGGGACGATAGACCAACCATCGTGAGATTGCTTAGTGCCTTCCCCATTTAAGGATCCATCACCAAGGTAGCTGGCGGTGCCTTACAGTTGGCTATGGCCTAGAAGCCGTCAACAGCTACCTTGGGTGGAAGATGAAGGTCCTATCGTCCCAGTTGTTGTACAATTCCCTTATATGACGATATTGCAGTGAAGTTCTGGTGGCGGAGTTTGTCTGTGTCGCCATAACGATATTACGGAAGTCGCAGCCATACTGTGGAAACTGATGTTCGATGAAGTCCGTGAAAGGCAATTGCCCATCGTTCAATGGAGGCAATCTAGCCAGCGTCATCTACAGGACGTTCAGTAGAAGACACTGGCAAGATTGCTTTCATGTTTTTTTGGGCGTCATTGCTGTGGAGCGTGAACATGTTAACAAAGTCGATATACGAAAGGAAGGAATCGGCAAGTAATAATCGGAAGTTGAGGATACTTACATGATCTCACATTGAACGAAGAATGCGGCGTGAGTAGAGAGAGAACTAGGAGGAGAAGGTATTCGAAGATGGTATTAATAATTACCAATATAATTTGGACGAAATTGATATATAAAAATAGACGCGCATATGAACGCTCGTCAATGCGATGAACGAACTTAATGTCGTCATCATTTAGGCAAAGACGAGCCGCGGCCATATTGGTGTGGAATATCTCCAACCTGTGTTGAAAGAAAGAAGAAAAAGAAGAACGTTACAAATTTGGTGAGAAGCCGTGTTAAATAATATCAAGTACCTAGGTAGGGCGGTCGGTGACGACTGGACTGTGCACACCAACAGGACAATATCAGAATAAGAAGGTACACACCTGAGTATTTTTTACCTTGACCCTTATCTCCTACTCCTTTGACGATACTATATGTATTTCTTTTCGGTATGGTGTTGACAATATTTCCTGTCACGTGATACCCCTATCTCTCACCTAGTACAATTTCCTACTACTTCAGATGAACTCCCTCATAGAGAATTGGCCCATCGATATCACATATGGCCCTTTCTAGTGAGCTCATCATTAAAAATGAACAGGAAGGTAGGTGTAAGTGAGGACCCGTAGTTTTGTGCAATGTTTAATATCCAGTATGATACCTCTAGGAGGACTACCTGAAAATTTAAATACTAATCGTGCTACAGACTTAAATGGCTGGTACTTAGTTTCTACGCCGGTGCTAATGTGTATAAGTACTAGGTATCTAGGTACCTATGTACGCAGCCACGATGATAATGGTGGCGTGTCCGTCCAATGACGAGCTGCTTTTCGAATCACCGACCGTAGATCGCGGAGTTCCTGTAAAGTTTAAGACATACCATCCAATAGTGAAGTACATTAAAGTGCCAGAGGCCGATCTCAGATCGTCCATGATTGTCGGCTAGGACGTCCGCAGGTCCGTTGCTGAAGATGTAGAAATATTTACCAAAAATAGATGTAGATACTTCCATCTCCTGGACATGCACTATCACAGGTAGGTACATGTACTTAGTGACTGTATCAAGATTCGAGTACAAAGTACTTAATACCTAAGTACTTAGAAGTACTTCCTAGCTAAGATGAAGTCGTTAATTCTCAGCCTAGGAGTAACTGTCATGATATCTCCAAAAAGAGACGACTGATTCTAGGCAACAACCCACCACCTCCGAGTCAAGGCCCAAATGATAGAATACAGTCAACATTTTCCATCGGCGGCATCCATTCCATGACCTTAAGGTCATATGGTCATGGTTACTGGTCAATGTCACAGAAACCTCATTGTTCCCGCTCTAACGACCCCTCTGAAATGTCAAAGGTTGCACAACCTTCGAGGCCTTGAAAAAGGGTGGCAAAGAAATACCTGATAGTGGGGGCGCAGTAGTCAAGAGACGATCAACAGATCTTGAGCTGGACCTCTCAAAATAAAATCTCAATTAAGTTTTCTTTATCTTTTCTTTTCTTTTCTGTATCACGATGCATGCACCTGAAATGCGAGCAAAAGGGGCTGAATAGAGGACGCCAACCAATCAGCTTACAGAACTTACCCATTACCCGGATACCGCACTCTTGGAGTAATTATGCTTATTTTAGCTTCATTCAAATTTTCTACTTCAAATCAGCGATTCAATAATTCACTTGTAGACATCGTTAACACAAGGTAAGAAGAGAGCATCCTTTGATTTCGGTATATACCTAATCTCATCTCATCTCACGGGCTTCCATTTTTGCTTGAAACCCCATCATACACCCATGCTATAAGCAAATCAATACCTCAATGACAAAACCACCAGAGCTAAATATGTATTCGAATCCAAACAGAACCCCCAAATCCCCCAACGCCATCCCAACCCCTTCCCAAAAAAGCGTCAATCCCCCTCAACACCCACTAAAACAACCGCCACTGCACACAAAAAATCAAATACAGCACCACCCCCAGCAACACCACAACCTCCACGCCCCTCGCCGCCACATTCATCATCTGCATCCTATTCCTGCGCCTCGACCTCGTCACAAAGTCCTTATTATCATTAACATTCGGGAACCCCACCTCCGTCGGCACCGGCTCGCCCAGGAACCTACAAAGCGGCTCCCACCCATCCTGCACCCTAAACTCCAACAACTTCCCCTCGGGCACCATCTTCTTCACCTCCTCATAATGCCGCGTGAACACCTCCTTCCCGCGCCCCGGAAAATCGCCCTCGAAGAAGGTGTCGAAGAACTTCTTCAACATGGGGTAATACATGCCCGCGGCCCAACTGCACCTTGAGAGCAGCCGCAGCTCCGGGTCCGTGGCGCGCCAGTACACCGTGCGCATGGTGGACGCGTGCCAGGAGTCCACGTCGCGCCCCGTGAGCACGACTTTGGCCTCCGGGTACGCTTCGATGAGCTCTTTTGCGAAGGCGCAGGCGGGCCAGTCGCATACTGCTTGGGCGTTGCCGAGGAGCTTGTCCCAGTCTTTGCGCGTGAAGGGCGTGCCGATGCCGTCGTATTTGGCGCGTAGAGCGTCCATCCAGAGGAGCGCGTCGGGCGGGTTCTCGATGGAGCAGCTCATCATGTGGTAGGTGTCGACGTAGCCGAGTTGTTTCATTGCTGCTCTCATGGCTGAAGGGGTGGTTAGTTAGTAGGTATCCTTTGGGTTTTCATGTCGAGCTTGGGTTAGGAATGGGGGAGGGAGGGGAGGTGGATGATGAGAAGTGAGAGGTGAAGGGAGGACTTACAGGTTGTTCCCGTTCGTCCGCATCCGAGTAGGAGGACTTTCATGGGAACCGTTCGGGTACATTGCCGCCTGTCGATATCTGTGTCGGCGGTGAAGATGTCCGTAATGGGCTTGGACTTATATTTCGAAGCGTAAGCCATTGTGTCAACGTCTTGCTTCTCTATTCTGATACTGGTACAAAGGTATGGTCGATCTCTAAAGGTAACTATGCGGCGAGGAAGTTCAACGATGGGAATTATACAAATGGGTATCTCGAAGGAAATATCTAACACTTCCGGTAATAGGAGAGGTAGTGTACAGGATTAGGAAGGTCTAAAGAGTCGAGAGGAAATATTCTATTGTCACATGGGAAGCTTCAACGAAAAACCTCAGTCTTCTATACATATTAAGAACTGCCCGTCTCCGTATTCGCTCCTTTTCACTGTAGATCTATGTCTGGAACCGGATGTTAGACCCCTGACATACATTAGCGAAGATAGATTCTATACCTCGTCTATCCGCCTTGCCGCCTTACCTAGGTACGTAAGGACTACGAGTACGTTGCAAAGGGGATCCAGTTAAAATGTGCAATATGTTTCGATAACTCTCTTCAGCACATTGCTTAATAAAAATGACTACGCGCGTGCATGACATTCTCGACTGTAATTAGGGTCGAAACAGCCCTATCTGGTAGTGATTGGACTGCAGAGCCACAATGTAACGGCGATACAATAATGGAAGAACGGGTTTATCAGATCTAAATTTGCGTACTAAGCTCCGAGCGGCTGGATCGGTAGACCCATACATTCGAGTCTAATATGAACCGGGCTGAAACTCCACATCGAGCATCATGACGCGGCAAGCCCAATGAAATATCAGTTTTTTTTTCTTTCATAACTATTTTGGTGACGAAGACGCCACTTGAATCGTGAACAGATTCCTTGTGTAGGAGCATGCGACAGATGATAGATCGAAAGTCGGTTGATGAGTAGGTAGAGGATTTTGAAACCAGGGATGAAGGACGCGTAACCGTAATGGTACCGGCTTAATCCCGCCATGAGCCCGGATAATTGGTGGACGACTCTGTAACGATGGGGGTTTATGGGGGTTTATGGGGGTTCGGAAATTCTAGCGTCTTTAGACGTTTCACTTTCAGCGAGCTAAAGCGCCTATACAGCGAGTTTACGATGGTTTCTACCTAAGTAGCCATCCGATAATGCGGGAAGAGTTTCTCTGCCGATGTGAAATTTAGATTTTTAGATTTTTTTCATAACTAGCAACTAGCAATAGTTCTATAGACTAATTTAACAATTGTCTACGTAGAATCAGTTGATTAAAGAGAATAGAAAGCCCGAATAGGCTTACGCGTACTGTTGTAATCCCAGTTAGATGTGACGACATCCAGATTTGTGCGAGATAACGATGCTACGACTAAGAACTCCTAGTGAAAGCACCTAAAAGAAATTTGACAAAAACCTGCGGAGGCCTCTTCTAACGGTTAGTAATGAGTCGAAGTCGAAAAAGAGTTGGAAATTGAAACAATGGCAATTCGATTACAACATCAAATCCATCGATTGCAACATCGGACTGAACAGATCCACCGCTTAACTTTCTAGTGTCTTGGCGATTCGAAACAATTTGGCCAGTGTAAACAAGTGATAGGGATTGAGATTAAAGGTGCCGAGGTTTCATTTCCAACTTCCGGATCTAATACAGAATATTAATGGTTTTTGAAAGGAGGTGTTACTTGATGAGTAAATGACCGTGAGGATCGTGAGTTGCCATATCAAGGAACGGCAAACATGCAACGACAAGATACGCATTACTCTACAAAATGAATCAATAGATAACTTCTGGGTCACTCAATTACTCTTGTAACAGGAAAGTCTTGGCAAGATAGGTAGTTAGTTGTAAGTAGACGATGTGCCGTTGAGAGATTATTCAACAAATCCCCTTTCGCCAAGTCACACTTCCCGTATGCAGTCTATCGTCAATTTGGAAGGTAACTAACTAAGAACCGAATGGTGATGGCTTCATAGAGAACAAAAATAAAACATAGTAAAATTCATATTGTAGGTAGTCTAGTTCTTAATATAAACTAGTTAGGTAGCTTCAGTCGAAACTCGCTGATATGTTTTCCGCCGGGTATCCCATGCCGCTATTCCCATCCGTAAAAGCACTCCTATAAGCAAAAGTCCACCGCATGCCATCGCAATCTGCGCGACCCAGACCTCGTCGTCCGTAAAATTAAAGCCGTAGGTATATTGAAGCTGCGTCGGGTCAATGGCTGGTCGTTGTTGATCGAGGGGCGAGATCAGGTCTGGACTCACCTCTTCCTTTATGGCCTGTACGTCGAGCGGCTCGCTGATACCCAGCATGTGTCCTTTCTCATGCACAGCTACCGCTCGCAAGTACGACGGATATGATTTTCGTATTTCGAACGCGGTCTCGAATCCCATTCTCCTTGTCCGATTTAACTCCGCCCATTCCGTAGCATTGGAACTGTTCGACCCCTGGAGAATCCACTTCGATACCTCCGTTGCCCCATTCCAACTTACGAAGAAGCTCCAGCTTCTTGCGCTGTTTATTCGCAGCGCCGATGACGGAATCGTCCGAGGCCACCCGTGCCATTCGTACTTGTACACTCGATACGATTGAACCTCCGCCGATCCGAATCGGCTCTCCGGCCCGAAGTGCGTGTCGCAGAGGACGTCGCCGTTGCTCGCGAATTCTGTGAATGCCGCCGAGTTGCCGTAGCCTAAGAGAACGTTGCCGTTCGACAGCGATTGGAAAGATCCTTGCGAAATACCGTGGATCTTGTGTGGGTTAAGATATTCCGTCACTACCTCGACAGTCATATTATGCTCGTTGATCTTCAGTTTCAGACCCCGGGTATCTGCAATATCGCGATGTAGATCATCGACGCCGTTATCAAAGATGGTAATGGTGTCGTTTCCGGACCATCGCGCATCGTGTTGGTAGGCGAAGTTGGTCGCCGTGCCATTCGACAAGTCTCGGAACATGTTCCTCTTCCCACCAAGAATCCATATTACCTCGCCGGTGGTGCCGTTGATGTATGTCAAGGCATGCATATAACGACTCGAAGTGAGATAGTTGCCTCTGGCATCCTTGTCGATACTGTTCATGTGGAAGAAATCCCAAGCGCGATCACCCTCTCCGTCGCCGCCGATCTCTCTGTAAGTATCGGCTAAACTCCAGTGATCCAACGCCCGCCACTGGAATACGGCAAGACCTGATTCCAAGTCGATCTCTTGGATGATGCAGTCCCATACCGGTCCGATACGGTTCTTCCCAGCTTCGTTGAGATCCCGCTGGACGACTTCGTATACCGTGATTAAGGCAGTCCCATCTTTTGTGATTCGAAAGTCGTGCAAGTCAGCGTCTAACCCATACGCTGCTCTCACTTCTTTAAAAAGAGTATAGGTGTTATCCAACTGTCATCTGTTATTAAAAGTTCCTTACGACGATATTAAGTTCCGATGAAGATCTTACCATGATAATAGTGCCGGCGCCATGTCCGCCGACGGCATCGTTGCCCGCCCAGAAGGTCAAGTACTTCTCACCCTTGTACTCCTGAACCATCAAATTATACAATTGCTGTCCATTCCATTCGGAAGTCCAGATTAAATCTCCGCCGCTGTCCAGAATAGTAGTCTGCGGTTTTCGAGTGGCGCCACCTCGGGGAGTTAGGAGGGTGTATAGCGAAGACTCGCATAGCTTGCTCGACTGCAGCACGTCGAGCTTAGGCACCTCTAACTCGGCTGCCGACTTGAACACCGTTAAGGGATGCGCGCCATAGGCATCGTGTTCATACCCAAAATCGTAGGAGCCGGCGGTGGTGGGTTTAGACGGTCTTCCACTAGCAAAGCCGACGGCGACAAGAAGGACAGCCCATGATGACGACCACATTGTAGTCTAGACTGTCTAGCAGAGCTGTGTGTTACCACGCCTTACACCGGCATCGAAAAGACATTGACGGGAATAGAATAAGGGGGTTCTGTCGGAGAGGGTGTAAGACATTTGATGAGCACCGGGATGCTGGGGACATCCCGCGTAGTTAATGAAGATGACATTAGACTCATCATCCATCCCCCCTTCGAGGCTTCGACATAATTCTAAACCTACCTCCGACTCCTATCACCATGCATGCTACGTACAATGATACGTATATTTGTCTGATCCCACATTATTGCCGAGACCAATCATGGGTCTGACTACTTTAGGATTATTCTTCCTAAGCATAGCTCGAGTGGCTGTGAGTGGTTGTGAGTGGTGAGTGATGAGTGATGTTTCGAAACAGTAGGTAGATTACGATTCCCAGCTTGGCCCCAGAATAGAAATAACATCTGCATGGGGTATTCGGAGCCGACTTGTGAGTACCTAGTCAGGTATGTAGGTCTGGTAGGTGTAGTTTGGGAGTTGACGAGTCCCCACACAGCTATTGGAATCAAGCATTACGTCGACACGCGGCCTACTAAGATCTTTTACCAATCTAAGCCGCGGCTCCACGCCCACTTCTTTTTCCTCAACCACCCATCCCGGCCCGGCTTCATAACTTCCTGGAAGTTATTATGTATGAGGCGCAAAATGATCTGAATTCTGGGATTTGTGGGCGAGCCACTGCTTGGCTACTGCTGGTCTCCTACGCAACATGCGACTCTTACGCAGTCTCGAGATTCCGTGCCGCGCAGTCGGTGATAACCCGGTTGAGTGCTGCGTAAGTAGCTCGACGTTAAGTGGTCGATAACCTCGGAGTCTATTCGAACCCATCTTTTTTTTAATAGTCTTTGGAGACCTCTCCTATGTATGTACTATGCAGGTTAGGTATTGTAATATTACTTACTATCTCCATGTCCATCTTCGTCTTCACCTTCATCTTCTTGCGTGCGCGCAATGTCCGATGTTGAATTTACCACCTTCTAATCAGTGTGCGGCCTGATTGTCTTCTATTGTGTGTTTCTTTTCATTGTACATTTCGATTTTTATAAGTCTCTCTTTTAACGTTGACATCATTACCTATACCATTACCATTATTATTTTCGTCGATTTTTGTTTGTCTTGGCGTGTATCACGGTATACCTAGAACGTAACCATGGAGAAACGCCTGGCCCAGATGGGCCATGCTAGAACGACATCAGTAGACCTAGCGACTATAGAAAAGAGAGCCTCCGAAAAGTTACCAGCGCCGGGAGAGTTCGAGATAGACGGCGAGAGCGTCAGCGATGCCGAGTCGTTAAAATCAAAGAGCAGTCCGACAGAGACAACATGGATGTCTCTTCCTAGGAAAGACCAGTTGGCGATTCTATTTCTCTGCCGTCTGGTCGACTTCCTACAAGTAGCATCCTTACAAGCTTATGTCTTCTTCCAACTGAAGAGCTTTGATGGGTTATTACCCGACTCTGAGGTCTCGTGTCAAGCTGGTATCTTACAAGGTGCTTTTACCGGCGCGCAAGTGTTGACTGCATTCCTCTGGGGTAAAGCCGCGGATGCGAGTTGGTGTGGTCGCAAACGAGTTCTCCTTATTGGACTTTTCGGCACAGCTATATCGTGCTTGGGCTATGGCTTTTCGACCAACTTCGCATGGGCCGTATTCTTCCGCGCTGTCGGTGGTGGAATCAACGGCACTGTTGGAATAATGTAAGTTGAAGAACCATTCCACCGTATCTCCTTCGTCGCATGCAATCTAACGCCATCCAGACGAACCATGATTGCAGAAATCACAGTAGAAAGGAAATATCAATCACGAGCCTTTTTAATCCTCCCCATCAGCTTCAGTGTGGCCAACACACTAGGACCATGTAAGCCCTCCGCGCACCGCTAACAGCGTCGCATCAATTCTAACATCAGTTCAGTGATGGGAGGTCTACTAGCCGACACCTCCAGAAGTCTCCCCAACATTTTCGGCGAGGGCGCCGTTCTAGGATTCAATTGGATCCAGAAGTACCCCTACGCGCTCCCCAGCGTGCTAAACACGATCGCACTAACCATCACCACTCTCATCGTATTCTTCGGCCTCGAAGAGACATCCAGCAAGAGGAAAGGCAAAGAAGACATCGGCCTGCGTCTCGCCTCCCAAATAAAAGCGTACCTATTCGGAAAACCCGCTCAGCAATACGGGTTTTTCAAACTCCAACCCTTGGATTCCCCAGACTCGATATCCGAGTCCAAAGACAGCGACGACGAATCCTTACCCCCTATCACCCACCACCACAAACGCGACGGCCGAACACTGCCCTTCAGGCGCGTGTTGACGCGCAACGTCATCTTCACACTCATCACCGAAGCCTTCTACGATTTCCAGCTCGGCGCATTCACAAACCTCTGGACCCTCTTCCTATCAACACCGCGTTCGCCACTAGAGGATCTGACAACCCGATCGCTCCCGTGGGACTTCACCGGCGGCTTGGGCATGCCCGCCGCCACAGTCGGGCTCGCGACATCGATCCTGGGAGTTTTGGGCATGGCTCTCCAGATTTTCTTATACCCGCCCGTGCACGCGCGTCTCGGCACGCTGCGTGGATTTCGGTGGTTTCTACTCTTATTCCCCGTGGCGTATTTCCTCGCCCCGTATCTTGCCGTTCTTCCGTCTTCTACGGAATCGCCGGCCCCGGCATCCGGGCCTGTTATATGGCTTTACATGACTTTGGTCCAGTTACTCCAGGTCATGGCCCGCACTATTACGTTGCCGGCTAGCATTATATTGCTGAATAACTGCAGTCCGCATCCGAGTGTGCTGGGACTTGTTCATGGCCTCGGGCAGAGCGTCTCAGCTGGCTTCCGAACAGCCGGTCCTGTTATTGGTGGGTGGTGGTACGGCGAAGGTCTAAAGATGGGGATTGTTGGCGCGAGCTGGTGGGCTGTCGCCTTAGTCTCCGCTTTGGGATGCGTATCGGCGATGTTTATTTATGAAGGCAGCGGCCATGAAATTCTCCTTGAAGGTGAAGAGGATGAGCAGCTCTTGGGATAGGGATGGATAGGGTTATGGCCGGGTTTTTTTTTTTGTTCATGGGTTTATTTATGGAAAGGCATATATACCCGGGATAGGGACCTCCCAAGGAGGCGGGATTTACTATGTTCAAACTTGCATATAGCATTAGCATACTTCGTACATACACACGTACGATACAGTTAAACACTGGATTTCTTTGTTTACCTATTGGACGAAACATCCGATGTAGTCCGTGATGAATCTGATGATGCCACCTCGGTCTGTAGACGCGCAGCTCCACATTACAAGCCTCACAGCTTGTTTCATTGTCCTTGGCATCCCAAAGACCAGATGGATGACGCTAGAAATAGACTTCCCAATTAGGGCTTATTCGTGCATCGGATTGGAGCGCATCGCGAGAGGGACCAGGTTCTCCGCAATGCCCCGTTGGTAGATGCCGAATCGAGCAGTGTGGAGTCAGGAACAGCATCGTCAAACCGGGTTTACTGTAGCATCACCACGGACGTTGCCGCCATAATTACTCCAATTTCTCCGTCCACTGAACGACAGTTGGAGATCTCGTGATGGCATTGGCATCCACTCCTGTGTCCACATGCTGCCGAAGATGCCTCGTATTTATTCTCCTCTGGAGAACGTCATTAAGTAAGTAGATTTTCCTGTCAAGCTCATTCAGGAAAGACAGGATAATACCGGCTCTCAAAATGCATGTGCCTTCCGTTCTGCTTGCTACGGCCCTCGCCGGCATCGCAATTGCGAATCCTATGCCGCGAGCATCTGAATATGTCGGATATCTTGTCTCGACCTTCACCGATGTCAACCCGAAAATTCAATTCCACCTCTCGGAGGGCAACAGTGCAACAAATTTCAAATTTTTGAACGGTGGAAATCCTGTTCTAGCTTCGACCGTCGGATCAAAGGCCGTCAGAGACATCTTCCTCACCACGAACTCCGCCCGATCCGAGTGGTTCTTAATTGCAACTGGTATGTGCTTAGAACATCCAAATATAATGTCCAGTTCATCTTTGCTAATTACCGAACAGACCTCGACGTTAAAGCATCCGGATTCTCATGGGATGTCGCTACACGACAGGGAAGCCGTGGCCTCGTCGTTTGGAAATCGACCGACTTGGTCAACTGGTCCGGATCCACATTGGTGACGTGAGTAATACATTCCCACTCAAAGATTTCCAATGTTGTTAACAAGAATCCATCGCCAGCGTCGAAGCACCAACCGCAGGTATGGCCTGGGCCCCATCCGCCGTCTGGGACGACGCCACATCGCAATACTACGTATTCTGGGCATCGCGCGAGTACGCCGAGTCGGACACAGCCCACACCGGCAGCGCAACCCTCGACAAGATCCGGTACGCGACGACGAGGGATTTCACAACCTTCAGCGCGCCGCGGGACTACCTAGCGATCCCCAACGTGCCCATCATCGACCAAGAATTCCAGTACCTCGGCACGCCCGGAAGCTTCGCGCGCTTCTACAAGAACGAGTCGACGCAGCAGATCGCCCAGGACATCACCACCGAAGGTTTGTTCGGCACTTGGACCAACATCGGGTATGCTACGAAGGACATCCCGCGCGAGGGCCCGGCTAGTTTCGCGGATAACGTGACGCCTGGATTGTACCATCTGCTCGGGGATGATTATACCCAATATATTCCTTATTCGTCGACGAACATCCGTTCAGGGGGCAGCTATACGAAGTCGAGCACGACTGGCTTCCCTACGGGCTTGAAGCATGGCAGTGTGACGCCGCTGACACAGGCCGAGTACGATGCGCTTGCTGCGGCGTTTCCCGCATAGAGGATTTGGGTATGTTGTATATTTAGATATCGATATTATTCGAAGTAAATATATCTAGTCAACATTACGATTAGTATTTGGACATATGATAACGGCCACTGAAACTGTAGCGATTCGCTAGAGAAAGAAGTGAATGGTTGTTGGATAGGTACCTATGGTAGGTATCACGTCTATCGGCTTGACGCTTATTGAAGTATTTATCCTTGAATATTATCATCGGTCAATCGTACTAGATAGTATGTTCTCGAAGGCATAGTATTCTGATTTTGCTTCATACTGAGCTCTTAAGACTATTCTTCAGCTATTTCTGATGTCTTTGAGTTGAGAGTTCCATCAAAAATGATATTTCATGAGTCCTGGCGGAGTAGCTGTTCGATCTCGATGCTTATCTCGAAGGTAGTTGTGTAATACGTTCCCGTTTGGATGGGACTTGGCTGTGCTTTGTCGGGTAGGTACCTAGGAGATAGTGGCTATAATTTGCTTTTGGCTTATCCTGCACCAGGCCTCAAAAATTAGGGTATCCTCTTATTATTAGAATACATGGCTTCATTGCTGTCACTCCCGAAATTGGAACTGTATATGCTAATATTATCAGTGTTATGTCTAGATACCGAGCGGTATAGCAAGTACCGAAGAATTCGAATATTCTTCGAGTCGCTTCGATAAAATGCAACGCTGTAGAATGACTCGATACCCCCGGAATACTTTAGAGCCCTACCAACCCCCAAGTATTAGTTACATCTATCCATAGATGTATTGAAATGCCCAACATATGATAGGCTGTCACAACCACTAATTCGTTAGATTCATTGGTTACAGGTGCAGCATAGCTATTGCATCTTAGCCTGCAGCTCTGTCCGATAGTGTACAGAACTCCCCTCACGATCGGCACCCTTGCGCGCGCCACTGCGCAGATTATCTTCCCAAGTTGATTCAATATTAGACAGCCCCCACATGGCACATATAAAAGAAAAAAAGAAAAAAGAAATTGGCGATATCATACAGCAAATCGGAAGTTATATCGTACCGTATTCGATCGTTTTGAAGCTTCTTGGATCTCTTCAGCTACCCCGGACCTAGATGGGTACCTAGGGAGATATGTGGCAATATATCGAATTGAACGCGTACCGTCGAAACGACTTCGCTAATTTGATCTTGGCCAGGACCACTGTGACAGTGTGCCTCGTTACTCAATACACCTATCCGCTGCACGATGAGTTGTCTAAGGGGATACAGTCGAGGCGGCTTCGTACTGATACATGTGACGTAGAAGGCGTATACAGAGTGTACCTATGCAGTTGCGGTGTGACCTGAGACATCGTAGCTATCAGTCTTCTCCCTATTATTAATGAATACTTACTCTATGGCTCCCTTGCGAATCACATCACCTACCTCATCCTTCTTTCTAATTCTTCAGAAAAATAGACATCATGTCTCACCCGATTCCTAAGCCTCCCGGCGTACCCTTACTAGGTAACGTCTTCGACATCACCCCGAGCAACACGTGGGAGTCGCTACGGGCATTGTCCGAACAGTATGGCGAGATATTCCAAATCAAAGTGCTAGGGAAAACCGTCGTCTTTGTAGCGGGCGCCGCGCTAGCCGAGGAAATATGCGACGAGAAGCGGTTCCGGAAGTACGTCGGAGGCCCGATCGTCGAGATCCGGTATGCGGTGCACGACGCCCTGTTCACAGCCTTCGACGACGAGCCGAGCTGGGGCATCGCGCACCGCATCCTCGCACCGAGGCTTAGCCCTTCCGTTCTCAAAGACCATTTCGTCGAAATGCGGGACTGCGCATCCGAGCTCGCGACTAAGTGGAAAGGTTTGGGAGCTAGCAACGAGATATCCCCTATCAATGAGTTGAACAGGTTGAATCTCGAGGCTACAACTCTCACAATGTTCGGCAAGAAGTTGAATTGTCTCTCTGGACCGGAACATCCTATGCTAAAAGGGATGGAGGACTCGACGTCCGAGGCCATAATGCGGCCCACGCGACCGGGCTTCTTGAACTGGTTGTTCTATGGTAACAAATTCAAGTCGGCGACGAGCACGATGCGCGAGTACGCGCAGGATTTAGTAGACTATCGCAAGGCGAACCCGACGGATCGCCAGGACATTCTAACCGCAATGATGGGCGCTAAGGATCCGGAGACGGGAACCACGCTTCGGGATTCGCAGGTGATCGACGAGATCGTATCGATGCCGATCGGTAGCAGTACGGCGCCCGCGCTATTAGCCCATACCATCTACCTCCTGACCAAGAACCCGGAGGTCGTGACCAAGGCGCGCGAAGAGTTAGACGCGGTGATCGGTCCTGATGGGGAATTTAGGTATGAACACTTAGCGCAGCTAAAGTACATCGAGGGTATCGTGCGGGAATCCCTACGCCTTTCGTTCGCGGCGCCAGGGTTTAACATCGAACCTATACCGAGCGAGAGCAAAGCCCCCGTACTGCTCGGCGGCGGCAAGTACCAGGTCGCGCATAACCAAGCCATGATCATCGTGCTTGCGGGCGTAAATAGAGATCCAACAGTGTTCCAAAAACCGCTAGCCTTTCAACCTGAGCGAATGATGGGGGAAGCGTTTGATGAACTTCCGTCGGGGGTTAAGAAATGGTTTGGGAATGGGAAGAGGGAGTGTATTGGGAAGCATTGGGCATGGCAGTGGAGTATGACGACGTTGGCAAAGTTGATTCATGAGTTTGATTTTGAGGCGGTTGATCCAAGTTATATGTTGGAGCAGGATGGGTGGTTCAATTTGAGGCCGGTGGGTTTCCAGGCGAGGGTTAAGCCGAGGGCATAAGGAGTTAATGGTTAATGAAGGGTTGGTGTTGTGGTTTGGGACTGTAGTCTGTAAGACGGATACCTAAGATTCAAGGCTAGAATGACCTCACTGAGATATACGTGTCCCAGAATAATCGTTTGAGCCATCCTGTTCAATATGTTGTAGTGAGGTAAAGACTCTCTTAGTTGAAGCTATACCTACCATAGTCAACTAACCCGTCACTTACCATGCATGTTCACTTGACGGCTTCGTTAATTTACAATGATGAGATTGTGTACGTTCGGAGACCTGGGGCTTTGAAAATAACATGCTTGGCTAGACGTCGGGTTTTTATAATTATAAACTTGAATGTTGTTTAAGAGATATTAATGCTGTGAATATCTAGGACCTACTAGGTACTATACATAAATATTTTGCACAATTTAGAACCTATTTGTGAATAGATATGCAAGTCACATGATATTTATATCAGACGAGGTACATCGCTACATCTAAACGTCACAGTATCCGTCACCGTACAAGAACACCATATTCATTCAATTCGCACGGTAAACATTTTCCGGCAGCATCCATCGCAGCTCGGGAATTATTTCGTACGGCAAGCAGAAGACCAAAAGTCAAGAGCAATATAAAACCAGCCCAGCCCAGTCTAGCCACGAACCCGACAACCATGGGCTCGAGCTCGTCTAAGCCGGAGGCGAGCCAATCCTCACATGTGTGGAAGGCGTAAGTTTAAATCCCTTCATCTATTTATTATACTATCGTCAGAGCATCTATGAACTAACTCGTTTCTCTCGGGTACGAACAGATCCTCCCCCATAGGCGTCTCCAACGACATCGTCGAATCCCTCCAGTCCAGCAGCGAGGTGAGCCTTACCATTCCCCTTCTACAACCCATGCTCCCACTCTACGGCTTTAAATCCCAAATCCCAAATACTTACACCCCACCAGACAGACACCTCCCGCGCCCAGAGTCTCGAACTCGCCGTACAAGCGCGCGTAGCCTCCGAACTACGAAAGCTCGAAGCCCAAGAAAGCGCGCTTCTCAAAGCGGCGCAAGAAAAGATCGCCGACATCGTCCCGAATCCCAAGGACGAGGCCGCGAACCAGAGAAGCAGACAGGCTGTGTCGAAAGAGGTCGAGGCGCTGCGGGCCCGTCTCGATAAGCGGAAACAGCTGCGGCCGATACCTGAGACCGTGGAGGTGGCGCGCACTGAGGTTGTCAAGTGTCTGATGGAGAACGACAGGCGTCCACTGGACTGTTGGAAAGAAGTCGAGGCCTTCAAGGAGGAGGTCAGGAGATTGGAGAAGGGGTGGATTGACAAGGTCGTTTCGTGAGCGTGAGCGTGAGCGTTATTCGTCCTAGTGCCGATACGATACCTACGATTCAAAGCACCCATGTTTATAAGCATGAAGAGAGGAGAGGGCTGGATTACCTAGAGAAAAAAATAGGCAGGCAAGCTTCTAGAGAGTAGGTAGATACTCTGTTGTAACAATACTCGACACTACACTACGGCATAGCATTAAAGGAGCGCTCGGGATAAAGAGCTGTATAGATGATGGATGAACACCCAATTCTGTAATTTGATACGTGTGTGAAAGGTGATTTATGTGAGGTTTACATCAAGGGGTATATCTAAGGCCTCGTTTTCCACATCCACAGCTTTGGTATCGTCGATCTTTTGTTTCTCCAACATATCTCTTCTCCTTAACCCTTCTTCTCTTTTCCTCCGTCTCCGGGTTTCTGCGTCTTCCCACACATCCCCGTTCTTATTAGAAGGTTTAGTTGCCTCCGCAAGAGCCGTTCGGAACCTTTCGATTCTTTTGGTGTTCTCGATAAATCGCTCATTACCTATATCGATGAGAGTTCGCAAATAAGCCGAAGTTACCGTACATTGTATCTGGCCCCCATCGCCAGCCTGATATCCGATCAGAGACTCAAACGAAAGACCCATGGACCGGATGGCAACCATCGGGGTAGCATGCTGCTCTCCCACAGCCGCAGTCAAGCTGACAGCACCACTTTCTCTAAAACCAGCCTGTAAACCGCACCGGAGGAGCAGCTGGGCGTGTTCAGGGGATGCCGTCAAAACATGAAGTATCTAACGAAATGAGTTAGCAAGGAGCCATAAACCCATCTCAGACCAAAGACCCAATAAGAACGAGCAAGCCATACCATAGGCTCGAATTTGAAATGGACAAGCCTCGTAGCCTCCACTCTTAAACCACCCTCTCCTCCATCCCCGACTTCCCTCCCTTCCATCTCACAACCCCCCTTCAAACCCAACAAACCCTCCCAATCCAGCCGCATATCCCCGCCTCCATTCTCCAGTGGAACCGGATCATGAGAAACAAACAACCAGTTCCCACCACCGCCCTTCCCACCCACCCCCGCCAACTTCCTCCCCTCTCCCTCCTCATCTCCATCCCCCCGCGCCTCACCCCCCTTCCTCCTCCCCTCACGAAACACACTGACCCTCCCCGCGCAACTACTCGTCGTAACAAACCCATCTAGCCCATTAATCTCGTTAATCAGCTCCCTAATCCCCTCATCCACCGAGCCCTTCGGCGAAGCGTCCGTGTACTCCTGCTCCGGCACCGCCAACTGCGCTAGTATGGTCTCCTTCCTCTGGACAAAGGAGGGCGGCGGGGCTGGGAGGCTAAGGGTTTTCATTCTCCTCTATTTCTATTTCGGATCCCCCTTTTACTTATTGTAGAGAAAATATTTCCCAACACTTTGTGGACGATGAGCTTTCCGCGTTGTAGGCACGGCGCTGGTATAGCCTAATTTTCGCTAGTTTCCCGTATTAAATGTCAAAGCCTAATCCAGGTGAGGATATGAGCGGGTGTATGAGATAATACCAATTAATTAGGTGCTGTTGTATTGAATCAGGCTTTTTAACGATAAAAGCTTTTAGAAGTTAAAAAATGCAAAATTCGTATCGTACTTTCAAATTGACTAAAACCCACCAATAATGGCAAAACCACGGCGGGATTGCGACAGCATTGTAAATCTAAAACGGTGTTTATCGAGCAGGAAAGCAGCGCTTTCAAGTCGTAGCAGTATAGCGATGTAATTACGACCCCTACCTTGTTTCAAAACGACCCGTTAATTGGGCAAGTACGTAATAATATTGTCAGAGGCGCATGCTACTCCTTCATTTAGAATCACATCATAATTCACATTATCATCAGCATTCCAAGAGACTGTTCTGATTTATAGGCAATGCTATTATCGCAGAACCGAGAACGAGAGTGCCTTGCAAGTCCAAGCCAGCCATAGTACCTCATCTCTGTTAAAAAAAAGTGTTGAGTAACACGTTCCTAAAACGAGTCTCAACCTCGCCAAATCGATCTGAAAGCAAGAAGCCTCTTAGAAGTCAACAAGGGGTATCATGTCCTAACCATTCCGTAAACGCCTCGATCGATAGTGCAGCCCTCGGCACGATGCAACGAACAGCTATCGATGCCGTCGCATAGCAGTCCAAGGCACTGACATATGCAAGGCTGACCATCCGGTTGCGTATCTCGTGATCGGTAATGGGCGTTACGGTTAGTGTGTGAACATGACCGGCTTAGAATCCGTGGACCTTGATAGTCTTAGGATCAAGCTCTAGACCCTCCTTCTTGTCGACGAGGAACTCCTGCACATCCTTGCGCTGGTCACCTTGTAGCTGAATAACTTCACCCATCTCGGTGTCGTTCACGATGGTTCCATTGCAGGCTATCGAGGGAATGTCAAGTCAGTCAAATGAATCATAACTAAATGCGAGTAAGACCATGAGAAAGACAACATACCGAACTTCTTCTTGATAACTTTCAGAATCTTCTTCTGGTCGAATTTCTTCGGAAGACCCTGGACAGTAGTCAAGGTTTTACGTCCATTCCGCTCTAAAAATTTCAAGTTAGTACAATGGTTTCACATGATGATGCGAAGGCGGGGTCGGGGAAAGGCGTCGTGTAGGTTCGTGATACACAAGGGCAGGAGGCTCGAGGATATCGAACTTGCGGAAGGTACGTACGCTGGATGCGGATATGGATATAATTCTGTGACTGCTTGGATTCACCTGTATCCTCATCGGCTTCGGCGAAGGGGTCTATCGTATTGTAGATTAGTACACGTTACCAAAACAAGGGATACTATCCGATAGCTCGAGACAACAATAACAGTGAGAAAAGTGACAAGAATCAAAATGTGATTTGTGAGAATCGACATTAGATTCGAAGATTACACAGAGCCCTTCCTATTTAATTGGAATTGGGAATTGGTGGTTGGATAGCACGTACCATAGGTCTTGAGGTTTTCGATTGACATAAACTCGAATTCACGGGGGTGACTTGGGGAAATAGTTTGTTGAGACGAACTCGAAATACAGCGACAGACGACTAGATTAGTGGCCTCGCTGTGAGTTGAATGTGTATATGGGATTTATTCACGATGGTTTATGGGACTGGCGGTGTGGGTGAATGATGTTTTTATGTGCGGATTGTTTTGTTGATGATGGATGAATGTTTAAAAGATAGAATTGACGTTGCTTGTTGGTGGGTGGGTTCAAGTAGAAAAGAGGGAGACGAGAAAGGCCGCAATTAGCAAGTGGCAGTGAATGGAGGGGCAAAATTTGTGGATCAATTTTGCAAATCGGCAAGGGGTGGTGGGGCTATTGGCACCTGGCTGGCTGGACTGGCTGCTCTTTCCCTGTCCTAGCCTTTCCTAACTGTGGAAGATTTGTGACACCCATGGAAAATAGTGGCCTTATCAGGCAACTTCTCCCCCCTACCGCCCACCCCTTAGCCCCTAACTTTTCTAACATTTTGCGGAGTAGGCGAAAGTATCTCTGTACAGCTCGCCTCCTCACTGGTTAAGTTCCAGCTTCGAGGTCACTTGGAAGTTACAAATGCCGGAAATATGCACCAAAACACATGTCACACAATTGTATTGCACAATCAAGCACCAACTGGCAACATTAGATAGCGGCATGTGCCACAACAAAACTCAAAATTTAAACCAACCTTAAAAGACATTGTCGTCCAAGTACCTATTACGATTAAAGATCTCAAACAATTTTAACGTGGCATTCGAATACTCTCATTCCCACGGGCATTTCTTGGGAACCTATCTACACTATCTGGGCGTCTAGACAATCGATTCCCCAAACTTTCGTCCTCATTAGGAAAATCCTGTCTCCATTGCACGAGGATACCTACCTTTATTAGCAGCTAGACCCCTGCACGATTGCATGTGGCCTGCTTCAAAACGGACACATCTAGAACTTCGGTCTAGTCGTTGATAAATCCAACTGGATAGCCGTACTTATGTCAGCTTGTTGTGTCTTGTCCTAAATCAACTTATCGGTCGTCTACCATCTGCCTATCCAAATTCCAATACTAGGTATTTGCATGTCCTGCAGATAACAGATATCGAAGGCGACCCATCATATCATACTTCGCTCTATCATGGGGTTTGAGGCGGAAGAGTTCACCGAAAATTCCCCAAGCCTAATCGAAGATTCATCCGGGTCAAGATGGACACCTCTATTCCGAAAGAGTTGTGAGTTCGATTCGCGAATTTTCTTCGAAGTCATGATGAACTTCATTCGCAATCCAAATATCAATTCCAACTGGCTATTCCGGGCCGACATCTTGATCGAGAAGAATCCTGATCAACTGATATCGACTGATCCCCCAATCACACGGTCAGCTATCCTCAGCTTCAAAGATATGCACCTTGATAAGGTATTAGTACGGAAACTTATTCCCAGGAACACTCTAAGAGACCAACCCTTAGATCAAACTTGTCTAATATACCATGGCAAGGGACCGGATAATATAGAGCGCTCTATGGTTGTTTACAAACCCCATATATCATCTCCGGTTGACATACCATTTTATCATCCTAAAATACAAGGTATGGCATTTCTTCATGAATGGAGTACCGAGAGCAAAGAAGGCTCCGTGTCCATTCACTACCATTTCTTTGATAATGAAGACAATTCGCCAAAGTTGGCGAGAACTGGCCTCAACCTTTTGGGAATGCTTCACAAGCACGGAGAAGGGACGAAGGCAGGGTACGTCAAGCGAGTTCACCATGACACCATCATCCCTCAGGTGTCTGTTCAAAATACGTATGCTCGATTAAAGGAAAAATACGCCCGACAGCTTATCCAGACCTGGGCCGAGGTCACAGATCCTTCCAAGCATGTATTCGAAGATCTGAGTATTGCCGCATTCCTGATCGAGCTCTGGGCTCAGATGTACCAAGACTCTCCCTTCCCTGGATTTGTTGATATCGGCTGTGGTAATGGCCTTCTGGTGTACATCCTCCATGAGGAAGGTTACCTGGGATGGGGATTTGACGCACGGAAACGCAAATCTTGGGAGAATTATTCCCGTATATTGAACGAAGAATCTGAGCCCAAGGAGACTCTTCGGCAGCACGTCTTACTTCCCTCTATCATCGGCTATGACCCGAATATAGCTAACGCAAGTGTCGAGAACGGCGAGACAGTCTCCGGCGTAGAGAATAGTAATATTATCCATGATGGCTTATTTCCTAAAGGAACTTTCATTATCTCTAATCATGCCGACGAGCTGACACCATGGACACCAATACTTGCTACCTTGTCGGACTGTCCATTTATCATGATACCATGTTGCAGTCATAGCCTAACTGGCGCAAGATTTAGAGCGCCGGCGCCAAAGGCTCAGAACAAGTCACCATCGGCGTACTCGTCACTCGTTGAGTGGGTAACAAAGATTGCAACAGATTGTGGCTGGGAGTTAGAAACTGAGATGTTGAGGATACCGAGCACAAGAAATACCGGTTTACTTGGTAGGAAAAGAGCTTGTTCAACCTCGTCCGTGGATATACAAGAAATCATAGCTAAATATGGTGGCACAGAAGGATATGCAGATAACGTGATGAAACTCCTATATAATTCAGCCAGGGGTCATTGATTATATATAGAGAATCAAAAAAGGAATTAAAGAATTATACATCCCATATATAATAGTTAACTAGATGATATTTTTAATATTTGTAAATAATGAAGTGGAAAATAAATATAAGTGAGGCCTAGGGGCTATAAAGGGGTACATAGGTACCTAGTACCTAGTACGTACCAAGATGTGGATTAGGTGGGTCTTTGTCATGTGACTTAGTTAAGCAGTTGCAACGTCGCTCATTCCTTAATACTAGGAAACCTTATGTGGTGGCCCGAAATTATGTGTTAATAGAATTCGAGAATTAGACCAACGAACCGCGATCTTCTTCAACTTTCACCCTCAATCCAAGCCGTCTCACCGCCCATCATGAGTTACGGCAAGAAAGATGAAGATGCCGACCTCGGCCTGGTCAAGGTCGACCGTACCCAGGTTTTCCAAGAAGGTACGTTTATTTCAATTCTACCTCCTAGCTGTCCTCTCCGCTAGATCGCCAGCTAAATTGTATGAAGCTCGATTGTTTAACAGTTCCCCTATCCAACCCCGAAGATGTCGCATACTCTTAACGAAGATTGCTCTCTTATTATATACCGGAGAGAAGTTCCCGACAAATGAAGCCACCACCCTATTCTTCGGTATTTCGAAGCTATTCCAAAATAAAGATGCCAGCTTGCGACAGATGGTCCATCTCGTCATTAAGGAGATTGCCAACTCCGCCGAGGATATTATTATGGTCACGAGCACTATAATGAAGGATACTGGTGGTAGCACAGACGCAATTTATAGACCAAATGCTATCCGAGCTCTGTGTCGCATTATCGACGTGAGACTACCAGACACTCTAGTAGCCCTAACCTACACGGCATACTAATGTTATATAGGCGACCACCGTCCAATCGATCGAGCGTGTGATGAAGACAGCGATAGTCGACAAGAACCCCTCAGTATCCTCCGCCGCTCTCGTATCCTCCTACCACCTCCTACCTATCGCCAAGGATGTCGTTCGACGGTGGCAGTCCGAAACCCAGGAGGCTGCAGCTTCAACCAAGTCCTCCGGGGGCTTCTCTTTAGGATTCTCATCTTCTTCCGCCTCCCTCCCAGTCAACAACTCGACTATGACCCAGTACCACGCCATTGGTCTTCTATACCAGATGCGGGCACATGATAGGATGGCTCTAGTCAAAATGGTGCAACAATTCGGTGCTGCCGGTGCCGTTAAGAGCCCTGCCGCCATAGTGATGCTAGTCAGGTTAGCTGCGCAATTAGCTGAGGAGGATCAGTCACTCAGAAAACCCATGATGCAACTATTAGATGGATGGTTAAGGCACAAGAGCGAAATGGTTAACTTCGAGGCTGCTAAGGCGATCTGCGATATAAGAGACGTCACGGATGCCGAGGTCACTCAAGCCGTCCACGTCTTGCAGCTATTCCTTTCTTCGCCTCGCGCTGTCACTAAATTCGCTGCCCTGCGAATTCTGCATAACTTCGCCTCCTTCAAGCCACAAGCGGTCAACGTTTGCAACCCCGATATCGAGGCCCTCATCTCGAATAGCAACCGATCAATCGCTACGTTTGCTATCACTACGCTCTTGAAGACCGGTAATGAAGCGAGTGTGGATCGATTGATGAAGCAAATCACTGGGTTTATGTCCGAAATCACGGACGAATTCAAGATCACTATTGTTGAGGCTATCCGAACGCTTTGCCTCAAGTTCCCAAGCAAACAGGCTGGCATGCTTGCTTTCCTCAGCGGTATTCTGCGCGACGAGGGTGGTTATGAGTTCAAGCGTGCTGTAGTGGAAAGCATGTTCGATCTTATCAAATTCGTGCCGGATTCTAAGGAAGATGCTCTCGCTCACCTCTGCGAGTTCATCGAAGACTGCGAGTTTACCAAGCTGGCCGTTCGCATCCTACACTTACTCGGTCTAGAAGGACCTAAGACCTCTCAACCCACCAAGTACATCCGATATATTTACAACCGAGTTGTTCTCGAAAACGCCATAGTGAGGGCGGCTGCTGTTACTGCTCTAGCCAAGTTCGGCGTAGGCCAGAAGGACCCCGAGGTAAAACGTAGTGTCGATGTCCTACTAACTCGGTGCCTGGATGATGTTGATGACGAGGTCCGTGACCGTGCTGCACTTAACCTTAGATTAATGCACGAGGAAGATGACCTAGGTGATCGCTTCATCAAGAACGGTGAGTACATATTTATCCATTATAGACGAATTGAAATACTAACGAGTATCCCAGAAAACATGTTCTCTCTTCCTTACTTCGAACATCAACTTGTCATGTATGTGACCTCGGATGACAAGTCAGCTTTCGAAAATCCTTTCGATATCGCCCAGATCCCGGTCGTCACCCGGGAACAAGCAGATGCCGAGGACAGGACGAAGAAGCTTACCGCAACTACGCCATCCCTAAAGCCGCCCAAGACAGGACCCACAAAGACGGCAACGACAGGCCCCGAGGCGCAAGCTTCGGCGGTTGCTGCGGCTCAGAAGTACGCCCAAGAGCTTATGGCTATCCCAGAAATGAAGGAATTCGGCAGCGTCCTCAAGTCGTCTCCTGTTGTCGAACTGACCGAGGCCGAGACAGAATATGTCGTATCTGTTGTCAAGCATATCTTCAAAGAGCATATTGTACTTCAGTATGAGGTTAAGAACACTCTCGAAGCAACAGTTCTCGAGAATGTGTCTGTTGTAGCCACACCCTCTGACGAGGAAGAACTAGAGGAAGTATTCATTATCCAAGCAGAGAAGCTTGCTACAGGCGAGCCCGGAAAGATTTACGTAGCCTTCAAGAAGATTGGCGGCGAAGGATCGTTACCTACAGCCACATTCTCCAACATACTTAAGTTTACGAGTAAGGAGATCGACCCTACTACGAATGAGCCTGAGGAGACCGGCTACGATGATGAGTACGAGGTGTCAGATTTCGATCTTGCGGGTAGTGATTACGTAATACCCACGTTTGCAGGAAACTTCAACCACGTGTGGGAGCAAGTCGGCGCCGCCGGCGAAGAGGCTGAGGAGACTATGCAATTGTCAGGTGTGAACAGCATTGCAGGTAAGTGTTTATTATTTTTGTCTTATTACTCTACAACAGCACAGCTAACTTTAGACACTAGACGCTACGGAACAGCTCGCCAAAGCACTTTCGCTACAACCGTTAGAAGGCACAGACGTACCAGTCAACCAGACAACACATCAACTGAAGCTTCTCGGCAAGACAGTAAACGGTGGAAGAGTAGTGGCACATGTCAGGATGGCATACTCATCCAAGTCGGGCGTAACAACCAAGATCACAGTACGCAGCGAAGAGGAGAACGTGGCTGCGATGGTGGTAGCGTCCGTGGCATAATAATGAAGGTTTCTGGAAAGGCGTTTCTGCAAAAAATGATGAGCGATGTCCTTTCGGTTTTTGAGGGTATCTCACCTACCTGGTAGGTTATGCATATTATTAGAGTATGGAGAAAGGGGCGGGTGGCAGGGCTTGTAGTGAGAGGACTCGAGTTGAGGTGAGCTAAGGACCGAATCCCCAATGTTTATAAGAGAAGAAGAGGGAGAGAAGAATGTCTTGGTAGGCCTTTGAGTGCCGTAACAAAACCAGAATATGAATTGATCAATAATGAAAATTGATTTGGTTCATGCCAGGTGTATCGATCGGGTGATATGAATCAATTCAGGCATTGAGGTTATACACTGACAAGGGTGATAGGGTTTGGTAGAGTCACAGGGGTTACAGTGGTTGCAGGGGTACTATGGCGCGAACTTTAGGGACCCTTGTACCCCATTAACACGTCAGACGCGCAAATCAGTCGCGCTAATTGGAACCCACTAAAATTCTTGAAGATGGGTCTTAGATTTGACACTTGTGCACAACCATGACGTTTTTTACTTTTTTCCGTTGTTCGTTGTTCGTTGTTCGTTGCCCTAGCGGATGTCAGTTCGCACGATAGTCTTTAAAGAAAAAGAACAATTCACTATCATTTCATCTAATTGATGAAGATAGCCCCACTATCGACAACAGTGTCCCTCTTTGAATCCGGACGGCTGGTATCTTTACACAAAGGCGACATTCTGTCTCATTCAAGACGGAATCATTCGCTACCATCTGTCGCTTAATCGACAATTGAACCAAAGCTTCCAGTAACATCGCCACCGCAGCCGAAGCCTTACGTTCATTAGAGAACCGAGTTAAGACATTCTTAGCCAAATAATCGACGGCATCACCAAGTCAAGATGGTGTACGTACGGCAGGAATTCCTGCCGAATCTGAAGGCGTACAAGTACTCCGGAGTCGACCACTCGTTGACATCCAAGTACATCCTAAAGCCATTCTACACAAACTTCGTCATCAAATGCTTTCCCATGTGGATGGCCCCTAATCTAATCACACTTACGGGGTTTATGTTCGTCGTTGCCAACTTCTTTACGCTGCTATGGTATAACCCCATGCTCGACCAGGACTGCCCGCCATGGGTTTACTATTCATGGGCTGCTGGTCTGTTCTTTTACCAAACTTTTGATGCGGTGGATGGAACTCAAGCGTATGTACTATCAAAACAAGAAACAAGATACTCTTGCACAAGATGAGATGATAGAGAGCTAATGTATTTCTTACTAGTCGACGAACCCACCAAAGCGGACCCCTCGGCGAGCTATTCGACCATGGCGTCGACGCCCTCAACACCTCCCTCGAAGTCCTCATCTTCGCCGCTTCCCAGAATATGGGACAGAGCTGGTACACCGTCGCCGTGCTCTTCGCATGTACGTACCCAAATCCCGAGCTTCCGAGCTTCTCAACTTCACACTATCTACCTAATAGATAGAGATAAATGCTAACAATTAGACAAATAGCCCTCAATACCTTCTACGTTCAAACCTGGGACGAATACCACACCAAGACCCTCACCCTGGGTATCGTCAACGGGCCCGTCGAAGGCATCCTCATCCTCGTCGGCGTGTACGCACTAACGGGATACATGGGCGGCGCCTCCTTCTGGCAGCAAAGCATGTTCGCAACGCTCAAAGTCCCAGAGACCCTCGGTATCCCCGCGCAGATCTACAACCTGTCCTTCTCTCAATGGTACATGGTGCAAGGCACGATCGTCCTCGTCCTCAACACCGTCGAGTCCGCGCGCAACGTCATCCGCGCCCGCCGTGCTCGCGGCGACCGCTCCCGCTGGGCCCTCTTCGGCTTGCTGCCCTTTTTCGGCACCTGGGTCCTTGTCGTCGCGTACCTGTACCTACAGCCGCTCATCCGCACCCAGCACCTTGTCCCCTTCGTCATCCTGGCAGGTCTCATCAACGCGTACAGCGTCGGCCAAGTCATCACCGCACACCTCGTCAAGCTGCCTTTCCCGTACTGGAACGTGCTAGCCCTGCCTCTTGGCTACGGCGTCATCGACAGTTTAGGCCCCATCCTCCAGGAACACGTCGGCTGGGCTTCCGGTTGGCCTAGTGCTCTTGGCTCCGATGTGTTCCAGGTCGCGTTCATGTTCTGCATGTTGGGCACCGCGATTGGGGTTTATGGGTCGTTTGTTGTGGATGTTATTGTCACGATTTGCGATTACCTTGATATTTGGTGTCTTACTATTAAGCACCCGTATGTGGAGGAGGCTAATGGGAATGGGAATGAGAATGGGAATGGGAATGGGGCGAAGAAGGTGAATTAGGTAAGGGGTTTAGAAATTGGTAATGAGGATTGGGGTTTGAGGTTCCTTGCTTAAGAAAAAGGGGGGATGAATGAATGAATGTTAGGGAAAGGGGGAAGGAAAGGAGTCGGGAAAGGGGTCAGTGACTAAAGGCTTGATACTCTCTTCTTGGTTAGAACTTCTTCCGATATGGGATATGGGATGTGGGATAGATGTCCCCTATCCTATATTTTTTACGAATTTAATGCATGGGGCTACGAATTTTGCGGGTTTGTTGCCTACGGGGCTTAGACGGAAGAAGCAATATCAGGTTTTGAGAGGAATATACACGGGGTAACGATGGGATGATGAGCGCGAAGTGTCTAATCTGCTCTACAATGTTTATTACATTGCTTAGGTACCTTACTTGTAATGTCGATGGTTGCTTGTTTAGAATTCAGTATACCCATGAGACGAAAAGGGGGAAGTTGTGATATCTGCTTGGAAGCAATGACTGGTAGATGGGAAAGGCGAAAGGCTATTTCCTGACAACTCTTTCAATTAATTCACATAATAATCTTTAACTACCTAATTCAACGTTGTATTCTTCCTAGCCGGCGCTTTTGATCCGGGTTAGGTAGATTGTTTCCCCAATTACCTCGGGCAAGAAGTGTGTATCGAGGATGAGACAAAAATAGTCGCCAATCAGAATGGAAATATCATAATCGACTCGAATTGTGGCTGTCCTGGTCCTGGTTCCGGCTCAATGTGGTACCGACCTGAGGCTACATGGCACGTGGGGATATAAAATCGAGGCACACACGTGGTCATGTAGGCGTTCCAAGATACTACCATTACGGGTTCTCTATCTGCAAGCAAGAGATGCTTTTCACCTGCACGAAGGAAATTTGTTGAGCACGAGTTCTCGAACTATACTATGCCATGCAACATACCTAGGTATCAATCACATAGGCCAATGTTCCATTATACATGTCGGTCGAGTTTCTGGCCTCTCATCACCTAACTAAGTAGCCTATTCATCACCTCATTACCTCACCAACTACTACTCCTCGACCATCATACCTATCTTATCCTCGCCACAACTAACGAAAACAGATATCTAGATAACTACCCTCCAGCCTAGATCTATCATTTAGGTCTAGAATCTATAGATAGCTATCTGGGTAACAGACAAGCACGTCCCCTCCATCGATCTGAAACGAATTCGGCTCTCTGCTCTCAGCGCGGTAGATAGCGGCGACGAAGGAAAAAGGTTCGATAGTCACAGGTCCGAGTTACAGCGGGCGAGTTACAGTATTTGCTCCGCCACTATCTGTATGATACGTAGGGCTACATGATTTCACCTACATCGCCGTTGCGCACCTGGTAGGCATATCTAGCTTACCATTCGTACCTAACCTACCATCCCACTCGCATGCCTAGACATATATGCATAGCGTAGGTAACATACCATCGACAGCTACCTACGCATTCTTCACATCCATACCTCCCCACACACATACATACCTACATCCCCATATCCCACATAGCATCCATCATCCCCTTACGCTAACGCTAACGCGCGAAACCCAGCACCGCAGAGTGTTCGAGGCGAACAGCTCTCCCCGATTTATAAGCACCACCGCGAACCCCAGAATTCTAGCCCCCCGGCAACGCATACGTACACGGTCCGCTTAATAATTGCCCTATCCCTCTCCCTACCTCTACCTCTCTCCCATCAATACCATTCTCTTCGTCGTCGTCGTCCTGCGGCCCCGTCGCCGACGTATACCCACCCCCCGTCCGCACGTAGGATTCGGCCTTTCGCGGCAGATACACCAGCCTTCCAATCTAACGCGCGGTCCCCCGCCGACCTTCGCTACCGAGTGGACGCTTGGCGCTGGCTCACCCAAATCTCTTTTTCTTTAAAAAAAATAAAAATAAAAATAAACGTATGATAGGCTTCTAAAAGCGAAAATCGTGTCAGGGACGAAACGTGGAGGAAACTCCGACAGTCGGGATTGATAAGGCGCGGGGCGAGCGATGCATACCTACCTCGCGGCGACTTGCCCACTACCTAACCCACGTATGTATGTATGTATGTATGTAGGTAGGTAGGTGAGTATGTACATAGGGAGAGACATCCAGTAGGTAAGGAAAGACAAGACACACGGGAACGGCCGGTTCGGAGTCTGGCTCAGATCGCTAGCTCCAGGGGCCGAGCTAGTGGAGTCGTATGGATGGCACGTAGGTGGGGAGGGGGGAGGCGACACACGATCTCGAACTCCGTTGATGCATGGAACGTGGAGGGGATTGGGGGAAATATTATCTGAGGGAAGTATAGCCTACCTGCTTACCTATCTATCTACATAGATAGTCTAGACGATGGCTTTACTGACTGGCTGACTGGTTGGATAGAGGGTTAATTTGCCCATTCCCCCTTTATCTGATCCGACGTCCGTACATATGTCGGCGACTGTTGAGGGAGACAGTAGATGCCGGCATCAGCTCGGCAGACTCGTAATCTTCTATGAGAATGAGAGAGTTCTTCGGTAGAACCCCTTGAACCCAAGACGGGATGGGGAGGCCTCTCGTTCCACTGCGATCCGTCTTCCTCCTTGGCCAAAGGGGCGATACGACCTATCTACTTAGTAATTCACACGAGGCGAAGAAAACGCCAGAGGTTTTGTAGATTTCTCGAATTCAAAGTCCTGCCTAGATACAAACACCTCCAAGTCCAATCCCTATAGCGACAGAAAACAATAAGTAGCAAACAAAAACCATTTCCCATCTCAATGCACGTAATAGCCCCCCTTAAAAAGCCACAATAGATCGATAGGTACCTAGATATAGAGTATTTATATAGCTTCCAGCGAACTGCCCAGTTGCTGAAAACACCAGTCAAATTAACGAGACAAGAATAGCAAGAGTGGAATGGAGGAAAAACCATGATGCTTGGTATCCTATCCTTTAATTTCGTATCCTGTTTTTGTTTCTCGAAAAAAAAAGATAATAGAATAAAAAATAAAAAGCACCCTCCCGTATAATGTACCCTCGAACCAGAAACTCCCCGTCCATGTTTGAGGTTTGGCGTTCCCGTAAATCATTTCCCTCCAACATCCTTCCCTTTGCCTTATATCTCGTACGCTTGTTTGTGACACCCGCTCGTCGCTCTCCTATCTTGCATTGTCGATGTCGGGAGAGGCAGTGGCGTCCACATCGATTCCGCAGAACGTATAGTATAGTTTCGATGCAAAATAAACCGTCCAAAAATACCCAACAACAAATGCTTCCGCTTCCATTCCTTCGTCAAACGTAAATATGTCATCTCAATAAGACTGAGATACAATTGGGTAATGTCCCGAATATAATCATCACTCTCTGTTCGCACTCCTAGGCGAATTTGAAACAGTGCGTCTCTCCCATATGTCAAACCCTGTCGCTATCTCGACCAAATCCTTTTTCCGCCGACCAAACCCCTTTAAGACCCAACTAGGCAAAACGTAGTTGCTCATAATAGCTCGTCGCTACCGCTAGCGACGCTTTCCACGATGGCCTGAAGAATGACGCGTTCTTCGAAGACCGGGCCTTGTCCGTCGCACTTTGCCTGGGACTTGAGACGTAGGCTCACATCGCCAACGTCCACTAAGCCTTTCTTAAACATCTCGTGGTTAATAATGTAGTCCCACGTAGCGCCGGCAGCTAGGAGGCGTTCGCCACCAGACTCCACTATGCGGTGACTTGGGGTCTTGTTGGCATGGTTCTGAAGGAGGTCTGAGTAGAACTCCGTGGGGTTATATTGCATGGGACCCGTAGTCGTCGTGGGTTGCGGTGACAGGGAGCCATTCTGAGCTTGGACGCTAGACGTGGCACGTAAGATTTCGTTCTCTGTGCTCATCTTCTGTAGATCGCGCTTTAGCTTTTCGTTTTCGCTTGCTGTCTGATGTTGCTGCGCTTCTAAGTTGGCCAGCTTTGCCTCGAGGTCTTTGACATGACGTTCCTTACGTTCTCGGAATGCGCGCTGACTATGAATTCGCATTACGTTAGTCTACAACTGAGTCTTTCGAAAGATATATCTCCTGCGAGATCCTTCATCCGATCCAAGTTCCGGTGTTACTCACGCAGCTCGGTTTTGCGCCTTACGACGGGATTGGGCAGGCGTCAGGTCATCCTCGTCCGAGTTAGATGCCGTCTGTCTGCTTCCGTCGGGATCCGGCTTAGCCATCGGTAGTATATCGACTTGACTATTCTTCTCCGAAAGGCCGTTTACTTGTAATTGGCTCTGGCCATTCTGGCCATGGATGGACTGCGTCGGTGGTGTCGGAGGGCCCGGAGGACCTGGGAAGGCCTGAGGTTGCTGGTTGAAATGGGCGTAGGACTCGAAGTTCTGTTGAAATTGCTCATTGTTCTGGAGCCCATCGTAAACATCCTAAACATCGCAAAAAGGATCAGTGCTCCATTGTCATGGTAGAGTCACATAGTCCTGAGGCTGAAACAAAAGTAGTAAAGAGCTAGTACTAACGTGTGGAGAGTGATTGTTGAACTCGTCTGATGCGGCTGAATTGGAATGGGATGGGGTCAAGGGAGGAATCCCGATAAAGTGATAGGGATGAGCTCCACCGTAAAAGGTATGCGAGAAATCCATTGTCTAGGTTGAATTGTAGATTCGGTCGCCGCTAAAGATCTATAATACAGATGGGGATTTGCGTAGGGGTCGCAGAGTAGCGTAAGAAGAAAAGCAAAGAGAAGTTTCCACGGCGAAACCGGCGGTTCGATGGTGTTATTATTATTTTCGGTTCTCCCAGTAATATGTAAGTCCAGCAGGTCCAGTCGAGGGAAAGCTGATGGATGGTGGATGGTCCAGTGGTCCAAGTAACGGGGGCCGGGTCCAGGTCCAGGTCCAGGGGTTATCTTTCTATTTGGCCGTTCCCGAAGCCCGGGGGAGGCTTGCAACCTGTCTGCCAAACCTGCGTAGCGTGCTTGAGGTTAACACAAGTATGCAACACAACAGCTCATGAAATCGGATAGATCTCAGTCGAGTTACTTATGCAACTAGAAGTCTCTCCGTTTCTCTGTGTGTCCTTGCTTCGGCCGACGGTCAAGATACGCCTCGAGGTATGTATGTATTTGACCAGATGGAGGGGGGGGAGTACCATATGTATCCTCAAATCCCTGGCGCCACAGAAATAGAGGAGTTGGTCTTACTAATTCTGGTAATATGCCAAGTTCCTTCGGCTGAGATGGCAAATAGGAATGGTCTATTTTATCTCCACAGACGGGAAGGGTGGGATGCCCCGTACCAACTTAACCTAGACGGGATTGTATGTAAAAAGATGCAGCAGTCGACTTTTTTTTTTAAAAATATCCCCCATGTCCCACCCTCGCTAGGTTAGGCCTAGGTACAATACTGTATGTATTCCTAGAACATTCGATGATTCGACGACCCCAGACCTTAGCGAAAGGAGAGACGACAAGTTGTTCGTTTCGAGGACAAATTTTATATTAACGACCCTACTCTTCCCTCAGTCCCTTCTTGCATTTGGGCTAAACGCTTCAATTCCCATTGGATGAATACGTGTCCGAAGCGATAGAATATGGCTCAACGTCGTGCCATCTTTGCTGCTTTAGTGATGACAAGATTTGGGAACGGCTTGCTCAATACATCAGATATAATCACGGTTGAGGCGTTCGGGAATTCGGCCCCTCCGCAGACTTTTCAGCCTTTGCGCACCTTTTAAGATCCTTCTGACCTCTTTCAATGCAGGATCTTGCACTTTGTCAGACGCAAAGACCAAGATTGGAGCTGCTGCGGTCCCCAAGTCGCGTAGTTCTGTTCAACAACAGCCATAATTGATGCGTGGTCAAAACCAACTGTTTGCGCCAAATTTCAGATAGCCTCTAAGGTTAATGGTAGCACTTTGCACTCACTAACGTTGAACAATGTTTCCTCCAGACATCCCTCAGACTTCTCAAACTTCTGACAGTCAGTTTCTGCAGGCTGAGGCAGAAAAGGGCGAGGATTAGCAAGTCTCGATCCTTCCCAGCCACAGCGTCACACCCTTGACAGTTTGTAATGGCAAGACCCGGACCCTAGTGTTTACTCATGTTCTGCGGTCATGAGCATTCCCCAAAATAGCAGGCGTAGACGCACAGTTACCTATAAGACATTTATCGAACCTCCTAAAATGTCAATCTCCTCTTTTTAGAGCCTTACGTTCGCTGCTGACTGCAAAGGCAAGGTGGCTAGGTTCTCTACTACTCTTCAATCTCACGGGGGTGTCTAAGACGCGTACCGTAAGACGTAATATGCAGAACCGTTTAACTCTATCCACGGTAGACGATACCCAAGATAACTTAAGTCCGACTGCACTGCACCGCATCCCAGCAGCCCAGATGGATTACGCTGGGCTGTGCTCTCGTAAGCAGTGCAGCATCGACACGAGTTCTCGATGTGACTGGTGGGCTCGCAACGCATCTGTATCATATTAGTTAGTGCAACTGTTGTACCATTAAGAAGTATCGACGCTCACATTATCAGATGATCTGGATACAAGTTGTATGGAGGACATCACGTGTCTTATTGTCCATAACCTGCTACACTTCGAGTCCTTGGAGAAGGCCAAGAGGTACACTTCCGATATATGCTCTTTAACTGGTTTTTCATGGACCTAACATACCACGTACATGGCAATGTACATATTGGTAATTAAACATTAGGAGATACGCATCCCTGGAACTAGGGTTTGGGAGACGTCGTGTCTGCAGAACTTGGCGATACCTGGAGTACGTCGTTCGCAAGGAAAATTCGAGAGCCGGGTCCCGATTCCGATGCCCGCAACCCAAGCAGGCCCAGGCGATAATACGGGGTTACCGTTATCTATTCTGGTTGGTTGTTTAGATGCTTAATCCCTATCTCATCTTCAACCGTCTTAGTAGAACCTCAACCGAGCTCCGGCATAGAAGTCTGACTTCTCACATGATAGCAGGGATTGGTAGATTCCTTGTTGGCCACCATGGTGAAATTAGCTCTAGAGCTACGAATACCATCTCATGCCATAACTTACTATAACAAGAGTTTTTGGGTTCGCTGGGAAGGCTGTTATATAGGTACCGGCCCTTTCGTCTCATATCCAAGGTTAACTATCGAGTACCTATGTTTGAATCATCAATAGCGGTGTCTAGAGATGGTAGGAGGACGACGTGGCAAAAGCAAACTTTGGTGACTGGTGACTGGAGGAGCTTAGCCGAGCTCATCAACAAACTTATGCGTCCATGGCCTTTATATGACTTCCAGGTAGTTCTTGGACCGGATAAGGCTCCAGTTCTAATTACAACTTAGTTTCGAACGCAAACAACATCTAAGGATATCGCATGTGCTGTAAATGGATCAGAAGGGAATCAATCGAGAACTGAATGACTTGTCGGATATGGTCATTTCTCCGTCATCGCTCTATTACCTTGCAAAGAACAGTGTTGGGAGCAGATTGGGACAAATTGAGTCAGTTAGGAGGCCATATTCCAAAGATCGGTTTGGATTTACCAGCTAATCTACCAACTGTTCAGTCCGAAGTCGCTATCATGTTTGTCTCATGATATTAGAGTCAAATGAAAGTAGATCGAGTGGGGAAAGTATTGAAGATGTTCAAAGTGCTCAAAATAACAAGATGCCATCTATTGTGCAGAAGGGGGGCAAAGCTAGGTAAATTGGCAAGTAAATTCACGACATCATCTTCTAGTCGTACCTTCCTTTTATATACTTCACGACAGCTTCCTTCCCTAAGCCTATGGCATATTACTATAACATTTCTCGTCCAAACCCACCTTCTTTTCGAATTATTTATAGTTTTAATGAAACAACCCTAACCCATAACTAGGTACAATATCTTTATAGGTTGGCAACTACGCAGTCGTTGAGATGAAAAAAGAGCACATATCCCCGTAATAGTATCGATACATCATGAGAGTTCTTGCCGATAGTTGGAAAGGGATTAGTAAAAAAGGGTAAAGCACTCTCTTTCCTTTCATCTCAACTTCTTCACCATCATCATTTCCACCCAAATCACAAAATACCTAGTCATCATACATTTCTTTCCATTCCCTGTGAATACACCCGATATTTCCCCATCCGCCTTTCTCTCTACTTGAGAGAGAGCGTGAGTCACGTCAGTCACAATGGAGATGAATATGTCCCAGCAGTCATCGCAATGCAGTTCCAGTCAGAAATATACAACTGTTGGTTCTGTCTGGCACCCTCAGACCACTCCAATGCAGCCACCGATGCGTCGCGGTCGTACTCTTCGTTCTGTTGCGCCCGACTCACTTGATCATAACCCTTCTATCGTCACCCACCATCCTGCACAATATTATTCACCCCTACAACAAAACTTTGACCGAGCCGTTAGTCCTCTTCCTCCCGATCGACAACTCTTCGCTCGCATTGCGGAATTAGAGGAAAATCATTCTTCTTATTCGACGACCATGTCTCAGCAGTCTTCCAACTTGTACCAGCCCTCCAATGAACTTGTCCTTGCTGGTAAACAAGACGAAAACACCAAGCACTATGATGGCGACGACGGATCTGACAGTGACAACGATGAAGAGATGAAGTTCAATTACCTCAATCGGATGCCTACCAAGAGCGTAACCAACCTGGCCTCCTATTCTAACCCCATGCAAAAGGCTGCCCAGAAGCTTCTCACTCGAGCCAGACAGGCCCCCTCGTCCCTTCAGTACCAGAAGTCGGATACCACTCAGGAGAATCGAGGTTTACTTCCTCCTCCTGGATTCGGTGCTGGTCTCAAGTATAATCGTTCTGACCCGCTTGGCGCGGAGGGCCTACTCCAATCTGATAGAGTCAATGAATCTGGTCTTCCCAACCGACCCCTCGCATCTTTCAACCCGAACATTAGTGATTATACCAGCCGTGAGCGCGACAGTTATCCAGCTGTCTTGTCCAAGGGACATGGTGCACCTCTCCCCCTGACTGCAGGTCCCCCTGGCCAGCGTCAATTCTTGTCATCCTCCTCTAACTCTACGAATGCCTTCCAGAAGGGAACTTCTGCTTTTAGCTCCTCTACGGGTCACTGGCAAAAGGGTTTCGACCAGCCACGCATCGCTGAATCATTTGAGGATGTGGTTCCACGTTCTCAGCAGTATCCTTCTGCATTCTTCCAGCCCCCGTTAGTTCCACAGCCTATGAATCGACAGCCTACCCCGTCACTTTTAAGCAGAGCTCCCTCTGCTCAACAATATCCCGCGATGAATAAGGGTAGAGAGAACAGCGGTAGTAGCAAGATGGTCGACACGCTTACCTACGAAGAAGCGAGAAAGTTCTTCCCCAATGGATTCCCAGCGGACTTCAACAACAACTACCACCCGATCCCAGACAACTGGGCAGAGCTCCGTCTCCAGGAGTTGGCACAACAAGAGAAGTCAAAGAATCCGATTGCATTGCAGGGAACGCACCAATGGCAGGCAACCCACCAAGCAAACCTTCATCGAGACTTCTACTCTGGCAATGCGATGATCAACCAGGACTTCGACATGGCCGTTCACGAGAAAAACAGCCGCGATGTCGCTCGCGCCGTCGGTTCTACGTTTCAAGAAGGCGAGAAGACTGCTGGCAGAGTTGACAACCGACAACTCTCGATCGATGAGATTAACGAAATCCCTACATATGAGCACGCCAAGCCTCTCTTGAGCGTCATGTACCAATCACTCGCGAACCACCCAGATATCACGCCGAACCCCCGCCTTCCCAAGTACGTCGTTCCTCCGAAGAAAAAGAAGTCCGAGGATTCGACCGAACACCATGGTTCCCGCTAATTTCTCCAAATACTCCCTCGAAGTTAATCGAAGTTTGCAATAGCATTCTAATACACGAGTTGGCTATGGGGAGGAGCAAGGAGAATTCTAACTGGCAGGATGATAACGACTGGACATGGAATTGCGGGTGAAAAGGAATATTGAACAAGTAAAAATGAAGAAAATCCACGTAACCGACGATGGCGGCCCGCCTCAAGATCTCGATACCCTTTCCATATTGCTTGTCGTCGGTCGATATCTCCGGCGGTGGTAAAATTGCAGATAATGAAAATTGTTGGCGTTGGAAATCGCGCTGGCGGTGCATATTCGTCTGACTGATTAGGAGTGTAATGGGCGTTGGTCGGTCATGATACTATGCTTCCGCCGTTGGCACGATGTGGCTGTATGGTTCTCGCTTTGTATTCACGCAGATACGATTCCCCCCTGGGTGCACTTGGGCATCCGATAGCTAATTTACGATCGCGTTCCTTTCCCTACAACCCGACTTGATTCGAGGGATCCTTCCAAGATATTGTGATGTGTGATATGTATAATTGTAAAATATCCCTTATTGCTTGAGATAATGGGGGCACGACCTACCTCTGGAAACTAGCATGTATGACCTAGCACAACGCCTCCTACGTACCATGAAGCATATTTGCCAATCATATCTCTCTCGCCTCACATAAACCCTAAGCCACATCACAGCAAATCAAACGCAAAAACCACAAAGGCACCATAGAAAATGGGAATAAAATTTCTCGAAGACAAAAAGTTCGTCTCTGCTATCCACTGCCGACTCCGACCTACTGCTCAAAAGGCATGTCGTATAACCTAACAGACTACCACGACGTATCAATAGCAAACAGCAATTGAGTGAATCCACCACCTCCCCAACTCTCCTTTTCGATGCTTCCGCGTACCGTAAATATAGGTAGGTTAGCCTTCTGATACACCATCCCCACCCCCGGACCTCATGAATCCCTCGGCAGCAAAACACCCGCGAGCCATCCCTCCGCATACTAAAAACTCACTCTGCACGTGGGATATCCTCAAAGCATCGACTGAAAAAAAGACGTAGCGTTAAAAAGACACGCGTAAGAAGAAGTAGTAAAAAAGTGAAAACATCCTAGCATTCGCACACGTAGTAAGGGGCCTAGGTAGTGGATGTAAAAAAGAAGAAGCAGACCAAGAATATATTGAGTTGCCAAGAAAAAATGTGGAAGTGTGTGTGATCCGTACGTTTTCCCCATTGCGTGCCAGCAATCGCCTGTTGAGAGAGTAACTGAGTCTAGAATGTGGGAAGTAGTAGTAGTAGTAGTGTTTTGTCATACAAAAGAATTGAATGGTGGACATGGCACCATACTGCTGACGTTGTCGATCAAGCTAGAAGAAAACATTTTGTAGTAACCCGAGCCTAGAATCAACGCCCATGGAACCCTTTCCCTGCTTCTCTCTGGCTGACCGGAACAACGTCGTCGTGGTATATTGAAAAATGAAAAAAATCTTGAGTGGGTATGCTATGACAACAGTGTAACATAAAACGTTGAAGAAAACGTGCTAAGCGTGGAGAAATGTCTCATCAACCAGCCGGCTGATAATTCGGCTTTCAGCCTCACCGACGTCGGGTTGCGGGTTGTCGATGCTTAAGACGGCTAGTTCTCCATCCCTCATACCATTGTTCTCTGCTAGCCTCACGTAATTCACCACGCCACTCGCTGAACACAGCATCCTTCAAGCGAGTGAAGTCGCAGTGCTCCTCGTTGTACGGGTCCGCGAAACCCCAAGGGAACTTGCGACCAACAACACCGGGCTCGTAAATATCGGGGCTGATGATAGACATTGGGAGGAAAGGAGACTCGTCATTTGTCTCTTCTTGAGATGACTTAGATCGACGGGTGGAGTTATTCGATCGGCGTTTTGAGGCTGGCGAGACCCTACCCTGAATTGGAAGTTCATCCTCATCCGCATCGACGTCATCATCTTCCACGATAGCAGAATCTTCCTTGTCCTCCTTAACCTCTGCTGGTTCTGCCGCTTCTTCACTCTCCTCATCTTCTTCCTCGGCCTCGTCGATTCTGCTAGAGTCCGGCGTAGCCTCGTCATCGTCGTCAAGTCCAAGCGGTTCAAGAGGATCGAAATTTGCCTTCTTAAGACTAGCCCATACTGTCTTCTTGAGGACGGACATGTGGGCAGTTGTGATGGTGTCGGCTTTTGAAATTACCGGGATCACTGTTGTCTTGCCTTGGAGAGTTCGCATGACTTGTAGATCGAGATCTTCGTCAAGGACGCCTACAATGCGGCCTGCATTCTGCTCGTGCTTCCCACCATGACCATTGGCAAATGCAGTTTTCTCAACAGCAATATTGCGGTCCAGGCGGGCGGGATCTAGGATAAGGAACACTGCATGGATGTGCGTGTCCTGGACGCCAGGGGATCGAACCACTTTCATCTCTTCAGCGAACGTCTCCTCAAATTTGCTCTCTAAAAAGGTCGACATCTCTCTCAATTGTAGGTCTACTACGTTCTTCTCTAGACCTTCTGAATCCCATAGGGTTAATCCAATGCGCTCTCCGTCAATCTCGCTCTCGAGGTAGTGTGGTACGAAGCCGCCCGAAGGAGTGGCATTGGCAGTAACTTCCTGCTCGATCTCGGTCGATCGCTGAGATCGTTTCTTAGCTGGTAGAGCTAGAGAAGTCTTGAGGAATTCGAGGAACGAGGTCTTTCCGGAACCACGGGTACCCACGATCAAGACACTGTGAATCAATTATTAGTCTTAGCTGAGTACAGAGGAAAAGAATATGAGGAAATAGAGGGGGAAAAACATACTTGAAAGGAGTAGGATCCTTCCTTCGACGAACTCTTCTCGGGCTGTTGATAGTGCTAACGGCACTACTCGCATAGCTGTATCGGCCACGGTGCGTCATGCTTTCGGTGCGGGCGTAGGGATCGACCCAAGCTCCGTTGGGGACAGGTGGTACTGGAGGACTGGCAAAAGTTGAAGACATCGAAGGACGACCAGGATCGATAGATGCTCTGGGGGGATAACGGTGAAACGAGTGGTCAGCGGTTCCAGAAACGATTGCTATGGAATCTGGACGATAATCGCCTCCAAAACTTTGTAGAGGCGGAGGAGGTTGAGCACCATTGTAGAGAGCTGGAAGACGTGGAGGAGATTTGGGCACGGTTTCCCTGTGTTGGTCTTTCTGGTGCTTCTTCCCCTTGCCGAGGTCACCCGATTTACTGCGTCGAAGCAACATCCCGAAACTAGATCGACGAGGCGGTTGGCTCATAGTTTAATTCTTCCAAAACTAGCTAGCCTGTGCTAGAAACTCAAATAGCTATCCAGACTTGGATGTCGGGTACTATCGAAGATTCAAATGATCGTATTGACGACGGGTAACGACGTAATGATGATAAGTACCGGGATCCCGTTGGGGATATGTATCTTCGTAGACGAAAATAGGTGAAAAGGTACCGCAACTAGACGGTTTATAGCTCGAAAATAAGTTCAGACTACAAGACCGGTGTTTCCTTATTCTGCCCAATTTGCCAAATGACTTTCCCGGTGAGGGGGTTGCGAAGGTGTATTCGCAATTATTCTAGTACCTCTATACGGTAAAGGAGGGCGGGCGACTGAAAAAGGGTTGTTGCTTGCGTCTGATTTGGGGAAAGAGTATCCTTCGATCTCGTATTCGATGTACCTAAAGGTGTGTGGCAGGTAGATCCAAGTTCGATTGAAAGTTCAGTGATGCGCGTGCGAATCTTAAGAATCGTACGTCCCGTCTCTTATTCCCAGTCTGAAATTGAATGGATGGTTTTATGGTTTATACTTCAATAAACCAGTTGATTAATGGGTATCTCAACTTAGACAGATTCTACTGCCGGGTAAAGAACGAGGGCAAATGGACAAAACCAAGTGGCAGACGATCAACGTAAAGTAATTCGAAACTATCTAGAAGTCGCAGAGATTAAAGTCAGCCAGCTGTTATTAAGATCGTATCGTCTTGGGATAAATTAAAGTCAACTCTATGCCGACGTGGACGAGGACGTCACGACTGACACAGAACTGATGGAAATAACAGAAAAATCGCAGATGTTTCTCGTCCCTTTTCCCTTGGTGGCGTCTGGCGCATTAAGGGGAAAAGAAAGCGCCCTTTAGAATAAAATATGCTACCCAGATAGGTAGGGGGTAGAAGGTGAACCAAGGAAGCTGCAGCAGTTGTAACCAACCAACTAGCTTCAAGCTCTCATTTTCCTCGCTTCCTACTTGGTCTTGAATGGCGCGTCGGTGGTAGTGGGCGCAAATTGGATTGGACCGTATGGCACCTCAATTGGTACCTTCTCCGACGTGCTACGTAAACCAGAGTGGAAGTCTGAGATAGAATGAAAGGATGAATGGGCCAATCGAGAGTTTTACCTCTGTGATCTACCGCCCTGCAGGAGAGCGCAACAGCTAGAAGTCGTGCGATTACATACAATCCAAGAAATTCGACAAGAACTATCTTATAAAAGAAAAGAAAAATTGAAACACCTTCTGTACATACGACGAAGTAGAGATATCATTTAACGAACAAAACAAACCAACTGACCTTTCGAGAGAATGTAAATGTGAATAGCGAATGAATGTCGAATCGCGACGGAGTGGTCAGTTCGCGATTATCGTGCTGGAACAGATCTTGGTTAAAAGACGTGCGTAGTGCGCAAGTGGTGTCTTTCTGGGAGGGCGTTTAACGGGCTGTTCGCAAAATTGGGTCGGTCGATGCAGATTAAAAAAAGGGTCTCTGTGCCGTCCCCCGGATGCTGTTGAAGATCAGACGACAGTGCGATTCCGTGCAGAATTGAGGATTGTTGAAGGAATATTCCACAGTTAACGCATGAACATATAAAAAAACTGATGTTATGTCTAGAACGATAAACTGTCACAGCTTCAACAATATTCGCTGGCAAGGGTGTACACAGCACACATCATCGAAGAAAAATCGATGTAAAAATCAGAAGGTGAATCTGTCAAGCTTCAAACATCTCGACGATTACACGAGATGAGCTCCTAACCTAAAATGTTTCCCTCTGCCAATCTGATTCAAAAAAGGGGAAGTGCACCTAGTAGGCTACATTTCTTAGCGTTAGGTGCTGTACCAGTGTACCTGAGTACCCCAAACTGCCCAGGTACCTACGCGTATCCACGCTGATGCCACGCTTTGAGTTGGTGGTTTCATGTGAAATTTGATTCGTGATTGGGCAAGGTGCATCAACCAAGCAGGACTAGCGCTGAAGCTAGTCAGAGTTGGTTCCGGAGGAAGTGACACAGAAATATCCCGACGACCTGGCTGAATGGTGGAGTAGGAAGGTACTTAGCTACCTGAATAAGTAAAGCGTCATAAAAAAAGAGCTTAGGTTGCTCAGGTTCGATGCATGTAATAGCCACTGTAATATCCAATACTTCGGGCTATTCACATATCTGGTAAGTATCTCCTGATAGTATGCACATATTCCCTACATGTTCCCTACATATTCTGGAATTGTTTCTGGAATTGTGCCATTCTCTATTGTTACCTTGGGAAACAATTTCGACATCGACGATGGCTTGACGTTCGTAACACCAACGATCCCAACGGCACGCCAAACTTGTTTACTTACCGTAGGAGTTTACACGAACAGCCACACGGTAACCTGCATTAAAACACCACTAGTAACCAGCCCAACTAGAAATTCTCCAACCAGTACCCGCGTGGGATCGAGTGGGCTCTCCTCCACGTGCGGCTTCTGCTAGCAAATTCCTTGCAGAATCGGGTACACGTAGTTTGTCTCGGCTACCAACGTCTAATGATCCTAATCCAATATCCTATCATATATGAAATGTCCACGATCTCGATACAGGTATATGCCTCGATCCGACCAAGACATCGCTAGGATAGGTTGGGTAACCGCCTCGAGAACCAACCAAACTACTCCGTTTCTGTAAGGCTCCCTAAGGGCTATATATCTTACATATACCAGTTCATATCACCGTTTGTCCCTTGTAGGAACATTCCTCCAAAAATAGTATAATGCCACAATATAAAAAAAATGCAAAAGCCCTTCATCACTTTATCATATATGTATAAGGAAATTTTCACTTTTAACTCGCTGCCTGTACAATTTATGAGGTGAACATATAATCCCTTAAGGGATTTCGTAGTACTCTACACTATAGTACAAACCGGCCGTATGCTTTATATGCAGTCATCAGCCCCCAATCCGTCTATGGTTTTATGATTCTACGTGGTATTTAGTTAGCAGAGATGTCATGTCTTCTAAATCTAGGACTCAGCCCTCGAAAACCTCATGTTGTAACTCGACGCCAAAGTCTTTCGCCATGTCTCTCATGCGAGCCTCGACTTCATCCTCCATCCCGCCTCCCCATCCAAGCCACTGTCTAAATTTAAATGTGTAGAACGCCACATCGGTAGCGAACAGTACTGTCTTGAAGAGGAGATGTTGCCACATATTGGTCATGCGTTCCCGCCACGGAAGATTCGGGTCTTGGAACAAGCTCCTACTTGCCCAATTGCCCATCATTTTAACACGATTAACGGGAGATCCCATGAATTGGTTATTACCCTGAAAATGACGTGTCAGTTGGTTGAGCTCAACAAAATGGATTACAGGTATAAACAAAAGAATATGTACCTGCACGATACGCATGTTGCGACCGATAAAGATGAGCTCCTTGGGCCATTTCTCCTCGTCCGACAGTATCTCGCGAATGCCCTGCTTCATTCGCTGTTGGGCTTCATAATGTCGCTCAGAAGGCGTTTTACCCTTGAGTTCTTTCATGATATGGCCTCTCGTGCTTTGATCACCTCCCTCATAAGGGCGCATGAGCGTTGCGCTTGCAAATAAATCGGGCGCGTTGACGCCCCAGTCCTTCGTGATTTCGGCAATCGTCTCGTTGTCAAACGTCATGAGCGACTTCCAGAATAGAGCATATTGGTGCTTAAACTTAGGTGACATATAAACGTAGAGTCCGTGATCGATGAGGACTAATTCAGCTTTTCCTGACGGTAAACGTCTTATGAAAATATTGCCTGGGTGGGGATCACAGTGGACGACACCCCATTTGAATATCTCTGCGATATGTTAGTTTCTAAGGTTGTTTCTAAGCCTGGTAAGTCGGGAGAGAATAGGAGGTATTAGTTACTCACTACCCCCAAGTCAGCATAAACTCAAAATTGAAAATAGCATCCAGGGGCAAGGACCGTCTCATACATACCGAGCAGAAAAGAGATCTACCATCGTGGTCATGACCTCCTTACTAGACAACCCCAACCCGCCTTTTCCATTTCGTCCTTTCCAGGTATCTCGATCAGGCTTCAACTTTTCTTTAAAGGGATTCTCTCGCAGCTCTCGTCGTGCTGCCTCCCAATCAGACTGGTTAAACTGTAACTGAGCGCCGTGAACACCAGCAGACCCAGACCCTCCCAGCCAACGACCACCCGTTGCCTTCTTATCCCAGAGCCTAACACCTTCGATCCATTCTGTGACTAGGACTCGTCTCGTCGTGAACTCCGGGTAGACTTGTGGGATATATACTCTGCCCTTAAGGCTAGGCTCCGAGTTAACGAGTTGCCGCATCATCTCCGAATTCTTAGCCTCAGCTTCGAAATCCGTTTCCAGTAACAGCCGTTCCGTGATAAAAGGTACCAAGCTGTATAACGGGAGATCGAACCACCATGTGTAAATCCGCATTACGACTCTACCTCGCCGGTCAGCGCATCTCCCACAATGCCAATTTCAAGGGACTTACTTGAAAGCCCACAGATCCCAACCGACCTGTTTCGCGATCTCTGGCTTCTGCAACTTAACCGCGACCTCCCTCCCATCAGGCAGCCTCGCCCAGTGAACCTGCGCAACACTCGCACTAGCCCTCGCCCTCCGTTCCATCAACCCCTTCCCCTCCTCGCCCGTAAAACTAACCCCAAACACCTCCTCCACACTCTTCCCCCCAAAGTCCTTACGAATAACCTTTTCAACTTCTTTCCACTCGTCCTGCGGCGCATCGTCAAACATCCTCGCAAACATCTTCTGAAACTCCGGCGGCAGGACCGCGCTCTGCATCGCAATAGCCTGACCGATCTTAAGATACAACCCGCCGTTCGACCTCAGAAGCTCGAATAACCGTTCTGCGCTCCGGCGGTGCAAGTCCTCGATAGAGCCCCCAAAGATAGGCTCAGCGCGGAAATTGATCTTATAGTCGAGGGCGACGAGCAGGCCCGTGCCGAAAGTAAGTAGGGATCGACCGACCCCCTTCGCGAAGGCATAGTTATCGATCTCGTAGGCAACACCCGTAACCAGCGAGACGACAAGCAGACGACGGCCCCATCTTCGTGTACGCTTGAACTCGCGGGCAGCTTTCGGCTTGCCGAGGGAGGCGGGGGAGGGCGGACGCAGGGGCTCGAAGGAGGCGGACCGGGATTGGCCGATGCGCCGGGCGAAGGCGCGAGACTCGATAGCGATGCCGCCATGCCGCGCTTGGCGGGCGAGCCTCGCTGCTCCGTTGCGGAACATGACCCCGGATGAGCGGGCAGGTTAGCTGCCACACGTGACGGGCTTCAGACAAGCTTCCGGCCGCTTGTGGTACATGAAGGGAATCTCGATTTCCTACTATGAGACTACCTGCTACGGGTTATGACGAACGGACTACCTATGTATGTATTATTTCATACTTGGAAGGTGCCAAGTGGTTACGGGGTGGGAATAATTTGCGTGTAGGCAGTCACGCAGGTAGGGAAGCTACGGGCTGACATCGATGACGAAAGATGCTTTTTTTCTTTATCTTTATTTGGTTTTTTATCTCCGTTGACGCCGAGTCCGCCGTTCTTGTGCCAAGAGTCGGAGATCCTTTGACCCGTTTCGCCGTCGGGTCCGATTCTCGATTAGGTAACCCTATATTATATAATCTTCAATTGAGTTTCTATGGATGCTTCATATTTAATGATCGCGGCGCCCTCTCTTTTCCGAAGTAGGTGAATTTCTCATAATATATGGTGTATTCTTTGAGCCCAACTTCAATTCCTACCTATGCATCTCAGGTGATAACCAGCGACTATTGATTGGAGGTAGGTACTTGAAATATGTATTAGAAAGCTGAAGATCAGCCTAGGTACATATTCCCCACTATATCGGAGAAACTACAATTAAATGTCCGCAAGTTTTTCTAAGACCGAAAGATGGAAAGAACCATTCGTATAGTTCGCAAAAGTCGTACAAACTTGTTCTTAATAACCAAAAATTAGAATCTAGTTTCATGAAACCTAAACTCTTCAGCCGCTTGATGGCTGTCCCCTGTAATCTGAGGCTCTGCATTAGAAGCCAACGATATGCTGTAGCAGCGTAGATCACAAGTTTGGTCTAGGATCCCTGGAAGTTTGAGAAAGCTTACGCATTACGAAACGCGCTTCGCTGGGTTCTTCCTCGAATTCAAGCGCAAATCAGAATCTCCGATTGAGAAGTACCGTACCATCGATGAAGTCGAGCGCTTCTCCACGATCATTTACTACCAGGATAGATGGCCACTTTTTGTTCAATGGTCAAACTTCTAGGATTTCTTTTCATAGTTCATCATGTTTTGATCCATATGACTCTCTATTCTGGTTGGTTCACTTCGTATGAAAGACTATTTTCTGTCAATTACCTTGGCACCTAAAGTTTAGGTTCTTCATGATGGTAAAGAGACTCCTATGAGAAAGAACTCAACGTTAAAGCCTCGACCGAGTAATGCTTTGGATTTAATACCTAACTATACCGGTATTGGCATGCTCTAGGCATATCTCTATCAGATATCATAAGTTGTGGTTCGTGATCAACCTATGAATCCATTGGATGCTCAAGTTGTTTCGTAGGTGGATGGGAACGATTCAAGGTTTACCAGACTTGAGATGGCTAAGATCAGTCTAAGTAAATCATTCCCTTCCCAGGTTAGAAATGACAATTTCCCTCGAATTACCGACGCTACTAGGTAGGTATTACAGGAATAGAATATGTTTGCTTCTTTGTATGAGGTATATGATAAGTCCTGGTTCGTTGAATCATATCTGTGGCTTAACCTATCCAATTGCTACTATTGGTGGATTGATTCGTAAAAGACATAATCCCATCTTCTTGTCGATCGATTTATTCTTCTTTTCGCCGACCTTCTTCTTTGAGCTACCTTTGTATATCTTGGTTGTTGGCCTACGTAAAGGTTCAAGAACCGATGATAAGGTTATTCTTAGTCCTTGTAGTTTGCCAATAGTCATTTTAAGCTCTGTTCTCTAGAGCCTTGCATCGTACATCTTACGGTGTGTATCGGGCGAGTTTGTGCTTGGTGGATAATGCAGTTAATAACCGTTTATATCATCTATTTGGTTCATACTTATACCGCTTGCCTCAGAGACCCTGAATCTAATAGAATGCAACATAACATCGTGAGTAGGTTGTCATATGCCCGGCTGAGTATTCTCCGACAGTCAAAGCACCAGATACGTCAACGGAAAATCCCGTGATACTCAAGTTTAGCCTATCTGGAGGGCTGCAGCACTTCGGCTTTCTAAGTTACGGATAAGCTACTGGCTGCCAGCTCATCGCATCAATACGACGTGCGGTGACGGGAGCCGCCCAGGTAGGGAAGCCTTATTCCGACGTTCGCTTCAGACGGAACTCAGGCGCTGACTCGTCTGCCTGTGTATCTGCGTTATCTGTCACTGTCCTGTGGTTATAATAGGTACCAAGACGGCACCGTTTTCCGGCTTGTCGAAGCACAGCATCGCATACAATTATCGTCATGATAATCATAATCGGCTGCTTGATTTTAACGTCATTTGACATGAATATTTCCCTCAAACTTGGAGACGAAGACGGAAAGACATGTATGTTGGGTAAAAACGCCACCTGACTAGGTAGGTTGCTTTTAAACTTGCTGTCCCGTTAGGCTGTGATGCTATGCCCTGTTTGCGCGGACGTATGGATGTCATGTTGCTTTTTGTTAATATCAGACGGGGCTATGTTTGCAGTTGAGTCGCTCAGGATTTATCACCGAGCTACGGCGTAGTGGTGGGTTTCTCGCATACGCTACTGTAGAACTCGGTGGTATATGACAGTTCTTATCGGCGTTGTACGTGTATTCATGATGACGAAGTCTAGAACCGATTGAGATATCTAGGATATGCTCTGTAATAGGTAGTGTGTACGCTGTAAATACCGAAGGATTCAATGTTGAATAAATCAAGAAGTGAAGTACCCAGCTGCCCAGTAACGTGTATCAAGTCAATCACCTAATTTAGCAACTCTAGTGCTTGTTCACTAGATCTTTTAGTTAAGACTTCTAGTTACTTCAGGGCTCGTTCCCCGATTAGCCCCGGCCGCTAGCCCTAACAGCCCAGTTCCCTATTAGCAGTAACAAGCTCTGCTAGTCTTCTAGGCAGGTACGGTATCCACAGTCAAGGCGCCTTCTAACGCTTCTGACGCTTCAACGTAGGGGAGTGCGTGGGCAGGTGGGCTAACAGGGCTAATAGTGCGCTAAGCCACTCTTTTAATCACATTGGCAGGGGTATACAAGAAGAATACAAGGGTTGTCAAATCCAGACCAGCAAGATCACCAAATCAATTGCGTGCGGTCCCTAGTAAAGTCCCCCCTTTGTTCTTCCATGCTGACCCACCCGCATGTAAGTAATTTGTACCCTTTCCACTTTCCGCTTTGCAATCACGGTCTCGTCCCACCCACCCAAGCAATCTTACAGACGCTCTTCCTTCCAATCAACCCAATCAACTCGACTTCTCAAGTCGACTTCTCGATTTCAACTCTTCGTCACCACTGGCACTGCCACCGACATCGAGCCAGCACCTAGGCAATCCAATCCCGCCACTTCGATCGATATTGTCCTTGAATACCTTTAGTCACTCGTTTCTGGAAAGCGTGTTAGGTAGACGATATTTTGGTTTTTATTTTAACAATAGAAGAACAGGGTCCAAGAGGTTTCGGAGGTCTTAGAAGGAGGAAATTAGGAAATTGTGGAACGAGTTCGCGTATTTGGTTATCGAGTGTTCATGGACGAACGGCGAGCAACATTTCTATAACGAAACAACATCAAATTACGACGCCGCCTAATTTTCGAGAGTCCCGATCGTTCTACATGTCGTCACCGTCGAGATCCGTTTACTTCAATTGGAAACCCTCGTATGCGCAAACATATTATTACCTTTAAGATTTAGGTCCACAGGTCTCGAATTCCGATCCAACGAAGGCGACGACAATCTCTACGGCGTCGCGACTCGTCCGAGTCGGCGCACGCTCCTAAGCCGCCATCATGTTGCGACCGGCTACACCTCTGACGGTGTTGCTTTTTGCAGCATTCGCCATGTTGTTGCTTGCGGTTCTGTCGACTCCTATTATTAAAGCGATCCCTCTTGGTACCTACAAAGGCGTCAGCTTTGGAGTCTTCGGTTATTGCGATAGCACCAACAAGTGTAGTCCGATAGAAATTGGATATGATACATGTATGTCTAACCCTATCTTTGTCATCATCCTTTTCGCGAAGGACTGTTGCAGACCATAACTAACATATTGATAGCGAAACTCTTTTCTCAGGCAGACTCGGCCACTTTTGACTTACCCGCTGGGACACGGACGACGTTATCCGCCATCCTCGTGGTCCACCCAGTTGCATGCCTTCTTACCCTAGTGATGTTGATTCTTGCCATAGTCGCCCACCTTCATTCACCTTCACATTCTTCTCGTTATTTGTTGCTTCTCTTCATCTTCGGCATCATTACATTTTTAGTATGCCTTCTCGCCTTTCTAATCGACGTCTTACTTTTCGTTCCTCATATGGCATGGGGCTCCTACATTGTCTTAGCTGCTACCATACTTGTATTCCTTAGTTTCATTGTTTCGTGTGCTATGCGCCGCACTTTGGTTAGCAGAAAAGCAAGAAAGAGGCGAATTGCAGAGAATGCCGAGATGAGTGGGGAGAATTACTACAATCGCCAAGCCCAGGATGATGTGGCACCTTCTACTACAACTATTTCAAGGCAGCCGACTGTTCCTGTCGTTAGCGGGGCAAACGGACCAGCGGATAAGATAGCCCAGTTTGCTTCCTATGAGAAGAAGGACGATCGTAGTAGCGACGAGCGTATACCTCTAACCGCTAGGTCTCCTTCTGATAGGTCCCCGAATGGGGCCGCTGTCGATACTAGTATGTCCGGTACTACGTATAATGTACCCCAGCGATCTGGCTCGAACACCTCGGTAGCAAGGGATCAGTACGGCAACCCCATAGATCAACCCCAAGAAAGTTATGCCATGCGACGAGGGCCGTCTTTTGAAAGTATGAACTCAAGAGGCCGTGGTGGTCCTCCGGCTGGATATAGGGGACGGGGCGGTTACGGAAGAGGAGGTTATGGACCGTATGGCCCCCCTGGTGGAAGAGGTGGAAGGGGTGGATATGGCCCGCCACCGGGGAGAGGCGGGTACGGACCACCCGGTCGCGGTGGATACGGACCACCGCCAAATGGACGGGGAGGTTACGGTCCGCGTGGAGGTTATGGCCCTCCCGGAATGATGAGAGGTGGAAGAACACCGCCGCCAGCTTACCAAGGCGGCGCGCCCTATGACCGACGACCATCCCCGGCCAATGCTTATGGAGACTACGGTCCAACCCGACAAATATCCCCAGCACCTCAAGGAGGCCCATATGCGATGGATGCCCCGCCTATGCCAAGCGTCCCAACTGGCGCAGCGGAAGCAGGTGGCTTCCAAGCTTATCAGCCTGACCGTGCTAGTGAATTACCTAGAGCAGAATCCCCACCTCCGTTACCCGGTATGGATGATGCCCATGAAGCTCCTGTAGGGCAAGCAGTGGAAATGGATGCTGTCACTGGAAGTCCTGCTCATCCTCCTCAAGGCTTCGGCCAATTTAACAATCAGCTCCGAGACAGCGACGCTGATGTAGCCGGCATGCTAGCTCTACAACAAGCAAGAACATCTGGGGCACAACCGCAACGGCATGATACATTCATGAGCGAAGGAAGCAGATATAGCCAAGAGGAGTAAGCTGAATCGGGTTTAATTAAATAAAAATGGGTTTCATTGCTAACAAGTTTATCTAGTAGCCAATTTGTTCCGGCTCGACAAGCGTGGAACCAAGGAAATATGCGACCTTCGGCTGTACCGTCACCTCTTCAAATCCCCATCAATACACAAGAGATGGGCAATAGGACACCGCCGCCGCCCATGCCGACACAACAGCAACCGGCGAGTGGCGAGACAGGAAATTATTATGAAGATGTAGATCCTCGCTTCACTGAACCAGCACGTAGGCCACAACAACCGCAACCCATTCACGAGGAACCAATGCCTTATGATGACATACCGCCGCCCAGAAGTCCGGCGATATCTGAGCAATCGGGATTTACGTCAGTCTCGCAACGGGGTATAAACCCTCGATGGAACCCACCTCCTGGTCAAGGGTTTAACCCAGGGATGCCGCCACGCAAGCCGGTCGGCCGAAACGAAGTGAATGTTCTTAATAGTAACCCGGACTTTCAGCTGCCGTCGACCCGTGGAGGACCAAGTTCTGGAAGGGGAGGGGGCATGATACCCGGGAGCGCATACCCAGGCATATAAGACCTTGCATTCATTAATATCCTTTCTTCGGGCATTGGAAATAGTGGAGTTTCCGGATGGCTTCATTTGCGGATTCGAACACTTCAATATCGAATACGATTCTTTAATCACAGATGCTGTTCAAGCACTTTCTCTCGCATCAGGACATAGTCCGTCCATTCCGATTTTACAACTGACGTCTCTTCTCTTTTCCTATCATCAATTCCGATATACCCTCGTACCTTAAACAATTTTTCTCTTCGACCTACGACTTCTTTGGCTCGTTGCCACACCCCCTGCCGGCGTCAGAAATACGTACCTTCTCCTTGAACAGCATACCACGGATCATGGGCAGATAACCTCCGCTATCATGATTCACGAACCTACAAGAGGTTTAATCCATCGTCACCAATTTTTATCATTCTAAACGCTTCAGGCAACGAGCAAATAACCAGTCTCTACCGCCATTGATTGGACAAGAGCTTGGAGACCGAACTTGTAGTAGTAAGCAACTACCTAGGACAGGGGCAGTTACTAACTGCCCGTCCTTTTGAAAAGTTATGTGGGGGGGAATGTATTCCGGGGGCGCCTTTTTTGCTTTGCGCGTTAGGGTAATGCAAATAACCTCAACTTAAGCTCGGCTTGGCTGATGTACGGGAGCTATTTACCTAGATACCTTTTTTTTCATATTTGGGTAAATGGGCTGTGTACATGTTGGTCGCGGAGAAAAGCAGAGCATGGGCGTGTGCTTGTTTGTTGTCGTTGCCTGATGCGCTGAGCGGAGCTGAGCTAGGCTAGGCAGGGCAGAACAGAGCTGAGCAGAACAGGTAGTGCTGAATGCTAAGAATGAACAAATGAATGAGACTTTAGTGATTATGATTGCCGATGTGAGTGTAGGTGTAGACGTTAGGCGTAAGCTTTGCTTTCAGATTGTAAGGTCGGGTGCATACAATGAACTGACTGGTCTAGATAATCAGTGGACTAAGTCGCTACTCTTTGGTGTGGGGGGGATAGAATGAATTAATTCTATTTTACCTACGTACCTAGGTAGGTAAGGGGTGGGATGTACTGTTTATATCACAGCCTTTCTCATGAAATCATAGGCTATTTTTTCGAGCCTAGACGTTGGAGGGCACGTCTCCTTGCTTTGCTTTACTCAGACGGAAACAGAACGCCATCTAGGAATTTGGATGGTTGGAGCCAGGATGGATGTGAGATGTTGTAGAGGCTTTCTTGACGAAGAGGAAGAAACTGATCACCCACCCGTTCCCGTAATTGTCCAGTGGCGTAGATATGCCCCTTTAGCATAACGAATGGGCTGGTGGGAATGTCAAAACTTCGACATACGATATGGGACTGTTAGGTAAAGCTGGTTTGATGATACTAGGTAGTATATCGGTCCTTGAAAGTTATTCCTGCTTAGAAATGAAGTAATTTGTCTTTTATCTAAGTCGATGATAACGTCGGTTTAGATGCTCCCATAGAGGTGATATAGTTCCAAATCAGTAGAGTGGGTGATTGTAGTCTCAAGCACCCATAGTTATGACCTGGTTAAAATCCAGATGTCCGTCCGCTTTGGTAGAAATAAAAAACCTGTCACGTATCAGAGCAGCATGATTGGCATTTGGTATATTTTTGTCATTCCTCTAGGCAGTGCCTATGTCCATCCATGCCTTGCCATGCACAGAAGATTGAGATTCCTGGCCACGCGAAAAACCCCTAATGCAATGAGAAAAGAGCAACCGGCAGAAGAACCCAGAAACACCACGCGACCGCCGCATCCATCCACCACCTTCCCCTTCCTTAGATGGTCGTCTCGTACGCGATAGGAGCCACCGTCTCGGGTTGGTTGTCCTTCATGGACACGGTGTGCGCCTCACGGGGTTGAGTGGCTTGTCGCTTAACGGTGAGAGTGGTTCCCTCGGCCTTAGCCTTCTTCTTGAGCTCGGCGTTCTGCTTGACGCGCTTAAGGAAGTCTTCTCTTGATCGGGATCGGCTGATGTGCTCGATGCGGAGGTTGATTCGCTTCTCGATGTACCGGTGCTTGACCTTCTTGTAGACGATGACGCCTACTGCGGTCTTGGTGACGTTGTAGACGACACCGGTCTTTCCGTGGTAGACCTTGTGAGGCATACTATTCCTCTAGTCAGCTCTAGTTCCTTGATAGCCATTGTGATTTTCGCCAAATTCGCAGTCTTCGTGTGTCTGGATTCGATTCGATCGCATTTTCGGTAGAATTGGAAAAGCCTTACCCCTTCTGAACTGCACCATTTGCCTTGATATCGACGATGTCGCCAACCCTATCCAATTGTTAATGTTTTTCTCCAGCGAATAATATCCCTAAGTCGAAACGTACTTGTACTGTTGTAGGTATGTAGAGAGGCGGATCATACCCTTCTGTCGGAAGTTCCGAGAGAAGGCATACTGTAGAATTTTGTCAGTCCCCTTCCCATACTGGACGAATTGCAAATTGTCGAGAATTGGATTAAACGTACTCGAGTGCCAGCGCGTAGACCTGCGGCGTGACCCATCTTGTCGGTGTTGTGGTGTGGCGAGAGAAAGTTGTTTTGGTGATGGGAGTTGATTGATTTCTCTCGATGGATGTCGCTTCTCAAGAAATTCGCTTAGGAATTTTTTCGGGGCTTGATTGCGGTTGTGGACGTTAGTAAGTTACTGCCCACTTGGTACACTGCGCGCAGCTGCCAATTAAGCGAGGGGTACTGCATCCAAATTGGGTTTAGTTCTACACTTGCCCTACTCCATTCCACAAACCCACTTAATTTCTATTCAAACTTTGACCTCCAACTTTTCTGATTCGCTTTCTTACTTTGCGAAATCCCACGACATCTTCAATTTCCTCATTCCTTTCTTTCGACAACACCATCCGAAAGACAATTGAGTCGTCGCAACTATGGCGCCTTTGTCTTACTCTAAGACCGCAAAGGTCCCCCGTCGTCCCTTCGAGGCCGCCCGTCTGTCAGTAATCACCGGCCACTGAGCTAGAGCTTGCCTCTACTTACGTCGATTGTGAAAAATAAACTGACATGGTCGCCAATATAGTGATTCCGAGTTGAAGCTCGTTGGAGAGTATGGTCTACGAAACAAGCGTGAGGTCTGGCGTGTCCAGCTTACCCTCTCCAAGATTCGTCGTGCTGCCCGGTATGTTTTTCTAATTTCCTCTTCATTTCCATATCTGATAACTTCTACGCGCATTATATTTATTTCGTCCATACTAATATTTATCGTAATTTAGTCAGCTTCTTACCCTAGACGAGAAGGACCCCAAGCGTCTCTTCGAGGGAAACGCTCTCATTCGCCGTCTCGTCCGTGTCGGTGTGCTCGATGAGTCCCGCATGAAGCTCGATTACGTTCTTGCCCTTAAGGTCGAGGATTTCTTGGAGCGCCGCCTCCAGACCTGTGTCTACAAGCTCGGCCTCGCCAAGTCCATCCACCACGCCCGTGTCCTCATCCGTCAGCGACACATCCGCGTCGGCAAGCAGATCGTCACCGTTCCGTCTTTCATCGTCCGTCTCGACTCCCAGAAGCACATCGACTTCTCTCTGACCTCGCCCTTTGGTGGCGGGCGCCCTGGCCGTGTTCGCAGAAAGAAGGCTAAGGCTGCCGAGAAGGGTGGCGATGACGAGGAGGAGGAAGAGGAAGAGTAAATGTAACGCCTTCCATGAAATCATGTGGATTATTCGGCGGTGGGAAAAACTGATTACATTATGGCGGTATGAAACAAGATCATACCTCACGGCGTTAGGCCAGGGGATTCGGAATGCATGAAGAAATTTCACCACCGTTTAATAATCAATGCTCTACGTGATATGTGATTTACTGATTTGACTCTTTTGTGTATTAATGTAATCTACCTCACCTATGAGGTGGTACTATCAAACCAGCTCATCCTTCCCTAAGAACTTCGCCATAGGGTCATCTGCCGCTGCTCGTTTCCTGCGGTATTCGTCAAGCTCGGCTTCCGAAACACCACCCTTCATCTCCTCTATCGTGCGTTTCTTGCCGGCTTGCTGTGGTGGTTCAGCCTCATCTGCCTTTTCTTCAACAGTTTTCTCTTCCTCCTGAACTGGAGCCTCTTCGATCAAATTAGCGCCTATCCTTTGCTTCTCAGCCGCTTCCCAAGCCTGCTTGCCCTCCTCGCCCGTGCAGTAACTATTCTTAATAAAGGAGTGACAGCACGAGTAACCCCATTTGAAATTGGACCACCAGCTGCCCCATACTGAGGTATGGTTGTTGATGAACACGTCTTCGGTGTACTTGGACTTCGCACTGGCTCTTGGCGCACCCTTGATTAGACCGGATTCGTCGTACTCGACGAACTGCTCTGATTCCGTGACCGCAGCTTCCCGTAGCGATGCGGGCATCTCGTGCGTTGAGCCGCCGTACTTATCCGCTAAAGCCTTTTGCCGTTCTAGTTTCTTGCGCTCGGCTTCCTCACGCTCCTTCTTGCGGTAGTATTCACCAGCTGTGGGGTTCGCTTGCATGTGCTGTCGAGTGTCGCCGGATTTCTCTTGCGCCTCCCACGCGTATTGCTGCGCTCGCTCGAATTCAGCTGCGTCGCCTGATGCGCGTAGGAATCCCTCTTCGGCAAATAGAGCTGCTGCTTTATCCGCAGTCGCGCCGGCGTCGACCATTGTCCGTGTCTTGGGGTCGTATTTCGCGGACTCGAGGTCTAGGTTAAGTAGGTACTTCGCCGTGTCCTCACGGATACGCAGTTGCCGCGTCGCCGTGCTTTGGTGCCTCCCCATATCAGACTCCTCGGCGTACTTCTCACCCGTGTCCTTGCCTTCTTCCTCGCCTTCACCCTCGCCATCCCCGTCCTTATCTTTCGAGACGCCGGAGACCTGATTTCGTAGATCGTCCATCTGCTCGTACCGCTCCACCACGCGGCGGTACTCCTTCGGATCGTACCCGTTCCACCGATCGCGCTTGGCGTCCCAGCCTAGCTCGACCTCCTGCACCACCTCGTCGGCTTGGATGTCCCTCCCCGTCCACTTTGCCCCTTTGGCGCGCGGTCGGTTCAGGCAGTCTTTCGCTTTGTGCGTCATCGCGCCGCAGTTCTCGCACGCTCCTTTGCGGTACTTGGTTGCGGCTGGCCCGAGCTTGCGGCCGCGGTCGTACCATTTCGATTGGTCGTCCTTGGTCTTGTGTAGACGTTGATGCTCGAGGTAGTCTGTGCCGTCGCCTTCTTCACCTGCGTAGAAGGGCCGCTTGCTGATGAAGGATGGGATGTAGATGTTTTCTTCCTTCGACGCGGCGGAGGCTTTGGAGTCGGCGCGCCGCGAGGGCGGCGGTGGAGGTGGTGGTGGCATGATGGTTAGAGTTGTGTTTGCGATTATTGAGAGGTTTGTTGGACGAAGGGGTTCAAATTCCCCGTGAGGAGATTAGGAATGGGATGTAGAAATCCGTCGTCGTGGAAGTATTAAGAAAATGAAGTTGATGATTGAATTAAGCAGATGGATGAACTTTGATAATCTGAGGTACGTATCTCCGTATCAAAATGTGGCTGTGCATAGCGGAAATCAGGTTCGTTACGCTTAGTCATACAGTGGCTTGGATATTGAATCTAAAAGGCAGTCACCAGCCAGTTCATACCTAGTAACACATGTGCATGGAAAAGCTATATCTTAGGCAGATCGTCATTTTCAACTTGATCTAGGTGATATGTAGCATGTAAATTAAGCTGAGCTTTTAGTCCTTATCCATGTCGCGTAACTGAGAAGTAAGGGCTATGATGCCCATTCGGACTGCTCGTTGATTACTAATGTATCTAGTCAAATAAATAGTGTGGATATTCAGATATATGTATGTAAAAATCATTGATATGTACAAAACAGTATACTTACGTCATATTAACAAACGTTGCACATGACAGCGCGTCGCGACCGCTACCAGTCCACTATCACTGCATCATTTAATCAACGCGTCTACCTTTAAAGCAGGGATAGCATTCAAGGACAAAGCTCCCTCATATTCTTCATGTGTAATACTTATGCTTCAGTTGGGCTTATGCAAAGTCCTCCGATAGGCATTTATTCCCTATGCACTCTCCATTCTCGCCGGCGTTACTATGTCTAAGTCGCCATGGACGTTTTCCGTGTGCGGCTAAATTGCATAGACCACTACCAAGCTATCCCGACCAAATATGATCCTCAGCTTCGCAATGACGTTCATCCGTCTCAGTTGAGTAAAGAACCTAGAGTTCCAGTCGTTAGGGTATTTGGGTCAACGGAAACAGGCCAGAAGGTTTGCGCACATATCCACGGAGCCTTCCCATATCTGTATATCGAGTATGATGGGAGCTTACTCCCCGATGATGGTAAGGCATATATGAACTACGTGTGGCTATGATTCTAACTCGGCATCTTAGTGGGTGCTTATATATATCGGCTCCATCTATCTATCGACCATGCCTTGGCCGTAAGCTACCGTCGCAATGCCTATGATGGCAAGAGCAAATATGTAGCGAGGATTACTCTCGTAAAGGGGATACCATTCTACGGTTTTCACGTCGGCTACCGCTTCTATCTCAAAATTTACATGCTCAACCCTCTAGTTATGACTAGGCTTGCCGAGTTATTTCAACAGGGCGTCATTATGAAGCGGAAGTTTCAGCCTCATGAGGTACATCTGCAATACTTGCTGCAGTTCATGACCGATTACAATCTTTATGGGTGCGGGTATATAGAAACCCAAAAGGTCTGTTTCAGGGCCCCGGTACCTAGATATGAGGACGATACAGAACTACCTCACATGTGGCACAGTCAATCGGTGTCACGGGCTTTCATAACGGACGACGCGGATCTCCCTCGTGCCAGCCATTGTTCCATTGAAGTGGACATATGTGTCCAAGATATCCTCAATCGACATGAGATCAAGGAGAGGCAGCTCCACCATGAATTTGTTGAGAGAAAACATCCCTTACCCTCCGATATGAAACTGGTTCACAGTATGGCTGGGTTATGGAAAGACGAGACAAAACGCCGAAAAAGAAGGATGCTGGGTCAAACACCAGGAAGCAGCCCATTCCCTCCAGAAGTGCTGGTTTCTATGTCCGCAGACCCACGTCATTCGCAACCCCCTGGGTGGATACACGAGGAAGAATATAGGGACCAGGTTCAGGGTTTGATAAGACAAGAACAGGAGCAAAGCGACGGGAGTAAGATCAACTTTAATACCTTTATACCGAACTTGCCCTTAGAAGCAACTGTTAAAACTACGTTGCAATCAGTTGAGGATCTCTATCCTGGAAACCTGGACTCTGCTCTTTGTGTCACAAGCCAACGTTTTGAAGACGACGAGAATCCGACCAGCAGCATTTTCGTGGATGATGACCGTATTCGCGATATTGAACTGGATGATGATGGAGTCTTTCCGGAAGACTCGGATGAGCAAAAAGTCCCTAATATGGACCTAGGAAAGAATGCTCAAGTCCCGGAAGTCAAGAATTTAGGCAACGAAAGTCCATTAAAAGCGAGAAAATCGCCAAATATAAATATCAGAAAAGATTCTAGCAACTCACCAGACCAGACCAGTCTATACAAGTCGCCAGACTTAAGTAATGGATCAGATAAAGAGAATCGTCCAGAAGTGCTCTTCAATGGGGTGCACGTTAGTTGCTTACGTCTAGCGCGCCGACCACATATACCTGTTTCGAACGCCTTACTTGATGTTGCAAGGGAACAGGGGTTGGTGAGCAAAGCTCCTCGGGATTCACAGCATGCTCATCTAAATGGAACTACAAAACGCCCATCCTCGTCGCTGTTAAAAGAACAGGGACATAAGCGTCGACGTGTAGGCTTCCTCAATACTGCGGACGCCAATGGCGTAAATGCAAAGGTGCCCATGACAACTTCGGGAAGGTTAGATGACCAAGAGGTCCGAACGAAACCTTCGCAGCCTACACAATCGAAATCAAAAAGCGCGCTCAAGGTGTCTGGAAACCAGGCTCTTAACTTCCCAGTTGTTAAAAATCCTAACGATCCTAGTACGAAGTTTCGACTAAGCCAGCAGACGAATTCTCAGAAAAGTGAAGGCGGGGAACCCGTGAAGCATGTTACATTCGACTCATGGACGCCGATAGAAGAGACGAGTGGGGATTCAACATCGCTTACGGCGAGGCTCGGGCCTAGTAGTTCTACTTCAAACAGTACGAAAGAAGATGATGCTAGAAAGCTCATTGATATCGGCTGTATCTCTCGACCCCAGGCGCAATTCTTTCTCTTTAATCAGCCTGCGCCTTTAGTTGAAGAAATTATGTCGACCATGGATAGCTTAGGTCACCCGGACGTCATATACCAAGATGCCTTCTACAGCAATGAGAAAGATGTGCCTCAAAGAGTACGGGAATACGCCGGCCAAGAGTTTCGTATCGAAGGCAACACTCTTCCTTACCTTCCTGACTTCGATCCGACAGGGGAATCGCCCGCCAACTTTGGGTTGAAATCCGACCCGCCTTATGATGCCGATAGAGACGAGCGCGTCTATAAAAAATTACGCCAGGAATGTTCATTAAGAAGCTGGGAAATTGCGGAACCTCCCCCTAGCTTTGATGAAGTACAGAGTTGGTGGACAGCCCTTCAGAACACAGCAGATAACTCCCAAGAGCCTAAATTGAGGATTCGTGATCCCGAACTCAAACCCTACATGTCCCAAATCGATGGCCCAACACCAAAGAATACTCATGGCTTCAAGTATTCCCAGAAGAAGAAATCGACAAGCGTTCAGCATGAAGCGCAGTATATGAGTACGATGAGCTTAGAGATACATGTAAACACACGGGGCAAGTTCTTTCCAAATCCTGAAGAGGATGAGGTTCAATGCATCTTCTGGTGTTCTAAGTCAGATGAAAACTTTGCCACTGGCGATAGTGCGTCGCTGTCAGTACAGTCTGGCATAATAGTACTCTCCGAAGATGGATCCTTGGCACAAAGATTGCAAAAAGAAAGCCCAGTCCGGACTGAGGTCATTGAAGAGATGTCGGAACTTGACTTGATGGTCAGGATGGTCGAGATAGTCCGAACGCATGATCCTGATATTCTTACCGGATACGAGGTTCATGGTAGTTCATGGGGATACCTGATCGAGCGAGCAAGATTCAAGTATGATTATAACCTATGTGACGAATTTTCGCGGATGAAAAGCCAGTCGTATGGGCGTTTCGGAAAAGAAGCTGATCGGTGGGGTTTTAATACTACTTCGACAATTCGAGTCACAGGGAGACATATGATTAATATCTGGAGAGCTATGCGGTCGGAGCTTAATCTACTTCAGTATACGATGGAGAATGTCGTCTGGCATTTATTACAGCGGCGAATTCCCCATTATCCCTGGCAAACATTAACGGGATGGTATACTGGAGGTAAGCACAGGGACCTTAGCAAGCTCCTGCGATACTACTTGACCCGAACGAAGCTTGATATAGAGATTCTCGAGGCGAATGAGCTTATCCCACGAACGAGCGAACAGGCCAGGCTTTTGGGCGTGGACTTCTTCTCTGTCTTCTCCCGTGGATCTCAATTCAAAGTCGAGTCAATCATGTTTAGGATTGCGAAGCCGGAGAACTTCGTTTTAGTTTCGCCGGACAGAAAGCAGGTTGGAGCACAGAATGCGCTTGAATGCTTGCCTCTCGTCATGGAGCCCCAAAGCGCCTTTTATAACAGTCCATTGGTAGTTCTCGACTTTCAGAGTCTTTACCCTAGCGTCATGATCGCCTATAATTACTGTTACTCGACATTTCTCGGTCGTATTGTCAATTGGCGAGGTACAAGCAAGATGGGTTTCGCGGATTATCAACGACAAGAAGGGCTCTTAGCGCTGCTTAAAGATTATATCAACATATCGCCTAATGGTATGATGTACTGCAAACCAGAGGTCAGAAAGTCGTTACTAGCAAAGATGCTGACAGAAATCTTGGAAACGCGGGTGATGGTGAAGAGTGGAATGAAGCAAGACAAGGACGACAAAACTTTACAGCAGCTTTTGAACAATAGACAGCTCGCACTGAAACTCCTGGCAAACGTCACATACGGATACACGTCGGCATCATTCTCGGGTCGTATGCCTTGCTCCGAAATCGCGGACAGCATTGTACAGACTGGACGCGAGACTCTTGAGAGAGCGATAGCCTTGATCCATTCGGTGGATAAATGGAAAGCGGAAGTCGTCTACGGCGATACCGACAGCTTATTCATCTATCTGCCAGGCAGAACCAAAGACCAGGCGTTTGACATTGGAAATGATATTTCCAAAGCTATCACTGATATGAATCCCCGGCCAATCAAGCTCAAATTCGAAAAGGTCTATCATCCGTGTGTTCTGCTTGCGAAGAAGCGCTATGTCGGCTACAAGTACGAAAGCAAGGATCAAGTAAAGCCCGAATTCGACGCCAAAGGTATCGAGACAGTCAGACGAGACGGAACGCCTGCGGAACAGATGATCGAAGAAAAGGCGCTCAAGCTCCTTTTCGAGACCGCAGATCTCAGCCAAGTGAAATCGTATTTCCAAAAGCAATGCGAGAAAATAATGCGCGGAGCTGTATCGATGCAAGACTTCTGCTTCGCAAGAGAAGTGAGGCTGGGGACGTACAGCGACCGAGGGCCACCCCCACCGGGCGCCCTGATCAGCACAAAGAAGATGCTCGAAGACGCCCGAGCGGAACCCCAGTACGGCGAGCGCGTGCCTTACGTGGTTGTCTCGGGAGCGCCCGGGGCACGGCTTATCGATAGATGTGTGGCGCCAGAGGAGCTGCTAGGTAATTCCCACCTGCAGCTCGACGCCGAGTACTACATATCGAAGAACCTGATCCCGCCGCTCGAGCGCATCTTCAACCTCATGGGCGCCAACGTCCGTCAGTGGTACGATGAAATGCCAAAAGTTCAGCGCATCCGCCGCGTCGACATCTCCGGAAAAGGCCCCGGCGCTAGAAAGACCCTCGAGTCTTACATGAAGGCGGCGGCATGCGTAGTCTGCGGATCGCGCTCGAGTAAGCGCGCCGAGGGGGCCTCGGTTTGTGCTAGGTGTCGCCGCAACGCGCCGGTTTCGTTGGTTAAGTTGCAGACGCAGTTGAATGCCGAGGAGCGCAAGCTGGAGGATGTTAATAGGATATGTCGTAGCTGTGCGGGCATGGCGCCCCTGGATGAGGTCGGTTGCGATAGTAAGGATTGTCCGGTTTTTTATACGCGCATGAAGCAGGAGGCGAGGTTTAGGACGGAGAGGAGCGTGGTTGAGCCGGCTGTTAGACAGATCTTGGAGGGGTGGTAGCTGGAGGGGAAGTGAAGATGCGTTCAGGTCACTCTATTAGGATGGCATAGCATTGCGTGGCGTTTAGAATATGGGCTACGATAGTTACTGAAATGGGAGTTAAGGAGCTAAGGAATTAAGTATACAAGACAGGGCTTCTTCAGATTCACAAAAGCTCTAGCACCCAGATAAGTGTCTATTTCCCTAGGCACTATATCTTAGAGACACGATCCAATAAAATCATCATCGTGTAAATTGCTAGGTGTCGTACTTTATTAAACGTGCGGGTCTAGGTCATAGGTTAATTGAGAGGGGATATTTCAGGTGATATTTCAGCTACAGCTATTAATTACAAGGGTGTCACAGCACTAACACGCCCCCGCGAACGAAAGCGCTACAAAAACCCCACGTGGCTCCTTCCGTTATGACGAGCTCTCTAACTTGTCCGTCTTAGCCGCCTAGTTCCGCTATTAACCCTGTGTACCTTCCCTACTACCCCCTAGCATGCACGCCATAATACGGTCATACGCTGGAGCTTAAGCTTCACAACAAACGCAGGTGTTCTTTATCTTATCATTGTTCCATATTCATTGTATTCATATCATAACCCACCACTCTGCATAATACTCGTATACTCTTTACATAGGATAATTTACACGTCGTCGATTCCACTTCTATTCTAGTTTCCTTGGTGTCCTCTTTTTCGGTGGGAGGGAACAGTAATCCATTATCCATGGTCTTCGAAATTCGGCCGCCGCAAAGGTTAGCAGTTCCGCATCCTGCTGGCCCTTGTAAGCAGCCGAAGCTGGAGCAGCTATGGGTATGAGTTGGACTGGCTTCTTGTTGACCTACCTCTTTGGTGGTGTCACTTTCATTCCTTTGGCCATAGCTGTGGTGCTTCTACACGCGCACTACACGTTTCCCGTTCGAGACGATAGCCCCCTCCGAGATGACGCTAACGATGCTGACAACATCGTTCAACCTGGCGACGACATATCCGCCCTCCGAGATACTCAGAAGGAAGAGTCGAAACAACGCCTCGTCGTCGAGAACGATGTAGCCGCGGGCTACTTCGCCGTATGTCGTGAATACACCCCCATGGGAATCAATGCCAAACCGATCGAACGTTCAACTCCTGTAGGATCAACGACCGTTGCCGCACCGAGCCAAAGCGTATACCAGTCCATGTACCGGAGCATATTCGACAGAAAACAGACTCCTGGGCCACTCGATGATCACAAGAGCGTTAGCCAGAGGCCCAAGAAGGCCGGCAACGTGTTCTATGTCGTACTGAGGTACGTTTTTGGTCGTTTGTGAAACGTGTTTCGGGGAAACGATAGCTAACTTACTATCGATTATAGACATGGCCATTTGATGCTATTCGACGACGACGAGCAGCTCGAGGTTCGACATGTTATTTCTCTCGCCCACCACGATGTCAGCATATACTCTGGAGGAGATCCCACACCCGAAGGTGAATTGTTCATTAAGCGGAATGCGTTGTGTTTGCGTAGGAAGACGGAAGGGAAAGATAATACACCTGACGCACATATGTCGAAGCCGTTCTATCTATTCTCCGAAAACTGTTCTGCCAAGGAAGACTTCTACTTTTCGCTACTTCGAAACCAGGAGCAGTCGTTTACAGGCAATCTAGCTCCCAAACCCCAGAAGTTTGAGGTTAAGAACATTATATCCTTGGTTCAAAAGCTACACTCCTCCGAGGACCACATACAGACACGATGGTTGAATGCTTTTATTGGGAGGATGTTCCTCGGTATCTATAAGACCAAGGATATTGAAAACTTCATAAGAGAGAAGATCACGAAGAAGATATCTCGCGTCAACAGACCGTCGTTTCTCTCGAGTATAAAGATTCAGAATATCGATACCGGTGACTCAGCACCGTATTTCATGAATCCCAAATTGAAAGATTTCAGCGTCGAGGGCGAATGTGGAATGGAGGCCGATGTTAAGTATACCGGTAATTTCAGATTGGAAGTCGCTGCTACGGTGCGAATTGACCTAGGCGCTCGGTTTAAGGCAAGGGAGGTCAGCATTATCCTTGCTGTGGTATTGAGGAAACTTGAGGGACACATTTTCTTCAAGATAAAACCACCTCCCAGCAATCGCATGTGGTTCTCCTTCCAGTCTATGCCTAAGATTGAGATGAATATCGAGCCTATCGTGAGCTCCAGACAGATTACGTACACAGTTATTCTTCGACAAATTGAGAATAGGATCAAAGAGGTGATAGCTGAGACGTTGGTAGCACCGTTTTGGGATGATATTCCGTTCTTCAATACCGAGCATAAGCAATGGAGGGGTGGGATATTCGAGGGCGACGATGCAGTTGAGAGATCACCTGATCATGAAGCTATCGCTGCTCAACTCGGGAATGTGGATGAAGTTAGCCAGATTGAGGAGACGGGCTCTACTACACCCACCGAGTTGCCTTCGCTTGAGAAGAGTCATAGTGTGCCTGTTCTGGAGACAACACAAGCAACTCAGCCCCAGGGGTTTTGGGGTAGAAGGCTTAACTCGAAGAAGAGTTTACAGAGTGACAACAGCCTTAATGTTACCGCATCCGCGTCGACGACAGCCCTTGATATAAAGAGCCCAAGAAGCTCTGCATCTGAGGTATTACGTCCGGCTCGTTCAAGTTCCATCTCGATATCAAGCCCTATTGTTGGTACAGATCCCATACATGCCGATACTTTCAGACCTTCATCGAGTCCTCCGGATCGCGACGATGCGCTTAGTACAATGGCGAGTCTCTCCGCTAGGTCTAAGAATAACTCACCGGCACATACACCGGTCGGGTCACCTGCGAAAACGCCATCGATTCCCCCACCAGCCAATGCTTCTGCCAATTCGTCATCTGAGGCTATCCCCGAAGGTCGTGAGGATGAACACACCCCTACGGTGCCAAGTAGACGGTACACTGCTTCCTCCATAGGAAGTATGGACAGTGACGCTGCACCTCCGAGCTCCCCTGCACTTTCTAGCAGAAATTCAATCAAGAGCGGTAATAGCTCCATAGGAAGGGGCTTCTTTTCGCGGAAAGACACTTCCTCGCCAACAGGCTCTACCAATGGGGTGACGCCTGAAGGCAAGCGAAATACCCTAGCTGCAGTGTCAAATGCGGCTGCGACGGCAAAGCGTTGGGGTCTAAACGCGATACAGCGGCAGACGGAAAGGAATGGCGCCAATGGACGGCGACCATCAGATCCTCCAGTCGATCTGAACCAGCCTATGGGTCGCGGCCAACCTTTACCACCTCCGGGAACGCCGCTCCCTGGCCCTGGCAAGAAGGCGGCGCCGATAAGCATGCCTAAGAGGAAGCCTATCGCCCCACCTCCCGCGATGGCACGCCAGAGCACAGGTAACCTGAGCGAGACGAAAACGGAGCGGAGGCCTGTACCACCACCTCCATTACCATCAAGGCGTAGGCGGGTATCACAAATCCACATAACTAGCCCCGAAGGTAGCAACGAGGATAATGTCCTAATTGTCGAAGCGCCGGATGCAGACTCAGAGCCAAATAGTCCATCCATCCGTATTGTGGAAGGAGATGGTGAGAATGGGGACGAGTATGAAGTTGAGGATTCCCCTGCGTACATGAGACCCTGGGTTGAGGATGCCGAGGAGTTTGATGGTGCTACAGATCGGGATGTCAGCACGAATGGTGGGAGTGAGGATTTAATCGAGATAGAGGCAGATCCAGAAGTGGATGGAGAGTTGACTTCGGCGAAGAGCGAGACACCGCCGGATCTTCCGCCTAGGAGAGCGACAGAGATCGAGACGGAGTTAAGCGAGGTGGGGAGTGAACACCATCGCCATAAACAAGTTGAGCAGAAGGAGGAAGATGAAGATGAAGACGGGTTCACGAGCTGGGTGGACAATCCCGGTCCAGAACCCGTCGAACCCGCAAAATGAGGCCCGAGAATACCGAAACAATACTCGACAACACAGGCCTCGCTAAGCATATCACATTGCATACACACATAAGCATACCAGAGATACCTACCATTTTTCAGTCGAGCATGCGGAAGGACGGACGGAGTTAATTGTGCACATTACATTCACGACGCATCGTCTCATAGCATGCGGTCTTACTAGGGTTTTATCATTAGCATGCTCGACATCGACTTCTTACCTCATTATCTGTTATCGTTATCGTCGTCATTGTTTTCAGGTGTGTATTTTATTCCATACCTGGCTGATAGACGATTTCATCATATCATCATCATCACGTCTCCGCCCAGTGGGTTTTTAAGGGGGGTTTGGGTTACTCGGTATACATTACATTGCAATCACCGGATGGGCGGGTTCAAGGGGTGTTGGGGGTTACTGTTGAGGGTTGATTGCTTTATTTAGATAGGTACTACTACGCTGTGTTTTGTTTTGGGTCGGGACTTATCAGTTTGGTTTGTGTTTTGTGAGGGAGTGTGGTGAATACTGCCTGCTACTTACTCACTTGTTTTACTTCGATTGTATATATAGATCTACATTAACACCGGTTTTGGCGATTTAAGCAAGCTATAATGTCCATGATATTGCGTGAATGGAAGGGGATCTAAATGAGTAGAGCCCGGGTGCATGATCATGATCTATCTAGAGGTTCGTACGATCACACGTAGAGCTTAAGGGGTAGGCATATATATAGGTAAGTTTATGTTGCAAATATGGATATGATCATTGATATGATATGTTTTGATCGACAAAGGGAACGGCATATCTACAACATCCGAGACGCCTGCGATAGCGGCCTCGTCTTGCTTGTCAGGGGCGGCCTGCTTTCTTCTTCTTCTATAGGTCCAACTTTCCTATCTGCCCCTATACTACTACCAATACCAATACTCACTAACTACCACCCTATCCTCGCCAAACTGTCATCCGGAAAGAATCGCGATGGGCTTAGGCGACCTTGTCCTTGTTGTGGTAGTTTACGTTCTTGTTCCAGCTGTTTGGTCGTTGCTGTTAGCGATGGTTTCAAGAAGGGGGGGGGAGGGGAGAAGGTGTGAGGAATATGTCGTACAAGAGGGTCTTGTCTCCGTCGCCCCAGGGGAAGTTCCGGGAGCGGATGTTCTGGTAGGAGTACTCGACGCGCTCCTCTAGAGGCGGCATGTGCGACCAGTGCTCCCAGTGCTCGTTCCATAGGTTGTAGGCGTTGACGCCGGCGAGGATTAGGGCCGGGATGACGGCGCTGGGGGTGAGGTATTTTGTTAGCTGGGTTTCTTGGCTGGTGTCTTGATATGGTTTGTGGTTTGTTTTGATTGAGTCCACGCTCCTTCTGATGTAATGCGATATACGTTGATTGGTATGCGGCTCTTGAAGAGATATGGGGATCGAGCGTGGATTGGATATCGGATCAAGGGAACAAGAGGTTCTTACTAGATAGAAATCTTGCGCCAGAGCTCTGCGATCGGTCAGTATTCTAGACCTCCCCCATTTCTTGTTGGTGTGGACCAATCAACTCACCAGTCGTAGCGGAAGCATGGTCCTTCACGGCCTGCCTCTCCTTGACGAAGGCATTCTCGGTGGTCTTGGTCTCGGTGGAGGCGAAACGGCGCTGCAGGGTCGATCGGAGGACGGGGGAGCGCAGCTGGGCCGACAAGCGCGGCGTCGCGCGGAGGATCTGTCGCTGGAACATTGTTTTCCTACGTATGCTCTATATTTGGTATGTCGTCGGTTGTTCGTTCGTTAATTAAGAGGGGAGATTTTTCCGTCGTGGTGATTTAGGTAAGGTTCCGTTTGAAGGTTCGGGTTCGGTGGTCTGATTTCGACTGGACGGATTGGATTGTCGAATGAGGTCAGGTCTAATTTGATTGGTCGACTTCGGCTTGGTTTGACTCGCAGAGCTGGAGCTGACTGAGGGCCTCGGTAAATCTGCGGGGATATGGCGGGAGTACGATTATGTAATGAGACAGCATGGGGGTATGAAATCATGACGCGGGTCACGGGATCTCGAGTGGCTTTGGCGCTGTGACCCGGACGGATGTCGCGACTTCCATCTTGTTTGCGTGTGCGATTGCTTACTGATACATCTGTAAATAAAAAATGGAAGCTGCGGAATTATTACATGTATGAATTCCATGCAAATAGTGCCTGCTTCGTCCGATAAAAAAGGGTTCTAACCCATCTTACTAAATTGTTAATCGGGTGTAACTCCACCATATTCACCTTCTTCTACACTGTACAGTGACACCGCCCCTCCGAATGGATGTGCATCGCATGCCATTCCAGCACAAGCCCGACGATGGTGACGAAACCCATATGAGCTCATTGATAAATGACTAGCAAAGTATTGAGTTTATTAGAACCCTTTTAATTCCTTGAAGACATTTCTTCAATATGGGGGTCCGCATCACATCGTGGAACGGTGAGTGTCGTCTCTCAATATTTAAACAACATATTTGCTAATATTAAATATAGTAAACGGCATTCGGTATGATATCATTTGATTTAAGTCGACCCATGTTTCTAACTTGTCATAATAGAAATCCGTTCGGATATCAGCCATGGAGGGAGAAGAGGACTTTTGAGGCTATGTTCGATATTCTCGAGGCAGACATAGTTGTCATGCAGGAAACTAAGATCCAACGCAAGGATCTTCAGGACGACATGATATTGGTCCCTGGTTGGGATGTGTACTTCAGCCTGCCCAAGCATAAAAAAGGTAGGATAACTACGTCGTCAAACACACCCAGTATTAGAGCTTAACGATAAGTACAGGTTATGCCGGTGTGGCCATCTATACACGGAACTCCGTATGTATGCCGATTAGAGCAGAAGAAGGGATAATTGGGGTATTATGTCCGCCAAATTCTTCCACTAAATTCCGAGATCTTCCGCCAGATCAGCAAATAGGGGGCTATCCAAGACCAGGTCAATTAGCGGGTCTAGCTGACGAGACGATGCTTGATTCTGAAGGACGATGTGTCATTCTTGAGTTCCCGGCTTTCGTTCTGATTGGTGTCTACAGCCCAGCAAATAGCGATGGAACTCGGGATGATTTCAGACTGGGCTTTCTCGACGCATTGGACGTTCGGATACGTAATCTCATAGCCATGGGTAAGAGAGTTGTCTTGACAGGCGACCTCAACGTTATACGCTCATCCCTCGATACCTCTAATCTATTTGAACGGCTGAGGAAAGAAGGAATGAGCATGGAAGACTTTCTTTCTACTCCATCCCGGCGTTTATTTAATCAACTTATATTCGGAGGACATGTACGACGTCCAAGAGATGAAAATAGGGAGAATGCGGTATTATGGGACCTTGGCCGGCTCTTCTATCCTACACGTGAGGGGATGTTCACCTGCTGGGATACGAAAAAGAATACACGGCCTGCCAACGTCGGTAGTCGAATTGACTATGTTCTCTGTAGTAACGATATGAAGGCTTGGTTCAACGACTCCAATATTCAAGAGGGGCTTATGGGCTCCGATCACTGCCCTGTATATGCAACAATGAAGGACATCGTGGATATCGATGGGAAGGAAGTACACATCAGAGACATTATGAATCCTCCTGGAGTTTTCAAAAATGGAACAAGGCTTAGGGATTGGACGGCGAAGGATCTTTTGCCGTTGTCGGCAAAGCTTATTCCTGAATTTAATCACCGACGGAGCATCAAGGACATGTTTTTCAAGAAACCCACAGCCCCCAAAACCACATTACCGCTAGTCGCTGAGTCGTCGGAAAGTTCCAGCCAAGAATTAAGCAAAACTGAATTGCCTGCAAATGAAGAGCCAGCTAGTACACCAGCTTCGCAACCCGAGTCAGTAACCTCAGCTCCTTCGCCAACTAAACCAAAGCCAGGTGGCCTCAAACGCACGCCATCTAGCGTCACATCAACTAGTAGACCGCAAAAGAAGACAAAAGCAACATTGACTAAAGAACCCTCTTCAAAGGGGCAAAGCAACTTGATGGGTTTCTTTAAACCTAAAACCACAGCCAGCCCAAGTACGACTCCCGAGATGAAGGAGGATCCTAAGCCAGTAGGGGGGCTTGACGGTATTTCGGATATTGAGGCGTCGGTTGAGTCTAGTATTACAGACGAAGCAAAAGACACCTCGGAGCCAGTTAGCCCGGGAAGAGTGTTCGATCCTATCGAATCCAAGGAATCATGGTCCAAGTTACTGGGCAAAAGAGTATTGCCCAAATGTGAACATGGAGATGATTGCGCCAGCTTCGTAGCCAAGAAACAGGGTGTCAATCGAGGTAAGCCGCATATTATACAACTATTCGACTGTTTTATGATATACGTACCACAATATTAACTTCGTATCCAGGCAGGTCGTTCTTCGTTTGCTCCCGACCAATTGGGCCATCGGGGCAGAAGGAAAGGGGGACGGAGTGGCGCTGTGGAACGTTCATATGGAGTAGCGATTGGAATGGATCGCAAACAGGGTAAAATTCAAGGTTGCATTGACCTTCAATATCATGAATCGATGCTCATGCCATACTAACATCTTCAATGTGCCATCATCTTCATCTCGTGAGAGTGTATCGGTCTCATATCGCCTTTCTAACCAGAGCAACCTCTTTGCTAAAAAAAAAAGAGGTGCTAATCGACTATTAATCACGCCCAGTTACGAAACTACGTTAACCATGAGAAAAAATAACCTACTCAATACCCTTTTCAGAATACCCAACCAAGAATGCAAAAAGCGAACGCCACCACCAGCGATGCAGCTACAGCGGTTTATGTTCCATCCCTCCCAAATCTTAAGACTCATGGTACGGCAGTCGAATCTTCTGTGCAACTTCTATATCAAGCAAACTTTTCCTTCTGAGTCTAGCTCCCTACTGGATTCATTAGACCTCGGAACAAGTGGCGATCTCTAAGTATCTCATCTAAGATTCGCACTCCGACCTCGTATCTTACGCCTTACCGTTCGTACAAGCCAAACTCCGGGGCTAGTCCAAGGGGGATTTATTTGGCACAGACGGTAGCTGTTCTGCATTACACCGCTGCGCCAAAGAACCAAGGGCTCATAACTAAGCTTAGGCTCCACTGCTAGTGGGAAATGTATAGCGGTTTATATATGGTGTACCTGGCATGGTATTATACTAGGCGGACTAGTCTGATTCTACGGCAGCCCTAAGACGCACATATTGTATCAGTCAGGTGACTTGGTGGCTTTCTCTTAGGTATCACGTGCCCACGGCTTCTGAAATCATGTGCTTCATACTTGGTTGGTCACGGGATTCACCTCGAGACAAGACGTAGCTGAAATATTAGAATCCTTTTCTCCTTCTCAACGTGGTAACTTCACATCCGTATTATTAATATTGAGTTTTGGTATTCTAGTAATACGTCAAGTTCAGTCAAGAAATGTCCTGAAATAGTCTGTTCTTCAATTCATGAATCCGCCACGCGCATATCGTGACATTAGGCCTTTGAATGCGATGATAGGAGGAGAATGTATAACTAACCTGAGTTTCTAAACGTCTTTTAGGTCAGTACCTAATCACTAGGTTTTTACAGACATATGTATGGTAATAGCACTGCCTTAATACCCAATAGGAACATGTTAAGGCTTAGCACAACCTTGTCTAATTCCATAGTCTCTTAGACATTCTTCTTCATTTCTTAGTGTCAAATACCATAGAAACCATCTACTTCATTCTAAGAAGAGCATCCCTCAATGATATTCTCCCAAATAGCGACAACTCGTTTCGTTAGATTTCATCATCTCGCGTACATTCGGTGGCGTTTCCGAACCAATTATAGCATAATCCGACAGCCCATGCGGCTAAAGGCTTACATCAGAAACCAGGCTCTCATTTTGTACAACTCCGAATATGAACATAGAAGCCATACTACTTGCCAAAGACTCCTTCCCCGAGAAACGTCCCGACAACAAAGTCAGTAGGCTTTTAGAAACGCTTATAGACGACGACCAACTTCTACAAATCTGCCCAAAGCTGTCGTTATTCGCATACGAGGACGGTTTCGAGGTCGTTGGAGAGGAATGTGGTCTGGATCCTCCGATTACGCTTTGCAAGCCCTGCAAGGAATTGATGCAAAACCCCCCTCCCATTTGGGATAATGACGGAAAACGACCTCAATCATGGGTTCCATTCCACAAGAACATTTCTCAACTTGGGGACTGCTGTAATAGCTCGCAAGGGACTTGTCGAATATGCTGTATGATTTGGAATAGGGCTTGTATTCTCTTGCGTGAGATCATATATCCGTCGTTCTCTCATCTCAATAGAATACACCGTTCTAAGTCGATTGCGCGATATATGGATTGGGTCGGAAATCCGTTGACAGTTGGTCTGCAAGCATGGGCTAGTCGATCCGTTATATTCCGTGTCAATTTGGGTATCCTCGAAACAGATATCGAGCCTCAAGTTCACATATGCAGACTTGATTCCTTTAAGAAAGGTATAATCCACCTTGCTTTACAATATTTCAACATCCCGAGTGCTAAAAGCCATAAACACGTTAGAACCAAAAGACGGAATAGTCTACGGCGACAACCCCAACTTCAGCCTATCCAAATCCACAGGCTCTCCGGCGACACTTTCACAAATTAAGCAGTGGCTAGACTCTTGCAAAGACAACCATTCCTTCTGCAGAACCCCATTATCGAAGAACGGACGTCCGACAAGACTGATCAAGATCCAAGACGGCGGGACAACATTTAGCCTGAAAGACGACTTACAGGACGACGTGGAATACGTAGCTATCAGCTACCGATGGGGCTCCAACAAGAAAATATACAAGCTCGAAAAACCCACCCTTCAATCGATGAAAGATAAAAACCCCATACTCCTGCTCCCAAAAACACTTCGTGAGGTATGCGACGTCGCTTTCAAGCTAGGCTTCGAATACGTCTGGATCGACAGACTATGCATCATCCAAGACTCAGAAGAAGACTGGCAACGAGAGGCATCGAAAATGGGCATGGTATACTCCGTAGCCACACTCACCATCGCCACAAGCTGTGCCCCAAACGAAGACACGGGGTGCTTCCGAGATCGGAAACCCGCTTGCATCACGCCACTATTCTTAACATCATGCCCATTCTCCGAATCCCGCAACATCGCAATCTACAGCGAGGGATCCGGCGAAGACTGGCGGAGGATCCGACACGGGTATCTCAAAGAACGGGGGTGGACCCTGCAGGAATGGCTTCTGTCGACCCGCGTCGTCCATTTCTCCAGGAAGCAGGTGTATTGGGAATGCAGACAGAGCGACGCCAGCGAAGCCTGGCCGTCCGATCTGAAACCCAACGCGATCCGGCCCTCGGCAAAACCGCCTTTCGTGCTATCGGAGAACAGGCAATGGTCCGCGCAGGAGAACTGGGGGAGGATCGTGGAGGATTACTCCGGGCGGAAGTTTAGTTTCGACAAGGACATGTTTCCTGCGATATCGGGGCTGGCGCGTGTTATGGAGGAACTCGCTGACGGCCAGCTGGGGCAATATCTCGCGGGGCTATGGGGTGCTAATTTCATACAATGGCTTTGTTGGAGTACCGCGTGGAAAGTGCCCGTGAGCCTGCCCACGGAGTATGTCGCCCCGTCGTGGTCTTGGGCAAGTCTACGTGCCGAAGTCCGCTTCGCCCCGTTCGATAATATCGATGTGGTTAAATCCCCTGAATTGCATGGCAGGGTTATGTTTGAACCAGAGGAATACCTGGCTGAGTTGAAAGACGGGAGTCTAACTCGCGTTTCTACTATCGATTCTTATGCCGCGATACGGGATGGGTGGATTGTGTTGTCCGGTCACATGAAGCGAGTTTGGGTTGGTACCCCTATATCTAACGATAATCCTCGCTGGGGGGTTATACCCCACTCAGAGACTCCGAACCTCGATGATCTAAATTCGGGGAATTTGGACTCAGAGGACAAATTACTACCATTTCGCGGCGAGAACGCCGGGATAGTCTTCGCGAAATCAGATTTCGTAACTTGGACATCCATTTCGCCCTTAACACCAATCTACTGCCTACCATTAGTCAAGGTCAGAGTTAGGGCCTATAAAAGAACGGAGATCCATTGTCTCCTCTTAATACCCTGTGCTTCACAGGAGCATAACAGGACACTACCAGCGAGATCAACTCCATACGCTTCGAACGAATTCGAAAGGGTGGGAATAACAATGATAAAGATGCGTGATGACTGTTGGGATGGCTATCAGAAATGGATTTCGCGGAGTCCGAGAGAAGAAATCGTCATTCGATGAACCAACACCATCAACCCTTCAACCACATCACTTACGCACCACAAACAACACACCACACAAACCCCAATCAGAGAAACAAACATCACCAAAAATCGCCGATATCAAATTACCTAACCCTAAGCAAGCTAGACAGCAACTCTCGTACCATTCCGAAGTGATGCGTAGCAATTTTGTACAGTACCTAGGTATAGAAATCAACCTCCTACTGAACCACGTTGCCTGCCTGCTTACTAACTCACATAATCGTTGGAGAAAACCTCCACAACCCCTTCACCTTCGTTGGTCAAGTATGAGAATATAAACACCTCAACCCCCAAGCATCGGCCACTAGTCCCCCCTTTCCTCCCCACACCCATAATGTACTACCCCTAATCTTCCTGGTACGAGATCTTGCGCATCTCACCTAATCTGTGTCGCGCCGAAGCCAGCGAATTCTCGAGCTGCAGAATTTCGACCTGTGCGCATTCATAGTTAGCATCAACTCCGTCACTTCATAACCCCTCCCCCATCACCCCCTAAAAAAATGAAGGAAATATAACATACCTGCTGCTCCATCTCCCGCACCTTAAACTCATGCGGATTAAGCTTAGCATAATCCGTCGCCTCGTCCTCTTGATTTCTATCCTTGATCATGGCCTGCACCTGTCTGACAAGCGACCTACAAGCCGCACCGACCGCCTTGCTAGCCTGTTCGAGGTTCTCCTGTGATTTACTCATGAAGCCCGCCTTGACTCTGCTAGCAGCGACTAGTTGCGCTGTCGACGCCGCGACGTCGTTGGATGCGACGATGAGCTGTTCGGGGCTATTGCGGTCAGAGAGAACGCCGTCGGCGGTTTCGATGAGCGTGTTGGTCGATGTCGCGACTGCTTTGGCGGCGGAGATGAGACCTTCCGTCCAGCGGTTGTTTTTCTTGTAGAATGCCGTTCGGGAGGATGTACCACGGCCGGCTTGGACGATTTCTTGCTGCGTAACGGTGGCGGCTTTGATTAGTTGAGCAATGGCATTGGTAACTGCCTGTGCGGCGTCGAGGATAGAGTCGTGAACTTTGAGTTCGTAAGTCGAGTATCCGTCGCGGGGCTTGTTCTTGAGCTTGGCGAGACGAGCAGCCGCCGCGGCGATGGCATCTGCTGCCTTGCTGAGTTCGGAGTCAACAAGGTCGCCTAGATCGCCCTTGTTGTTTGCTAATCGGGTGAAGTTTGGTGCGAAGGCTTCGATGAGGTTGGTCAATCTTTGTAGGTTTAGACGAACGTCGCTGCTGCCGTTAACGAGAACGTCGGTCTTTTGAAGGGGATCCATGCCTTCCAATCGGAAGCTTTGGAGGCTGCGGAAATGTTTGACGGTGGACTGGGCAGCATTGCGTGCACCGTTCATGAGCTGATCAGCCTTCTTCTCATCGGAAGCAAGGCGGTTCAAACCCTTCGCGTTGCTGCATACATCTGCAATAGCACCTGAAAAGACATTGGTCGCTTTGATTAGCTCCGCATGAGTGGCGTTTGGCCCATCGGCGATAAAATTGCTAAAAGCGGTAGCGAATTCTGTGGCGCTCGATACAGCTTTTTCGACCTGGGATAATACGTATGTCGGCGAGGCATTTTGGTTACCAGCCTGCATCGTCGAATCCAGCTCGTATAATGCATCATCTACTCGGGCAACACCTGATTGCAGGACAGAGTCGATGATATCGTTGATCTTGTCGAGGTTCGCCAATATCAAAGCATCGATCTGACCATCTATCACCTGGTCCGTATCACCTTGGTTGAGTTTTAATTCGTTCAACTCAATTAAGGTCTGGTCCATGCCAGCCTTGTAAACCTCAAGCTCCTCCTCCTTGTCACGGAGTAGTTGCTCAAGATCTGAGCTACCGTCTCGGACCTTGGCTTGGGCCTCCTCTAAAGCACGCGACTTGGTTCGCAGAGCCTCTTCCAAGTCCGACATTTCTCTGTTGTACTTGGCAAGCATAGTAGACAACTCGTTACCCTTGCTTCGCTCTAGGTTATCGGCTCTGTCGTTCGCCATACGCAATTCTCGTTTAAGCTTCTCGAGCTCATCCTTGTTGTTGCCGGTCAACCTATCTTTGTCATGGAGCGCTCGGTCTCGTTCCCGGATCATATCCGCCAACTCCAGGTTCTTGGTCTTGATTTCGCGCTCGAGTTTCTCGCGTCTGTCGATAGCCTCCTGGGCTGATGCTGCCTTTAGCTGGACAGTCTTGAACTTTTGTAGAAGGTCAAGATGCTCGTGTCGTAGTTGCGAGTATAGTTTGGCTAGAGCCTCATACTTCGTTCGCCACGTGTTGACCTGCTCCTGCAACGCCCGAATTTGGTCATCCTTGCTAGTTATCTGCTGGCCGAAGTTGTTCTGGATTTGCGACAACTCGCCCTCGAGTGCCTTAACCCGTTGATCGTATTGTTGTAACATCAGTTGATCGCGTTCATACTGCGCCCTCGCATTCAAATTCTCTTGCTCAAGTTCTGCCAATCGTCCTTGCGTCTGCCATTGGGCCTGTTGGGCTATAAGTGCCTCTTGTTCCATTCGTTGCTGCTCTGCCAAGCGTCTCTGTTGTTCTTCAAAGTCTCGTTGAGCTTGCATTTGTGCTTCTTGTTGAGCGCGAAGAGCCGCAGCCTGCCGTTCTTGTAATACCCTTTGCTGTTCTTCGTACTCCTTGTTTTGGCGGTCAATCTCGCCCTGCCAGAACTCGGCAATCTCGTCGGGTTCCTCGGACTTGGGTTGGCGCACAGGTGTTGGTTGACGTTCAATCTCCTGCTTCGGTCGAGCTGGTAGTGCTGGCGCATTCTCGTCTTCGGCTAACAAGTTAGGAGGATCTTGCGGCAGTTTCGGGATGGTGATCAAGCTAGTGAGGTAACGCAGGTTCGAACATTCGTAATAGAATTTGACTAATCGGTAATGTTGCGCATCGTAACGTTGCCTTAAGGGCTCTAGGGCGCCGTCGTCACCGGTTGCTATACAGAATATTAGTCAAATATCCCACCGAGGGTTTCACAATCGACGTACTTGAATGCATAGCTCGTAACATGCTTGTGATGAATTTGTAGATTCCATAACTCTCCTGCACCAGAGGCACGATAGCCGAGATTCTGCATTCATTATTGCCTACGTTTCGGAAGTGAGAGAATATCAGTTTCTGGAATTGCTCAATCTTGTCCTGGAGAGACATGAGGTCGGTAATAGTCTCGTAGCCTTCATTGGGATCATTAATCGCCTTCAAGCTAACGTATTCCTCGTACTCGAACGTGCCGTTGAACTCGGGGTGTTGTTGGTGGAACGACAGCTTCGCGGATAGAAAATAAACGTATTCTCGAATCAAGGGGCCGTAACCGCGGACGCCCTCGCCGGCTAGACCTCTATTCAGACTTTCAATCCATGGTCGATTTGCCATAGCCTCTCTTAGTGTCTGGGGATGCCCCTCTTGCAGGACTCTATGGACGGTGATTAAGGCTTTGAAAGTCTGAACCTCATCGGCAAGAATAGGTTGCCTATAACGACATCTCCAGTCAGCTCTTTTACGCATATCTATATGCTAGCCTCTCTCTCCACATACACTTTCATGCCGCCCCAGAAGGACTGGGAGGACTTGTGGTCCCATGTGTAAACGATACAGCTTCGTACATGCTTTCGTTTCGGTGCCGTCTCTTCCGCATTGGTAGCTTTTCTGATATTGATAGCGAGCTCGGCTTCGGATCTGTAGTATTTGTAGTTAGTGGGGATTGTGCAGATAGGTACGGCAGTCATTTTGTAGATAGCCTATGTGCGAATCGCAGATGAAGATGCACTCAGGAAAACAGTAAGTTCGCAGAGGGAGAAGACGCACTTGGTATGATCTAGACTTCGAGTAGCCATGGTGAATGATTTACTGGCTTTTCAGCTTTAAGCAATAATTCCGTGACTCTGCCCTTCTACAACCTAAGGAAGTGAATAAGGGATGAGGTGAAGTTTCGAGGTCGACTTATAGCTCCCCTCATGCACAGCACATCTCGGCCACCCGATGGTAGAACTTAGGAATGATATGAATGAATTAGTATCAGAAAGTAGAAAGTATTGTTTGTCATACAGATATTTCCATGCAACGTCAGCGATCTAGAAATCAGAGCTTCCACGCAGTGGAGTTAAAGCTACAAATCAATCCGAGGCTGAAGGCTGACGCAGCTTGGGCTCTTGGAAGCTTCCAAGTCTTGGGATGTTGGAGAATGGAGACTGGAGACTTTGACTGGGGACATTTCACGATAAGCCACGAAGATATGAGACCCATGTCCCATCCATGGATGTCCCTACCCTCTTCAATAATACGCTGTATCTGTATCCGAGTTTTTCCCGGAACTAGGCTTAAGTCTTGGCCGCCACAAAACGCGTGGCAGGCCGGGCAGCCCTTTTTCTGTTATATCTCCCTTATCCGCATATCGAAAATCCATACTTACATTACCCCTCTATCACAATTACTGGATAAATACCTAGCACCTTTAGTAGCTTTTCATGACGAAAGCTTCGACTTTCTAATCCGACCTCGACTCGACTCCACACAACCACCACCCGACAACAACGTCTTAAGAGCAGCAGATTTCCCAAATCTGTGCTGCCGATGTCAGATCTGGTTCTTGGGCCATTTGGCTCACTCAACACCCCTTAACCAAATTCCCACAAAAGCAGCGCATTCCATCACGATGCGCGCAACGGCAGCATGTCTAGCCAGAGGGTTCTGGGGCCGCAGCCTCGACGAATTCAAGCGCCTCTCCAACATCGGTACACCCCTACCCTCCCCCCTAAACCATCCCACCAAACTAACACCCCCCAGCGCTTAAACTCGAAGGCATAAAAGGCCCCTCAGGCCCTCTCCCCCTGCAATCCTTCCACTCCGCGGACTCCCTCGAAGACTGCAAATGTTTCTACGACCGGGACATCGGGGGGTCCTCCAAAGCCTCCTTCGACTGGGTACCTCCCTCCCCATCGGAGCGCACACCGGGCCACGCCCGCTTCCACGGCAGTATATCCAACGCTTTACCCGCGAACCGGCCCGACGTCCAGCGCTCGGGGTACGCGGCGTGGCGGACGCTGGATAAACCGCCGACGATATTCGGGCGCACGCTCATCGACATCGATTCGTACACGTACCTCGGGATGCGGGTGCGGTCGGACGGGCGCTCGTACTTTGTCAATGTGCAGACGGAGTCCGTGGTCCCGACGGACTTGCACCAGCATCGGTTATTCGCGAAGCGCCCCGGGGAGTGGGAGACGATTCTGATTAAGTGGAATGATTTCGTGCGCACGAACGGGGGGTATGTAGTGGAGCCGCAGACGGAGATGTTGCGGCAGAAGGTGCGGAGTATTGGGGTGAGTTTGACGGATCGGGTTCCGGGCCCGTTTGATCTGTCGATTGAGCGGATTTGGGCGACGAATGATGCGAGGGAGGTTGATGGGGAGAAGGGGGTGGGAGAGGGGGAGGTTAGGGAGGGGGGGTTGAGGGATAAGCAGGGGAGGCATATTAGTTGGAATGAGAAATGAAAGGATTTTACGATGGATGGTTAGGGTTGTTAGCTATGGGAGCGTAGGCTTCCTATATGACGGTAGCTGATATTGGGACATCATCCTTTCAAGGTAGATACGAATTGGATCGGAAAACGAGTGGAACTATCACGGAACTACGGAAGAACAAGTCTTCGGGGGGGAAGGACATAGGAGAGCGTCAAAAATGCAGCACGACAAAAGTATAGTCAGTCTAGCCAAGACGTAGAGAATCAAATCAAATTAAATGAATAGGTACTAAAATCTCTCACCACCGAACCTTCTTATAAAGATTTCTGTCCAGGACAACTGTGTCTTCTATGATACTCCTTATCCTCCCTATCCTTCTTTTCATCCCTTTTCTTCCTTTTCTCCTCATCCTCATTTAACTCCATCGTCTCCATCTGTTTCTCCAGACAAGCCTCGCAAGTCTCCACGATCGGCTCTCTGGAACTAACCGTATTCTCCACGCCTTGGCAACGGTTAGCGTGGGCTAATTCGCAAAGGTAAGTCATCTTAGTGGAGACGTCGCCGAAGGAGTGGCGGCCGGCATTGCACCAGGCTTGTGAGTAGGTTCTACGGCACATGGTGATGTGATTCGGAGGTGAGAGTTATGCTTGAGTATGTCGATACACGAAAGTAGTTAATTAACTAGATATATCAAGATATACCAGTCTTGAATATAGGGTTCTTGGTGTCAACCCAGCGGATTCTACGGACATCTTGACTTTGTTCCTGAGGAACAGGCGTGAGTTAAGAATTGTTCTGAAGCCAGTTTGCCTATGCGTTATGGAATATGAGTTAGAAATTTAGACCATCTACATATGACCAGTATGTCAAGAGTGCCAATTTTCATTGCGATTTCATATGAATTTCTAGGGACACATAAAGTATAAAGGTGAGAATATATGAGTCACAGGCAATTTTCTTATATCCTCACGGCAACCTCTCTTGTGGTCATAACACGTTTGTCTATAAAACCTCATAATCGACATAGTGACTACATGTGATCAACTGCGTAGACTGAGCAGACGTTATGGAAACTAGCTCGAACCCCAATCATATCTTCATCCGCTCAGCGTCTCTCCGTATAGACAAGTACGCAGCCGCGTAGTCATTGGCGAGCACGTTATCCCCTGTGACCTTCATGATTGTAGCTTTCTTTGCCATCATCTCGCACTGTTTATTAATATCTTCGACGCTTGAGTAATGGTTGAAGGCTTTCTCTATTGCCTCCACTGCCTTCGTCATGAATTCTCGTCTTTTGTTAGATTTTGGAGGCATCTTGCCTGCCATGCCCATGTTAGCGTCGCCAAGATGCGAGTATAGCTTCGCAGTCATTGCCGAGTTCTCGCACTCAAGACTGCGTGGTAGTATCGCGTTAAGTAGTTGGATAGCCGGTTCGAATTCGCCGAGCGATGTTAGGATATTTGCGATGGCCCCAATTGCTGGCCAGAGATAAGGAATGAGACGAGCGCGCCAGGCAACATTCGCTGCTCGCACAGCAATAGTAAATCCCTTTTGAGGGCGGCCGCATTTGTCGAGAAGTTCTGCCTTAAGAAGCAGGAGTCGGATACGTAGGGCGATATCTTTATTCTCATCTCGGAGCTCTGATATCATCTTCTCCACTTTGACGAAAGCCTGGTCGAGAATGCCTCTGCGCACAAGACATTCCACGTGGAGACTATCTACCACAAACGCAAGATCAGGCTCTAGATCTTCGTTCTTAGACTGGAGAAGCTGTGAGATAAGTAGCTCTGCTCCGTCGAGGTTATTTCGGTGAAGATCTCTTCTCAATTTGATTATGCCACGGAACTTGTGCCAATATTGGCTTGGTTTCCAGGCTCGGAGGGAATTAGCATCCATGCCTTCTAAAATCCCAAGTGCTTCGTCATATTTACCCCTGAGGGTTAGTATTGAGGCTTGGCGACTAGTTACCTTCAACTCGTCGTCGAATATCGAATGACGGGCGTGACATCGAAGGAATATTTCGCAGGTAGTTATCGACAGATAAGCGACCCCTAATCTATCCCATAATGCTATGTTGATAGACAATTGAGAGCCTATCATGTTCTTCATGTTTCGTTCGACCAATATCTGAGAGCTCCTGACAAGATGTTCGATGGCCGTAGCTACACTTTCGCCGTTTGAGAGACTCATCTTTGCCTCGCTCATGAGTGCGGAACTGCATAGAGACCACATGCCCGTCTCCTTTGCCCTACTTCGAAGGAATGCGAGAGACTCTTTACCAGTTCCCAGCATGCTATTAGACTCCAGCTTCTTGGTCACTTCGGGATGTGCGCGACCAAAGTGGAAAAGCCAATTGAGGGCAAAATTCAAGCATGTCATATCCCGATTTTCTCTAGCAGTAGAGACAGTCTCCAACATGGCGGATATCGCCTCTTTATAGCAACCGAAGTCGGCTTGCAATACTGCCAGGTTCATCAAAGCATATTGATAGAAAGATCTGTCCCTATTTTGCATCGTATAGTCGAAGTATCGGTGCAAATAATCGAACGATGTTGAGTAGTCGCCCGCTCTCCAGGCATCTAAATAGCTAAGGTAGTGGGATAGGCTTGGTACCATGAAACTATCGTTTAAGAGATCCTGGAATTGGTGCTGTATCTCTATTGGTATTCGATTGCCATATTTCTGCATCTGCTCGATCTGGAACTCCAAAAGTTTCTCGATATCGTCGGTGCTGACGGGTAAGGTCGATGTGGGATCATCCCTAAGCATATCTCCGTACGCCACTGACGCAATGTCCTCTACGCCTGGACCCCAGTCATTTTCACCAGCTAATAGAACATGATCGAAACTGAGCCTCTGGAAAGATGGTGTCTTCTTCCGATAATACGCAGCCGTGGTTTGACGATATTTGACGAAGTCCTTCCATAATTCGAAAGCATCGTGGAAACGCAGCCTTGTGAATTCAAGTTGAGATCGGCGCACAAATGCGCCAAATGGTGAATTCCGGGAAAGCAATATGACTTCTGGGCCTGGAATTGGCACGCCCTCTTGTTCGTCCCGGCGGAGCTCATCCTTCGTCTTTGCTAATAGTTCTGAACACCGTTCGAAGAATTCATGCAAAGCATCGAGCGAATCGATCTTCCATAGTCTGTCTAAAAACACATACCATAAGTTCCGACCCGGTATGCCAGAAGCAGCAGTATGCGGTGCCAAGACTTTTTCGAAGTCGGCAATAGAGATGACTAGGCTGACGATAGTTTCAGCTCGTTTCCATCGATTTTCGGTGTTGGATGAAGTCGGAGCGACGTCGATTAAGTGAGAAGTTATAAAGGAGAGCACTTCCACGGTGGAGGCTGTTGGAACAGCCTTATTCGTATATAGCTCAACGAGGGCGAGGAGGCCAATTTTGGCCGGGTTGAGAAACCGAGACATATTGTCGTGATCTTTTCTACCACGCAAGTATAGAAAATGAAATCTGGTGGATCTATTCTCAAAAACTTATCATCACCGAAATGTCATTTATTGGTGCACTCAGTTTGCAGATAGCCATGGCTGTTTGGCTGATGTCATGACGATGGTTCTGTTGTTTGAAGAATTTGAAATTGTGAAAAATGTCAAATAGCGTCAAAATTCATTAAAAGTGGCCTTCGGATACTTGCAGCTTCCTTTACTTGTGAACAGAATCGGAAGTCGGTGACGAAATTCACTATCGTTGTTCTTTCCATGTAGAGAATGCTATTTCACGATTCATAAACGCGTAGAGCACGCATGTGCAGGTGTTAGGTGGCTAGCCCCACTACAGAATTCCAATACATGCAAATACATACCTAAATGAATATATATCCACATACAGAGTACTATGCATTTACGTATAGATCTTTATGTAGAACAAAGGCGGAACAAAGGTGTGGAAGCCTGAGTTGGATATAAATAATTGCCTTTTAATATGAGCATGGCTTTTATTGCTTGAACAAAAGTAAAATTTCATAATCTGATGAAGCCATCATGGTCTAATTTTGGTACTGAAGATGTTTCAGGTCGGAATTAATTAAGGCCCTGAAAATATCGTGAGATTGCTGCTCCTAGAAAAGCATCTAGCTATGGATAACTTATAATTGGGATAAGGTTTGGAATCACTTTATACTACCTGCCCAGCTAGGTATTATGTGGCTATATTATATCCTAAAAACTAGATCTTGATCCCAAAAGGATTATAAGACTAGTACCTAGCCAAGATCTAGTATATTTGGCACCTTTATAATCGCACCGAATCCCACAAAGAGAAATATGGGGATCTCGCTACCACCGCGCCGGGCGCTGGCACGATGTTTGTGCGGTTTGCAACCCTGACAAAGGAGTAACAAATCCAAGCACACGTTGTATCAGTTACCCGCGGCCACGAGAGCTCGGTATAGCTGACGCATTTTAGCTGCAAGAAAATGATTGCGTCTTGAGGTTTCGGTATCACTGTTTCAGCCTCACGATAACCGCTTGGGTCTCTGATCGTCGTGATGCGTCGGCGCTTGAGCAAGATTCCGTATGATGTAGGGGGATCTCCGGGAGCAAGACATCTAGTCCATCCATCTATGAGATGTCCCAGCCATTCCTTGGTTAGGTAGATGAGTGGCGTTCAGCCAACGGCGGAGATGGCGGAGAGGGCGGATATCAAGCGGGGACTCCCGAATCGTGGACATAATGTCATCATGTTAATTCGGATTAGCTTTATTCCAGTTAGGAAGGCCAGTTGCTTCGCTTAATATGTATAGTGATGACGCAGTATTTTCGTCCTATTAGTACGAAACATCGCGAATAATTAATATATTCTGCGTACATAGTGTAGTCAGTCCGTCGTATGACGTGGCATTCCTTTTCTCCCGTTGCTCAAAGGCAGGAACCGGGGGACGGATAGTTTCTCTTCTTCGTTCACCAATTACCAGAGCTCTTCGACCAGTGATGCGGACACTGTCGAGACGGTTCCTGGAATCTGGGGTACCTACCTAGGCAGGCAACCAGAAGGACTGGATGACAGCAAGAGTTGTTCAAAGTTCTGACTGCGTAAAGGTGGTACGAGCATGATCTTATCCGAGAATGAAAGGGGAATTATGTCCCGCCATCGTTTATTCTAATATATGAGTCGGAGTATGCGCTAGGTAGATACGGGATGACATCCAAGGACGTCCGATGGAAACATTTACGGACGAATTAGGCTACCCCAGACCTGGATGTTTCAATATACGTAGGTGCATACGAATTATAGAGGTAGGGTAGGTTGGTAGCAGGTTGGTAAACAGACCAAGACCAGGCTGACCGGGTGGACGTTCGTGTTTTCGGAGGCACCCGAGGATTAAAAAGGTTACTTGATGTCATGAAATGCATGAACAATTTGGATAAAATAAATCAAAGGCTATTACTGGGCTCCCCCTATTGGAGATCCTATTGGCGAATTTCTTAATCCGAGCTCGACCTAACCCAGATAGAGTTAGTGCATGATTAGCGCATGGCTAATGATACGATGTACCTAAGTAGCACGGCCAGGGGAACCCGTCAGCCAGTCAGCCCTCCCAGCCCCTTAAATCGATCTTTTTTCAGCAGGTAAGGACCTGTAAGGGCCACTAAGACCTCCGGAAGGCAAAACATGCATCCAATCAGATACGATGTTTTACTGACCGCTGGGGAACAATGTGGCTAAGTGAAAAACCCGTTGATCCTATCAAATCTGGACTTGACCCCTGCATGTTAATTTTTTCGGGTAAGTGGGGAAAGGCGCAGATCTTATGGCGCCTGTGGACAAATCATTTTGCAAGAACTGTCGCGATTAGGAACGAAGACTTCCAAGGTTTGGAACTTCAGAACTTCCACATCAAGATTAGATACGGGCACAGAATTCACTGGCAGGATTTCCACCGTTCTGAATTGATTATCTCAGGATTATAGCGTGATTCAAGACGATTAACGAGCCACGATGACAAAGTAGTCTCTTTACTAGTACATATCTATCCAAAGGGCGGGAAAGCGGACATCGGAAATCGGCCCATCTCAGGGGTTGAAGTGTTAAGGTGGTGTACTAGGTAAGTCACGATGCGTTTTTGTGTATAAACTCGGCGATATGCCTTTGATGATCGTCATCACATATGCTGTGCTCGGTGCTTTTATTTTCTTGTTTTACTCTCGATGAGTGCATAGTACATGGTATTAGCACTATTAGCACTATTGGTCGTATTAGTACTATTAGTACTATTCTCAATAAGAGGTCTATTCTTATTAAGGTGGTCGTCGACGACCATTCTACTTATTTATTCAAGGGTACAAAAGTTGTTACAAGGTAGCTGGTCAAAGTGCGCAGAAGAGTGATCATCGTAATCTGCCAGTACCCGCAACACCAAGAACACCAAGACCAAGATACGATACCTGGGATACCTTGAATATCTTCACCACTTTTTTACCTTTCTACTTTCCACTTTCGCAACTTCCCAAGTTCGCAACTTCGACTCACCACGCCCAACTCTTCACCTCTCACACCACATTCGTTTTTTCTTATCCATGAAAATTTCAAAATTCTAGACGCCGTTTAAACATACGATCGTACATTTGATCTTTACGATTTACGTACTTTTCATCACTCGTTCAAAATTGACCACTTACACATTCATTTATTCATTATCGTCCACTCCCCCGTCTACGTATTTTTCCCGGAAATCTCATCCCACGTTGGTAAATCTGTCGCGCGTCTATTCATTTACCGAACTATCGCGATACCTATATTTCACCTGCATCAATTTATCACGGCGCGCTTAATACCCCACACTTTCCTGCTTTGGAAATACATAGGATATTGAACCGGCCTTGCCTCCCGTTAACTAAGGTCAATATTGTGGTTATCTCCTTCACGCCGACAAAGACGACAAGAAAAGTGCGGTATCACTGGTCCTCGTCCCCGGCCGCCCCTTTGTTATCACCGTCCACTACCCCGTCAACTATCAAATCAGTGAACGACTACACTGGGACATACTAAGAATAAAAAGGATTTTCGTCTTGAACAAAGCATCCGTTTACCAAACAACTTCGGCGTCTTGATTGTTCTCGACCACAATGCATTGATCAGGAGAATACATCAATAGCGTTCTTTGCCGTCGAGGGTTCTGGATCATAGGGTGAATCATCTGTCCTCGACTATAGATTCTCCTTGTCCGCCCTTCCGTCCCTCGTTTCAGGCGATTCTTCTTTTTTTCGACAATTTTTATTTTTCACTCACACCATCTACTGGTAGGCAGCACGTTAACATCATGTCGTTCATACGGCGCCGGATCGCCGACGCACTTTGCGAGGCAGCCAACTGCACAGCAACTCTCGAACCTCGGGAGGCACCCACAGCAACAGGTGATGCTGCGGCTACACCCTCATCTACGATAGCTCCGTTCTCCACCGCGCTAAATGGAGTCGACCAGGACGGTAACATGTTATTTAGGGATTCGTTGTGGTGGACTTTGGGAGGCATGGCACTCATCCTACTCACGATTCGCCTTGTCACAATAGGATGGTCCCAGCTGCGACATGTCTCTGCCATGTCAGCTACGGGTGCTCAGCAGACTTACTGGAAGAAATCGCAATGGAGTTGGATGCCGGCCTTCAAGAAGAACCTTCTCTACGCACCTTTATGGAAGAAACGACACAACAGAGAGATCAAGTTATCTTCCGCAGTCACCATTGGCACTCTGCCATCTCGACTCCACTCCGTCATTCTTGCCATATACATCCTCAGCAATGTCGGCTACATGTTCTACGAAGACTGGTTTCAAGAGAACCGTTACGCCTTGGCAGCCCAGATTCGAGGTCGTTCGGGCACATTGTCACTCGTGAACATGGTCCCTCTCCTAATCTTGGCAGGACGAAATAACCCCTTGATTAGCTTATTGCATGTGAGTTTCGACACTTACAATCTCATCCACCGATCGATGGGTCGCACCGTCGTCATCGAGGCCATCATCCATACTATCGCCTGGGCATATGTCGAAGTCGCCGCTAGTGGTTGGAGCGGAATGGGTTATAAGCTGGTTCGTAACGACTTTCTAGCTTCCGGCTTCGTCGGCACCATCGCATTGACGATTCTTCTCATCCTTGCCGTGTCACCACTTAGACACGCCTTCTACGAGACGTTCCTTAACTTCCACATTGTTTTGGGCATGATCTCTCTTGTCATGACATACCTCCATTGTCACTTTGCGGAACTTCCCGGTGGTCTGCCCCAGAAGTCGTGGGTGGTGGCAATTTTCGCGAGTTGGGTATTGGAACGTACGGCGCGAGTATTTCGGTTGGGCTATTATAATTGGTCCAAAAGACGTGGCTTTACCGAAGCTGAGGTGGAAGTCATGCCCGGCGATACCACTCGAGTCACCATGCATCTCCCTCGTTACATGGACATCAAGCCGGGATCGCACGCTTATCTCCGCTTCTCACAGATCAAGATTTGGGAAACCCATCCGTTTTCTGTCGCCTGGGTCAAGCACCACCCGAACATTGATCGGGCAACTTTGGGCGAGAAGGCAATAACCGAGGCTCAGTTGAAGAAAGGAACAACATCTGTCTCATTTGTCATCGGAGCTCACACTGGTTTCACCCGAGCACTTTACAACCGAGCTCTTGGCAGTGGATCGCCGTCTATTCGTCTTAGAGCTGCGATAGAGGGTCCTTACGCCGGGCACCATTCGCTGAATTCGTACGGCCATGTTTTACTCTTCGCAGGCTCAACCGGAATTACTCATCAGATTTCATTCCTGAAGCCGTTGATCGAGGGGTTTAACGATGGGACAGTGGCGACACGACGAATTACGCTTGTGTGGATCATGCGTGACACAGAATCGTTGGAATGGGTGCGACCTTGGATGGATGAGATCCTGCGAATTCCCCGACGACGAGAGGTCCTCGCAATCCGATTATTCGTTACTAGACCTAAGAATTCTAGAGAGATCCACTCTGGCTCCAGTACCGTCCAAATGTTTCCAGGCCGCCCTAAGATTGCGACGCTGGTCAAGAAAGAAGTTGAGGAGCAGGTCGGCGCCATGTGCGTCACAGTGTGTGGCCCCGGTGCTCTAGCAGACGACGTTCGGCAAGCGGTTCGCGAAGTACAGGATGGAACTTCGGTAGTGGATTTCATCGAAGAGAGTTTCACGTGGTGATTTTCGGGTTTCCTGGGTTGGAGGCATTATTCGTGCATTTTCTTCAAAAGCCAGGAGTTAAAGGGTGTTAAGGCGGCGATTTTGATTTCAAATGGTGACATACCGAACTAACGACACCATTCACAGGATCCTAAATCTTGAATCTTCCGAGGTTGGGCTCTAGAATCCTGGAGGATATGATGTAAATCCATAAGCCGCACTATCTAGGGAGCGGTACACATACCTTTTCATGTACATATGTTGCTTACATAGCCAAAGCAATCAAGGTAAATGATTAGCTGAAGGTATCAAATAAATTGACTGTTAAATCTAGTTCTGCTCTAGCCCTGCTTCTTATAAATGACTTGTCTCTTCTGTCAAGCCTCCTAAGCCTCCCATCATCATTCTTGCATTTTTGACTCATCCTTCTCGCACTTCAATGCCTTGCTCAACATTTCTACTCAACCCTCCTCCACTCCTGCACTTCTGTACTTCTGTCAATTACTCCTGCAGACATACAAACATACATATCATACGTTGATGGATAGGATCACAGCATACATATGACCATCCATGCAGATTCGTGATGTAAGTGTAGTAAGTACTTGGAAGCGTTGTTAGTATGTAAGTATACCAGGTAGCTACCGGAATACCGGGTTAGGTATGTCATATCCCCCGGTAGAGGGATACCGTTCGGTGTAAATACATGGCAAATGCATGGCAGATGCATCTTAGTGCATCCAACCAGGGGGCATGTCACCCGACTGCGGGGTTACCTTGCATTGAGGTAGGGACACCCCACCTTCGATGTAAGTGTGGTCGTTTAGACACGGCATGAAATTTTTATTAAAGAAATAGATTCCGAGGTCGTCAGTTGCGCCCTACGAATTCTGACTCATGGGCAGGGACTACCTAGGAATGATAAATAAGGATTCTAAGCTCTGGGAAACAAAGAACCTTAAAAGACCCTTCCTTCACTTCTTATTATTTTTTCCCAATTAACAATTGGCAATCGTGACACTTCCTCTTCGTCTCAATCTACGTGCTTCAAGCTTTTGCATCGTACCTTCGAATCCTTCAAATCCTCATCACAAGCCATAAACCCCCAAGTCTCAAGCCTCAAAGCCTCAAACCCCGCGTTGTGCATCGACCATGCCGATGTAAGTTGCACACACCTGTCAGAAATCTAAAACATTCAATATAAATGAATCTGCCCATTGGACCCAACATATGGCCAGAACCACGCCCGACTGACGATCAACTCGTGTTACAGGCTCAAGGATCCCTCCAAAAAGTATAAGAAATTTCAACCTCTTAACTTACCGAATCGCCAATGGCCTTCTAAATCAGTTGATAAACCCCCAAGATGGCTGGCAACCGACTTGAGAGATGGCAACCAGAGCTTGGTTGACCCAATGGTTTGTATATCGATATTTCCCAATCCAATTGGCATGGTCTAACAATATTTAATAATGTAGAACGGCGACGAAAAATGGCGATTTTTCAAGATGCTGGTCGACCTTGGCTACAAGGAGATTGAAGTATCATTCCCTTCCGCGTCGCAAACCGATTTCGACTTCACGAGGCGCTTAGTCGAAACACCTGGCGCTGTACCTGACGATGTCTGGTTACAAGTCCTTGCGCCGTGCCGTGAAGACCTCATCCGCCGCACCGTTGATTCCCTCAAGGGTACCAAGAAGGCCATCCTACACATCTACCTAGCGACAAGCGAATGTTTCCGGCGCATTGTATTCGGCTTCACCGAAGAAGAAAGTCTGGAGAGAGCAGTAGCGTGTGCTAAGTATGCTCGGTCTATCACCAAAGACGACCCTGAACAAGCTGGTACAGAATGGGCTTTCGAATTCAGCCCTGAGACCTTCTCAGACAGCAGCCCCGAATTCGTCATTAGAGTATGTGAGGCCGTCAAAGCTGCGTGGGAACCTACGGTCGAGAACCCTATTATATTCAACCTTCCCGCGACGGTCGAAATGTCGACGCCAAATGTCTACGCGGACCAGATCGAGTACTTCTGTACCCACATCTCCGAAAGGGAGAAGATCTGTGTCTCGCTCCACCCACATAATGACAGAGGATGCGCCGTTGCGGCTGCTGAGTTGGCGCAGATGGCAGGCGCTGACCGTGTAGAGGGATGTCTCTTCGGAAATGGTGAACGAACAGGCAATGTTGATTTAGTCACTTTAGCCCTGAATCTTTACACGCAAGGGATTCATCCGAATGTTGACTTCTCTAATCTCAATCGCGTCGTCGACACAGTAGAGATTTGCAACAAGATTCCTGTCCATCCTAGAGCACCGTACGGTGGATCTCTTGTCGTGTGTGCCTTTAGCGGCTCACACCAGGACGCTATCAAGAAAGGGTTCATGCAAAGGGAGCAAGATGGCAAGACATACGATGACCATTGGCAAGTGCCCTATCTTCCCCTCGACCCGGCGGATATTGGTCGCACGTACGAGGCCGTCATCCGTGTCAACTCACAGAGCGGCAAAGGTGGTGCTGCTTGGATCGTCTTGCGCAAGCTCCAACTTGACCTTCCTAGAGGCCTACAAATTGCGTTCAGCAAAGTGGTACAAAAGAAAGCGGATTCGCTTGGCAGAGAACTCCTGTCGGCCGAGATTACCGACTTATTCGAGAGCACATACTTCCTCCAGGAGCACCCTCGATTCAACATTCTCGACTATTCTATCTCATTTGATCGATCATCGTCTCCTGCCCCGTCGGGTGTGCAAGATACCAGAAACCTGGCGCGTGTATTCGAAGGTGTCGTTGCTATCGATGGCCAAGAATACCAGCTCCGTGGCCGCGGTAATGGCCCAATTTCATCTCTAGCAAATGCCCTGAAGGGCGTAGGCATTGACTTAGATGTTGCAGACTACAAGGAACACGCCATAGGAGGCGGCCGAGAAGTCAAGGCAGCCACGTACATAGAATGTACAGCTTCCGGCACATCACAGAAAGTCTGGGGTGTTGGCATCCATGAAGATGTGGTACAGAGCTCCCTCATAGCTCTCTTGGGTGCGGCCAGCAACGTAAGCATTTCAAGCACGATGGCATGTTCTAGGAGCTAGTTATCTAACGAACGATTTAAAATAGTTCATCCTAAGTCGACCCGGCAGCCCCGTCGTCTCGAAACATATGTCGAAAGGTAGCTTTGGCGAAAGATTCGACCTCCACGCTGCCTTAAAGGTACCACCCGCTACGAACGGAAGCACCAAGCCTCACGATCCATCCGCGACAGTGCAGGCCTTAGAAACTAAGGCCAATGGGGTGTAAACCAAAAAGAAGACGACACGACAGCAATATGAGGGCGATACGGTGTTATAAAAACAAATGGCCTATTGTTTCGGAGCAGACCTTATCTAAGTTGATAATACTGCCATCTGTTATAGGTCTTGCTTAACTAGGGCTCAATTGTCGGTGTGCGTTCTGCATTAAAATGAGGCGCTTGATTTACATGGCACACAAAGACAGGTTTGCAAACAATAGGTTTAGCTTATCCCATTAGCATCCGAAAACGTGTAGGATGGAGAATCGAATAAAAGTTACAGATATTACTTCGCACATGTCCGAAAGAAAAAGCAATAATGCTTGATGAATATTAAGATATGCATTCCTAGATGGGATTTGTGGCTGATGATCGACTATCTTTCCCCCCTTTTTTGGTATGTCTTGAGAAACAAAGCCATTATCCGCATGTTAACAATAAAGTAGGGGGGGATAAGGGGTTCGAGTGGCACAGCCCATTCGCTAAGGGATAAGGAACTAGCTAAAACGGTCTTGGCGGGACGAATGCGGGGAAGCATGGACGGGAAGAACTGACAGTCCGCATTCCGATTTCGCAAAAAGATTCGAAGGGATTAATATGTGTTTAGCGAATCGATTGGCTTAGGAGGGTGATTACGGACAGCGCATGCCCCAGATCAGTGACAGCGCTGGGATGGATGGGGGGATGTAAAATGGAGGAATCAGGTGCGTGCGTGCCCTGTAAATCATGTACCTAGGAAGGCACGGCCTGGGTTGCCGCAACTGCAGGTCTGCTTGTAGCGTCTTCCAGATTGATGGTTTTTGCTGCTTGGACGAATTATGTCAACCCACAACCCGCGTGAGATTTTAGGTTACGTGGGGCAGCTGCTGTCTGGTACTATCTTGGTAGTGCGGACTGTGTATGTAATTAACAGAGTTTAATGAACTATTATGTAGGTAGATATGTATGCATGCGTGTATGATCTGATATAGGATGTGCGATATGTACATGTCAGGTGTCTCACCGTTTGTTCGACAGCTGTTCGACACCGTGCACACACCTCTTTTCTGTCAAACCTTCGATTTAATATTGACCAGTATTGACTTATATTTCTCGAGAAATGAATAGAAGGTTCCTGTCACTGAGTCAAGAGTACCCAACCCACCTCTAGCTTAACTCCAGGGCTACCTACAATACCACTACCACTCACCTAGGTAGGTTAATTTACTGCTAGGTACCTAGTACCAAGTTGTTACCTTTTTTTAACTGTTTAGCATTAACTGTATCTACTTAGTAAAGTATCGTTACCTTTTTTTAATTTATTTATTTGCGAACAAAGAAACTCTAAAAAAGATAATTGGTGTCACAGTCAACCCCTCACTTGTATTTTATTTTTATTTTCACACTTCATTTTCCAGGGTTGGTCTTTTTCTAACAAAATCGCCATTAAGGTTTACGCTACGGCTACCCTAGTATGTACTCTGGGGGGTTGCAGGCTCGTGATTGTCAACAAAATAAATAAGAGACCCGCTGAATCACTCCGCCTACCTCGTTAGGTTCATTAGGGAACCATTAGGGAGCCAGAAAAAAAAAGGTCGCTACTGGCGCACTGCACACTGCTACTGCTGCAACTACCCACCATCAACTTCTACCTTTCTACATTTTTTTCGACTCTTCGACTTTTCCTAAACTTTCCTTCAACGTCCACCATTAGACAAAACCTCCTTTTCTATTTTCCGACCAGTCTTAATAGGACCAAAAGAAAGCATCCTCTTGCTTTTTAAGGACTATTCTTCCGACTTATTATCAACTCATTCCACTTTTTGTCCATCCATCATACGCAACCCCCCATTTCATCCACCTTCTCCTTACAGCTTAATAGTCTATTCTTGTTGACATTGCACTCCGCCGACCTGGATCTTACTTGAAAGAACAAAAAAGAAGGAAAGGTCTGTTGCGCAGACAAGATGGCTGATAACAGTGATATCAACGCTGTCCTCAGCAACTCGTTGTCGCCAGGTAAGTCGTGAGAATTAGCGGTCCCCGTACCATAAGCGCCTCGCGTGCTGATACCCACACGTCATTTTTCTACCGAGCTTGATGCTAATCCTTCATTCCCCTCTTAGACGCGGCTACGCGAACTGGCGCCGAGCAACAGCTTACCCAAGCTGCTGAGACTAACTTCGTAAGTCGATACTGGCATTTCCCCCATTTCTAACTTGATATATATAACAGCAGCTAATATTGTTATTTTTTTTTTCCCTTCTAGCCTTTGTACTTAGCGACCCTAGTGCAGTCATTGGCGGATGAAAATTCACAAGGCAACATCAGAGTCGCTGCGGGTCTCGCCTTGAAAAACGCTTTCTCCGCCCGCGAATTCGCCCGCCAACAAGAACTACAAGCCAAATGGCTCCAACAGACGGACCAAGATACCAAGACTAGGGTCAAGGAACTTGCCATCCAGACCCTCGCGTCTGAAAATGCCCAGGCGGGCCAGGCTTCTGCCCAGGTCATCGCTTCTATCGCGGCTATCGAACTCCCGAGAAGCCAATGGCCGGATCTTCTATCAGTCCTGGTCCAGAATGTCAGCTCTGGCGCGCCTCATCAGAAGCAGGCTTCGTTGACTTGTATAGGCTATATCTGCGAAAGCCAGGATGCCGAGCTGCGAACCGCCTTGATCGGCCACTCCAACGCAATTCTGACTGCGGTGGTTCAAGGCGCGCGAAAAGAAGAGACAAACATCGAAGTGCGCCTCTCTGCCATCTCTGCTCTCGGCGACTCTCTCGAGTTCGTTGGCAACAACTTCAAGCATGAGGGAGAGAGAAACTATATTATGCAGGTTGTCTGCGAGGCTACCCAGGCCGATGATGCGCGCATACAGCAGGGCGCATTCGGCTGCCTTAACCGCATAATGGCTCTCTACTACGAGAACATGCGCTACTACATGGAGAAGGCTCTTTTCGGTCTTACGATCCTGGGCATGAAGAACGATGACGAAGATGTAGCAAAGCTTGCTGTTGAATTCTGGAGCACTGTGTGCGAGGAAGAGGTCAACATCGAGGAGGATAACGCACAGGTATGTTCGAGTTTTGCATGTAGATGATGAAATGCTAACAATAGATACAGGTTGACAGTGCCGATCAGATGCGCCCCTTCTACAACTTCGCTCGTGTCGCTACTAACGAAGTAGTGCCTGCTCTACTCACACTCCTCACCAAGCAAGACGAGGATGCAACGGACGATGAGTACAACTTGTCACGTGCGGCTTACCAATGTCTTCAGCTTTATGCTCAAGCCGTCGGTCCAAACATCATCCCTCCAGTCATCCAGTTCGTCGAACAGCATCTCCGATCTGAAGACTGGCATTACCGAGAAGCCGCGGTGGCCGCTTTCGGAGCGATCATGGAAGGACCCGAGGAGAAGGTTCTCGAGCCTATCGTCAAGCAGGCCCTTCCTATTTTGATCAGCATGATGGAAGACGCCTCGACCTTCGTGAAGGATTCAACTGCGTATGCTTTAGGTCGTATTACCGAAGCGTGCTCTCAAGCTATTGACCCCCAGCAGCACTTAGATCCTCTAATTCGATCCCTATTTGCGGGTGTTCACGACGTTAAGATGGCAGCATCTTGCTGCTGGGCTCTGATGAACCTGGCCGAGCGCTTCTCCGGAGACTTCGACGCTTCCTCAAACCCGCTCACGCCTCATTTCAACCAGAGTGTACAGACTCTTCTTACTGTAACCTCTCAGCCCGGGTCCGAGACGGCTGTTCGCACTACGTCCTATGAGGTTCTTAGCGCTTTCGTTCAGCATGCGGCGACCGACAGCTTCCCGGCAATTGCCCAACTCTCGGACGTAATTATTAAGCGCCTAGAAGAGACTATTCCTATGCAGAGCCAGGTGGTTAGCATAGAAGACAAGATCGCATTAGAGGAGATGCAGACCAGTTTGAACACTGTTCTGCAGGCGATCATTCAACGACTAGAGAAAGAGATTTCACCGCAAGGAGATAGGATTATGCATGTCTCACTTCAGATCCTCAGCACTGCGGGTGCCAAGTCTAGCGTTCCCGAGTCAATCTTTGCTACGATTAGTGGATTATCGAATGCGATGGAGGAGGATTTCGTCAAGTACATGGATGCCTTCACGCCGTTTCTTTACAACGCTCTCGCAAACCAAGAAGAGCCCAGTCTCTGCTCCATGGCTATCGGTCTTGTTAGTGACATTACTCGATCTATGGGCGAGCGTAGCCAGCCGTATTGCGATAATTTCATGAATTATCTCTTGAACAATCTAAGGGTTAGTCTATCATTTTCTTATTTGTTATCTTGTGTGCTATTACCTTATTTACATATTTGACTAGTTTGCGGAGAACGCCACTAACAATTCGTTGCAGAGCACGACTCTTTCCAACCAGTTCAAGCCGGCTATCCTTCAATGCTTTGGTGATATCGCCAATGCCATTGCTGGCCACTTCGAGACTTATCTCTCCGTCGTTGCTCAAGTCCTGCAACAGGCTGCGACTGTTACAGCCGCGCCCGACGGTTCTTATGAGCTTTACGATTACGTGATCTCCCTACGCGAAGGTATCATGGATGCTTGGGGTGGTATTATTGGTGCCATGAAGATTAGCGGCAAGAGTGAGTGGCGTCCTAATATCGTTTAACGTAATGTTAGTGCTAACGAGTGCGTAGACCAAGCACTACAGCCTTACGTCCAATCAATCTTCCAGCTGTTGAATATCATTTCGCAAGACATGAACCGCAGCGAGTCGCTCATGCGATCGTCTATGGGAGTGATCGGGTAAGTACATACTGCTCACTCTTGTTTCTATTGACAAAAATGCTAATAAAGGAACTAGTGACCTCGCGGAAGCGTTCCCCCACGGCGAGCTAGCTGAAGCCTTCCGACAAGATTGGTTAACTGCTATGATTAAGGAAACCAAGACGAATAGGGAGTTCCAGTCTCGTACGCTCGACACGGCCCGCTGGGCCCGAGAACAGGTTAAGCGACAGCTAGGCGGATCTACGTCTGTGATGCAGCAGACCTGAACTCACCAACCGAATAATTCAGCTCTCGACGCCCCCATCCTTAAAAACGCACCACCCCGCGCCCCGACACTCGATCCTCCCGACGAACGAGCAAGTCCGGCTCAGGCCTGATTTTGCGTACAAAGTTCGCAGGGGAACCCAGCATCCTTACATCCCAGCACCAGGATTTTCCCCTTTCCAGCCCCAGCCCCAGCACCAGCACCAGCACCAGCACCTTGACAGCACCAGCCATATGTGTACATAGATACCCTACATTAGTAATCCAAATCCCCATCATACCCACCAAATTACCCATGGAAATTCCCCTTGTCATATCACACCATATCATTGCCCCATACACCCCGACATGCTGAGTTTTCCTTCGGTTTGGACTGCAAAGCCACAACGGAGATATTTCTAGTCCCCTTTAGAGAGAAGATCACGTCATGTACGCCCCTCACTTCGGATTTGGGGCCACGAAGTCATGTAAGGAAGGTGAAGGAAAAGAAGATAGAGGACGACTGGAGATACGGAGGGCATCAGGCCCTTAAAAAGCACGCCGCTGGGGTTTTGGTCTAGTTCAAGTGAACAGACAATACAATACCCCTCCCAACCCCCCCAATTGGAAGTTTTTTCCACCCGACCTGTTCGTCCCAGGTTTGACGTGGAGTCGAGAGAACCCGGTGACTTTGTTTTTTTCTTGTTTACCAAGCAAAAGATGACGGTTCCGGAACTCGACAAAAACTCCCCCAAAATCACGAGAAAGTCAAAAAATATTCAACGTCGGGACTTCGGTGAAAAATGAGTCAAGTGTGTTCGTTCAGCTAGGATGCTTCCTTTCGGCTCAGTTCGGCTCGGCTCGACTTCCTTGCCTTGGCCCCGGCGGAGAGATATTTGCGACGAATGAATAAAGTCGGTAGTGCTGTGCTGATATTTACAAACGAATAAAGGCCCCCTTTCTACCCTATCTTGTGTGTGCGTGTATGTGACTGTGTATGTGGTTGTGAATATAGGTGATTATGGTGAGGATTAGAAGTGTTTGAAATGCCTCTATTGATGTTAACTACCTAGATGGACATAGGATTTGCATAGGTCAACGGCATCGCTTCTTGTCTACCTGACTACCTAACTAGCACCTTTCTTGCTATCCATGAATGCCTTTGGATTTTGTTGCAACCTGTTATCTCATGATAACGTTCCCTTCCCCAACAAAAACAGTCACGTGATCTCCGGTATTGGTTGGAGAAGGCCGAATGGACGGCGGATCCTGGATAGAGACTTAATTAATATTAAGGTAGACGTGAGAATAAAAACCCTTCCAAGGTTGATACAGCGATGTGATTTCATATAGAGAGAGAAGAGTACCTAGGTATAGGAAGTCTACAGTCCTCTAATTTCCATATAGCCATGCCTTCACTACATAGGTATTCCGCCTCCAAAGACAGAATATAGGTACATAGGTAATTAGGACATTCACAGCAAACACCCTCAACAGAACTTCGAAAATCAATATTTGCTACCTATATTCCCAAAACCAGAAAATCCTGATATGGATATCCTCCCAAATAGCGTGTACTCCTATTTTCCCATAAATAAATACCTAAATAGTTCCACCGTACATCCAAATCAATCTCATCCCGCTTTCCATCCAAAAAAAAAAGAATATTCCGTCCATCCATCCAGAGCACCATCCATCTTATCCTTAACCTATACATAGGTAATAAAAAAAATAGAAACACAGGTATAAATCGCTTGCTTTCTGAGGTACAAAGGAGACAGATAGGTACATATATAGAGATATATAGCACAGTCCGAAAATGCCGACAGTTCAGTTATAAATCCGTGGTATGATAAGTTCAGATTGTAGTATTCCTCTCAACTATGAGGCAGATAGCTGGGTATATCGAACGCCCCATACGCCACACCTGTAACGTCAGTGCCGGACCATTGTCCCTCAGCACCATTGACCATTATCTGGAGATTATTATCAAACCCATCGTTGAGCGATGGGTACTCGGGATAGTACGGGGTGTGGTGTTGTTGGTACGGATCCGACGCTGGTGGCTGGTGGGAAGATGAGGCCAGGATATTGAGGCCGGAACTGCTTGTGTTCGTATTCACATATGGCTGTTGCGCGTAACTTTGAATTTGTGGAGGATGGGGAAGTTGAGGAGAGTGCTGCGGGGGTGGGGGTGTCGGTTGTGGGTGGTGTGCACCGTACGGGGTCTGTGAGAGCGGAGGAAGACACACGGGATGGAGTAGCCCGGGATGTGTCTGCTGCAGCGGCGCCAGACGGTGTGGTTCTGGTCCTTTCCCGACGTCAGGCTGGCTTCGTTCCTCTACGTGTGTATGCGCTCGTGGGGGAGTGGAACGTAATGGGCCGAAGCTGATGCATTCGGATTTCTGGAGACACGTTGTGGTAGTTGGAGGGTGTAAAACGTTAAGGACATGTGGTTGTGGTTCTTTCTATAGACAGGTTTAGCTTCGACTGAGCATCAGATTTTAGGTATCGGGTGGCTTACCCCGTCTGTCATTGTGCCAGCCTGGAACGATATCCTTTTGGGATTTGGATCCTCGTACCACTTCTCTAGGCCATTACACCAAGTCTCAGCGAGAGGCCATACCTTTTGGCATTCTCTCAAGACGCTTACGATGCGAGTATACATAGCGCGGCCTTCAGCTTGTATAGTCTCAAGGTTTTGTCCCGCATGATGGGCATCCACTAAGGAGTTATTAGTAAAATATTCGACCAAGGTCTTATTTATCTCGAGAGAAAGCTCTTACGTTGAGGAAATTTGCATAAGTAGGAGGCCAATAAGCCGCAACCGTAGATAATAAAACCCTGGGTAAACTTAGTATCCTAGATATCTTGCTCTAAGGGATCATAAGGTTCGCTTACTGCCATCTGAGAACCGACCCTTCCTATTTCAATACCATTTTCGTAATGTGCATCAATTTGAGAGTATAGCTTCCTGACGTTGAAGAATAACTCTGCCGCCATGTTGTTATAGAACTTGACTTCGGGGTTTGATGGATTTCCTTGAGCATGGCGGATCATACTAGAATAAGGGTCTTAGCAATATTCGGAACTTAGTAAGGAGCAACTACGTACTCTTCCATGTATTCTTTACGGAGAACTATGTGGCAAAGCCGGATAGAGCCTGTGAGACCAAGGTAAGCCTAAGATTCAATGTTAATAACATATTCCCAATGAAGTCGGGAATAATATGGCATTACCAAATCCACCCCGTAAACCCTGTAGCCGCCCAACAGGACTTTACCAAAAGTGTGATCATTTGGGAGGTTTTGCTCAAAGTCCATGAGCCTCCGATTCAACTTAGCGAATTCGTTACCGCTATCGTGAGGCCGCCCACATCTTTTGTTGAAAAGAACTCGCCGAGCGATAATCCCCCATAGATTGTGTATCTGCATCAAAGATGCAAATAACGATCTAGGCCTGAGTATCGTGAGACTCGGGTTTTGAATGGCCGGTGGTGTCCCTTCGAGAGCTGCACGCTGTTCGGGGATCTTGCCATTCTCGAACTCCTCTTCGTCACTCGGGAGGAGAGCAGTGATATCTCCAGGTGCGAGAGATAATGGCTTGTATGGGCCTGAGTGAAGATTGTCTTGGCCTGGTCAGTTCGTTAGAGGAAACAAAACTTATTCCTTTTAGTATTACATACTATGTAGCATCCACTATAGATTTAAGAGATATTGATTAGCTATGATCGAAGTCGAAGTATATCAAGAGAATGAGTACTGGCTTATTGGGTTATGCCAGGCTACAGGGTCAAAACTTACAAACGTGCGCCTAGCAGACTCTGCCAATATCCGATGTTCTATAGGCGATTGCGACGTGATGGGACTGTACGCCTCTTCGCGATGGAGCCGCATTAAGGCAGCCATTCTGAAGGAAATGCCTGCGCTGATCTTTTCTAACGTAAGAATGTCACATCCATTAATAATTCATTTTGAGTGTCTTCTTACATAGCTTGTGTTTGATTTACCACTCCCCTGCTCAGCAATGCTCAACAAGTAAAAGGCTTGGCATCTTTCAAGAGTAGGTTGCTGGTAGAGCTCATGGACGGCAAGACCCTGAGCCCTACGCATAAACTCGGTTGCCGCTTTGATTCCATCCCCAAAGGCTTCTATCAAGGACTCATTGAATCTAGCCGAAATCGCAAGAATGCTCAACAAGAGAAATACGCTCACGGACGAAGGGTTTTCTTTAACAAGAGCTGGAAACCTCTTTTTCGGGATGAAACCCAGTTGGAAGAAGTTCCTCGTAAAATTATTGATACCGTCGACGACGATATCAACCGCCGGGAGCAGATCCCATTCATTCTCATACTCAGAAAGCTTGCAGTCAGAGAGAGAATTGCGTATATGGCCTGGAGAAGCGGGTGACTCTTTTTTTACTCTGACGTCACTTTTGAATTTCCTATCGGATCTCTGTCTTGGATGTCGAAATGACCGGTCTTGGTCTAAATCGCCGCGGGAGGGAAAGGAGCTGGGATATTGTAAGTTCGGGGAATATTAGCATAATTCGGGTTGACGGTTATTTTACCACTCGTCCGGCACATTCGCCTCTAAACACGACTTGCAAGGTGGCGCCTTGTCATGAATACATTTGCTTCGCATTCGCCGACATCTACATAGAAGTTGAGGTTTAGTTTAGTGGCGATTCCTTAGTCTTCGGGTTCAAGGACGTTGTACCTTCGGCAGGCTATGGGCGCACGGCGTTTGATAGGCGGCGCGTTAGGATCTGGATTAGCGGTCGGTGGTGGAGACCTAGAATGTGCGGGTTTTGCTGTATTGGGGTCCTTCGGATCTGACGCTATAGTCATTATGGATCTTCGTGAGACTGGGGGCCTCTTAGGGCCTCGGACAGATGGACTCTTGAGTCGCACAGCAGTCCCAAATTTAGGAACTTGGGTCCGTCGTGTAACTAGCTATTCCACAGCTAGCTTCGTCCTCCCCATAAAAGAGATCGAAATGTCGGAAGCTAGCCTGTTCCTAGTCCTAGTTCTCGTACCAAGCCCGGGGTTTGGAATATTTTAATGGAGTCTGCTAGAAACTGCGAGTCATAAAAAAGCACGGTGGCGACATTTGAGGTTGGCATCGATGTCGTTTATATTCGAAAATATTTGTGGAAATAATGTACTCGGCGTAGAAAGTCGGATAAGTTGGAGAGCGAATCGAAGTCACAGAAAAATGATAGATAGGAAATGTCTAGACTGGCAGTGGCCCAGACCGTACAGCCTTACGGGGATTACCTATCAAACCCAGTCGAACTCCTTAGTCCTAGTCGAAGAAGTGTCAAAAGAGCCCTGAAAGGTGAACCGTGAGCTGGGTGAGGGTTAACTCGCAGGCATCACTGATACCACCTCGCCGGACCGCCCTAGCCTAGCTCAGCTTAGTCCAGCTGCTTAGAGATACATAGGCGAGGACGGGATGGGCGGGATGGTGCCAGCGTCACAACCGTGGTCAATCAATTATATGCGGCAAAAAAAGAGGAAGAGAGACCAGAAAAACGGAAGATGAAGAATGAATGGTTACAATGGCTTTGCTGTATGTGGTACAACGTTGTAACACGAAGTCTATACTTATCGATAGGCCTTTCCCTATAGTGCACTTGCCCAGCGCCCAGTGACATGTGTGCCTACCTATGCCTACCTACCTTGTATGACAAACTCCGAACTTGCAGGTACAATGCATACACTTTGTGTACGGTAAGTAGGTACATATTTAATTGCAGAAAGCGCAGGCTTCTAATTCAAATCATTATGTACATATAGGCAGCTTTATGTACGCTGTATGTAGCTGCATAGGTAATCGGCATGGGTTGCAGAGGGCCAAGCATTTCGGCCCGCCCTCGCTTCCACTCATCTTGTGCTCTTTACCGATTTAAATCCTGGGGAAAGGAATTCCCAAGAACCGTATCCGTGACCGTAACTGCAGATAACCTACCTAAGTATGTAAGCTTTGGGAGCACATCACATAATCCCATGCACCCTTTTTTTTCACTTTAACTGCTTACACACATACCTGGCTGCCTGGTACCTACCTAGTACATACATTTCGAAACTCCCGATTCCAGAGTCTTGGGAAACCGGTCTGTTGGGTTTGTGGCTATCCTACGTGAAGGCCCCCAACGAGCTAAGAGATTCGAGCCAATGCCGGTCCTCGTGGCTGGTGATGCCGAAACCAACAACGTTGAAAAACAGCCCCCCGGCGGACGCTAATCGGATACTACACCATCAAAAAGCCCAGAAGGCCCCCCTTGTTTTTCCTCTTTTACATCTGTCACGTCCGTGCTTCGAGGTCATCTCATCCCGTTGCTACGCTGTTACTCCACGATGAGACCGGTGAAGATGGCGACATGCTTCGGATGCGAATCGATCCAGTCACCCAACCCATCCAGCACCTTCTTAACCGGGTCACCTCTGCAGGTAAGGGAGAATGAGCCCATAAGTCCTAGACAGCGCCCCCCCGCCGAGGCCAAATCTGTCCGGCATCGCGGGTCCATCTGACCAGCACTCCGACGCAAACCGAGATCGGTGCCTTAAACGCCAGATCGCCGAATTCGTTCGTATTGACATTGTAGTCCACCATCCGGAGCATCAGCCGCCACCCGCTCCCCTCCGGCAAGCCGTATTGCGCCGGCTAAGTTCCTGATTGGCAAACTTAGACGCCAAGCACATGTGGCGAGCCAAATTAGAAAAACACATCTGAATTCGAACCAGATGCCAAAAGTCAGGCCACAGCTGTGATACCGAAGGACCGGGCAGTGGCAAGTGTGATGATCAATATGACATGTAACGGCGGTGGTGCCGAGACTAACCACATAAGAATAATCACATAGGAATCAGAATTGTTATACGCACGTGAACTTATATTGAAGTCCTAGTCTTCGAGATCGGTTGTATGTATACAGTACTTAGTTTCCACGAGTGCAATCATAAGGGGCCAAGATAGTTTTGGGTATTAAACAGCACATATCTCATTGAAGTAACAAGCAAATATCACCAAAGACGGAAGCAGACGTTGGGAAAAGATGTTGCACAATTGCGTGTCGGCGCATTGTTCATATTGCTAACCTCCTATTATGTGGTTTGAGCTTCAGGCCTTCGTAGCTCCGTCCTCGTAGACTTGCTATGCCCTGGCGTCGTGAGCCCCCTTCTCGAGCTCGAAACACGTTCCGTATATCAACCTTACAGCCTTCTAACCTCGGTCCCAACCCGATCCAAAGTCCCCGGGACGAGCCCTCTCGGTCCCGGGACTCCATCTGGCCTCGTCCGAGGGAGGCAAATCGATAAACTCCAGAAAACACCGGCCTGCTAAATGCTCCAATGCCATTATCACGACCCATCCACCGCGGGTCGCCACTCGCATCTGATTCTAATGACTAGGTATTATACACAAGGGTCTAAAGTCCAGCGCTGCGAACTATGTACGCGCGAAAATAATGTAACCTCTAAAGAATGAACTTTTTGTAGTGCGTCCGAAACGAATTGGAAGAAATATTAGGTGGGGGGTATAATTGTTGTTGTTGTGGTTGTTGTGGATGTTCCTGGATAATTAATCGGACGCATCTGTGCTAAAAGCGCCGGGAATCGTCAACGAGAGCCTGTCGCCCTTGTGTTTCTCCGCATCTGCACCAGTAGACTCTGATGATTGAATCGAGTCCCCAGCGCCGTCAGCAGCATCAGCGGCATCGGCACCATCGGTGTCAGCGTGTATGACCGTCTGCTCTGATTTCTTATCATCTTGGATCGGTTCATCTTCCTTTTGCATCGTCTCGGGTTCGCTAGACTCGATAGAAGGAAGAATGGTCACAACTGTATCTTCTATCTTAATGTCGTCGGCCGTGCTCCCGTGTATTTCTTGAGTATCGCGCGTAGGTTCCTCGCTAACGCTACGAGAATGTGAGTGGTTGTTGATTACTGGAACAACTCCACCTCCAATACGGCTCCAGAACATTTGATCCCGTAATCGGACGCACTCTTCCCAAGCAACTCGCTCCGAATCGGCATCATCAGCGCGCCAAAGCCCATCCTTGACCAACCGTAAAAATCCGAGAAAGTCGCAAGTCGATCTTACGCGGTCTAAGCAGTATTTGCAAAGAGGATACCGTTGAGCAGAATCTGACTCGCTCGTCTTGAATCGATGATTACGTAGATGAGGCGTGTCCTTACGCGCCTCACCACAAAGTGAACAAGGATAGAACTCAGGCTTGCTGATAGACTTGAACGGACTAGTAGTCGGTACTGGCTCAACGACAAGGGTTCCATCGATCATAGCATTAAGCACAGACCGACGAGCGAGCCAAGAAAGACCCGGCGCCATGTCAAGGCGCAGAGTAGGTTCAATATCCTCAGCACAAACTCTCTTGTAGAATTTGTTGTCCTTCAACGGCGGCAATACAGCAGAAGCGGCAGATCCAGAACTAAGGGCTGACGCAGGTGTGTTTGGCGTTTGTGGAGAGACATTTGCGCTCGGCGTGCTGATGGTAGATAGTGACACGGTTGATGAGTTGGATGGGGCTGAAGCATGCCCAGGACCGCTGAAGCCAAGGAGAGGGTTGAGCCCGCTATACGACCCCGACGAGGCGCGGCTATTCGATGCCCTCTTCGACGTTTTGATGAGCGACACGAAGTCATCAAAAGCAGGGAGATCAGTTCTTAATACCGGGTGAATCAGGTGGTTGAGGTTAGTCGGATATGTGGGTGGTATCGAGTCTGCGGCAGCAAGATTTGAGGCACCCTCGGACATTTGAGTCTCGTCATCTCTTGAATCGAACTTGCTAAACCCAGGAGACGAAGGTGCGGTGCCACTATGATCATCGCGCTCAACCATCAATTGCTCCATGACGAGTTTCAATTGCGCCAATTGCTCTTGCTGGGACTTCATGATACTTTCGGCATCGGTTAGTTGAGCCTTCAGTTGTTCGTTCTTTCGATTAAGAACTTCCTGTTCCCTTTTCGCATCCTCTTTGGCTGTGATAACCATCCTGTTTGCCTCTTCAAACAGAGAGACCGTTAATGTCTCCAGCTCTTGCTCAATCTTCCTCTTATCCTTTTCAACTTCGCCCCGCAACCTCTTCTCCTCAGCAATGCGCGCGAGAAGTTTACTCTTCTCAGCCTCGACGCTTTTACGCTTAACCCAGACATCGCTAGATAATGTTTCCTGTTGCCGCGCTATCGTTTCTTCGAGCTCTTGGATCCGTTCCAGGGAATTTTCCAACTCTTGTCTTGTCGCCGAAAGGGTATCGTCTAGACTGGTCTGGTGGTTGATCGCATTGATAAGCTTCGTACTGAGCGTAGCGACTTCCTGGTCTAAATCGGGATGGACGTTTTCCTCGGGCGCGGGACTCGTAATACGTATTCTAGGGTCGGGAATGGTGCTATGATCCTGATCCTCTACCATTAAAGAACTTTGCGATGGCATTCTTCTGGGATGAAGAGAACTGTGGGATTTAGGACTAATAGGAGGAACCATCATTTCGGTAGCTATATCTGACGACGACTGAGATTTAACCGGCGACTTAGACCGGGAAATCACGGCCGGGGACATGCTTGAGAGGGAACGAAGATGGCCAAAGGTACGCTGAGGACCGGGGCTTGGGCTCCGGTGCTGCGACCAGGCGGCGACGTGGATGAAGCTAAGCCAAGTCATGTTAGTATGGTAGGCCAACGGCAAGGTGATTGAGATGGATAAATGGCGAGACGAATGGCCGGGCCATAAGTCCAAAGCTAGATATTGTCATGGACTGCCAAATTCACGCAACCTAAAGGGACCGGGATGTTGTGTTGTGTTGTGTCACAAGGAATCGGCGCACTCACGACTCCAGCTTGACGGCTGGTGGACCAAGAGGTCCTGAAGACGCCGCAACCCGTTCTGGTGTGTCCTGTGGAATGGGATAGATATTACAAAAAATAAAGTAAAGATTAAATGATTTCAAGCTAAGATTGGCTTCTGTAGGCAAGTGTACTGCTCATCGAACCGGTAACGTGCTATCGGTGGGATTGTGGTGAGACCTATGTCGTAGAACCTGAGACCAGCTGACTATCGGTAGTAGAGAGGTATGTAGGTACTGTAAGTGTTTGCGTAGGCACGGGATCAAAGACGAGACTGGAACGTTTAATCAGCATGACAATTTCTCAAATGCCATAAAAAGTACGCGATGATAATAATCGATCAGTCATTCAACTACGTGTAAGTGGTAGTTTGTAAGTTGGTCGCATAGAAAGAGAAGCCAAATCCTTCATCGGTGGACTCGGCAAGACAGTCAAGAGACAATGAAGGAAATTGGAGATTTAGCGCGAAAGTGTAGAAAGATACAGAGCTGACAGAGATAGAAGCTGCGGAGTTGGCAATAATCAATGACGGGCCTAGGCGCTTGCGAAAACCACCAAACGACCTTATCCATGTCAAAAAGGAGACAGGGGTTATGGGTACCAGCCTAAACCAGGCCTGAGTGGCGGCTGTATTAACCAGGGTATATCTAGTACATGTACGAGTAAGAAATAGACGGTACCTTTTTTTCTGGGATTGGCAGCCCGTGATCGTATTTTGGTCTTTCTTTTTAGTAGGTAGTTCTGGTAGCTGAGAAGTGGAATCGGTAGAAAGGACCGAGTATCTCCGATTAATTTTAGCACTAGAAACTGAGAAGCTGTAGAAACTAGAAAGATTGGCCGGCTGATCGTTAATGATTGATCGGGTTGGCCGAATAAACTGCTAGAACTGCGTGAATGCGAAGGAAAGAAAAATAGCAACTAAGCAACTAGGACCAGACTAGATGCGAACTGCGAATCGAGAATTGCAAATTGTGGATTGCTGTCGATGCTCGAAAGGATCAATGGATGTTATTTAGTACGAGACAAAGGCGTAGTACAGGTCGGTAGGAAGAAAAAATGGACGGGATGACAATTAACGAGTGCGGATGGAATTAGTTAGTAAAAGTTGTAAATGGTAGGCTAGAAATGCGGCCGCCACCACCTTGTAATTTAGTCTTTAGTAAGACCTCGAGGGGGGAAATGTTGAATGAAAGAAGCTGCAATTGAACTCCTGAGAAAAATCAGAAGGCGTTAAGCTCAACCTGGGCATTCAACAAACAGAATAGTCTATTATGTCAATTGTTTAAAGAGATAATATTAAGTTTCTAGGTACAGGTCAAAATCTGTGGATGGTATGGATACTGTAAAGATTATTATTGTACATATACCCTTACACCGTACTAAGGTCATAATACAGTATATACATATAATGCAGGATTAATGTATGGATGTATAGATGTATGGATATGGATGTAAAAGTGACAATTCCATCAATTCAATCTATGTCGTCATTGTCCTTCCGCAAACAATACTATCCGTAGCTGATAAAACTTGGCAGTTGCATGGCGGCATGGGCACATATTGATTGATCGATACTTTTTTTTATACTTTGTACAACACTATGACAAAATCGTCTGTTACTATTCCCAATTCTCTTTTTCCCTCTAAATCATCATGTCGCCTAACCTAGACCATGTTTAAACCTTGCCTTGTTTACGTCTACTCGTTTCATTCCATCGTCGTCATCGTCCTAAAAATCGTTTCGTTTTCGCCCGAAGTTGAAATTCATCGTATTTATCCACTAACAAATGCCCACCAAATGTCCACCAGATGCCCAATGCGGCTATTGCATAACATAGATTAAAAGCACACAGTTAAGATGAAATATACCCACTGGTTTATTGCTACTATTGCTAATAAATTTACTAGGAATCGTCAACTTATGTACAGTATGTCATACTCCTGAATATCTTGGCGATCTTTTTACTGCATAGTAAAACCTTTCCAACAGATGCACGGAGTTTCACTGACTCAGCATTGGCCCGGAGCTAAAAAAGAAAAAGCCCCAGAGCCCCTCTCAATTTTTCTGATGCCCCTGACGAAAAGGGAAGAGGCAGAGAGGGAAAAGCCTGATAATCTCTCTCCCGCCTGGGCGGATCCCTTCTAGGACCATCCAAGAGAGCTAATCGGTCCCCCCCTCATCCACGTTGTCCACGGTTGGCTTAGAGCCTCTCGACGGATGCAGCTGGCCTCGGAATTCGTGAGATCTCTGGGATTGCCCGTCGTATCCCATCCCTGTTTCCCCTCTGCACATTGCAGAGCGCTTACAGATTGACTCTCGTCCGATACTCCTCACTTCGTGTTCCCACGTCACGCAGTTCGATTCTTACTTACATGTTTTGCTTCTCACCTCGGTCGTCAATCAAACATGGATTTACAAATACGACTGCAAGTGAGGGGCAATGAATGTTCCCTTCCTTTGATACGACGCCTTATCTCTTTTTTTACGTACGTGTGCACTAACAGTAAGCTATCACAGCCGATCTTCAGGAGGTAGAATGCGAAGAGCGAAGTACCTGTACTTAACAACGGCTTGCGATACAACCTCATAGCTTGCCGAAGCTGGGGTGTTCCCCAATAGTTCTATCATCCTCTTAAGTGCTCTAAATGCACCAAGTGAGCCGAACGAGCTTCGAGCCCTTTTTAGATCGAGGCTCGCCCGAAACGCATGATTCTAGCCTGGCCATGATGCATTTTCATCCCGCCTGATCTCCAGGTCTCGTCTGTGCTTTTCGCTTGAAGTGCAAATCTGTGTTTCCACGAGCTGCAGTAGAAACAGTTCTCTTAGCTCTCGATAGGTAGGTTATTTTTACTTGAACCTGTAATGCACCCTGAATTCACTTAAGGGACGAGGCTCGAGGCCTTCTATCACTGTATTTAGCCCCAGTTCGCCGTTCGGCTCCTTTCCTGCCCAATCAGCCGTGCAGTCAGACGAGACGTCGGGTAGTAGTCCGCTGCACGCAATTAATTTTTATAATTCAGGCACTACGATGGGAATCGCAGCCCGGTAGCCTGCAGGTCTCAAGTGTGTGAACGGTACATTGAATGCTACGTCAGCAGCAGCAGTGTCCATTTACCTACCTAGTAATACCTAGTAGACCTAGTAGTAGACCTAGCAGTGTTGGCAACTTAACAACAAGTCTGCCTTGCTTCACTGGACAAATCGTCTGCTCTAACAATTCTGCAGGAAAAGCACGCGGCATTAAGCAGGTTGCATCCCGCGCCCATGTGCTTGTGCCCGAAGCGTTTCAAGAGCCATTATTTACTTCTAGACGCGATCTTGGCACCTAGTACTTACGTACATATCTTATGCTCAACATTGGGTTCTTCTCCATAACGCTAGATAGTCTTCTCGGTGTTACCAATCTACATACATAAATATGTTCGCTCTCATTCATCATCTATAGATACCGGTACTGTTCTCGCTGCTTTGCAGATTCTGATACGTAAACTCGTACAGTCATCGCGGGCCGCGATCGGTAGGAACCGTGTGTTGCTAACCCCGTCGCCCCATCATCGGCCAACCACATTAGTGCAACACATCACCTCAACTGACAACGTCATCTGACTATCCGTTCCTAACCAGCCTTGTTTTCGGGGCATTCACGTGGGTTCTAGGTTCGCTCATCTGTTCCTGCATCTGCCAGAAATCCAACCTAGCCAGGAGCCTGGGACGGGCTGGACGGGGTAGGGCAGAACAAATCATCTCATGCAGACTATTGAGATTCTTAGTTCCAACGATTCAACGCAGAGTTTGCGGTGTGCTATGTTGATGACATTTCAGGAACCTTTTGTTGACGTCTGGAAGAGGCAGTTGAGACTTGAGCCAGCGTGACAACTCAAGCCATCAATGTCTCAACGCATGTTCGTTTCGTTCGGAATAATACCTGAGCATACACACATATATTAAATCAATCCTCGACGTGTCACCGAACCATCATGAACTAGTAGTTTTGATGGCGTCTACGATATGAAGCCAACACACATGTACGTGTCTTCCCCACCGCTTCTTAACTTCACGCACATGCAATTACCCTACCTACATACTTGGTGGGTGACAAGTAACAGGTATAACCTTGCCCCAGGTTCTGTACGCACCCGTCCGATGTAAGGGGTCGTTTGAGTCACTCCCTGTCCGGGTAGATGCCTACGCGAATATCACTTCCGCTTCCTATACAACACCGACCGATATGACTTCACTCGCGAGCTAAAGAGCTTTTTTCACGGAGTCAACTCATCTAATATCGTCGTATATCCCTCATAAGGAAACGAAGAGATACAACTCAAGCTAGGAAACTTTGAAATTCGGTGTATTGTACCTACCTATCTAATATGAACATAGATCACTGTTGTGAGTAATGACAATATTTAAACACAAGCACATTTCCAAATACACTGTGATCGACAGGAAAACGTCATGAAACCGGGGAAACTCTGGCGCAACCAATTCCCATATATAAACGATAAGAAGCATCGACCTTTCAAGTATCACCTATGGCGCAACTGTCGAGTGGCCCGAGTTTGACTCATTAAAGTCGTTATGAGCTATGCTCGCGGTAACTCGCATTGCGCCACGGCCGTGCCAGCCATGCTCGATTGGGGGGCGTGTATGGTTCGAATCTGACGGGCAGCATAGCGACGTGAAACGGCCATATCAGAACGAGATAGTATCCCCAACATGGACTTGGCTCTACAGTGACAAGATGCCCAAAAAAAGTGCACAGATCCGAGAATAGGCCACGCTCTACGTTTGGTAGGCACATCTGCGAATGATATTAGGGCATTCACTGGACTTGCCAGACCCCCAGAATAGAAAGGGACGGTCACATAGGTGACAATCCCGCGCACCTTTTTGCTTTTTTCATCTATGTAGGTAGGTGGCTTATCCTTGGACCTATCAGTCTGAAGAGACCTGCTGGGGGCGTAGATACGCGTTTTTCCTTTCCTCAACCGTGCGGTACCACCAACTTATGTAGGTAGTTTTAGGTACCTTAGGTACCTTGAATATATAGATAAATGTAGCAAAGCTTGGTGAGTCCGATATTACCTATAAAGAGAGCAGGCATTATATCGTTTTGAGAATACATATAAGGGGACAATAGAAAGAGTTGAGGAGCATTTAAAAAACACTCCGTGAGAATTCGATTCTAGCCAATCGTAATGCTGTACCTCTAAAAGAGATTACCATAAATCTAAGCCAACATCCCAATATATAGGTAGATATGTAGCCCATCACTACCTCCCAACAACGCCCTCAAACAAAACACCCCCGGTCTTACTCTTCTCCTCCCGCACCCCCGCCTCCTCCAACGGCAACACAGTGCCTTTCTCAAGCACATACCGCCGATGCCAAGCCCCGACGAACAGTCCATCCGGATCAACCGCATCCCTAACCTCGCGCCACCGTCTCAGATCATCGCCGTACATCCCCTCTATCTCCGCGCCATCCGTCTCAAAGTTCTTAGCCCAATGCGGCTTCCCGCCTAGATCCCGCATCAGCCACTCAAACGCCTCGTAGTACCTCTCGCGACACGGGGGATCGGTGTGATACGGTCGATACAGCGTAGCATTGAGATACAAAGTCGGCGAATCCACCGCCGTCGGGTCCAGAAACGCCCTCGTGTTCGGCACTTGAGCCTTAGGGTTCGAGGGACTCGTGTTGGAAACCCGCACCTCGACTGGGGCGTGCACATACAGCCCTTCCGCCGAAAACGGGATCCCGTGCTCCACGTATTCAGGATCGCTTGCCGGCAGCTGGTTCAACCAACTACTTAGCCGACGTAGAGCCTCTGGCCCTTTTTCGAGGGGGATGGCCCATTCGTTGACGAATTGGGAATATAGGCAGTTCATAAGCAGCGCCTTGCGGCTGGGCTGGATGGCGCGCGTCGTGGTGCCGTTCGCGAACCCGTACTGCATGCCGAAGACAAACCATTCGATCCATGGGAGGATGCGGGGCGCGAATTGCGATAGGTAGAGTATATTGTGGTAGACATAGTACCCGAGCGCGCGGTCGTAATATGATACCGGCGGGTCGAGGAGCGGGTCGTCGGTTTTCTCTGCGGTCCAGACGACTGCGCGGCGTGTGTAGGGGTACCACCATACGCGCACGAACTCGGTTTGCGTCCAGAGGTCGCGGTCCCAGGATGAGAGCATCTTGACATCAGTGTCGATGGTCTGCTGCCATCGCAGCGTGAATTCCGGCACGGCGCGGAAGGTGACTTCAGTTATGATCCCAAGTGCGCCTAGCGACAAAAGCGAGGCGCGGAATAGTGAGGGGTCTTCTGATGGGGAGCAGAACCTCGTGGATCCGTCTGCGACGGTTATGCGGAGCGACAGAATGTCCTCGGACATCAGGCCGTGTCGTAAACTTGAGCCGTGGGTACCGGTTGATATGGCGCCCGCGATGGATTGCTCGTTGATGCTCCCCAGGTTCGGCATGGCGAGACCGTGCTTCTCAAGCTCCTCACATAGCGCATATAGTCTTATGCCAGACTGCATGACAACAATCCCTTTCTCTGTATCAACAGATAAGATACGGTTGTACTTATCCAGATTCACCAGCCAGGACGAGGTACATGTCAGCGAGCTGGGCGAGTGCCCGCATCCGGTCGTAGTGATGCGGCGCCGACATGTATGCGCCAGCCGCACGATCTTTTCGATCTCAGGCAACGACTCCGGCTGGAAGTAGAGCTCCGGCCGCGACAAGAAGGTCTTGGCCCAGGTGCTGTGGACATGGTTCTCCCTTGCGCGGAAGGGGATGTCGTCGTCGAGCTTGGCCAGCTCAGATGCGACTAGAGGATCCATGGCGCGCGGGGGAGTTGGTACTAAGGTCTAAGACCGTGATGATACGGTATAAAATGCGGCAATTGTTTCTTGAGGCGAATTCTTCCCCTCGGAATATTAACCGTACGATTTTTTTTCGGCCGTCTATCACAAACCGGTGGAGCCGGCAAGCCGCAATTGTCGATATGCGCGTCACCTGCTTAGCTCCTAAACTACCGAGACCTATAACTTAATGGGTTATTTCTCAATCACCGCAATTGGGTGCGAGAGATATTAGAGTAGTAAGTCAACATGACGGATTCATTAACTCTACATTCCTAAGAGTAAATTTAGAAAACAGGAAGATGTACCCGAGACCCAAGGGAGAATGGAAGAGTGAAGCTTTGGGACGGAGGGGTTCACGCTTAATCATTTCTAGAACGTTTCTTTTTAATGATGTCTTGGCTTGCATATCTAAGATCTTCGTCATCGTTTGAGTTTGTGATTGGCTGATCTCGATGCCACACTGCCATTAGTTAAACTCTATGTCTCCGAAATACCTCACGTACCTATGTAGTAGGTAACATTAGAAAAACCCGCTAAGTGATTTCTAACGATAAACCTTGAATTATACCTTATCAGATCTTTCGGGGACACCCGTTAGGATATCCGTTTTAATTGATTTGTAATGAGTTGACTACTTGGGTTGACAGTATACATAGGACCTGAGTATGGATTTGATACTCTTCGATTGGATAAACCGAGGGGTATATTGAATATTACCTAGAAACACAACCAAATTTTATTGAGAGTGTTACCTGGAATGAAACTTGTTTATGTTATGAATGGCCTGTTAAAATTTCCGGAAAACATAAGTGGTACAAATCCAAATAGGGGGCAAGGTAACAGCTTAAACATCCATTGCCTTCCTCGAATCTACAAGTATGCTACAAAACTACCACGAAGAAAGTTGTACTGTTTTCAATCAATTCAAAAACCCTTTCCTACAATGCCTTAATTAAATATATGAGTATCTTGCAGGGGAAGGGGAAAATAGATGACAACTTTGTTTCCTCGAGTTACTATATCATATGGATATGACCTTTAAGGGGTGCAAGCGAAAAGGGGGCTTCGACTACACCAGGGCCCCTTAACATTAGGTTGAAATACTTAGAGCATCAAAAACAATGAGCAATGTCAAAACAACCTAATTATCGAGGCATGCAAAAATGCGACTCGTTACTTTTCTACACTGGAGCCCCAAGCAGTGTGAATGTGAACGAGGTACAAACGTCATAGTGCAAAAACGTATGAGTCTTCAGGTACCCAGACTGTGCATATACCACCTATCAACCGACTAAACCGCACTTTCCATGTCGACGCGACTTCCTCAAGACGTATCACCCCCTATGATTTAATGAGTGTCCCTCTGGTAAATCAGAACCTCGTTCTATACTTTTAACAACTCGGGCCTCCACCTTCGTTTTTCTTCTTTTCACCCACGCATCCTAGGAATGAGTATTGAATTGAAAAATACGCCACAGATAGGAATACATGATTCTAAAGGCTAGAATATTGATATTCTAGTACCATTATCGAGATACTCCTCAAGTTTCACTCATTCTCTCAATCCGTTCATTGCGACCGAAAGGCGTGGCGCGTCGTCTGCTTCACGATGTTTTATAGCCACGAAAGTATGTACTTACTCTCGCATCTGAACCCATATCATAACATCCATGGCCATCGCTGACACGAGGTTATAGTCCTAATGAGCCGCCAATATGGTGTCGCTACTATCTGGTAAGTGACTTGCGAGGTCTGCCTCAATATTTTATATACCCCTCAGATAGGTGCTGTATAGATTCAAACTGACATACACCAGGCTCGTCGCCACCATTGGATCCGGAGGTGGAAAGAAGAGAGTGACCAAAAAGGCCATACAAGATGTCGATGTGCAGAAGGCATGTGGAAAAATCATCGAGCCGGGTGCCCCAGTGGCACTGCGTCTTCAGGGTCAGCTCCTTTATGGTGTATCGAGGGTTTACAGCCAGCAATGCGGCTACATGCTGTCCGAATTGCAGAAGATTCATACGAACATGCATATCTTCTTCACCAAATTCGGCGAGAACCAGCTCGATCCGGAGGCCGGACTGGCAAAGTAAGGCTCGGCGAAAGTAGAAAGCGTTGTCGCGACTAGCTAATATTCTTTTCAGGCCAGAGAACCTTTTAATCATGAACGACCCCGACTTTGTTCCGGATATGATGCTCCCCAAGTTTGACCTTGATGCCCTGGCAGCTAGCCAAGCAACCCAGAAGACATCTTCCCAGATGTCACCTCTTGACAGCACAATCCTTTTGGGATCTCATACTTCGCAAAGTCCCGCGCCAGGTTACGATATCCAATTTGACTTTCATCATTCATCCTCTCCAGGCCCCCCAGGTTCACCGGGCGGTCTTCAAGGTCTTTCATCTGCGCGCAAGCCTGAGAGAGAACAAAGAATGCTTCCCGAGGATGACATCTTCGGAGGAGCTGGAGATTGGGGAATGGAGATAGACGAGCATGGGAACATCATCGAAGTAGAAGAACCTGCTATAGTCCAAGACGACTTTGATCTACCCCCTTTCCCCGCGATGGAAGGCGGCATTCAAGAGCGATTAAATGCCGAGCAGCAGAAACAGCCAGCGGTGGACGACGAAGGCGATGTTATTATGACGGATAACGCGCAGCAAGCAGGCGACGTGGCGACAGCACATCCGCCGAGTGAGCATCATAATGCCTTCTTATCTGATGATCATCACCAACAACATCAGGCCCCTTCCCGACGAAAGCGAAAGCCTCGCACTTTGCATGCCGATGCAGAGACGCAGATCTCACGAACTGCCATAAACAAGTGGCAGGAGGACTACTTGGTGAATTGTGGTGGCCCGAAGATACGAGCCACTGGAGCAGCGAAGGCAAAAGCGAATGCCATGCTCCTGACGTTTGGTCTGGGTCTAGGAAATATCGGTCGGAACATTGGTGGCCCAGGAATGATCCATCCTCTTGCACTCGACTTCTCGGGCGATTCGTTATTTACCGCAATTACCGGACTTGCGGTACATGGTGCGCCTCGTGGTCAACGTCGATCCGCATCCGAATCTATTGAAGATGGCTCTGAGCAAGGACGTCGAGTTAGGCCGCGACTCGAGGGTGATGATGTTCAGCTAGGTCGTAGTGATGACGTCTTCGCCCAAGATGGACAACAACTTCACGACTCTCCCGAAGTTGGTCGAGAAGCCCAGGCAGCCATGTCAGACCACCTATCTTCCGCTCTCAACATGCCCTGGAACCGAGGATCCTCCAACATACCAGGCTCATCCCTCCGCGGGTCCGCCCAAAAAGGGCGCATCCCATCCAGCCCCCTAGCCGGGCGCGGCAACATCCAAGACATAGTCCGCTTCAGCGACGCCCCCTCCCTCGACAACGACGGCGGCGGTTTCGATTTCGGCGGGGGCTTCCCCTCCGACAACGACGCCTTCGACGGCTTCAACCTCTCCCCCAAAGGCGCGAAACACCCCTCCCCCCACCAAAGCGAGCCGCAGAACACGAACGCCTGGCCGACCCTCGATATCGAAGGTAAGAACTTCCTCTCGTTCATGCACTCCGCTATCCGCGAGAACGGCGAGCGCAGGCTCGACGAGGATTTCGATATCGACCGTCGATGGGTCGCTTTCGACGACCTATTCGTCCCGCGCGACACGAACCGGCAGACTGCTGCCCAGGCGTTCTTCCATGTCCTGTGCTTGACCACGAAGGGGCGGTTGCAGGCTCAGCAGGATGGTGCGCCGCAGGTTCCGTTTGGGGGGATTTGGGTTGGGGTTAAGATGGGTGAGGTTGGTGCTGGTGGATAGATGGGTTGAGGTATACGTATTACGTATAGGTATCTGGCTGTCTGGGGCTTGCTTCGGGTAGGGATCGTCTAGGCTGGTTTTGTAGAGTGGTGGTTCGAACGACGGATCTATATCTACTCTTCCAACGTGGTAAACGGTCTAGGGATTTACAAGGGGGCGAAGAAATGGCAGGAGGGGAGGGGGTGTGATGTGTTACGATATTGCTCCAAGTCGATCTCTTCGCTTGAGCTAATTCAGGGAACATGGTGGAAGAACGGAGGAATCTGAAGGGAGGATTCAATCAGGAGGAGATGGAGTGAAGTTAATAGGCTAGCCAAGTGGCAGCCTGACATTTGTGAATGTCTTTTGTCGGACTCTTTGTACGATTTCTGTTTCTGTTGCTCTTAGGTAGATACCCCCATGCTATACCCACGACCTTTGCAAAGATTCGTTCGTTTGTCACATGCTGGATACACTGGATTTATTGATTCATTCGGGAAAAGTAATAGTAAAAGGTATCAGTCTTGTCACATTGCTCATCTAGGTAATTATATATCACTGGTATGTACGTACTCGTACCCAAACTTAAACCACCAATCTTAGTTCATCTGGATTACTCATAAACATCATCATCATCGCCCATTCCCTCACGGTCTTGGAAGACCATGTACTCGTTCTCCGGGCTCTCGTCTCCCATAACTACTTTCCACGCTTCCTTGACAGCATCTAAGCAACTGTCGTCGAACGCGAGGCTTAGAGATGGAGATGGGAACGCGAAGGTGGAGGTTTTGCCGCGGGTTGCAAGTGATGGCTCACGGGGACTGAGGGATTGCTCGTATGATAGTTTATACAGACAAGTTGGTTTCGGAGCATCTGCGGGAGTAGCCGCAGAGAGAAGAGCGTCTAGAGCTTCGCTAAGACGTGCGGTAGATTGTGGGGTTGATAGAGTGGCGAAATATATTACACCTGTAAGATGGGTTGGTTAGTTAAGCTATCCCAAGTAGTTTAACTGTTTTGAATGATGAAGATAAGGGTTGGTGCGATCAGTTTGTCAGAGGTTGTGTTCGTCAGCGCGAAGCTCAGACAATGTAGATAAGTATTCGTTATGTTGTATCATCATAACACCGGTGAATGAATTGTATAATGTTGGGGAAGGTGAAATATGAGAACTTACATTGATTAGCGGGACATTCTCCTGTCCCACTAGAATGCACCAATGCATAGATTGGGGGATTCCCCGTAACTGAAGCTGAATCGCCTGGGAAAGCCACAACAGCCACGGCAGGTGTTGGTGCGCCTTCAACAACTACCTCGAATAGTGCTTGTAAAGGTGAATTGATAACTGCAACAAGTCGACTGATGGTTGGAGCATTAGGCGCAGCCTCAGTTTGCAATGTGATCAACTTTGTCGTACGGACAGACGCATCATTTGATAGCTGGAGCGTGATCTCATCGTCAGAATCACTGTTAACCTCTGCCTTCGTATCAAGCATATACACGCCACCGCCAACTGCCCCAGCGCGACACGCCACTTGCGCGATTTCCGAAGAACCACCCCACTTAGGATATACGGCACAAAAGCCAGGTCCGAATAGACCCATAGACGTGAGATGACGATGGATCGTGGCTAACCCATCTACCACTGTTACGCGGCCATCTAATGTTAGAGTTAGAGCGAGAATATACTTTCGAAGATTCTCGTCGAGCTTGAACTCGGTAGTTAGGAACTCAGAGAGCAGCTTTTGCTCCTGTCCCTGCCAAACAGGCTTCTGCTCCTCTGAGTCGTAGTCGATGACGAACTTGAGGAACTTCATGAGCGACCGTTTGGATTTGGCTGGTATAGATTGCGCAGAGAAGACATCTTCTCGGCTACTAGGTATCCGTGCTAACTTCGAGCCAGCGTCGCCGGCTTCCACATCGTAGACAAAGAACGAGCCGACCGCTAGGAATTCGACTTGTCTGTATGCCCTCGATGACACGAGCTGCGACAACAGTTCGGAGCGGGTATGGATGATATGTGGTGCTAGGGCAAGCGAGTATGCTCGAGGAAACGATAGACCCTTTTCCTTAGCTTCCGGGTGCGTCCAAGAGAGGGCATTCCTAAAAATGTTCTGCTTATTCGATTCCCCAGCCACCGAATCGCCTTCAGCGTTCAAATCTTGCGCAGCGCCGTTTCCAGCAGCCCAACTATCCGACTCTTGTAGACTGAAAGCGGCCTCGTACTCGCCGTAGTAATCATTAGGGTCAAGGTGTAGGATGCGTTTCTTGGACCGCGAGAGAGCTCTTCATGGCGGAAGCAGGCTAGGTCAGTCAGATCAAGGTCCCGACGTAGTTCGAAATTCTACTAGAGGAAGATGATTTGCTTACAGAGCCAGTAGCGACTGCTGCAGACCCGTGCCGCAGATAACCACGTCCCATGGCTCTTCTCCCAGAGATTCCATCGTAAGCGGAGAATGCCACGATGGAGGGGGAAAAGAATCAAGGTGAGAAAAGTTTCGTTTGACGAAAAATTGTTGAAGAGGAAATCGAGCTAGGTCTAAGGTGTGGAGCCTAATTTAATCTACGGTCGCCGAGAAGCCGACTATGGCGCACGGACCATGTGAGGGCGGAACCTCACTAAAATTGTCCGCGACGATTTTTTGATGTTCTTCTTCTTCTTTTCTTCAACCACCGCTCGCCAGTATTCAGCGTTCTACTATTACGAAGCGCTGCGATTCTGGTATATGAGTGGCCTTTCAGTAGGCTACTCGCTTTTATGAGCGGAAGACCAAATCGTCGTCCCGTATCTACTGTCCTGGAATAATGTCTGATAGGATGGTTCGAAGGGTTGATACATATCGTCTCTCACCAGAGATGGTGCCTTTATGATAAGTCAATTGGCTTCTTATGGTTAATGAATGAGGGGCCAATTCTGGTGTCTGAGTTTTACCTATTAGGTATGAGATTGCTGACCTGCTAAGCTGGCTTTGGCACTCCAAATAATATCGATGTGTTTGCTTCAGTATCGTCTAATGTCTCGTAGTAATTACCTAGTTGAAATTCTAGAAAGACTAATAGCGGTCTTCATTCTTAAATCGCGAATGCCTTTTCTTCCATGTAAAATTATTGCCGTTATCCATTATTCGGGTATCTCAAGTGACTCGTGTTCTATTGTAAGACAGCGCGGAACTCCCTCCACCGCACTCCAGCCACATCAGCAAACTCCCTCATCAGCGCCGGTCCAACAACCGTACCACCATTCTTCGAAATCGCCAATATCTTCAACTCCCCCTCCGTGCCATCAACCACCATCGTCACAGTCTCATCGCACAAGCTCTCCTCCAACCTATCCGGGTCAACAAGGATCCAGTACTTCCCACCGCCCTTCTTCTGCCTCTCCTTGGCAGTAAAAACCGCCGCCGTGCACGCTACCGGTAAGCCGCGTATACTCAGCGACGCCGCTTTCTTAGCCTCAGTCGGTCGGGCACACAACACCATCTCGCGATCCACATCCCAGTACGCGCGCGGAAGCTTCGTATCTCGTAGCGCGGCTAGTATGGCCGCCCACGCGACATCGAACGGGTTGCCGTCGAAGGAAATGAACAACACGTCGATATACAGCACCCAGTATGCCTTAACCTCCCTCGTCACCTCGCTAAACTCATCCGTGTCTTCCTCCATTTCTTCGTCCCCTTCTGTAGTAGTGGTGGCACTGGCAGCTGGGTCGTAGTATATCCGCAAATCCTCCGCACTTAGCACCTTCGAGCTATGTAGCAGCGAGAATAGCCGCGTGCTCAGCGTCTGTGCTAGTGTGGTCGGGGGCACGCCGGGGAGGAAGTTGGGCGCACATCCTGTGGCTAGCTCGACGTTCGGGACGAGTAGGTCGTAGTCGCGTAGCTCGTCATTGTCGTTGTCGTCGGCTTGTAGCGCGCGGAAGTTCGGAATCTGGCTCGAGAGTAGGGTCTCGCCGCGCACGCCGCAGATGACGGTGGTGTCGCCGGAGCGCACTACGGCGCTGCCGTGAGCGTGGGAGAGTGAGGATATGTTGATGTTGTAGGGTCGGATTTGGCGCGGTTGACGTCCGTTTGTGCGTGCGGAGGGTGTGGAGGTTGGGTCTGGTGGTTGGAGGTTGGCGAGGAGGAAAGGGTGTGGGGAGAGTTTGGCGAAGGTTGTGCTTGTGAGCGTTAGGGAGCTTGACGTAGCCATATTGTATGGCATGGAATGTTTGCCGGTAGGAAGAAAAGAGATTAGGTGTGTCGTGGTTCACCAATGCGAGTTAACACAGCTGCAACTCATGATGGAATAATCTGGGTTGAATGGTTTGAAATTTGAGCTGGATCTTTAGCAGCCTCGCGGGGTCTATTCTACGGAGTGGGACGGAACTAAGACTCGGCCAATCAAATTTGGTTGGTGTATAAGGCTGGCAGGGATCATGGTATCGATAAGGTAAGACTGCCCCTTCAACTTCGCCTACTCAATTCATTTCCCCAACATCTTTCTTTCTATTCTATCTACATACCTAGACTCTAATTTGAATTGCATAATATTCCTACGACAATCTCTGATATACTGCTTTCAAGGGAGACCCATCCATATAGTATGCGGCACGATTAATCAAGCCCTTTTCCTCACCGGATTTCACCAAGTGGATGACTGCCATAGCTGGAACTACAACCTTCTCTTTCTCCGGATCGTTTTTCACCTGCCATGTTATATGGCATGATTGATAGATCCTATTCTCTATCATATCTACCATTCATAATCGTTAATACTTTGCAGCTTCAACTATACGTTCCAGGATTGTCAAAGTTGGACATACCGAAACTCTCGATCTCATGATGCATTGACTCTAATGTCACCCAGGAGCGACCGAAGAAGTTCCTCAGTCCGTCCAGCCCTTCTATCACGGGCATGTTGCCGAACTGCACTTTTGCATCCTTCGCGTATATGTCTGCAATCTTAGACGTATCGAGTGAATCGTTCACCGAGTGGAACTAGAAGATCTATCAGCACCATTCATTTATAGGGGATATATTCAACTCACCCTTTGAAGCCATGCTTGGACTTCGGATTGGGTTGTGGGGAAGAAAGCCATGATCGTCTTCAAGTCTAATTTAATCGAGGATGTTACAACATGATCTTGCCTGTTTCCTCCCCTTCATACTTATAATTTTCGAACCTACCCGATCTCAACTCTGAGCTTATTCAATCACAACCAGCACCATTTTCCTATTTAGGCAATGTGGGGGTTAGACAATTCAACGTCGCGCATATTCGCAAGAATCCATCCCAGGTATCCATAACATATGGCATCGGTCACTAGACAAAGGTGGTTTAGATTGCAGAAGTCCTGGAATGATCCTTTTTACTCTTGATAATCAACCTCGGCTTTTCTAGTATCAGGTATGTAATCTATGACATATGTGAAGGAAGAAAGTTCCCCTTCAGAGACCATCACGAAGTATGCAAGTAGGAGGTCACCTACCGCCACCCCTAAACTCCTCAGTCTAACTACCCCTTTCCCATACCATGTCGGTTACACATTTATCTCTTAGCACACATTATTCAAAGCGACTCTTAAAATTATCTCATTGGCATAACATGATGTGTCCATGGCAAGCTGGTTATTTCGCACTTTCTCTTCATACCCAAGACCATTGCTTCTTCCATTTGACTAATGAGCCAAAGTTGACGCAATTATCATCCGGCGAGAATGTTTGCTTTAGTGAACATATCCGTACTTCTAGCTTTGTCACATAAATAAGTGCTCGTCATCTCTTTCATCTGATTGCCATTCGATATTGACTTTATGACTTAAGCATCGCCTGTTTATACGAATGGTTTTATGATCACTTGCTTCTCATATCGGATGCTTTAGTCATTCCATATAAGTAATTCATCAGACATCTCTTATACCAACAGTTTACATAAACTATGGCTACCCATTAGGTAAGTAGCTTCGTGTGGGCATTTGGTCATATTCCATCCCATAACATGACCTAACATCGGATGATGCCATTTAACGCCAATAAGATACCTACATATATCTCACATCTATGACACCTTTAGCAGACACGCAAACATAATACGGTTTTTCGGCAAACACTGAAAGAGGAAAGAGCTCAAAAGTATGGCTGTCTGTCGCCTAATCTCCCTCAAAAGTCTTTTCTATATAAACTCCTGGAATTCTAAAGACTTTGACTCTAATTCTTCCTTTGCATCCATCCACATCTTCTCAGTATTAATATCTTTCTATTCTTACCTATATAATCTTAAGCTTCGTAACATAAGTTCAGTCGTCTTCTTCTTTACACGCCTCGACCTATACATGGCCAGGCACTTTCTCGCAACTCTCACGAAATGCCGCGATCACATTGCGCATCCACTTTGCGTCATTTCACCACCAACTACGGTAGATACCATTCCTCTACTACCATTACTTAGGTAGTAACTTGTTATCCCTGCACCTAAACTAAAAAAAAATGGCAACAAAGATAGCATTCTCCGATGGAGTTCTGAAAGATAGACGACAGCCAGTAGAAACCTGGCTGTGGGATTTAGCAAGCTTCCTTCCCGAATATAAGGATTTCCATTGGAACGATGACAATATGTCGCGACCTCCCCGGAGTTCGATTCGTACATTCCCTCATTGACAGAATCGTCGGATTCAAGAATGAGCAACAAGCGTAAACTGAGCGTTTCTCCTGTGCCGAACCAGCGACCTACTCTACCGTTAGATACTTTACGCTTCCCGAATATTGCTACCATAAGACGTAGCCTATAAGATGGATGGAGTTGTGCCAGAGTTAGATTACTTACTATTCTGCCGAAAGACAGTCTCAATATGTGGGCAGTTGCGGGACTATGATAACTAGGTATTATCTTAATATCCATTCCGTATAAGGTCAAGTGCTAACATCGCAAGTGCACCAACTCACCCCATAAGACACGATATGCCTCGGCGGTTTGCTTGGAAATGGCACTTATACTAGTATCGCTCATCTCGTGCCTCCAGGTATAGATTCTTTTCCAATTAATCACGGTATTGTCGGCCTAACGTCGTGTTCGCAATTAGTCGGAAACAAGACTAGAATGCTACCAAGGTACCTGAAGACGGACGTCCGAAGAACCTAGACACGGCTGTCTTTGAAGCTGCGCGGGTTCGCAGTAAAGAGACTTGTATTCCTGTCTAGCCACCAGAGAAGACATACAACCCACCTCTGATTGACTAATTACGAGAGACCAACTTACCAGGCGTGTCCTCTCCTGTGTTGCCTAAATGAGAACCTTGAATATTTAATACCTCGAGATATCATGCGCAGGATCGAGGCTAATTTTGAAAGAAAGAAAAAAGAGTCGGAGATGAAATCTTTTCGTCCTGCGAGTAGTCGACCTTGGCGCAGATTACATACCTGAACTCTGGCTTGAGACTCAAGATTTAGATGATTTATTATTGGAGTGGTGTCGTTTATATCTAAAATAAGGGTCCGGCACTCGTGTCGCTGTCACCACTCATTGTTCTGAGTCTTCGGCCGACAGTATAACAGGAAGGAAATAAACCGCAAGGCATCCCTAGAAGCCTGTGGTTGGAACAATACAACCTAGTGCGAACGCCTGTAGGGACTCCAGGCAGATGTTGTTGAACGAGAACGCATTGATCTCCAATCTTCAGAACCTAACATCGGTTTACGCCCTCTCGGCAACTTCAAGAAGCGTTGGTCGCAAATCTGCTATTACCCCTTAACAACAATGAACAACAGCAACAAGAGACATGGAGGAAACATAAACCTCCTTCCGACAACAGACTCCTCGCTATAAGGTTGTCCCTATCACGGAAGACTACTTTATAAAGCAAACTTAATGCATAAGATGAAGAACTCCCTCCATAAAGCTTTACCTCTTACGTTCTGCGGCAATTGAGAGATTGCGGTGTCGATAACATTGGTGGTACGGACGTCTTAAAGTCGGCTGCCATCCAGACATTTCAATCAGCAGCCCAGACCTAGATGAAGGTTCCGTGATGAAGTCCAATGCATATTTCTTACAATCTACGAATAAAGATATGGCTGGTATCTTCAATGAGCTAATCTCATCGAATACCTATATATTTCTACAACCACAGCAGTCCAAGCGATTGCACAGTGCACGGATCTCTTGTCGGCAACTTTCTTTAACTCGAATCACTTTTAACAAGGTGGAAGTGGACATTCCCAGCGGATATTGGGAGAAACAGCAAAAGAGATACACAGGTCGTTGTTAGTAAGAGAAATCTTGGTCGGGGAGTCCTATATCGCTTCCCTCGAATACTTTAACTCTTACTATTACCTACCTTATCGGAAAGTCTGGGACGCGTGCGGTCCTGTTTATGGAAAAATACAACCATGGTGAATGCACTAACACTCTTCGAAGAGTGCGATTCCGAATCCCGTCAAATTTCGGGGGTTGGGGGGATGGTTGGAACGACTGTCTAGCCCTCTAAGAGAACGTACACCTCATACGTGACCTTTTAAAAATTAGTCATTGAGCTGTTTGCCTAGACACCAAGTCGCTAGATAACGGCAACTACCTGGGCTAGGGCAATGGCTATAGTGCTCGCGGACGTGGTGGTACATCTCCTATCAAGAGGAGAGATAGTCCACCTTGGATGATTCTAGAAAGGACTAATATCGGAGCTACACGAAGACACTGCGGATAGGGGCTGTGCGATCAGCTAGCTAGAAGCATTGTGGTCTTGTTGGATGATAAGCGGTAGCGAGGGCTTCATTTTTTACCTGGATATATGATTAGGCGTGCACCTACATCGTGGTATTAATGATATGCCGTTAATACTTAAGTAACGAGCGCGAAGTTGAACTATATTATTAATAATTGAGCAAATCAAACTGGTTCCATATGTCTTACCGCATCTAATTAACGTAAACGCCTAAAGTAGAGTCGCATCGTGCGAATCGGCTGGTACGGGTCCTCAATGCTCATCAATCGCTAGCTAGGTACAGTAGTTATTAGCTGCTAGACCAGACCAGGTACCCAGTAACTCTTACGACGGGGCGCAAAAGCCTTCTTTTTCAGCTTAATCAATCCTCGCCACCCCGTTGGCTCCTCTGCGCGAACCCGATATTAAATCTGAGGTCATCCATCTCCCGCGACGATCGTCGGGAGTAACAGTTCGAGAAATCGTGTCGTAATTACCTACGTGTCGGCCCCCAAATGTTGCCCATACATGCTAGGTAAGTAGGTACGCTCTAGAAGGACATCATCCGACTTCCCTTGCCGCCTTCGAAGTTTCCGGCAGTCTGGGACGGCGGTGCGTGGCCTCTCTGCAACCGCTGGGTCTAGTAATAGTTACACCATCACAAAATCTCCAGGAGAGAAAAAAGCAACGAATTCGTCACCCCCTCATCGTCCCCTCGGCGCCGAGTTTTTCGACTTCTCGGTTCTCCAAATCTCCCTTTCTTGATGTACGTATGTATTCATGTACTTACTAAAGTACATGGAGATATGTATGCGGATGTAATGTATTATTGTGCCATACATAATCTTTTATGCTATTGCCCAGATGGCACGTCGGTGGATCCGGGTTTCGACGAATGGCGACGCGCCGTTAAGCGCCTGGAACCATTTTCGATAGATTTTTCCTTCTCTCTCTGCTTTTTTCTTCTCCAATCCGGATGACGAGGCAAGCCTCCGATGGTGATTGAAATTTCCGCCCCTGCTCGTATGTATGTATGTAGGTATGTAGGCAGGTAGGTAGGTACATACGGGAAAAAGAGCCCTAGGAAAAAAGAGATGCGCCCGCTCTCGCTCCCTATTTGACGAGACTCGCTTGCTCGCTAAATCAGCACCTGGGCAGTTAATGGGATCCGGGAGATGGGGTTTCGATTTCGATGCTTTACCTAGGTAAGTACATACATACCGTAGGTATTTGTGCCGCGCTGCTTTAAGGGTTTGGGATAATGACCGTTTATAGGCACCGTAATATTTTATTAGAAAGTACATATGTATATGGCATATCTTCGTCTCTCGTACAAAGAAATCGTTATGAGATAATGTTCTAATTAAACAAGCTCACTCTAGTGCCCGAAGCACTGCTCTTATTCCTATAAACCGCCTTTTAGAAGTCCATTGGTATTACCGGTCCCAAAACGCATAGCCCTCGCTCAAATAAAAAATAGTATCACGAAGGCGACCGTTAGGTTGGCGGATGGGTATCCGTTCGTAGGCCAGATCATATGCCCGTCCGAACTTTGCTATCATGTCGCTACAGTTGTTCTCATGACAATACGGATTCTCCATAAGGCCACTGATTTCGTCATCACTAAGCTCCTTGAACCTCTTTCCCAATATCGGACCAGCGTTGCTACGAAAAAACCGTACGCTAAGGCTTTTGCGGACAGTACGTCTGTTGTTCTGATCCGATAAAATTGTACCCCCCCACGGAGAACGCAATGCATCAAGCGTGAGCTCGTGGGCCTCCGCGGAGGATTCGGATGTCGCTATCCAATATACGTATTCTAAGCCCCGAGAGAGAAGGGATTCAGGCATGTCATCCCGCCTCGTATACCAGGCATTGTGACTAAGAACGGCATCCTGAAAACAAGGGGCTATCGACGTATTAACATTTATTGTACGGATATGACAGGTTGCGCTGATGAATTAACACTTACAATTATCGATTATTGCGGCAAGATGGTGTCGAACGCATGCTAGTTGCTCATTCTCCCAATTGCTGAAAAAGCGAAAAAATACATCGTACATTGCCGGCAACGTGAGTTCAACTGGCCAATTCCCAACCGTGTTCCAAAACAGCTGAAAACGGTATAAGGCGCGTTGGATCTTGTAGATATCCCGAGAAGATGGCTTCGGTCTGCAGCGATCATCTTCGTTGTGGTCCAAGTGAGTATTCCAGGCTGTATCCGCGATATTTTCTGCTAGAAACTTGACTATCTCATGAACACGTATAAGGGGTGGAGCTTCTTCTAGATCCTGGAATGTATTTTGGCTTGGGGAGGTCATTCGGCGGCTAAGAAACTTGCTAGAGAAGTCTTCAAGTTGTTGTAAGTTAAAACCAGGGCCCAAAGTCTGGAAACGGGACGATTTGTAGACAAGAATGGCTTCTGGGAAAACATCCCAGCTTATGTGATGGAGTAGCACCTGAGCAATGATCGTATTTTTGTAGCTAGTGAATGTAGAGTGCAGATATCGACATGTTCGAGTAGCTGCCTTCAGCGCATCGACATCATCGATGGAACAAAGTATGTTCAGTACGATTTCTACAGGTAGTTTATCCATCCTGAAGGTATCGCGCGAGAAAGACGCGACGGGCAGACACGAACCTCTCACTTCTGCTCTACGCTTCCGGCTATTGCTCTCCAGGGCTTATAAGGAAGATACCATCTTTGTTTGGAAGCCTCTCGTCATATATCGCAGTAAGTATGACTTATCATGTCTCGGGTTTCAACCAGGAAAAACGGGGTATCGGAACCGTTTTGGTGTTATTATTCGTTTGCTGTGACGGTCTTCATCAAACAGCGACGGCAGCTAAACCCGATTTGTCGGACAACACATCGCAAAAGATAGGTATTTATGTACATATCCATGGATGTACTGTGTATGTAATACAGCATCCTGCCATTGTGGAACCAACACTTATCAGATGGCAGTCGGAATGTATACTATTCGAATCGCCGAATTCTGTATTGCGCGTTCGTGACTACGACATTGCCACATTTGATGGTTCCAAGTAGGTATGTATCGCTTAAAGCTTTGGACAGAAGCTTATCACACAGGGCATCCCTTAGGTGTAACGTCTCTTTAGCTTGTTGGGGGAGAATTGGGGGTAACTTGGCAGCTTGGAAGAGGATAGGTAGTAAGATGATGTTGGAGGCGTTAAAAGATATTCGAAATTCAAGATTCGAAATCGATAATTCGACTCGAAGCGCTTTCGACATGAGACCATCCATCGAATCATCGAATCATCCAACATCTTTTTGACCGCTCTAATACCCGTTCGCTGTTCGGTCATTCTCTATCACCGTCACTGTTACCATTCTAATGTACCTAAGCTAGCATGCTAGCAGGCTACAGATAGGTAAAAAGCTCTCGTGGATCTCTTCCTGCGCAGCTGCGGTCTGCGAATGGCTGCATGCGTACTAGGTATGTACATGTAGGAGGGTACATATGCACGACTTAGCACAGAAGAATGGTCCCTTGCCATCTTACCGGCACGGCAATCTTCCCGTAGCTACCTGGCAGGACCAGGCATGGGCGTAGAACGACCCGCCAAGCTTCGACTCTACTGCGTAGCGCCCACGCTTATTCAGTGCAACATGGCGCGTCCTGCAGCAGTCTGCAGTCTGCGGAGGAACAAATCTCTCTTCTTTTCCTAGGCCATTAAGGTCAGCCAATATCAAAGTACGGCCAGCCGCTGGGTCTAGTACCGTCCTGTATTCTTTCTCAAGTTCTCAACCGATTGCAATCCACACCAAACCCACAACTCACCCCTGATTGATCGAGCTTGTTGGCCCTGGTAATGAGGTCGAGTTTGCCCCCCCGCCTGCTTTCCCACGAGGCCAATCTCGCAAAACTCCTATTGGGTATTCCCTAAGGAGATCGTAGGCCGAATGTAGTAGCTGTGTGACGAAACTTGACAACCTCGCTGCATGTTGTACCTGGCCAGTCTAGCGAAAAGGGAACTATCTACATGGAGATAGTATTTCCCCACCCTCCTTCAAGGTTGTCACCGCGATCCTGGCATCCATCCTGGCAACCTGGTAGGTTAACCGATATACATATGTATATACCTATCCATCCGTACCCATCTCATCGTCGGTCCGGATTCTTCTGCTCTCTTTCCGCTTGTCGTCGTCAGATTCGCCGTCGTCTAATTCAATGGCCGCTGTTACTGTATTCCAGTATCATTTTGTCCCGTGAATTGGGGAGTCTGGTATTCCTCTTCGCGCGACGAACATTCATTCGTTCTTAATTGTTTCCCATGATATATGTATCCAACCCTAAAAAACGACACGTAAAGACACCCATCACCAAGTATCGATTCATGTAGCAAGTGAAGATATTCCAGACGGGGCCAAGAGCGACGGGAATTTTTCAAATTCAAACGCCCTCGCGCTCACGCTCACGCGCCCACGATCTCGATTTAGCCGGCGCGGTGGACGTCAGTGCTCAATATCGGGGATTCCGTCGATATCACCCTTCTACTAACTAACCCCCAAACCATGGCCGGGGAACCAATATCAGCCATGGCAGGCGCATCGAGGACACTTTCCGAGCTCGCGAAAAGGATATACATCCCATTGACAGCAACAAGTCCGCCAGGTTTAGTAGAAGCGAACACCATCGACCCATGGAGTGCATCTGGAAAGTACGGGTTAGGATGGACGTATTTCAGCGTAGCACTGATGGGGATGGTGGTGCTGGTACGGATATGGCATTGGTGGCAAGACAAGATCCGACAGGCGATATATAAGCAAGATATGGAGCGGCATTACCGAGATTTATATAACCTCGACCCCGAGTACGCTTTGGCGACGGGCATGCACACGGGCCAGACTGGGATGCAATTCTTCCCCGAGGAGGCCGGAGGAGAAAAGAGGGACTTCAAGCCGAAATCCGACTTTTCCGCCGTCGGTCCCCTTCTGGATACCTTCGCTCTTTTCAGATGGGTATTTTACCGGCCGATACCAGATCTCGTGTGGAGGAAACATCGGTTCACTTTTTCGTCGCTTGCTGTTTTGTTTGTCGGGTTCATCGCATTGGCTTTCGTGTCTTTATACGTGTTCCTCAAGCAACCACTGTATTGGGACAGCATTCAATATGGTTCCCCTCCGGTGGCGATCCGAGCAGGCATGATTGCCGTCGCCATGACTCCCTGGATCATTGCCACTAGCATGAAGGCTAACCTTCTCACACTCATCACGGGAATCGGACCAGAGCGACTCAACGTGTTTCATCGATGGGCGGGTTATCTTTGCCTATTCTTGGTCCTCGTGCATACAATTCCGTTTTACGTCCAACCCGTGTGGGATGACGGCGGTATGGCCATCTTCCAGACCCTGTTCCCTCAAGGAAGCGGTGTTATCTACGGCACTGGTATCGCATGCCTAGTACCGCTACTCTGGCTCTGTGTCGCTTCGCTCCCATTCATCCGTAGGATAGCTTACGAGCTTTTCGTTACGCTGCACGTGCCGGTCGGCTTTGTGTATTTGAGCTGCTTATTCTGGCATACGAAAAACTACCTCGGGTCTTGGGATTACTTATATGCCACAATAGCCATTTGGGTATTGTGCTATTTTATGCGGATATTTAAACTCAATTGGGTCAAGCCGTGGCGGATGTCATTCTTGGTTGGGGATGAGGCCGCTATTACCCTCATGACCGAGAACGCCATCAAGATCACGATTCCCACACAGATGAAGTGGAAGCCCGGGCAATATGTATATTTGCGCATGCCCGGCATCTCATTCTTCGACAACCATCCGTTTACCATCTCTTCGCTATGCAGCGAGGATTTCCCGTCGGAGTATGGTGAGCAGTATAGAGACTGTACTCTGGTGTTTAAACCATATGGTGGGTTTACCCGACGAGTTCTAGAAACCGCTATCGAGAAAGGCCCATTCCACACGTACCGGGCGTATCTCGATGGTCCTTATGGCGGTATGCGCCGAGAACTGGCTGCATTCGATACATGCATCCTAATCGCTGGCGGAAGTGGTGTAACAGCACTGATGTCTCAGTTATTAAACCTGATCAAACGCATGCGTGATGGCAAAGCTATCACTAAGAAGGTAGTAGTCGTCTGGGCTCTAAAACGGTTAGAGGCGATGGATTGGTTCCGAGAGGAGTTGCGCATCTGCCGAGACTCCGCGCCACCAGAGAGCGTAACATGCAAATTTTTCGTCACTGCAGCCAAGAGGCAATCTCGAGTCCCAGCCCATCGTGAGCGGGGACCTCGACCTATAAGCAATATATTCCACGATAGATTAGATGGATTCGTAGCCGGAATCGCCTCGAAGCGCAATTCCCAGTTGATCCGGGACGAAGCGCAGGGGAACCAGGACTACGAGCGCGAACTTCGGGCGGAGGATGAAGATAGAATCACCGCCCTTCCGCAACAGAAGTACCTCCAACCACACCACATCCCACCGCAAGGCCCCCCGCCTTCAAATCGCCTATCCGCTCAGGAGGACTCTCTCCGGAGGTTAGAAGGCCGTGACCACAGCGACGTCGAAGACCACAGTACCGCACCATCAGCCCCGACAGAAGGCTTCCCTGACGATAAACCCAAGCGGGAATTCCACTTCCCACCACTGCAAACGCGTCCAGACCAGCAACCGCACTTCAACTACGCGCCACCATCCCCGCGACGAGTCCCACCTCCATCTCACGAAGAGCCCTCCGAACCTTCCGAACCCGTCCTCCGACCCCCCGAATTCGCACACCTGCGCACCACAAACCTCCCACCACAACCCCGCCCAACATCAACCTTTGGCCCGCCCTCCGGCTTCGACTTCGGGTTCCCGGAGACCCCAACCGAGTTCCAGAAAAGCCTAATGCGCTTCGCGTTCCCAGTGCCGCACCAAATCGACGGCGGGTGGAGCGTGGAGTACGGGCGTCCGGACCTGGGGTACATGCTCCGCGAGTGGACGACGGGCGGAGCGGACGGGAGAGGCATTTTAGGGAGACGGACGGCGGTTTTCGTGTGTGGGCCGCCGAGCATGCGGGTTGGCGTGTCGAATATGGTGGCTCGGCTGCAGGCGGAGATTTGGGGCGATCCGATGCTGGAGGAGATTTTTTTGCATACGGAGAATTATGCGCTGTGAGGGGTGTATATACATGTTAGTGTAGGAGATATAAGGGAGGGTGAGGGGGAGAGGGAAAGGGGGTTGTATATACATAACTAACTACATCTAATATCCCATGCCGGGACGATATACGCAATATATAACGACTGTACCGCCGGCGTTTGGGATGGGATACCTACTATGGGAGGAGGGAAGGATATAAGGATGAGCATAGGGTTGGGATAGGAGATACCACACACAGCCAACTTGGGCTTTATTCATGTACTAGTTGAGACGGTGCTCTCGGCGTGTATTTGTACGGACGGGTTGGTTCGATGGGTGGGTTGACGACGTTTATGTGCTGAGGCTAAGGGTGCTGTATACGTGCCTTGGTACTTGCTTGGGCTGTGGCTCAAGCATGGATGGATGGAATTGGGAAATGTGCTTTATGAGCGTATCGAGCGTGTACTTGCATGTGTGCCGATTTACTTGGGTACTTATTAATCTACTCCGATGACTGTTATTGCGTTGTTCGGTTTCTGTGTGTGAGAGGTTGAATAGTTTCGGCTAGCAGTTGGCGTGATGGTTTTAAGTGACTCCCTTTTCGACAGCGTCGCTATTACCTAGTGGAACTCTCTTCGGTATTTAGGTTCCATTTAATTGGGTACCAGCACATGGCCAAACTTTAGAAGAAAGTTCGTCTATCTAGAGGAAGGTGCGTACGTAGGTATTTGTATGAATATGGGTGTCATGTGACTAAGGGGAGTCTAGATGATACCAGTCATTGTCCAAAAAGAATGTGCCAAGATCAAAGTTGAAAGGGAGAGGGAGGTAACATAGGTAGATTTACTACTATTTTCATTACAGAAAATATATAAATGGCTGCGGTGCTGGTGGGAAATAGCGTATTATGATGAAGAGGTAGCTGTATGTACTAGGTATATGGCAATGCGTGCTTGTGAAAGGAGTGCAAGAGTTTTTTTTTAAAAAAAAAGTTAATAAGAAAGTGATGTTATCGTGAATTCATGTATGCATGCACGACTCAAAAATATTCAGATGCATCCATGGATACGGTGGGCATCAATGTGCGGCGAAAAAAGAGACTCGGCGAAAAAAAGAAGTGGCCGTCGAAGGAATCGAACCTCCGGACTATACCCCAGAATACTCAGTGTCTATAACCGTCTATATAGACATCTATATCCGTCTATAACCCGTCTATATACCAACTGAGCTATCCAAGTATTTGCCGTCCCAACCCGGCCTTTTCTTCTTGGAAATCACTGCTCTTACCTAGATATATATGGTGCCTATTCGCACGTTCATGGCAACAACATGGTCATAGCTTCCACAGTGTGCTCCTCGGACCATTGTCTTCCTGCTCTAGACATATTTTATTGATGTCATAAAACAATTCTGTGCCTTAAACAGTGCACTCAAAGTGAGGCCCGAACCGGTACCATCTCATTATGCGAGTCGATATACACATTTGATTCTAACCTTTCTACCTACACTCTAGATATCAGCAATATATCTATTCAGTCTAAGTCGGGTATAGGCAAATGATCAACAAGCTTCATCTGCAGTCCCAATTGTGCGAGAGCCTTCACGGCATTCTCGTCTCTTAGTTTTTCCGTCTCCTCCTTTGTCGTCAGTACGAACTCGTGCTTTAATAGCAAACCCCCTTCTGGGAAATCGTACTCCTTCGCTGTCGCGGGATCTACCTTATCTATGTCGATTATGAGGCTCTGTTTTACGCCGAATACGGCATCGGATGTCTCGTACGGGTCTCCCCGGACGTAGAGTGCCCTATTTATCGAGGTTAGTCCATTTATGCCAATCTCATTTTATATGAGGGCCACCTCTACCAACCTACCCCCCCTTACTCTCAACACTGTTTTTACACCAGATACTCATCACACGCAGGAACGGAATAAATATATAAAAAGAGAAGCAGTCCAACTCACGTAATCAAATGATCCCACCCTTCCTTCTCAAACATAAAATGTAAATGCGCCGGCCTCCAACAATGTCGGCCCAATCTCTCCAACAGCTTACCCACAGGCCCATCATGAGGGATAGGGTAGCTAACAGGCTTAATCCCCTTAAACCAGAAGTGGCCGTCGGCATCACTGACCATAACGCACCGCTCACTCGGCTCTTGGCGGTCCGAGTGCTGCACGTCGTAGTGTCCACTACTATCTGTCTCCCAGATGTCGATCTTGACCCCCGCCACCGGCCGCCCTAACCCGTCCTTCACTGTGCAGATGCAGAGCAGCGGCTCCCCTGCCGGGTCCGACGCCATGTTCGACCCGTTGGGGAGTGTCGGTGCGTCGTGCGTGTGGAAGGGGCCGAGGACCGAGCCTTCGGTGGAGAAGGCGGGTTTCGGGTGGTTGATGCTGTCGACGAGAAGGGAGAGCCCGAGGATGTCGGATAGGAGGATGAATTCCTGCATTACGTTAATTTTCATTCTCGGTAGGGTGGGAGGGGGGAAGGAGGGTGACACATACATGGCGCACGTCGCTGCTGATTTGCCCGCACCCTACGAGGAAGTTGAGGGCTGCCATCCACTCGTCGGTGCTGATCCGCGTCTCGCGAGCGAAGTCGTGCAGGTGCGTCACCAGCCGCGACATCAGGTACTTCAACCGCGCGTCCTGGCATTGCGAGTTAATGCGGATCGTGTTGGGCGTGATGTTGTCGATGGTTAGGTCTAGGAGGGTTGGTATCCCGGCCGGCGCTGCCATTGTATTGGTAGGTATTTCTATGGTTATGCTTTTGCTTTTTTGTCTCTAAATTACCTTGATGTATACCACCTACACGTTATACGGGGAATATGTGAGAGGTCAAACTAATGAGATCTAATTGGAGTAAACTTCTATAGGATAATCAATGGATTATAATTAAACTCCAAACCGAAGGCACACGATCGTCGTGGTCGTTCAAGTTTATGTAATTATCAGTCATCGACATAGTCCACTTTGTCCCAGGCCTCGGACTCCCGGCAGTTGGCGGGCGGGATCTCCAAATGTCTCTAATTGTGGCAGTGGAAGAAGGTTGACCCTGACAACAAACAAAGTAAAACGTACGACACTGCTGCTGCGAGGACCCGGAGAAGTGGTTCAAGTTGTGACGCTTTAGGAATTTACCAATCGAATAGCGATTCGCTTACCTAGTTTTATGTCACAACATCGTTATACCCTCGGTTCTCTGTTCTGCTCCAAGTTCTGTTTGTTTGACTTGTGCTTCCATGGACGTGTACGTGCCGGTAGCATTAGGAGGAATATTGGAGTATTAGGAATGTTGTAGAGACTATCGCCAGAGCTAGCGGATGTGGGGTAATGAAGGTAGGGATAAAGAACCTGGAAATGAGGGGCAGGAAAGGGGAGACGGGAAGAGAGCGGAGACCCGATCGTCGTCACTATCGCGATAAGTGCGTAAGAACGCCAATCGGTTCTTGCACATTTTCAATAAAGTGTATCCCATTAGCGAGATAACCTTTTTCGTTTATTAAGAAAACTTTATGTAAGCTTTTATTCCCTCTTCACTTCTCCTTCATTTTTACACATTTTATTGTATCTGAGGTTAATACAACTGTACGACCAACGACCGCAATATTCAAGCTTAGATGAGTAGAACGCAAGAGAAGAAGAAAAACACATGTGGGCCCTCTATTTTCTCATGAATATCCCGGAGGCCACCGCTTTTCCTGCCAACACTAGGCGCGATGAGTTGCCTTTCCCTACCTGAGTACCGTCAATATGCCTTGGATCACTCATATTCGCGACTGCGATCCTAAACATACAGCGGAAAGAAATGGATTATCTCGTCAATTGCGTCTCTCGTGGTATCAAGTGGCTCATCCCTTTTCTGCCTAGAAAATGACAGTCATCTGTTCAGATTTCATATGGGGGCATTGATGCTCACCGCAGAACAATTTCACAGGTAATCTTCAGAAATCCTGTTTTTTCCATATGAATATTTGCCAAAAGATTAAAAAAAAAAGGAAGAAGCATTGACAATGATATGAATTGTGGCGTATATCCTGCGTGCTGATCAGATGCTACCGTTAGCTTGCAGATTTTAGGGTCATACATCACTTTTAGGGTTGCCTTGAGTGTTCGGTGTCGATAAATGGATCAATTGCGATAGATTACTGCAGAAGTGGCAGTGTATCCGGCGCCGAGGACAATGAAAGGTCATATAGACAATCAGATTTTCCATTCTTAAGTGTTGGCGTCAAAGAACACTTGATGGATATGATGACGAGGGATCGGAATCTAACGAGCCTAGACGTAACGAAGAGACCTTCCGATATCCTTTCCCGGAAGTAGACGGCCAGCGAGGCACATGCATACCTTTTAACCGACGGAGGACAGGCAGGGCGAAGTCAGGCAGGCCCGTTGATGCCCAACGAATCTACCATACCCTCGTTTCTAAGCTTTCGGTTCGAGAGCCTTGTGGTGATTTCCAAGGTTATTGGATATCTGCGGGCCCCTGAGGCAGCCCATCTATGTAGGCTTTCCCAGCAGCCCGGAAATCTATCTACTTGTCGTCATATTCCATCGTACATGCTTTAGCCCTCACGGGATCGCGAGTTCATGTACGATATATGGTATAGGCAAGTTAAATTCAGCCTCAAAAATCTACGTTCCACTGCCCCACGTGGTTTCAGAGCTCTTTTGGATCTGAGTGGCTAAAGCTGATCATAACGTCAAAAGTGCGCGTTCCAGAACAATCCTTCCACACTCAAACCGCACGTCTTACACCCTTTTTGTATCAAATTGCAAGGAGTCTACCTGGTACCGAGCCTACCGTCCAATCATGGTCAACTTGAGATTCAACTGCCATATACATTTTATACAAGATATACTAACGATTGCCCTTGATCATCGCCCATTAATTATTAACTAGGTAGGCAGCCAGGACACAGGCAGACGTATCAGCCTTTTTGCTATGAATTACTCACTAATTAAAAATGATAACATTAAGATACCTTAGCGTACTTAGATATATTGCTTTGCCACTATCACGTATTGATCCTACCCGGACGCAGAGATATCTTGGTTAGGTTCGGTTAGTAATTAATCGTATGCTGCCGCGAGGCGTGGCGATGCTTCGAAGGATTTCGTCAGATTTCAATCCAAACGTCACCAAAATTGATTCGGTATTGTTATCAATCATGAACTAGATAGTTACGCATAAAATCGATTAATTTATAAACCATAGCCGCAATTGTTCCTTCTTAGATAGGGAATCGGAAGGCAAATGGACCCGGAGCTAATGGCAATTTGCCCCTATTATGTGACTACACGAAAAAGGACAATATCCTGCCTATTGATGTGTCTCAATAGGTACTCACCTGCTAAGAGGTACGCTAGTCCGAAGGACAATACAAGACACATTATGAGCAGATTCAAATCTTGTGTTTACAGAGTCAAGGAAAATCAAATTTCAAAATCTAACTACATGTTGATACAGAATCATCTAAGAAACCCAAATCCGAATATCCCCGAAGTACCTATGTAAATGAAAACCCTCAAATGTCTAATGTTTCTAACCAATCTTCTGTTTTCCCATCTCCCATTTTCCACCCGAAAAATCTAAGAAATAAACGATCCCAAGATGAGAGACCCGCTGCCCAATTCTATTGCTGAATCCATGCTGTAGTCCGTGGTATATCCTGTAATTGTAACGCCGGTTTCAAGTCCAGCCGTGAAGCCGTAGTGTATCAAAGGAATCTATAATTCGAAATCCAATTCCATTCGTGTATTTTCCCGTGTAGTTCGTCGCTGTCGATTTGTCGATGGTGTCCGAATATTTAATATGACGGGAGTGACTGAAGTCTCGCCCGTCGACGTCTTGACAAATATTGGAGTGGATTGTTTAGCGTCCAGAAGCAACGCGGGCTGTATTCACCACGCAATCGGTACACCTTTCGTGGTTATTGCAATAGACGCACGAGGGCGTCGTCTTAACTCCCATGGGTCCATCTCCACACTGGCAGCAGTACCAGATCGGGGTAGAGGATCCAGTGGGGGAAGGCATATTGTATCGTTCGATGATTGTAGTTTTGTTGGGTAGATGTGTTAGAAACACAAGAGTTGAGTTGAATATCAAGCGTTAGCTGTGAGAAGAGGTAGTGATAGTTAACAGTTATGATGGTGGTAGTGGTAATGAACTTTGAATTCGTCAGAAGAAAGGATACCTTCCTTATGTTTATATATCTCAAATTCTCTGGTTCGCCTAACATCGTGGGCAAGACGTAGGGCAACTCTTCTAGTCGTCACTTTGACATAGCCATGGCAAAGTAGAGTCACTAGGTTGTCAATTGAGGATATTCCAATTATATTGGGCCGTTGAGATGGCCAGTTAGAACTTCGAGGACTGCGTGGATCCATCCATTGGCAGATAAGCTCCCCTTAATCGATGTATTGCCCGATACACTCGCAGGACACAGTCTTCTCGTGACAGACATTTCGTTTTTCCACCCGTTAAGACCCACTGGTCCTGAGGACATCGCGGCGGGAACACAAGCTAAGCCCTCCATCATTGTGTCATATCCATAAGATAAACTAGTATTGTAAGCTTCTTTTAAGTTTAAACAACTTACATAGCAAATCACTCCAGTGATGCTTTAGCTCGGCGGTATCGTCCGCCTCGGGCAGATCGACTATCCAGGCGCGGGCGACGGATTCGGGCGAGTGAAATTCGAGCTAGTAAATTAATTGAATCTCGAGTAAGATGATTAAAAAAGCGGATCGTATAATGTTCGAAGAGGATACCGTCCTAATTTCCGCATGAAATAACCTACTTAGGTAAATAGTAGGTAGCAACATTGGGGGACGTTATTTGATTTGGTCAAAGCCCGAAGCTAAGTGTATTCGAATGCTCGTAATTTACTTTATCCATACCTAAGTAACACCTGAGTCATCCATGAAAAGCTTAGCCCCCAGGGCAAAACTAATAAGAAGTCTGCCCTATAAGGCTGTGTATACCTAGTCGTCGTAGGGCACAACCCGGACACATACCCGAAGTTTCGTCTCACCGAACCCATCCGTGTCCTGCACGGAACGATCTATCACATCACCCAATTAATATCCATTAGTGTAACAACTATGGTTCATGTAATCCCGATTGCGTAGGGCAGAGTTTCGCGCGGGCCGTCGTTGGCAGCATGAACTATCGTATCAAGAATTTATCCCCCTTGCGATATTCGACCACTAACGAACAGACAGGCGGAATAGTTGAGAATGAGTGGTAAATATTTGTGGGCGCCAGAAAGTATATAATAGCGTGGATAATAGTTCGGGGGCAGTGCAGGTCTTGTGGTATAGTAATATATCCATTTGCCCGGTGGAGTTTCGGTGAGCGACAAATGTAAAAATGTATGCTTGGCATGAACTCGATGTCCACGGTCGCAGGCTTACCAAGTCTGTGAAATTTCAGCAACGGAAATAACTTGCAGCTTGTCAATTCTTGGTGTAAGGGGAGAATTGTGGTTTTCGACCACAAACTCCAAAAGTTGCTCCTATTGTGCACAAGAAAACCTGCGAATAGTGGGAATGAGCCGCAAGTTCTATAACGATGGCTAAATTAGCAAATATTCTGACCATAATATACAGTGAGATATTCTTGTCATTTTCCCATAGGTACACTTTAAAGGAGTCTCACATTCCGAAAGCCGTTCCTCGCAATTGAGTAGGACGCAGATCGTAGTTTAATGAAGGACGAATGCATCGACGAGAGCATAAACGATCTAGGAATTGGTAAGCTGTCTACCTGGGTAGGATAAAATAGATTTGGACATTGTGCTAATCTTGGAAATGAACAAGATATATCAAGCCGCTCAGGGGAGGGGGGGAACCGATGTCTTATAGATGGCCCCTTATGCGATGGATATAAATGAAGGAACCCCTGTAGCTGAAAGTCCATCCGAAAGCAGAGCCTCAGATATCACACATAGAACACCTAAGCGGGGTATATATAGGCTTTGCTAAGATCTACCACGAGAATAGGGGGTGCCCAGACAGAGCCTTCCCCGAAAGACGGCGATACACCCGACGAGGCATTTCGAATTCCCTGAATATGTCTTGTTAGCCAGAATATATTTTGTAACCAATCTCGTGAAAGACTACATATGCACTATTTATAATTAATACATCTTCCAAAAGATGCTGCGTTGCCCTTCTATGCAGTTATGTGGCTACTTAGCTGTGGTAGTTAGGAGTGGTCGTTGGAGTGGGGGTCCAAGAAACCCTCCGATATCTTACGTCTCCCTCATTTATGATGAAATTTGTCAGTGTTAGTGTTCAAACGCCCGGTTGGTGACATTCTTAAAAAATTTTACCATGTCCAACCCCCTGAAAGAATTTTTAGAAAAGGCTTAACGGGGAATGGCGGAGCTTCTGCTGTCATAAGTAGATCGAGATCGGTGAACAATAGACATAGTAGAGGAAGAGGCTCAAATATAAATTCACATGATATATATACGCGTACTTCAATGGGATATCCCCTCGAACACAAACATACACAACCCAGTTCAGATGATCCATAATTCTGTTATGAGAGTTCGCATATTCTCAACACTTTTGTTTGTCAATCTATTCTACACGAATCTACCTAGCTAATATGTTTTTCTACTTTACCCCAATATATAGGTACACAATGCCACCATTGCCACAGAGCTGAAAACTTTTATGGGAAAGCCCAGCTAAGTGTTATGATAGGATAAATCATAACATGAGAAAGAAATCGAGGACATTGCATATATATAATAGGGGCTCATTGGAATGAAATTCAGTACTACGAAGTGAGTGAAGTTTACGGAATATTACATGACTCTATAGTATAAGATCTTTGAGCCCCTAGGTAAATTGAAAAGGGGCAAGTCTACCAAGATATAAGTGTTATCGAACCACCAAAGTGGGTTCCACACATATAAAACGTTAAAAAGGATTAATGTTTCAATGAAATACGGAAACACTTAGCAACATAAAAATTATATAAGATAAAATGCTACTATACCGAATACTGAGGTCGTACACGTAGTAGTACGACTTGGTTTATTATTTGGCAACGCGAATAGAAGTCCTTGGTAATACCTGCTTGGTAGGCGTATTGTGGGGCGCACTATAAGTGATCTTACTTCAGAGATATAAAGGGCCTCTAGGACTCAGTATCCCTCAAATTTCAGCTGATAAGACGTTTATAGACGTATTTGAAGTGACCTCTAAGGTTACACAATTCTATTCTGTTGGAAATATACCCCTGTATGCATATCTAGGTACTAGGTAGGTACCTAGCCAATCATATTGCGATGGCTGATGTGTGGGGTTTCCTAAAATGGAATGCGTTAACAGGGACGGCTATTATTAGGAAAGCTTTATAGCCATGTCTTAGATTTATTTTCAACCACACCAAGCACCTCATTAATTTTTATACATGCATGGAGATGGCATACTAGAGTTGGAACATCTTGATTGTTCAAGATAAATGATATATCTGCATCTGCATCGGACTGCATGTTCCTCCTGCAACCTTTTCACTGCTATAACACTTCAAGCCTCGTATTATGTGCATCATGCCTATGTGTAAAATCTATCTAGAGTCTAGATGAATCTTATTGTAGATAACATAATTGGATAATACGATAGCTTTAAGCATTGTCCCTTTGTTGTGTGAGAATTGCCATCATATTCTTAAAACTTCGGTTAGACATTGAATTGATGCTAACAGGTCGAATACGAAGGCGGGGATTAAACCAAATATAATCTAGGATGGAATCTCGGCGAAGGAGAAGAAATCCTATATGCAGACTATTTAATTGATTCCTGGTGTTGCTAATCACGAGGACACTTGCCATTATGTTCTGGCCGTGATCCTTCGTCCTTGTAAATATCCTAGGTACTTAATGGATAGTTTAAAGCTGATAAAACATGCCATTTTCGACACCTATTAAATCACCGTGATTCTCCGGTCTACAGCGGGCTTTTTACCTTGACCGAACAGGGCCGAATTTATAACTACCTAGGTAGGTACTTAGATAAGCAACTTGAAAAAAAAGAACCTATACTTTAATTATCCCATGATCGTGAAGAATGTATTTCTTGTATTTCCCCGACCTCGATTTCTCAATAAGCTTGGCAAATAATGGGTTAGTTGCATAAGTACTCTGGAAAGAACCTCCAGTTTAGGATATCGTGAAACAGGGGTGTTTGTCTGTGCTTCACCGCAATCTCAAATTCTCCTCCCTAATCTTTCCTGCTGTTCAGATAGTTCAGATAGAATTTGTGGCTTCACCATTTGGTCATATTCGTCATGCTACACGATCATTATTCCTGATACATAATTCATTTTCGCGCTTCTCTGATTCACCTATAATTGAAACCCGTCAGCACGGTTCGACTCTCAATTGGCTAAATTCCTATCCTTAACATCTTAAGCCAGCTAGAATCCTACTTGACCTGCTTGACTTTCCAGATCTAACGTTCCCTTGAGAAGAGAATTATCGCAGCTAATTGGCTGATCATTCGTTGATCTCGTTTTTTTCATGCTTCCAAGATTGAGATCTTGATTGCTCGAGAATCAATCAGCTTTGCCTGATAGATTGACACCCGGATTATTGGAACGAGCGGCTGCTTCGGAGACGTTCGAAGGCTGGGAAGGGGAACACGACTCGGTCGAGCTGCCAAGTTTAGGCCCGATTTTCCCTGGGTTTTTGCTGAGCACGGGACAAAAAGCAATTCCACCAGAAAAGACCAGGCAAGCCAGACAGACCAGGCTAAAAAGTCAGGATCAAACCGGGAGATTGACAACGGTTCTAGACTGGGGTTTCTCGGCGTTCTTTCTACAGGGATAGATGGTTCAATGATATCATCGCATTCGTTGCAAGACTTAGACGACCTGCAGGTGACGCTCATCCGGGCCGGTTACCAATAAATCCAAGCTGGTTGCGTTATTATTTGACCATTATTCCTAATCGTCCAATCACCGCAAGTCCGGCCGTTCTACCAAACACTGGTCTGTGGTTGATCGTGCAGTTTGCAGCTCGGGGTGGACCGCAAGCGTTGGATGACGATTCTCTCCCCGAGTCTCCAGATAATCACCCTCTTGGGGCCCCCAAAGGACCCTCACTACCCCACTAAAGCCCCGCGAAACTCGCCGTGGCTTTCATATTGTTGCGATACTTTAAGGCCTGGCGCATCAGCGCCAGAGCTGAAGATGTTCCCTCATCTATGTGTACCACAGACATACATGATGATAACGAGAACCACCAAGGCAATAACAAGAAGGCCCGACAAAACCAAGAAGATAATACAGAGGTAGCACAACTTAAAGCACCCGTATCTGCATCTGCATCCGCAACTACATCAGCAACAGCGACAGCATCAACGATAATATCAACACCTATATCTGCATCTACATCTACATCAGCATTAGCATCGGCATCAGCATCAGCGAGACATCCCCTTACAACTATTCGTCTTTTCTCACTTATCTTCCTCATCCTTGCAATGGTAAGTTCCTCCTCGTGTGCTCCGAGCAAAATTTCCACAGCCCCACGGGCTTGGTACCTATAGTGCCAACGGCCCTACTACCATCCAGCCACCATACCCCCTAACCGTCCCCAACTATATCCAAAGTACCCCCTAGCTAGTACCTACCTGTATAGGTACCTACGCACGTTTTATAGCCCCGCAGTCGGATTCCTTTGACGCAATTGGGTTCATCCTTGCTAATCGCCCCTCTGAATTTATAGACCGCGCAACTTTTCTTAACGAACGCCAAATCCCAATACTCCCGTATCCTCAATTCGCATCCTTTCTCACGCATCATCTCTTCTCCCCCGGCAGTTGTAGTCCAGGAGCCAATTTGCGAATCCCCTCATCCTTTTCCAACCACACCTCCTGTATCTCGCGCACGCACAATGGCTCTCGCCGAAGAGACAAAGCGCATTTCCGCGCAATTCGACTACACAGACGAGGATGTGAACAAAGGAGTACAAGAGTTTCTGCAACAAATGCGTAAGATGACACCATTAGTAAAATTTTAAAACTTAGCTAATTTGTCTATAGAGGAGGGATTACAACACGATGGCACGAGTTTGAGTCAAATTCCTACCTATGTAACTGGTGTGCCCAATGGCACGGAAAAGGTATGTTTAATTCCCTATAAAAACCTATTGCCAATAATATAATTAACATGGAGAAAAGGGGTTATATCTAGCAGTAGACTTGGGAGGCACAAATTTCCGAGTCTGTTCCATTCATTTGAATGGCGACACAACCTTCAACCTTACATACAGCAAAGTTGCGATTCCAAAAGAGTTAATGGTTGCGAAACAAGCCAGCGACCTTTTTGGATTCCTCGCTAAACAGATCGAACTTTTCCTAAAAACACATCATGGGGAACACTTCGAAGCCCACATCCGGCGGCGGCAGACCGTCAGCACTCCAGAGGGTTACCGTGACGAACAAATATTCCGACTAGGCTTCACTTTCAGTTTCCCAGTCCAACAATTCGGCATCAACAAGGGTACGTTAATGAGGTGGACCAAGGGATTTGACATCCCGGATGCAATTGGTAAGGACGTATGTGCCTTGCTTCAACAGGAGATTGACAAGCTTCGCCTGCCTGTTAAGGTGGCTGCTTTGGTGAATGATACCGTCGGCACGCTTATGGCTCGTTCCTACACTTCGCCGGGCAAGACATCAACTCTCCTAGGTGCTATTTTCGGAACAGGTACCAACGGTGCCTACGTTGAAAAGCTCGCCAACATAAAGAAGCCTGTTGAGGGCGACTACGACAAGTCGACAGGATTAATGGTTGTAAATACCGAATGGGGTTCCTTCGATAACCAGCTGAACATATTACCCAACACATCATACGACATAGAATTAGACCAAAAGAGTGTGAACCCGGGCATACAGATGTTCGAGAAGCGAGTATCTGGAATGTTCCTGGGAGAGATCGTCCGTCTGGTAATCGTCGATATGCTTAAGAACACCGAGATTTCGCTATTCCGCGACGAAAACTCCAGCCATAATGATTGGAAATCAACAACAACTATCGCCCCCGAATCCACTGTATTCAAGCAATGGGGTCTGGACAGCTCGATAATGTCCATCGCCGCGGCCGACAATACACCAGATCTGTCGACGCTTCGCCAAGAACTCGAGAAGCAATTACACATATACGCCGCTTCGCTCGAAGACACTCAAGCCTTCAAGGATGTAGCATACGCTGTCGGACGTCGGGCGGCCAGACTCTCTGCCGTCGCAGTTGGCGCTATCGTTCTACAGAGCGGCGAGTTACAAAAGACCACGGATGAGCCCATCGACATCGGTGTCGACGGCAGTCTCGTGGAACACTACCCCTTCTTCCGGGATATGGTGTACGAAGCGCTAGCGGCAGTCGATGGTATTGGACCAGAGGGTGCCAAGCGAATCCGCATCGGAATCGCGAAGGACGGCAGTGGTGTCGGCGCTGCACTAATCGCGCTCGTGGCAGCGAATATGGAGAAGAAGGGCGTCGTAGACTACCTGAACCATTTCCGAAACGGCATCGCCTCCAAATTCGCCGAGACGATCCCCGAGATCGAGCCCACAACGGTGATGTAATTTTTGACTGCTTGCAACTCGGGTTTTGGGAGGGCGGTTATAGGGTTCGGGAAGTCCTTCTGGCATGAAGTCGACGGTCGCGAACGTGTATGTATCTAACTATCTAACTAACTTGAACCTACGATCATGACCTAATGCAAAAGAATTTATGACAAGTTACCTACTTATTTGTGTTGTATCGTGATTTTAATCAGGTGAAAGTGAAAATAATGGGATAGTGTAGATTTTTGATTCACTTCGTACCCTTCAAAGCAAACATCTAGCAAAACACTTGATAATAATAGATTTACCACATGCCTAGCCCGAGGACGACAGATTGTTATTTACAAATTAATAATGTATTAACACTACGCATCTATTTACTCAGGAGTGCCATTTTACCCCCTCGACTCTTTTCTTTGAAACGGTACAGTTCGCTCCCCTACTGTCGCGAACAGCCTCGACTAGTCTACCCCGGATTAGAAATATTTATTTTAATGTAATGCCGCCTCTTTTGTCTGACCTTGTCCCACCCAGTACCGTCTTGTTTCGTCAAACTCGTGATCCATTTCGATTTTATCTTCAATAGTTGGGTGCGGCGTACGCTTCCCCTCCATCCCCCTATCCAAACACTTCCCCCACCATCAACCACTCCAAACCACTCTCTAAATCACCACCACCTGTTCCCCCAATCTCCCATCTAACCACACAAACCCATCCTCACTTCCCAAAAGCAGCCGCCGGATAAGCCCGATCCCGCTTCTTCCGCGGCGCCGTCGAACTACTCCTCGAGCTCGCCGCGCTGCTCCCCGGCGCGCTACCACCACCACTACCACCATTAGGGACAGGAGCGTGCATATCCGCCGGCAAGTCATTCCACTCCGTCTGCGGCCGCGCGTTCTGGAACGAGATCCCAGGCGTGCTGGCTGGGGTGCGGTTGGGCGAGGGACCGGAGCTGCGCGGGGGAGGAGGGGATAGCACACTGGGTTTAGGGGCGAGGAGGGGGAGGTTGGCTGCGGCTGTTGTGGTGCTGGGCGGGATTGGAGGGAGGATTGAATTGAGCGAATGCGTGGTGCTGGAAGGAGTAGAGTGAGGGGAGGAGAGGGTGATGGGCCGCCGCACTATCCACGCGCTGTCGGGCTTCAGCTTGAAGTAGTACCCCCGCACCTCGCCGTGTTTGTTGAAGCCCCGCGCTAGATACCATCGCAGCCCGTCGTCGTTGTCTGTCCACACGTGCGCGTATACTTCTTCACATGCCCACTCGCTGATCGCTGCTGCTTGGGCTATTTCGTCGAGTAAGGCGGCGGCGAGACCGAGGGATCGGTAGGGCGAGAGGAGGACTAGCGATTGGATGTATAGCGCGTTCGGCTTGTGTGGCGCGGATGAAGGGGTGAAGGGGGAGGGTTCGGGACGGCAGACTAGTCCGCCGATTACTTTTGGGGTGCCGTTCGTGTCGGAGGGGTCGGTCCATAGGAGGACGCGGCTGAAGGTGCCGGATGTGAGGGGGTCGGAGAGCCGTTGGTAGAAGGAGTCGGGGTAGTTTACCGGGAGGAGGAGCGAGGTTATACGACGTAGGGCCGGGATGTGGTCGGGTAGGATGGGAGATATGACCGCTTGGGGGTGGAGGGATGACGGCCTTGGTGGCGGTATGCTCGTGGTGGTTGCCGGAGATGGAGATTTCGGTCCATTCTGTCCGGTTATTGGGGGCGGACGAGCGGCTGGTGGCGGCGGAGCTGGCTTGCTGCTAGTACCTGACAGGGCGGGGGGCGGAGCGTAAGTTGGCGATTTGGGCTGGAAGAAATTCCGGATGGAAGATTGGCCATTGGAGTTCGTAGAAGGTAGAGACATGTTGATTTCGGTTGGGTTTTAACGGTACTTGGTGTTGTCAGCTAAGAGCCATTGCACGATATCGCTATTATTGACGTTTTCACAAAGGTATAGTTAATGACTAATAAGAAGAAGCTTATTGTTCGGTGGAATTTGACGAGATGTGTGTTGACAACTTGGAATTCGAAGATTGGAACAATAAATGTTACTAATTGCGGCTTACTACGGTAAAACCCGCGTTAAGTGCCTCAGTGCATCATCTACCTCGCGTGATGCATGTACCTACTGGGTAATACCTACCCGGTAAGGTAACCAAGCAACAGTGAAGAAAAAAAAAAATAAACCTTGGCGATTATCGATAGCCCCACTATGGACAACTTACGCTTTTAATTTCAGGTACCACAGAGCGTAGGATCTTACTTTTTTACTTGTCATTAAGGGTAAGCTATACCTTGTAGCACTTGAGAAGGAAATTTAAACTTCTTTTCAATAAAAGCAACTTGTGAATTATTTTCACTCGGTTACATATTCACAATATTCTGTTCCTTCTCGAAATCGACTTTCGCCGTTGATCTGGTCAAACATTCAAGGTATCTGCTCAGGTACAGCAAGGTATTACGTAGCGCACCTCTAAAAGATCCGGGACCCTTTCTTGTCCACTAATGCATGGGGTTTCCAGTTAATCGATTCGCTATCGCGGCTAGTTTGTACTACGCTGTCAGGCCTACCATACCAAAAATTGAGCCTCCGGTTAGGTACAGATAGGGATTACGGTATTACTATCTAGAAAGAGACCTTCTCCTGATCTTCCTCCCGTCCGCGCCTGAACGGGGATTACAATTCAAAACGAGCCTCGAAATAACTTTTGCACCAAGCACCGTAATCCGTCAGCATCACGCGGTGCATCTTAATGCCGATAGGAAAGAACAACTTTGGATCTCGTAATTGAGGCTGTTCCTTCCTTTAGACAATCAAGTTTAGGCCGGCGAATCCAACAAAACTTTAAACACCTGCACCTACAAACCTCCAAACTTTAGGGGTTTGTATTCTGGGGAGAGTGGATCCCATTTGACTTTACTCGACTTTACTTTGAACTTCTCCCTCATTTTAATATTCCTGATACCCAAATTCCATCATCTCTTATTATCTCCCTTCAAATTAGAGATTCCCATAATTTGTCAGCTTCTGGGGGATCTCTTTTTCCTTTTCATCCTTCTCGCCACGATCAGAATCCATCTGACCGTCGCGAATCACCATACGGAGTATTCGCCATGGCCTCATCCAATACCGGCAAGGCTGGAGTTATCAAAGCTTCTGAAGATGCCGGCAGCATTGACCAACTTGTAAGTTCGCGTTATAAGATATTTGTGACTTATCATTCCAGCTCATCTATTACAAATCTTCAAAAAATAAAGCTGACCATGCGATTTCACAGGCGCACGCCGTGCTTGACGACCTACTCTACAACATTGTTCATGATTTATTAATGAAGACGCATCGAGACGAGAAGATCGCCCGTGCCTCGACCGCTGCCATTCGGGTCGAAAAGTTGGCCGCCGACACCTCAGATTCCTCTGCCCCTGATGCTCGACCAGACATCAAGGTCGAAACAGACGCGGCCGTCTACGATGAAGGAAAAGTCCTTTTGAAGGGGAACCCGTTAATGACCACACCAGACATTGTCTGCCCACGATGTCACCTCCCGCGATTATTATACCCCACGGATGGAAAGGGGGCGAGAAAACCCGACCCGAGCATAATCTACTGCAAGAAGCATCCGTACATCGACAAGCCCGGATACGACATCTATGGCCAGACGTGGGTTGCACAAGGCCCTGGAAGAGGCAAGAAAAAGAAGGACATGGAGAAGAAGCTAGAACAGAACTCGGATTCCCCTACACCAGAAGGTGGAACAGGTGGTGGTGCTGCTTCTCGACCCCCGAATATGCTTTCCTTCCCATCGGCCACCTGTAGCAAATGCAAGCGATGCATCCTGGTCACTCGACTTAACAATCACATGGGATCGTGTATTGGAAACAGTGGTAGGAACGCAAGCCGTGCCGCCGCACAGAAGATCAGTAATGGTAACAACGCGAACGGAAGCATGGATGGAACTCCTCCTTCTAGTCAAAAGGGTACACCGCATCCGAGCTCGCGAGCTAGTAGTCCGAAGAAGAGAGATAATGATGATGTAGATGACGATGACGAGACCGATAACGATGCACACAAGAAGAAGAAGATGAAGCCTACGGCGGCGAACGCGGCTAACAAGAAGCTCATCCTTAAGAACAAGGGTGGTTCCGGCACTAAGAAGGAGAAGGTTAAGACCGGCTCCTCGCTCGTAGTCGAGCAAAAAGTAGACGATGACGACGCAGAGGGTTCCACGGTGGAAGTTGCACCCAAGAAGAAGGTGACGAAAGTCCCAAGCCCAGCTAAGAAGCTGAAGTTAGGTGCTTCTAAACCAATACTTTCTTCACCGGTGTCTAAAAGTAACGGCAATAAGCACTCAACTCCTAACGGTAGAGACGACGATCGCGAGTCTGAGAGCTCTGGAACCTTGTCTTCTCCACCGGTTGTATGATACGGAGATGTTTTAACGTTGAGAAATTAGAGAACTTACGTGCCTTTCCCCTTCAGTGGCGGAACGGCATATCATACACTGGTCAACTAACTGTTTGGGGTCTAAAAAATATATCCGGTCGTACGTCTTCGGGCATCTTGTACAATGGCCGCGGTCTTGCATTCAAAGGGGGTTCCGGGGCTATACGGCAAATAGCAACAGGAAAGGGGTGTTTGGAGTGTTCTGCATCTTCCGTCGGTAGGGAAACCGACGGGTCACATTAAGCTGTACTTTAGAGGGGTTCTGCTGCACATATTCAATACATAGAGACCCCAAACCAATACCGAAACGATGCCTTACGATTTAAAGTTATACGATGCAATTGACAATGAATGCTATGTGATTGGTATCTCTATCTAAAACCATCGAGCCTTTTGAAACCGGAACGCCGACTCATGCATACCTGCCAGATATATAACCCGATCTCATCGGTTTATCATAATGCCAACCGCCTTCTTGTGAACATGGTCATTAGAGAACATCCTCGTCGACAAGAACCCTCGCCTGGATAATCTTAACCTCATCCAGAGGCCTATCGTCCTCATCCGTCTTCACCATACCCATCCGCTTCAGCACACTAAGCCCACTCTTCACGCGTCCGAAAATAGTGTGCTTGCCATCGAGCCACGGCGTCGGAGCCAGCGTCATAAAGAACTGCGAGCCGTTCGTGTCCTTGCCGCCATTCGCCATACTCAGGATCCCGGCCCCCGTGTGTCGCAGGTCCGGCGCGATCTCGTCCGCGAACTTCTCCCCGTAGATGGACGTCCCGCCTCGTCCCGTGCCGCTCGGGTCGCCCGTTTGCGCCATGAAGTTCGGGATTATGCGGTGGAAGATCACGTTGTTGTAGTAGCCGCGTGATACTAGTGTCCGGAAGTTCGTGCAGGTTCGCGGCGCGTGGGTGCTGTAGAGTTCGACGGTTATGGTGCCCTGGTTGGGGGTGTTAGTGGTGGGTGGGAAGAGGAGGAGGGGGGGGGAGATGTACCATGGAGGTTTCTAGGGCTATGTTGGTCGTCATTTTGGGCGATTGAGTCTGGAGGTGAGAGATTCAGATTTGACTGATTGAAGCTATCTCGAAGCTCCGGTTCTCCAATTCTGCAATTCTGATGGATAGATAAATGAGAGCTTGGAGGGGCTTTCTTGTATCCGAGTATGCGGTTATCAGATTATATTTATCGGGAAATTGCATGACGGTGGCTGAACGGATCGGATGTACCCTCAAACAAGCCACATTTTTGGTAGAGCCTTGAACCTAGAAGTTGACTTCTGTGTCTCTGTCTTCTTCACAAACACTGTCTATGAGCTGGTAGACATTTCATTTATTTATCTTTCATTAAAGATTTATTTTAATCATTGAAAATCATACGTTGTTTCATCTGGATTTAAATGAAAACACGCATACGATTGCCAAGCGCCTCAGTTGAATTATTGCCTAGATGCTATAGACATATTTCAAGGCTTACCTACCATCATCAATCTCATCCGACACGCCAAATTCTTTTTCTACAAACATAATTACTAAGATTCCTTCAAAATCTTTCATTTAACCTGTATCACCACTGCATGAATACGATACAGGCATCAAATTCATTTCCTAACTCTGGATGAACCATTCTTTGTAGTTCCTAGGAATTAAGTCTTAGGCAGCTGGAAGATATGGCCGCCAACGATTCAATACTTCTCACAGCAAGCGAAATCTCAGCTACAAACATAACTGAATCTTCAGTCGCAAGTTTAAATTTTACAGAGAAACTCGCAACTTTCCCAGCATTTATATGGGATAATAAGGATTACTTTCTTCTTGAGAGCCGCATCATCTTCACTGCGCTAGCATGTATTTACATAGGGTCTCATGCGGCCCTTCGCCGCCCTCCATCTGCAAATCCCCCGAAGAAAAGCAAGAAAGGAGAAGAGCAGCGAGATCGAGATCAGGAACGAGAAGATCAACCCGTCCAGGGCATGCTACCTTCTGATATTATCCTCTTTCCCATCATGGCAGCTGTGGTTCTTGTGGGTCTCTACTACTTGATAAAGTGGCTTGAGGATCCAGACCTTCTCAACAAGATTCTTCGCGTCTATTTTATGACTATGTCATTAGCGAGTATGGGAAAGTTGTTTGCCGACACACTACATTTACTAACGGGATTCATATTTCCCACGGTGTGGCGTGCCAAGGATGGCAAGGTGTACCACGTCAACTATCCGGGAGTAGGTCAATGGACTTTGGCTGGCGACAACGAAGAAAAGCTGTGGGATGACAAGAAGAAGACCCCCTTTCCAGGTCGATGGTCCGAGCTGAGCCTTTCTGAGTCTAAGAATAATTTACTTTGGGATGTGCGCCATTTACTTGTGGAGGAGTGGACTGTTCGTCTCTCAGTTCATGGCATCGTAAACGAAAAAGTCAAAGTCAAATTCAACGACATTCTCGGTGCGGTCCTTGCCATCGTAGCCAACATTATATACTACAAGACAGAGTCAACCCTCTTATCTAATATCATGGGTTACGCGTTCTCATACGCGGGAATAATATTAATGTCTCCAACTACGTTTGCTACCGGAACGGGTGTTCTTTTTGGGCTCTTCTTCTACGATATTTATATGGTTTTCTTTACGTAAGTATTTCATTACTCAACACCCATCTGTTGCCCCGCTAACGTTCAATTATAGTCCATATATGGTAACGGTGGCAACCCAACTTGATGTTCCTATTAAGATTGTTTTTGACGGCGGCCCTGGCAAGGCCAGTATGCTTGGCTTGGGTGACATCGTCCTTCCTGGTATATTCGTCGGACTCTGCCTACGCTTCGATCATTACATGTACTACCACCGCCAACGAAAGCTCGTGCCCGTAGAGCTGGAGACCAAGGATGAATCTTCAGGCCAATTAGTCACCAACACGCAGACTCAGCGCATGGTGATTAAGCCTGATTACGTAAACCCACAAGGGCAATGGGGCGATCGATTCTGGAGCACGAGACTCGGAAATATTTTTTCGCCAGATTCTACGCCCGCACTTAAGGCTTCATCGTTCCCTAAGCCTTATTTCCATGCCGCTATCATCGGATATCTCCTTGCTATGATAGTGACCCTCGCCATGCTCATAGTGTATCGTCATGCGCAACCGGCACTATTATATCTTGTCCCAGGCGTCGTCTTCGCTGTTTGGCTTACGGGAGCCGTGAGGAGGGAGATTCGCGAAATGTGGGCCTATACTGAAGATGGCCAGCTTGATACTGCGGATACTATAGTGGAAGTAGACGGGGACGGAAACGTCATCGACATAGTCCGCAAGGATGAGAAGGGAAGCAAAGAAAACAAGGAAGATGTTAAAGACGACGACAATAAAAAGGAGAAGACTGCGATAAAAGGCGATCTTCTTGAAGATGTTGGTTCTAAGCAGGATATCTCACCGGCAAGCGGAGACATCAAGGATGCCTCGGAGGTCAAGAGCACGCTTAAACGCGAGACGAAGAGTTATCCCGTTTTCCTCTTCTCGATCGAGGCCCCGGTTTCGAGGAAACTGTCCTCTGTTTCGTAAGTTTGTGTGGACTGGATTCGAACAGCCCCCCAAGTTTTACTTGAGGAGTTATTGGCTCTTAAGCGATTTCAAAGCAAAGCAGCCCTATAGATGTTATCAATTAAATGTGTTCTGAGTATGTTCGAGTTCAGTTGTTTATAGTCGTGGTTGGACTGATATCTAGAGTCTAGGTCTTGTCAACAGTGAACCTGCGCCCTGTGATAAATACAGATGCAATACCGCCGATAATACTTGTACCGAAGTCGGGTAGCGGATGGCATTGAGCGTTCAAACAACGGCAGCTCATCGCTATAGTGTCAGATGAGGATGAGAGCTATGGCGTCCCTGGTATTAGGCTTGATAACTCTCCAAACGACATCTCCTCTTCCCCTTTGATTCCGACTCCGACAAGACATCGAGACGACACTAGGGACGCTCTCATGAATACCGCGTGTTTGTCGTCAACCGGCCCAAGTGAGAACGGTGAATAGGGGCAGCGTCTTATATATCTCCAGTGGGGTATCTACGATCTCCCTTACTGTATACAACCAGAGAGGTCATCGCCGCGACTACCATGCCAAGATACTCCTTCCCGATACTACTGAAGCCTTCCACAATTCTTCCTAGGTAGCTCTTGGCGGACAGTTCACTGTTGTTGGCACCCGCTTTGACCTTGTAAGCGCCACCAAAGCTTAAGGAGCTATTCCCACGTGGTGATAGGGGCTACAAACGTTGCTGCCATTCTATCTTATCCTGCTAGGCATTGGCAAGCACAAAATTCCTCTTCCAAGACCTGACAAGTTTTTACCTCATGAGATCACCCACCACTTACATGTTTTTCGCGTCCACCTCGTAACCTCCCACTGAATGCTGAATCCTAAAACATTCCATGACATAACATGACTTCAAGTTCAAGGGACGCAATCGCCAACAATCATCTCCCTTAAACCATCACATATTCTACTTCCACTTTTCTATTTATTTCCCTTTCGCTACTTCACTCTTTACCAAAAATCTTCAAGCTTTCGGCTCCCACCCTGCAAAGTTTGTCAACATCAATCCAAGCCTTCGCGCTTCTTGAGATGGACACATACCCTCACCACCATTAGTCACTTACACCAACTTTTTTACCTATCCGCATTAACAATCACCATTCAATTCGATAGCACTTATACCTACACTGCTATCATCATAGTTTGTTTACCTAGGCACTCGCGTGTACATATAACACGACCGTGTCAAGTCGAGATATATCTCACTAGACCTCTCTTCCGCTGCTAGTCTGATCAACCTACCATCGCACAGCACGAAGAGCCGTCATCTTACTACAGGCCAGGCATACATATCTCAGAAGACTTATAGTCATTCCATACATAACACCTTACTATAACCCTCTTCAGTCACCAAATCTACCTCGTTACCGTCACCGTCACCATCACCATGACATCTCAATCATCTTTCAACCAGGGCACACCTGGTCGAAATAACAAAGTTGATGTTGGAACTCAGGTGTCTCCCAGCCGCGTCGGAGGCTCTGCTCATGAATATGCCACTGGCGCTTCTCCTGTCCACCAGGGCCCACTCGCCGAAGTCGACGCCAATGTCGGCCGTCTCTCCCCTTTCGACATGGGTTTGTCCTCCACACCATCTACCGTCCCCGCGAACACCACAGGCGTAATGCGTACCCGGCGCCGAGCACGTCGTCATAATCCTCTTGCCCGCGTCGCCCCCAAGAAGAAGGACGGCGATGAAAACAACAACAAGCAGCCTCAGCAGCAGCAGCAGCAGGGCAGTAACCAGGCCGGCGACCACGACTCGGACGATAGTCTCGACGGCGTCGAGGCCGACGTGGATGATCTCGTCGGACCAGACGACAACGGAGGCAACGCCTGGGCCGCTAATTTCCCCGGCTTAGTCGACCAGGTGAAGAATATTGCCTGCCAGCAGAGCGCCGTCCGCGGTATCCACGATGATTCTGAGGAGGGACTCCGGTTCATGGTTAAGGGCGTGGACTTCGACTAGATTACTCTTGGAGGATGACAGACAGATGGTGCCTAGTCATATGATACGATACGATACGATACGGTACCTGGTATGTTTACTATTTCTTACACTTGTTTTTTCTCTCTGTTCTTGGTGTTATATCAGATGCTAATGATTAATGATAGGTGCAGAGTTATGCTATACGTCTGTTTATTTCTGGGAGGATTTAGGGTCGAGGTATACTACCTTGGTAGCTATGAGACGCTGAGAGAGCTTCGATAAGTTGCGGGCGATAAGAACGCCTTAAGAACAAGACAAGAGAATACGCGAAAGGATAGGAATGCTTCTTCGCCTTGCGTGGGAATTGGGAATTGGGAATTGGTCACCTTGAATTTCGGAGGAACGCTTGCTTCGTGTCTATATAGTGAATTCAAGGGCAACACCTTCCTGGTCTAAATTTGATCTTGGCTTTTACTTGCCTGCTTGACTATGATGATGATGATGAAGAAGATGTAGATGTGGTAAGGTTAGAGAACCGAAGGGTTGGGTGTGATGCTAGGGTGGGCCTTTGACTCTATTTAGCGGACTCCGGTACTACCTACGTGAAACCCCTAAGGTCGGCTGCTGACGGCGCTATTTTTCAGGGCAGCTCGTCTTATTCGAAAGACTCTTTCTGACAACGCTTGATGAAGAGAGCGTTATGTTGACTTTTTTATATTGTAAACGGACACACGAAAGCCCGTACTGAAACCGACCGTATGATATATCGGCTAGATTAGCAAGGCTTTCTCATGTCGGCTCTTCTTACTTCGCAAAACATTGAATCCTTCGTTCGTCCTTATAGCACATACCTACTGACGCTGTAGTTCTAGGGTACTTTCTTAGAAGGTACCCCTACCTGTAGTTCGGCGGGGTATCCCAACGTCTTATTCAGCATTAGGTTACAGGAATCATATTAACCTTGTCTCCCAACAAATTAGGCTTAGCGCACCCGCCGCTTTTGCTTAGGCTCGGCTCAGTCGGTCCTCAGCCACATACCTAAAGCAACTGTATCTATGCAAACTTATGCAGGTACCTAGTAGGCAGTGTTGGATCTACGAAGGTTCGGGTCAAAAGTTTGGCACATTTGCTCCCTAGAACCTAGCGGAGTATCCGCTGTCTTGTTTTCCGCTCTTGCTCTTAATATCACTAACGTAAGCTGACTGACATTTGATAGTTTCTAACCTGACATCTACCACTCCCCAGATTCTAAACCGTAGCATGGGGCAAGTGGAGCATACTATGCCTACTGTAAATTTTCTTTCTAGCAACGATTCGACTATGGCTTTGACTGCGCCAGAATTTACAGGTATCCACGACATTCTTTCGACTTCTGACACTACCTGGAATTTTGCTCCGTCATTGGAGGGGACTACAGCTCGTCAACAGTCAACAATGAATGGCCGCTGGTTCGTGAACCTGATTGCGACATCGGATACATTGGCGAGTTGATGGAAGATGGTGACGGTAATATTGATACCGACTTGGAGTTACGGGGTTTCGATTTCTCATTGCTTCCGTCCTTGCAGCAACCATGAACAGCGAATTAAGAATCATCCTGCCACCATGGATGCGCTAAGACTTCATCTATCATTGCTCTAGTCGATGGATCTGGGTTTACCATTGTAGATATCATGCTCTGTGCCTCGGGACCAATTTCCCTCCCCCAATGTTCAAACTTCATCTCAGGCTGGTCCTTGACTGCGCTCTCAGCCGCTGCTGACGCCTCCATCAAAGCATCACGCCAAACATCACTATTGACTTGCTGAAGGAGCCCTTCGGGGACTAGCCCAAAATACGAAAAGTGTCGAATCAAAATCTCTTGTTCCGGGGGTATACCCCTTTTTGCTAGCTCCTGGTAATCATTTAAAAGCAGGAGTTCTCCGCCCCCGAGGGCATATATGCACTAAACACAGATCTTAGCCTAACTCCTTCTAATCGACGTGAAATACTTACTACGAGTCCAAACGAAAATATATCGGATGCCTTGGTAACACCCATTCCCGTCTGTCCTTCTGGGCTTCGCCACATCGCATTGCCTATTGCATAAGGTGTCTGACGAAGTTCTCCGTTTTCCGACTTATAAGCAATATCAAAATCACCCAGGGCTACATTAGTGACTGTTACATTGCCCTGTTCGTCGCAGGTCCAATTAACCAAAATGTTGTCAGGCTTCACATCTGTCACGTTAGATTAATTAGTCAGACGCATTGCGTGGTAATACTTCGGTTGCGGAGAATTTACCAATATGGATCCAGTCTTTGGAATGAAGTTCTTGTATTGCTTCTCCTGTATGTCGCATGATTTTCTTTCGTTCTAGCACATGAAGGCCCGGCTCGTCCTGGATCAAGGACAGGAGGGTGCCTCTGAAATAGGGATAAATTAGAATGCATTCTTCCTGGTTGCAATCGATGTGCATTCGAAGCCGACGGGAGCCTGCAAACTCGGCTGCGAGACGTAGAGACAAATCGTAGAACGACCTGGGTACGCGCTTGAAGACGAAAACCTCATGTTCGGACCTGATCCAAATGAGCAAAATTCATTGCTAGCTGTGAGGCGCGTAAATCGAATTCGAGACTTACTGCGCTTTGAAGATGCTAAGCTTGTGGTCCTTATGATGGTGCTGGAGCACCTCGCCCGGAACGTACACGCGACTGGACTTTCCTATTATGTTGGATGCCATTTTAAGGCTAGAGTGGAAAAGACGGGTTAGAGACATAGAAAATGGAACGGGTCGATGAGATGGTACACCTCTAAGACAGCACGATATTGAAAGTATGCCAGCAGGAAAGTATGCCAGCAGGAAAGGGTGCCAACACGGGTACGTGACAGCACAGTTAGGGAGATGACACGCCTCTAGAGCCATCACGACATTAGAAGTGTGACAGCACGAAAGCGTGACAGCCGGAAGCGCGCCAGCGCGGGCGGGTTTGAACCGAGATGTACGGAATCGGCCACGGCGACGGACTAGACCAAACGACCAATCAAAATTCCACTAAGATACAAAAATAGCAATTAACGTAGCTACAAGCTTTAAACGGGTGATCTCCGTAGTAGGAGCTGTAGGGCTACATAGCTACTACTTAATGGTAGAGTATATGCTTATGCATAAAAATGCTAAAAACATCACGTCCGTGTCACGGTTTAAAATTTTATGCTAAAGTACAATTCCAGCTATGCTCAGGTAAAACTCAGGTTTAAAGCGGCGTGGTTCAGGAACACATTAAGCACCTAATCCTTGTTGTAAAACTTATTTATTAGGTAGGGCTGCTAGGAGCTTACCCTGCTGCCCGTCCCTTCCTACAGACGGGTTACAGCCAATAATGGCAAGCCTACCTCAGGCCGCAGGAAGGAATCGACGTGCCGCACTACACAGCATCATACCTACCTTGTTCGAGGTGAGATAAGACCGATCGCCCCAGGATTCTTTTACTTTCTAAGGACCGTTTCAACCCGGAGCTTACCTCCAAATTTCAAATCGATACGGACTATCAATCTCAACTCGTCTATCCGATTGTCCAAGCATCATGGCATCGGATAGCGTGCAGGTCATACAATACCTCGTCGACACTCGGCCTTTATGGCCAAAAGCGACCAAGACGAAGGATCTCGAAAATGAGGTATGAGCAATTTTCTTACCATTCTAGCCTCACAAGATTCTTATATGGGAAAATGAGAAATGACAAATATAAACTAAACTAACACCATCCCAGGCCGCCCGCGCCCTAGCGCTCCTCACCGACGAGGAAAAGACTAAAGTACTACGGTACTACTTTGTCGCGGACGCTAAAATGTCACTCACGTCGCACCTGTTGAAACACTGGGTCGTCGCGCGGTACGCCAACGTGCCCTGGTGGGACACCAAGCTCACGCGCGACGACAAGACGAAGCCCGTGTACGTGGACCCAACCACGGGGAAACAGCCCGTCGCTTTCAACGTCAGCCATCAGGCCGGACTAGTCGCGCTCGTCGCTGTGGCTGGGTACTCTACCACCAAAGAGAACGGGGAAACGGGCAAGGGGGAAGAGGTCAATATCGGCACGGACATAGTATGCACGAGCGAGCGGCGCACGCGCGACCACAGGGTCATCGATACGGAGGGCTGGGGCAAGTTCGTCGATATGCACGCGGATGTGTTCGGCCGCGGCGAGGCTAGGTATCTCAAGGGCGACTTGCTGAGTACACAGCCTGGCCTCCCGTCGCTAGCCCGCGGAGACGAGATCACGGATTTTAAGCTCAGGTGCTTTTATACGCTGTGGTGTCTGCGCGAGGCGTATGTGAAGATGACGGGGGACGCGTTGTTGGCGCCGTGGTTACGGGATTTGGAGTTTCGGCGGTTTAGAGCGCCCGTGGGGGGTTTGGAGTTTGGGCAGGTTAGGGAGGAGGAGGAGGGGAGGGAGGGGGAGGTTGTGATGGATCAGGAGGTTTGGTTTCGGGGGGAGAGGGTTGTGGATGCGAGGATTGTTATGAGGAGTTTGGGCGAGGATTATATGACTTGTACGGCGGTTAGGACGCCTGTGAGGAAGGAGGACGCGCTGGGGTGGAAGGTAGGGCCGTTTGAGTTTTTGGAGATGGAGACGGTGTTGGGGGATGCGGAGGCGAGGTTGGGGTGAGGTGCGGTGAGTGAGGTAACGGATGGTACGGTTGGTGATGGGTGCTGTTGCGTATTGTATTACGAGGGCTTGAGGGCTGGGTTGGTGGCTTAGGGTACGGGTTACGATTACGAAGCTGGTTAGGCGTGTATGATTTCAAATACGATGTCTGGATGTTTCGCTTACCTACATAGAGGCTTAGATTTCAACGTGTTCTGGTCATTGGATCGCATTCTTTCCATCTAATGTACCTAACTTCGAGTGTTTCTCCGCCGGATCTCAAGTCCGTAGGATCGCTCGATTTGAGGCGCAAATATGGTGTGGTATACTAGCTGAAATAAGGAGGGTTATGGTCGCATCGTAGCGCACCCGGCTGCTGCAAGGTGACGGCAGATGATCTTCGCTCTATACTACCGAATATGACTTTTTAGTGGCGCCGGAGTTCATCGTGATGGCTTTCAATATTAGATCTGGCTGTTTATTAGGCTTGTTATAGGCACGGATGTAGGTGGTATTGTAGGGCGGGTGCTAGCAGCCGACTATATCACATTTGGGGTTCTTTTGCCACCAGATCAAACGACATCGACTGAGCTGTGGAATTTGAGAGCTAGCTATTATCTGGAAATGAATTTGATTATAATGTTGCTCTCATAGTACTGTAATTGTTTTATGTGTTTAAGAAACTGTAAGCACCTAGGTTTCGGTGCAACATGAGCACTCGTGATACTGGAAGTGACTGCAATTTGGAATCATCTAAGCCTCTCATGATATACTCAAATCAAATAATGAATTTCAGGCTTCTTTTAGATAATTATAGTGATTCCAATAGGACATATAGAGCGAAATATTCACTAAATGGGATTCACTGTGTAAACACTGTACTAAAACTGTACATATAGGCTTTGCTGTATCTCCCTTTCCAGCGATGACGGCAGGCGTGGTGGGGAATGTCCATTGTGGGATTGGCGCGATTCAAGTTTCTGGGATTAGGGAAGCTGCACACTGAAGGGTCAAACGCTAACACACCTAGACAAATCTGTACTTACCTATTAACGTCATTTTTTAGATCGAGGGGGGGAATCGTCTTTGTGACACGGTCGACCGTCGACATTCCTGGCTACATTCAACATTCAACCTTCATACCTAAACCACTTTAACCACTTCTGCGTTTTAATTACCTATGCTATTAACCAAATTCCAACGTGTCATCTAATATCCGTTCTCATTTTCGTTTTCGTTTCCGATCCCCGTCAATCAATCAATCAAACATGATGTTTTGACATCTCTTAAACCAACAATCAAATTTCCACCGCCAACTTTCGGTCAACTTTCTGGTACCGAACGATACCCGGATCATCCACCTAATTCACAATGTCGGACTCCGGAGATGTGTAAGCAATCCTGATCTATCAATTAATTATATTATACATAACCCTCGAAATCCATATTCCTGTAGAATTGAGCACTATAATGTTCCTTTACATTTAGCTCAATTTATGACAGCGGGTGGTGGATTACGATACTGCAGATAACTGACTCGCTTCAACTATAATAGCCAGCATAAGAGGTCCAAGTCCACAGCTCTGTCTCTACTCCGACGTAGGGACAAGGACCGTAATGATGACGATTCCGAAGATGGATCGCAAACCTCAGGCCTCGCTTCAACCACCACCAATTCCGCACCCGCCATTGCTATGTCCCACCAGGCTTCTATCAAGCCGTATAATCAGAGAATGTCACTAGGTCGAATCCCATCCCGCGAGCCTAACGCTTTGGCCCCGACTCGGTCCAATAACTCGGCTGCCGAGAAGAGTTCGAGTCTTGAACAATCCGTCCGCAAATTTCGAATTGTCGAAGCTCTACGAAGTGGCAACACAGCAGCGATATCTAAAGCGATTAGAGAAACGTCAGAGAATGGACCTCGAGCAAGCACATCTTCATTGAATGGTGCGAATGTTGGTCCTTTAGACGATACCACGATTTTACATCTTGCTATCCAGTGCGCTGAATACGACGTAGTGGAATATGTACTCTCTGATGGTTCTGGATATATCGATATCAATGCCCGAGATAAGGATGGAAATGTACCTCTACATATCGCCTCTACTCAAGGACGCAGCCCCATCGTCCGATTATTACTGGAACAAAAAGATATCAACGATGCTGTTGCGAACAACCAGGGAAAGCTTCCTTTAGATGTAGCTCGAAACCCCGAAATATTTCAGCAACTCCAACTTGCAAGGACCTTATTTGTACAGGATAAAGTAAAAGAAGTTCAGGATCTTGTACGAACAGGGGCCTATGACACGTTGGGTCACATTCTTGAAGAACCCCGTGTCAAGACGATCCTAGACATCAATAGTATTGAGCTACCCTGTGATCCCGTGACGGTTCAGGCAGGAGGGTCATTATTGCACGAGGCAGCTCGCAAGAAGGATACAAAACTGATTCAAGCTCTTCTCCTTCACGGCGCCGACCCATTCCAACGAGACCGGAAAGGTAAACTTCCTCAGCAGGTCACCAACGACGACATTACGAAGGCCATGCTTAAGCGATCACCTGCCGCGGTAGCTGCCCAACGAGGCATCCAGGAGAAAGCCGTACTTGGACATGCGACTTCGCAAGCCGGAGCTAGCGCAGCCGTTTCTGGGGATTTATTATCCTCCCACGAACCTCAGATGAAAGGTTACCTTAAAAAGTGGACAAATTATCGCAAAGGTTACCAGCTTCGTTGGTTCGTCCTCGAGAACGGCGTTCTAAGCTACTACAAGCACCAAGACGATGCGGAACACGCCTGCAGAGGTGCCATCAGCATGCGCATCGCTAGGCTGTATATGAGTCCGGAAGAAAAAACGAAGTTCGAGATCATCGGAAAGTCGTCAGTCAAGTATACTCTAAAAGCCAATCACGAAGTTGAAGCCAAGCGATGGTTCTGGGCTTTAAACAATGCCATTCAGTGGATGAAGGACCAAGCAAAACAGGACGAACGACAGAAGGCTCAGAGTGCCGAGATGCTACGACAGGCTCGAGACAGTCTCATTAAACCGGCAGAGCCCTCCATAAACGATTCTCATAGCGAAGTTGCAAGCACCACCGAACGAAGGAGTAGTGCTCAGTTGACTCGTCATCCTTCAACGAAGGCGTCCCACTCTCACATAGGGTTGTCCCGTACTAGTACCGCGGGTAGTGGAGATGACGAGTTCGTCGATGTGGGTGGTGCTGAAGCGAGAGGACACAGTAACAGGGCGCCAACAATCCCCGGCGAGGTGGACGACGACGATGACGACAATGAATATATGGATCATTCAAGTCGTGGTGAGGCTCCAACAGCGACTAAGGACGCTTTTAACATCACGGCACAGTCAGCGAGGCTCCAGCTAGACACGTTGGCGTCTGTGAGTGCCGCTTTGCAAGCAGAAGCTCATCGGAATCCGTCTATGTCACTTATGGATCCGAGGGCGTCGCAGGCACTCTCGACATACGACGCTGCAATTAAAAGTCTGAAGGGACTTATGGGGGACCTTCTGAGGATATCGAAAGATCGTGACGCGCACTGGCAGTATCGCCTAGAACAAGAAACCGAGATGCGACGAATGTGGGAAGAGAGCATGGCCAAGGTGGCAGCCGAGCAGGAAGTTCTAGAAGCAAGAGTTAGCGAGGCCGAAGCAAAACGCAAGATGGCCAAACGAGCTCTTCGTGAGGTCATAGGAAGCGAGGGTCGGCCGATTAGCAGCGATAGTGTCCACCCTGCAACGCCTAGTGCCCACGAAGATGAGGTCGCAGGAATATTGCACTCGCCGTCGATGAAGAGCATTGGCCGCAGATCAACCGCCCGCTCTCATGCACTCGAGATTTCAGACGATTCTGAGTCTGAGCAAGAGGAATTCTTCGATGCTGTTGACGCAGGAGAAGTTGATGCGGAGCCAATGCCTCCATCTGATGTCGTACCTTCCGCCGGTGCAGAACAAGACGTCGTGGTATCAGGCGTCGATGTCAGCAGCGCTTTCCACGGTTACGAGAATGGCTTCAGGACAAAGCTAAAGTTGGACGAAGACAACCGACCAAGGATCGGATTATGGGTAAGTAAATATATTCTCGTTAATTAGAAAAGTTACTGACACCGACTGTAGGGTATCTTGAAGTCGATGATCGGTAAAGATATGACGAAGATGACACTCCCTGTATCTTTTAACGAGCCAACCTCCTTACTATATCGAACTGGTGAAGACATGGAATATGCGGACCTACTAGATATGGCAGCGGATCGATCAGATTCAATCGAGCGAATGCTGTACGTGGCCGCCTTTGCGTCGAGTGAATTCGCCTCGACGATCGGTCGTGTCGCCAAGCCCTTTAATCCTCTTTTGGGAGAGACATTCGAGTACGTGAGGCCGGACAAGGGATATCGATTCTTCATCGAGCAAGTCAGCCATCACCCCCCTGTCGGGGCAGCCTACGCAGAATCCGCGAGGTGGACCTACTGGGGTGAGGCCAAGGTCGACTCTAGATTCTTGGGTAAATCATTCGATATCTATCACCTCGGTACCTGGTTCTTAAGGTTGCGTCCCACTGCCGGTGGCAAAGAAGACTTCTTCACATGGAAGAAGCCCAAGTCTCAAGTAGTCGGTATCATCACAGGCAACCCTGTCGTAGATAACTATGGACTTGTGGAGATCAAGAATTGGACTACTGGAGAAACCTGCCTGCTAGACTTCAAACAGCGAGGTTGGAAAGCTTCGAGTGCTTATCAGCTCTCGGGGAAGATTCTCGACTCCGATGGCCGACCACGCGTGAGCTTAGGCGGACGATGGAATTCCAAGCTTTATGCTCGCCTTACTCCTGGATTTGAAGCAACTGTCGAGGAACCGAAGGACACTCGAGGAAGCATAAGCGACCCCAGCAGAGCTTTCATCGTATGGGAAGCAAATGCTCGGCCCGAGGGCATCCCCTTCAACCTCACACCATTTGTCCTCACTTTCAACCATATAGACGGGAATCTGGAGAAGTGGATTGCTCCCACGGATTCCAGGTACCGGCCGGATCAAAGAGCTATGGAAGACGGCGAGTACGACCTCGCAGCGTCGGAGAAGAATCGACTAGAGGAAGCCCAACGAGCTAGGCGAAAAATAAGACAGCAGTCGGGTGAGGATTTCACACCTGCGTGGTTCGAAAAGGCCACATGTGAAATCACCGGAGTAGAGTACTGGAAGTTTACGGAGAAGTACTGGGTACAACGGGAAAAGTTTGGCAAGGGAGATGCTCACGCGTGGGACGGCCTGGAACCGATCTATACTTCGGAGGAGTAGGCGGTAGGTAGTAGGTAGTAGGCGCAGGATTCATGAAGCTCGGCTCGGGTGATAAGCAGTGACTGTACATCGTATAGAGGAGAAAAAAGCCTGTATACAAAAAGCTGTAAGACGAGTATGTATGAAACACAGCACTAGTGACTTAATTATGACCATTATGCATATGAATTGTTCTCGGTGCATACGTGGGTTGTCGTCGTCGAGTCTATTGAACAATCCTTGTGTTCGATTCGAGGATATGGATGATACCTAACCCACCTTAAGGTACAGTACTTGTAATAATCACATGTAAAGACAGGTATGGTAGAGATGAATGGGCATGATGAAAGTATTGAAACACAAATTAGATACGTAGTCTCTTATATTCAATGCCTACTAGGTAATTATAGTTACCCATATTATATCTGATCCTTCGTCGGGTACTCGTACGAAAAGAGGCTCATTATCTCGTAGTTACTAGGTAGGTATGCACTAAGGCACTAAGGTTAGCCCCTGAAAGCATTTGATCGGCCGGCATTTGCGAACTTGGCATCAAGCATCGGCTGCGGCTGCGGTTCCACTCAAAGCACTTTACTTATCTGGGACCGAGCCTCGGTAAAAATTCAAAACATCGATTTCTCATATCCGCAACATTGGATTGTCTAACCAATTAAACCTGATCGCCTTTCAATACCGACGGCAACTGGCTTTTTGGGCTTTTTAGGCATTTGGTAAGAGCGAGCTGAACTTATTACCGAAGAAGAAGATAAGACTGAGACTATGCCGTAGGGGTTTTGGATCAGCAATTCGGAGGAAGAGGTTTCTTTGTTTCCATCTTACTTACGCTGTTTGTACTTTACGGTACCCACGTCGGACGATCCGCGCGCGATATCTTTTTTAGCTGTTCGCGTGGATATCACAAGCTTCTTTTTGTGCTCCCAACTTCAAGAGTCCACCCGCGTCAGGGATTCAAATTGGCGAATCCCGTTGCCGGAAACTAGGACATTCGGAGGATAGAGATACAAAGAGAAGACCGGAAACCAACAGCGAGAGAATCGGAACGACACAGAAAGAGAGAGAGAGTGTGTGTGTGTGTACACAGACAGGATGGGCGAACATAGACCTACGTTGGTCAGACCGCCTCCGGTCGACGTATCCAAGGCTCCAATCGAGAACGCGCTGGAGCTGACGGACTTGAGCATCATCGGACCTGTAAGATTTTCTACTGTCCCACCCCATTGACCTCTGTTACGCTCTGCATAATGCGTACTGCAGCCCCCGATCCTCCCGTCATACAGATGGGATACTCCTGGTTGCTAGCAATCAGCCCTATCTATCCATGTACATACATCACATACATCTAGTGAGATGGGATATGACATGCGACACCATATTGGCCTTGTCAATGGACAAAGTGCAGATGCATCAGTAACACCGCTGACTCTTGCGCTTTTTGCGACCAGGACATCTTCACCAACACGCGCGAGCTGTGGCATCCGCCGGGTGCGAGGGGGATCTACGGAGGCGCTGTGATCGCGCAGACACTGGCGGTATGTGGCTTTCTTAAAAATGTCATTTCTTGATTCTACTTGGTTCTCCCTACTCTGCTTAGCTGCTTGGTACCAAGTTTCTTGCTTTTTTGTCCTCCACGTTTATGATTTCTTTTGTCCCCTTGCTTTTTACTCGGCTACCTACCTACCTCTGTTTCAGATCCCTGGCTACGACGGTTACATTCTTCATCTGCATATCTACTTATCCACAATGTTTGTCCGTTCCCTTTTAGTTAATTTAGGGCGAGATGAGATGGCTGTTAGTGCGTACATCTATTTCTCCCCGAGCGGAGATTCGAACGGAGGATCGGCTTGGACCGATGATCCCATTCGGCTTCGGATCGGCCTCTAGTGCTCAGACTCGGGGCGTAGCTTGCGCTTCTTACTCACTCACTCACTCACTCTGCCCTACGTCCTCTACACACACCAATCTTGTCACGCTCCCCTGATTTCCTTTCCCCGTACCCTCCACAGCCTTACTTCTCTTACAAGTCAGTCTTACGCACATATGCATGGACGGGAAAAGACGGGAAGTTCTATGCGTGGCCGAATGTGCACAAATTCATGCACCCCCATTCTCCATCCCGATACATGGATACCTACCTCCTTAGGATATCACACTTGTTACTTGTTACCTGTTACCCACCTAAGCAAGCACGATGTAAGACAACCATGATAAGCTGACCTCCGCGGAACTATAGGCGGCCCAACGCACCGTCCCGGCCGACTTCGTAGTGCACTCGTACCACTGCTTCTTCGTGCTCGCAGGCGACTCCAGCATCCCGATCGTGTATTACGTCGAGCGGGTGCGCGAAGGCCGCTCCTTCTGCACGCGCACGGTGCAGGCCCGCCAGCGCGGCCATGCTATCTTCACCGTGACATGCAGCTTCATGCGCGAGCGGAGTGGCGGGTCCGTCACCGTCCGGCACTCTACCCCCATGCCTGCCGAGGCGCTGGCGAACCCGCCCCCGGATGATTACGAGGACCCGGCGTTTCTAACCCGGGATGGCAGTGCGAGACAGGATGATCCGTTTCAGAGTTTGCGGTGTAAGCCTACGGATCATGATAGGAGGGAGAGCGATAAGAGGGTTTGGCAGTGGGTTAGGGCGCGCGGTGAGATTAGTAAGGAGGGTGGGAACCGCGCGCATCTTAGTGCGTTGGCGTATATTTCTGATTCTTTTTTCATCGGCACGATTCCCCGGATTCATAAACTCTGGCGGTACGCTACGAAGCCGGACGAGTTGGATGATTTGGACCCCGACTCGAGAGAGTATCTAGAGAAACTTAATGAGTGGGAGGGAGGCTATGGGCCGTTGGAAGAGTATAAGGGCCGTCCGAGGCTTGGGATGATGGTTTCCCTTGATCATTCGATTTTCTTTCATAATCCGGGCAGTGTGAGGGCTGATGAGTGGATGTTTACGGAGATGGAGAGTCCGTGGGCGGGGGATGGACGGGGGGTTGTTATGCAGAGGGTTTGGAGTCGCGATGGGGTGCTGTTGGCTACCGCTTTTCAGGAGGTGAGTTTTCCCCTTTTCTTTTTTTCTGGGCCTGGTCGCTGGGGGTTGGGGAGTGTGATGAGATGAGATGTTGAGTTGGGCTAACCGTGCGCTAGGGCGTTGTACGATTAAAGGATGAGGGCAAGGAGAAGGGGAAGAAAGAGGATAAGGCCAAGGCGAAGCTGTGATGAGCTTAGCTAGGTACCTGAGGTTAAGCCTCTATTCTGTGGGATACGTGTGAGACTACATACTTAGACTTGAGGGTACAGGTGTTATTGCTAGAGATAGAATCCCGGTTATGGTTTCATTGCTTATTTACCTACCTAGATATTTGATATGTTGAGAACAGGGCGGAGCGCACGCGAGTGTTTTTAGAAGGCTTTATTTAGATTGTATTGTAGGTATCTATTAGACACTTTACCTTATAGAGGAAACGATAATATCGCTAGTTGGGTTGTTTTCCAAATTGAGGCTTACGTCGACATGGTTCTTCTACTCAGCCTGACCGATGGCTTTAACAACCAGGCTACCTGGCTAGGAGGTATGTATGTCGCAAAACCATACCAATTTGGCCGTCGGGATAAAAGACAGCCAGAGCTAGTGCCCTCCGCCTCGGAGGGGGATCAGGTTTCCGGGATGACGCCCCGCGGAGGACGCACGAATCAGGCGCGCGGAGATCGGTCATCATGCAGGTCTGCCGCGTGTGGGATTACTCATCGTGGTACGGCGCGTGGTAAGCTGCGATTGGATCTGCGTACGGGGGACTACATAATTAGGTATTTCTAAGCAGCGGTGCTTTCCTGCCGAGTTGGGTCGGATGTGGGATGAGGGGATTAGTGATTATGGTTTTTGGGAGGCTTTTTGAGATTTCATGTATATGTGAGGTTGGGTAGGCGCTGGCGTATGTAAGGAGTCTTAGGGAGGCCTAGACTGGGTATAGAGATGTGGATATAACGCAGTGCGGTTAAGCTACTTTGAATGGATTGCTTAAACGCGTCGTCCGAGCTAAATAAATCCCGCGGGATAATGTTTAGGTAAGAAGACGGTCCGTCCACTATTCCCACGGGTTAGTAAGAACTGTCTTTTGTGATGCTATTCGGCTGGGTAAGGTAAGATTCCGATTGGCTGTTCGTGTCTCGCCAGCAGCTTGCGCTGTGACTATGTACGCATAGTAGATTAAGGGGAAAGGGGTCGTCCACATGTTAGATTGTTACCACGCTGTTACTAAAAAGGGGCTACGCGAAGAGGTCTCAGACTTAACCTCGGTAATCACGAAGCCACTTAGATGCCTTGGAATGATCTTATCAACGACTGAGATAAACCACACTATCAGCCGAAAAGGGGAAGCGATAGCAAAATATTTTTGAAGGACAACGAAGGTGGATATGGTTTCATATGTTGACTTAAATTGTCTACGTGTCTCTGACCGACTGATAGACCGTATCTGAGGAGTGCGATGGTACGATACGAGCATTGAAAGATACAGGAACAGGCCAGCAAGACACCTTAAATCACGTCGAAAATATAGCTCTAAGGAGTATGTGCAGGGGTTTTCTCCTATTTATGCCGGAGCATGATGAGGCGGAAATTAACGAACCTGACGATACAATCCCTCATTCCGTGTCTAGCTCCGGCGAGCGCCGGTTAACATCACCCATCATCTACGAGACAGAGCCGAGGGTATGACGGCGGTTAAATGGAAGCAGAGTTTGCCAGCGATCACGGAGGGATCCGTGGCCCGGGCGACGATTCGGCAATGACTCGGAGTGGATGGTTGGGCTAAAGACTCTCTCCTGCCGGGATGGCTCGAACCATAACGGGGCCGGCAGAAGGAGAAATCTCGGTGATGTAATGAGTAAATCACGCATTCCCACAATATCGGACGAAGTAGATGAGGCTCCACGAACCCATCGAGCCTATCGAGTCTATCGAACCTATCGAACCCATCGAACCTGTCAAACATTTTTCTTGTTTTGATTTTTCCCTCTTAGGTAATAGGCGAGAAAAACTTAGCCCTGCGGTCGCCTTACTCATTTTTCAGCTTGTCATATCCTCATATCCCAGCTCCGTCCATTCAGGAGACCGCATTATTTAAGGTTTCGCGACGAGAAGGGCCGATCATTCGAAATAGTATTCACGGTATCACCTATGTAATCGTAAGTATCCTAAGTATTGTCTCAAGTACCTACTCCTTGCTGCATCCACCCGTTACGATCATAACCGGCATCCCCACGTGGCGGGTACGTGATAATCTAAATAGATCGACTTCGTCCTTCCTTAATATTTTCGAATTTGCGTGAATTAAGTAACGTTTGATGAGAAGTGGGATTCTGACTAGCGCCGGTAAGGTCATGAGGATTTTTTCTTTTTTCCGTTTTTCTATTTTTTTTCTTCGGTTTGTTTGAGGACGATGGAAAAAAAGCAAATGTAAAAATTTGGGGATGGCGTAGAAGACGGTGAAGAATAGCTTCATCTATGACGTCGGACCTAACATTGTTTTGGTCAGTCGGGATAGATGAGTTCCCCGAGGAACGCCATGTGTTTTACAAAACTATCCGTGTCCGCTGAGCACCGGCGTAAAGTTGTAAATCGATTAAATCGATAAAATCAAATGTCGATATTAGTTAAAAAGTGCCAAGGACCCAAACATTGACAAGGATGACTAAATGCCAACAATGGGACATCTAGAATGGAATTTTCAATTATGATCCATGCGGCAAGGCGAGACGACCGACTGTCCGATGGAAGTGGAGTGGCCCCATCCTCTTTATGCCTACATAATGCTGCATATGTACCTCTTTAGCTCAAAACTAATCCGCGGATAGTTACCAAGGTACGAAGTAAACATATGGATATAGGATTATGGGTATAGAACGGCTCAGGAACAGTCCGTGAGCAGACAATCTACCTATTAGGCATTGTACAGGTAACGGCTGAAGACGCCATATGACCTTTTAGGGCTGAATATTATGAAATCGTCAAATATTTACCTTTATCATCGCTGTAAACGGGTTTCGGAGAAGGATTCAGCGCGACTTGCGGTGGGATTCAACTGAGAAAGAGACGGATTTCAAATTGTAACTTGGAGTCTTTCTAGGACATAAGTGGCTTGGTCGTGTTGTATTGTACTTGTCTTGTTCATACCGCTAAGCTGTCCCACGTCCCATCGTTGCGGCACATACCTGTATGTTAGACGGTAAGAGATGCTGTTATATGCAGTAACCTAACTGCCTAACACCCATACATGAATTCTACTGATCGTACGGGGTTAACGGCTTAATCCCCGACCCACCGATCGATAGGAGCAGGTAGCTAGACTAATATCTGATTCAAGATGATTCATCTTCAATTCCCGCCATATCTCCACATAGGGCATTGAAGATATTAGGTACTAGTATGTAAGTCTGATATTGCAAATTGGAATGCCCAAGCCCCTAAGTGGTCTCTGACTTCCCGCGGAGGAACATGGCAACATGGATAAAGCTTACGGGGAATCGATGAATGAATGGATGACTGAATACCACGTTGGAAGACCACGCGAAGCCTTGCTATTTCAAGGAGAAACCACACTCGTGACACGGGATAGGCAGGGCTAGACAGGGCTGCAGCGATCCGTTTGGGGGGTCGATCATAGCGCACGGTTATTTTGTCGTTTTATCTATGGGATTTCGTCTGCCGGTCTGACGAATTCCTTTGCTCTTTGGAAGTGAGGGATGAGGGACTTATTCCCTGTCGTCATTGCTTATGATTGTGAAATTTGAGTTAATTTTGGTCCGATGGACTTTTCAGGCCTGGATCAGGTTAGGATACATCTCGACCTAAGCTGTATTTCGAAGGGGTATGATGGTCTAGAAAAGGCCCTCAGACTTTCTTGATGTTTACTCGATCGAATAAAAGTGGCACCGTAGCAGCGTAGCATTATCTCGGCCAAGAAACAGCGTTCGGAGAGCGAAAGTTGATCCGTCAAGACGCGGCCGAGCTCCGATCGACTTTCATAGGCACGCTTGGACCCGCTAAGGCACGAGTTCTCATGATCATTTTTGGAGTTTTAGTTTTTTTAGTTCTTCAGTTTCTTAGTTTCTTTTTTTTGTGCTCTATATAGGAAATTTAGATGCCGGTTCGATTGATAGGTAACTTTAGGTACGGCATGTACTTTTTTCCTGTAGATCTCTCGGCCCCCAAACACCCCTTTCTGTCTAGATGTCCCTTTACCCAAGTTCCCGGGTCCAGGGGGGGAGTACTTTCATAACTTTATGCATTATTAACCTTCTTCCTCATTTTCGGCGTAGACATCATATTTCCGTAGCTTGCCTAATTGCATGCATGTATCTTCTGTATATTTGTCAGAGCTGAAAGAATATGGGCGTATCTATTTTCTTACATGACTCATTTAAATCGGGTTTGTGCTGTAGCATTTTCTTCTCAACCATCCTTCACCACATTCATATTCACATTTTATTTCATGTCCCTCCATACGTAAAATCGGCCTCTGCACAACATAATCGGAGCCGAACCGGCATTTTCCTTTAGTACGGTACCGAAGAGGAAACAAGGATGTGGATCCACTGACGATCATCTTTAGTCCCATATTTATTTCTAGCCAATCAGACTCGACCAGCATTCCCTCTTCTAGAATGAATTAAACTCAATTCACGGGCAAGGTCAAGTGGCACATGCATGTTAGCAGGTTAGCTAGCCACTTACCACAGATGTGCAGACAGCACAGACAAGCGCGGAGTGGCTTGAGGTCTCCACTCCGTTCTTTAATTGAAAAGAATTAACCAAAAACGGAACCCCTCCTCTCATCCACTCCTCCACTCTTCTGCTGCTCCTCCAGTTCTCAAGCATCAAGCATCAAGCTTCTTAATCAGTTTAATCTGCGATTCTAGTTCGTCAGTGGATCTCGGTACTTTTCGAAATGATTACTGTATTATGTGCGACCACAACAATTTGGCAGTGAGATCATTGCTGTTTCATATGCTGAATCCGTTCAACAACTCTTTCACCGCAAGCCTCGATACAGGTTACAATACAGTAAGGACGTAGCATCTCGAAGCTAGCATGGCCTAGCTAAGCGGCTAATTGTACTAATCAAACAACGCTCAACGTCCCGTAAAAAGCAATTGGAAGACGATATGCATAAATAAACACATCAAAATCCTAGAAGGGTTTTTTACTCCGGATCTGCTAAACCTACCGTTTGGGAACACGCTAAAGAGAGGAGCCTCGCAGGTGCAGAGTAGTTGCAGAGGTGCAGCGGTGCAGTCCCACACTGATTCTATCCTAGGTACAAATTCACAGGCTACCACTTATTGCCTGCATCAAATCATCGTTTAAGCGAGCCAAGACTCTTGTCTTGACTTAGCCCAGAAGACAAGAAAATCAAAACTTAAAAGAAATAATGCTCCTCAAAAAATTTAAGGGACAGGTGACAAGCCGAGAGCACGATATCGGATGCAGGTTCATGTCATCATGATGATGGCTTCTTTACCGAGGTTCTGCGAATTAAGGGCTCAGGGCTAGATCAATGACAACTTCGAACTTCTATTAGCGTGTTTTGGCAGAGCCGCAGTAGCATGAGACACATGAAGGAAGCATTATATGGATGAATAGTGACATGCTAGTTGCAGATATCATTAGCGCCACGGGCTAGTACGGGTGAAGTATCTCCCGTTTTTCTGAAGTCACAGCGAATTCATAATACTGGACGACTAGACGGGAATGGACACATGGGAAATTTGAGATGGGAATTTATGGACCCATACACGTCGTCCTCGAATTCGTTTCGGGATCTAAGCCAGCCTGGACTACTTGGATTTTCACGAGGAAATTTTAAAGGGAAAAAAAGAGAAAAAAAAAGGGCACAGCTACCTTAATCAAGAAAAACATTTGTGGGTTTCTTTCGAGATAATAGAATATGGAAGATGTGTTTTTATGCGTTTACTATATTCAGCTCTTGAAAGCCGGAAAGGCTAACAAGTTCAAGATTGTCTTACTCCAGGTTCTTATGTACATGTGTACAATGGTACAGGCTCCCTTACCTGCATAGAAGATTGAATCAGCTTTGGGCTTCACTGACGGAACTCGGAGTTAGCAGAATTAAAGCTCAATATCCATGGACATACCATACCATACATGGACATTACCTATTACATGACAGCACAACAGGAGAGACCTCATTGATGATTGATGAGTGATGAGAGGTCTATATCGTCAATGCCATAGGTACGTACAATACATTAGTGTTGCATCCCACTAAGAAATACCTATGCGTCGTATGCAGCTATGCAAGTTTGTGCAAACATTAATGGGAGGCATGTGGCCCGGCTTTGGACCGGTTGCAGGGATCAAGTCCAGGGTTATGCTGTACATAGTACATTACTACAAGGGATATATTGTGGGCTTGCACAACTTGATTAGCATAACTCCGAATTTGTTTACTAACGTCTAGCCCTGTCCTTCAGTCCTGGTTGTAACTCGAGGCACGGGCTTACTGAGCCACTTCTATGGTCGGTCACTTTTCGCGACTTGCGACTCCGATCGTGATGTAGCCCGATGTATCTTCATGTCACTCTGACCTGGCCTAATCCTTCGCCTAAGTAACTTATCACCTTGTTACTTGGTACCCATTACCCATCCCGATACCCATCCCCTACAACACCTGAGCACGTACATACATCCCATACACCATGGGTCATATTAGTCCATGGACCGTTGTGGAACGGGTATCGCAAGGGCTATCGCCCAAACGGCATTACGAATGCCAGGCACCACCAGAGAATGGTTAGGAATTCGATATGAATATATTATAAGGAGACACACCTCACCTTCAACTTGACTCGTGTTACCTTCCAATATCTCTACCCTCTCGCGCCACGACATTTGTCCCGTTCAACCGATATCTCCTCGAATGGTGAGGTCACAGCTTATAAGGATACTGATACATTAATACAACTTGGCCCTCGGCTCTTTGTCCATCTCAACAAGATCAGCCACACGACATCTATATACTACCTTAAGAAGACTTACGTAGCAAACAAAATCTCGCGGGGAACTCGCTAGACATACCGACAACATCGACACAACGATACAACGACACAAAGACTCGTGGACATCAAAACGGGTTTATCCTCGACCTTGGTGGCTTGGTCGCTTGGTATTAGAAAGATACCTACGAATAGTACAATAACAGGGCGGACAGGGACGACGAATACATCATCCTGACTCAAGGCTTAGCAATTCCTATCTGGGCGTAACATATCTCGTGGGTTACGGGACCCGTCAAAGAACTTACATCTACCAAAATCGACCCAGTCAGCAAGTGGCCAGCCCACCCAGCCCGCACTTTCGGACATAAAGCGCGGCCGATTTAAAGACCATCCCTAAACCATCCCTGGACAACCCTGCTCTTTTAGCTTCCTAGCTTCGACCGCTCAGTTTCCAGAATAAAGTTGCCGGATCTAAACGGGCAAGCATCACATAATCGTCACGCCCTTAAAAAGCTCGGTTCACTTTCCAAGCTGCATTATTAATCCTGGTTGTGAGAGTCACATTTTATCGACCGAATTCCTCAAATATCTTATTTTCCCACTCCCTTTTCCATTGTCTGATACATATACTCTTTTTTTTATTTCTTGGTCTTAGATTCAAGTTTTGGTTTCCACAATTAGGGATCTGTAGCACTCTGACTTAGACGTCTCAGTCTACTTACACACTTACACACTTGCACTTACACTTGCACTTACACCCACACCCACTTATATATATAATCGTGGACCTCAACTTTGCTTTGGTACAACCCAAGTATCTAAGTATTTTCCATATTGGTCGGATCTATCAAAATGGAAAGCGGGATGCCAACGCCTCCCGTTGAGGACAATATGAAGATATCGACGTCGTCGAGGAGGAGTACAGCTTCCAGTACTAAGTCTGTCAAGCCGATACATCGTGGCGGAAAGCGAGCGTCCAATCACCATCCTCACTCGCCCGCTCATGAGCATCCCCCGCCCCTTTCGCCACATGCAATCGACAACAGACATAAGCGAGTCTGGAAGGCATGTGAGAGGTGTAGAATGAAGAAAACAAAGGTTCGTAGCTTACCGTTTTGGACTTCTAGTCAGTCGTCGCTGACGCTGTTCATAGTGTGACGGAGAGTTCCCGTGTAAGAGGTGTAAGGACGATGGTCTAGTATGTACAGCAGGTACACGAAAAAAGACGGAGTATAAGCAACTGCCTAGAGGGTATGCAAATTCGCCCCTAATTGAGTGTAATTAAAGGCTAACTTTGTGCAAGATATGCCGAGGTCCTAGAGAACACACAATTCGCTCTAATTGCTACCGTACACAAGCTATATGCTATGGTCAGAAATGGGCAATCGTGGGACCTGGGAGAGCCAGAACTCAACGATAGGGGTCAACCTGTCATTCACAATATCGCGACGAAACTCGGATGCATACGACCCAATGCTGACGCCGACCTCCCACCACATTCAGTATTTCCTGAAGACGAAGCAGGATTAGCGAAACTGGCAGCCGAATTAGATGTTCAGCAAAGAGAAAGAGAAAGGGAAACACATGTAACAGAGCACCGATCAGAGACAGATTCGAATTGCACGAGAACGGATCGCGCAAGCTCTTCAGAGCTCGATCACTCAGATTTTGAACAAGACTACAGGAAAGTGATATTGGGCAATCAAAATCTGCAGACCATGTCGCCGCAAAGCTTTGCGAGTTACGACTTGGATACGAAATCCATGCCATCAGATCTGGACTCTCGAGGGCTATTCGCCGTTCAATCGCCTTCGGCTCCGGCGTCTTACCCGACGTGGAATATGAGCAGGCCTAGCTCGATGGAACTGTCGCCGCAGTTCATGCAAGGGATGGACATGGACATGGCAGAGATGATGCTCAGCCAAGGGCTTGTGGAATCGGAGTTTGGCACGATCAAGCCTCACATGATACAATGTCCTAATCCAGAAGCTATGTTGGGTATCGGGGACCCGATGATCTATTCCGGATATAATATGGAGTCCTTACGATCATGAAAAAGACCCCGGGCAAAAACTCCGGAGGGGTGTACGGGGGAATATTCACGAATCTAACTAACAGCATTGGGAAATAATAGGAGCAAGGGGAGGTGGTGGTCTGCGATATATTCAACACTTACACTTAATTGCAAGGCGTTTAACCGGTTTTTCGGCTGGATTGGAAACATTGCGTACTCTAGTACTCAGCTCTACTCTACTCTTGACGAGAGAAAAAAAAGAACTGGGGAACCGAAGCGGTGGATTACAAAGCTATAGACGGAGGTTTGGATGGTTGGGAATACCTGCTACCTACTTCGCGCTAGGTCTTAGGTATTACTATCTCGACCACCAAAGTTGTATTGGTAGAAGGAATGCATCTGCGGCGTTGGCGGGTTATTTCCAGCGTTATGTCCATAACTCATAACTCCATGCCCCTCCCTGATGTTACATATTTTGTACATACTGAGGGGTTCTTCTGGGGCTTCTCTGGGGCTGTTCTAGTGCTCCCTAAGAGTCTACTAGGTAGGGCTCTATTGTCTCGTGCCCGACCGGGTCACGGCGAGAAACGAGTATCATCATATTCAATGGGACCATAATTTCATGGCTTCTAACTAACGTTTTTACTATATTTTTCTATTTCGCCGTTTCCAATTGTGCCTTGCATCGTGCCATGCCAATGCCAATGCCGTCGCCGATCCGACTAGCCCTGTTGACCGAAATAGTTGTTAATCCGCGGATTCTTATTTTAAATAAATCCGTGCTAGTCCGTCGAAAAATCCCACCCGTTTCAGGGCATTGTTGGATTCGCCGTTTCTCTCTGACTACTACTATACTTGCGCTGTAACTAATACATATTATGCGTATTCAAGACTCAAGTTACTTAACAGGGACAAGGTAAGTAGCTCGTTTATCTGCAGTATGTGCGTACTGGCAGGGGGGTTTAGCTACGGAACGACCCCCGGCATCGACAACAAGGGGACCAAAGTTGAAGAATCTGGGGGATCAAGCCTACGACGACAGCCGACGATTAATGTCGAATAGGGACGAATAGGAACGAATAAGGATGAATAGATGGAATAAGGCGTTCAATCTAAGCAGCCATTTCAATATCTAACTTGCGCATCTGCGCATCGCCGACCTATGATCTCTCAGGTCGGGGGTGGTAAAGGCCGTCCCGCCACCTGACTTACGTATGTAGCTCTCGCTCACCTCAGGGCTGGAGTACCCCGGATTGCCCTATCGAGGATCTTCATTGCTGGGTACTGAGTACGGTCGATTATAATTCCCATTGAAGGTAATAATATCATCATATGTCAGTATACCTACTGTACGTAAGCACGGACTCGGATAGTTCCTCGTTTATCCTTGCGATCTCTAACTATTTCCAGGCACGTATTATAAAATAGCTGCTTCATGTTCATTGCGACCATTGCAACCTGCCATTCTTCCCTCCCCTAAAGCCCTCAAGGTTGCAAACTAGGTACCTAGGTAATGATCGGAAAATGCCATAAACGCTCCTACGATACTACGGTTCACGGTTGACAAAGTTGACAGTTACATACATGCTAATGATAATGCCACATGGTAGCCTATCGTATCCCACGTATTCGTTTTCTTATACTCTCGCATATACATCTTGGGTAGGTATAGGCATTCCTTAAGATTGTGTACGGGTCAGAATAACTCTCCGAAGTGTGGGGCGGACACGGCCTCCGCAGACCTTCCGAGTCCCCATAGGTGTTATTATGTTAATAATATGGGTGTTAGGTGTTACTATCTTGCCCAGGACCGCCCAGGACTAGGTCACAATACGTCCCCCCCAGGGCTATGCCGTTTGGGGGCGCTTCCCGCAACACGCAATACAAAACGAGCCACGGCCAAGTTTTAGCTATTTGATCCTTTGATATGTCAGCAGTACCGTCACAACGGCACCAATAATTCGTCATCATCTTATATGTGCGCTTACTTGGGCTTCTTGGCTCGTGGCTTGGGGGTTAGCACCCGTGATGCTTCCAAATATCGAAGCATTCTACTAAACGGTAAACTAATAAACTAATAAACTAAGTAACTATCTAACTACCTACCTACCTATACTCTCTCTCTCGACTATTGCGGGTTATAACAGAGCATGCCTAGGTGGGAAACAGGGGCTCATCCCACTTCCCACCATTTAGTTAATTACCTTAGCTCCCACGTACCTTGAAAGATTGCCAAGTGCCTACTTACTACCTAGTACATAATACTATACACACCCACGTGGATACAAAGTTAGTAGGGCATGCAGGTAATTCCATCAGTCGGTCAGGTACGGACGCCGACCAAGGGAGGACGAAACGCTCCGGCGCCAGCGAGCTGATTTGGCTGATTTGGGCTGCTTTGTTACTTCGGATCCGAGTATAAAACGGAAAAACGGGTTTCAGGAATGCCCCGATTCCGACGAAAGGGTTCTTTTTTTTGTTTTGTTTCTTCTTATTAACGCTTAGCTCTTTTTTTTTCTCTTTTCTTTTTTTGGCCCTATGCTTTAATTATATTATGAACTAATTTGGTTTTATATTAGTACCATCATTCGTGATTTCAAATTGATATAGGTACAGGTAGCTTAAGAATTAAGGAGATTGGTAAGCGCCAAGTTTTTTTTCGATGCTAGTTTGGTATGGAATGTGCCTGAAGAACGTCGCAACCAACCGTTCGGCGATTATTGAGAACGGAGTTCATGAGGATACGGTCTTGTATGTACAGTTCTCAACGCCGATAGGGTAGGATCTCGGCTTGGCTCTTGATACTATTACAGCGTATCATGTACCTAGAAATACAGTGGTGGGTAGCGCAAACCTCGGACCCGACATGCTGTTTTTACCTGTGTGCATGCGCATCAACAGCCAACATCAATCTGCATTATAAGCATCTGAAATCAGATGAATAAAAAACGATCTGGGATCTATCTACTGTATCTAGCATCTTAATATCCCGACTCAACCCTATGGGCGGTAACATAATATAGTTCGCTATACGTATGTATCCTGAGACATTATACATCATGATACCAATATCGACTTTCAGTGTTCACACCCTCAATCTCGTACCTGATATCGTACTTGATATCGTACTCAGCATAATATATGGAGACTCGCAAAAGTCTCGTTCTCGCACTCGTGATTTGTGCGCGAGTTATGCCAGTTTCGCGCTTGCAGCTCCTTTCTACATAATACTTAGCTGCTTAGTTAGCAAAACGGCTCGAGTCGAGCATGCGCTACTAGCTCGGTCCACTCTCGAAGCTATCTCGAGCTGGCCAAGACTTACCTAAGCAGCTAAGCCAAGTCCCTGGAGCTAAGGCGTCATAGAAGGGAGTCGGTTCATCAAAAATAACGATGTTCTGTGCTATCGCCGGCTCCCGAGGGCCGCGAGAATCCCTTACGACGGGTCCCTGACTGATAGTAGCGCTTTCCACCGCCAGACGTTTCTTGGTTGCGTTTATGTAACGCCGTCTAGGAGGCACAGCCCTATTTGTCTGGGCATATTGTGACCTGCTGTGACCTATCACGCTACGTGGAATCATCGACATTGGAGAGCTGCCAACTGGAACCGACCGCGGCTTCTTCCTCTCCCCACACCTTGCGGAGCCGGTCCGGGGGGGGGTGCTTTTCGAAGTTGTTTTTAATTTTTAAAGCAAAACAAGCTTGAAAATAAACTTATGTGCTGCAGCGCACAACCGGAGTTTCCTCCGTTGCGTCGTGGATTATGAAAGATTATTAAGGGAGGGGTCTGGTCCCTGTGGGTAAGGTGAACAGAAGAAGCTAGATGCTGTATACCACGTACATACTAGGTAGGTGGTAGTACACAACTATGTACTTCTATATAAATATTGAAAAAAAAGCAAGAATTAACTTAACGTATTTGTTTATATTACTACACATTATGTGGGATATCTAGCAGTTAATTACAGGTAACTAACTAGAAAGGGGCTATACTAGACCAGAAAACTAAAAGCTTGGAATCTGGAATCTGCAATTCCTAAAAGAGACAAAGGCGGTCTCGAATTACCTAAGGCAGGACTAATGCTTAGACATTACATCGCACGTCACGTTCAAACACCTGCTACCGTGTCGACTAACACGCTTCGAGCAACTACAACCTACACCTACAATCTACCCGTCGATGTACCTACACATACATCTACCGTGTCGAACGAACCGCTGCTTTGCCTACCTGATCAAACGACAAATGACCCATTTCCCAACGCAACAGCGCACGTTCAGCATGCCTAAAGCCCTAAATGCCTAAAGGTCTGGCCCTACGGTCGAGGGCCAAGGCGGTATATGCCATCCCGCCAAGACAGACCTTTTCTATTGCGTGCGCGCGCGCGTTTTCGTATCGCGACGACGAGGACGGTCGACGAACGGCCTAGAACACGTCTATCACTCGATAGCCCAGACGTCGCTCCTGTCCATCCTGTCCCGATTCTGTCATTCCTGCGTACCTAATGTAGGCGGTATCTCTCAAACCCGCCTCGTCCTTGCCCGTGTTCCATCAAGGCTATGTAGTGTATGTATGTAGGTATGTATGAAGGTTACATACCTAGGTTATTATTAATTATGGTGGATCTGGATATTGCTAGGTAGGTAGGTAGGTATGGAGATTGGACATGTAAAAAGCGCGCACGCATCCCCATCCTAAACCCATCCCCCTGGCTCGCCTGAGATGACTAACCGCTCAGAGACTAAAGCCGCTACGTCAATCGCGCAGTGCGGGTCCCCCGCCCTACCTAAGTGCACATACGTACCCAGAACCTTCACAGATCGAGACCGCGATCGAACCGCGCATGTGAGGCTTGGCCCCGGGTATGGGTCACGGCTGTATGTATGGACGTGAGATAGGCGCGCTATATCTCAAGTGCCGTGGAGTTTGTGCGCGCGCACGGGGTCCAGGGCGTTTGCCTTGCCTTGCTTTGCTTACATACACCTACCTTACCTGACTTTCGTCCACGGGGTCCCGGGCCTTGGCGTTTCGTCCTTGCAATGCTGGGGTTCCTTGGGGGCGAGAGCTCCTTTCGCCGTTTCGTTTTGCGGGTCGAAACTCACCGGCTAGACGTGGGCTTGGGGCGCTCGGCGACGCGCTGGTTTATCGGGGGGATCCAGGCACGGCGATCTAGGGAGAGGGAATTATCCGCTCGGCGATCGCAATTGCGCTGTGGAAGTAGCGATATTTCCTCTTCGTACTTCGTGGTATCTGGTATGTATCGCTGCGAACTTGGTCTTGTAGCCCGGGGGTCGTTGACATGTATCGCGTTACTTGCCAAGGGGGAGGAACCCCCCGCGGTTTCCGTGCCGCGGACTGCGGACGCGGTGAGCACGTTAGTTGGTTAATTAATTAGTTACCTAGGTAGGTGTTCTTAATCTTTTTGGGGGGTGACTCCTCACGTCCCTATTCGTAGCCCTATGGATTGGAAATTCGTTAGCGGCTGGGGCACGGTATATTCCCTAACTCCGAGGTCTGGGGGTCTATTGGGGTAGTCGTACCGGGGGCTTGGGCATCAGGAGATTCGATGGCCTTCGGTGTTGTTACCCCTGGGAGCGTCCCGATGCCGAGATGTGCACGTAAGCTGGGTATCTAGATTGTGCCGTGTATGTATGTAGGTGTTGGTGTTGGTGTTGAGATGTCGACAGATCCTTGGGGAGCCGGTCGGGTGTGGAGAGCCGGAGGAGTCGCGGATTGGTAAGCTGTTGATGTATGAACTGCGTTCCGGAGGTAAGGTCTATTAACCCCGGCGCCGGCTTTTGAGGGTGTTGTGGGATATGCTATATGTTGGAAACCATGCCGATAGGTGAACCGTAGATAGGTAGCGATCGCTGTCGAGGTATCTTGAATAGTGTTGTGATAACATTGGGACCACGATAAGAACCTTGGAAGGTCTTCGAAGAGGTGTTGACTTGACATTACCAAGAACGGCTACAGATACCTTATTAGGTATTATCGATCGCAGAAGCGAGAAGATGCTGACATTACTCAGAATATGTCATCACTATTCACCTTAGGAAGCTGAGTGTTATGTAGGTAGGTATGTAGTTGTAAAGGTAGCTGTTTATACCTCGAGCTAGATTGTAACATATCACTTATCAGATCGGACGTAGATCGATATAGGGCATTGAGTACAGTAGTTTAACATTGATTAGTAAACATTTCCTGAAGGAAGACTCCCTACCTATTCAGAATCACGTCTTGTCCTTATTTCAACGTGCGCTTCTAAGGGGTACTCGGCAAGAAAATAAGGCGACATGTGAATTTGGACAAGAGATGCTACGTGACATGACTGGATGTACTACTGCTAATAAGCTGTCTTAGATCCACGGTCCTCTCATCATGCATGGTGTAGTAGCACACTGCCAAGTGTAAGATTAACTGTTGAACAAGAGTTATTAGATTTAGGAGGCCCTTTTCTTGACAACCTCATCACATAAGCTTCTCCGGCTGAGCGGCAACGATAAATTTGCCTCCGTCATCGAACAATAAAGATATATATATTTCAATTCCATTCGATTCATAGGTTGAAAGGAGAGTCAAGAAATGAATATCGCTTAAAAATTTTTATGTCGTAGGAATATTACAGGTTCTATGTCTCGGCAATATACGCGGTATCGATTCCTCTACCACTAAGACAGGCCATCTATATCAAGTTCTATGTATTCTCATGAGACAAGCTCTCGCCATCTCTCTAGAAGAGATCGTGTCACGAATCGAGTCATTTCATTGAAGCATAACTTCATACTGTGTCTATTAAATAAGAAACGGTTGTGCAAAGTGTGTCTGTATCACTCTCCGGGCAAACCAACTGAGGGTAGGGCTTAACACTGACGAAATCGTACGAGCTTAATCGCCAACATAATAGAGACTGTCTAAGAATTTCTTGATGTCGTATATTGCCATCCCAAAAGAAGATCTAGTCACGATGGATTAGGGGTTATCCTAGGTCTAATATGGAAGACTCTAGGCTATATAACACATACAGACCTCGACGTAGATGAGATCTAAGTACTCCTATCATTCATTTTTATACCTATTCAATACTTTATTCTGTTCATATACACTCGTCACTCATTTAGCTAAAGATGGTTGCTCTCAGATCAAGTCAGCTAGCCAGCTGGATGTTGTACTTGTTCATACTTGCTGTACGCGCACAATCTAACTGCAACCATGATGCGTATGTTATCAGGGGAACTTTTTCGTTTATGGATAGATGGCTAACTGTATGATAGTTGCTATGATGCTCTGTTCCCATGCGATTCTCCTCTTTCTATCTCAGAAGCATTGAATTACTGCTCGACTGTGGGACACTACGGCGCAACGGACTATCCAACACAAGCAACTTCCGCTGTGAGTACAATATCAAAATGCCCCTTAAGATATTCCCCAAATTCAAGTCACCCATAGAGTTATGACAGAGACTGTTTAACTTACCATGGTTTGTACGTGTCCTATGCGAAAAACTTACTAATTTCCGTTACTATAGTGTGGTAATACTAATAGGAGACTCTATCTTTCGGCTTGCTCATGTGGCCCTGCTTGCCCTACTCCTTTGCCTAACTCGACATTTTCGACTAGTTTTATATCAGTTACTACCACGGCTGTCAGCTCGACGATCTCTATCAGCAATGTATCGGTACCAACTACGTTCACTAGCTCAAACTTTTCAACCAGTGAGATATCGACCCTAATTACAACCTCTACTTTAACCACAACGTCAGGAGGTACTGCCCAATCAACAAACGGACCAAGTGCATCAGCCAGTAATGTATCTACGTCAGCCACACCCACATCCAACTCGACGACTTCAAGCATCTTTGAATCGAGCTCTTCGGTTTTGCCTACCTTGTCTTCTTTCACAGTCAATAGCACAAGCACTAGTGATATAGGATCAACAAGCTCAATATTCAGCACAGAGAATGTAACATCTACCCTTTCTACTACAGCCTTTAATATAACCACGTCGACAGCGACGGAGACCATTACCTCTTCAATTTCTAGCAATTTAAGTTCGACGTCGACTACCATTGCCTCTTCAATTTCTGGCAATTTAAGTTCAACGTCGGCGACCGTTACCTCTTCAATTTCTGGCAATTTTAGTTCGACATCGGCGAATGTTTCCACTACTCCCACACCCACAAGCTCGTGGCTGTCTGGAGGATCGTCCTCGATTCCACTGTCAACATTCGCGTCAAACAGTTATAGCCAGGCTAGCAGCTCGATATTGCCATCTCCAAGTAGTTCGGCACGTTGGACGAACACGACATGTACCTCATGGGTAACTTTAACTACTAGTACGGGGATTACCGGTACGGGGTCATCGGTGTTTACGGCTTCATCCGCAATTACGACTGATGGTAATTTGACGACATCGTTTGGGGCCTTCTCGACTTCCTCGGCCCCTTTTCCCAATTCGACTTCTACCGGACTTACCACCGGAAGCGGATCTCTTTCAACCGATACGTGTATCGATACACCGACACCGACGCCGATACCAACAGAGACCGAGTCATGTGACCCCAGCGGATCTTACCAATACGGCAACTCGACAGCGTCCATTACCGCTTCACTCTCTTCAGGTGAAGACCTCTCTATGTCTACTCTGAGTGCATCATCGCTTTCAGCGCAAAGCAGCATACTCAGTGAATCCATAACATTACCGACACAAAGCCCGACATCAGACTCACAATCAAACGCCGAGTCCGACGTACCATTCCCACCATCCCACCCAACATCCACATCCCCAGACCCATCGCAGTCATCCTGCGTAAGAACATCCAGCAACAGCGCAATCGAAAACGGGGGCTTCGAAAACGGGCTCTCGCCCTGGAGCGTGGACCTCATCGACCTAATGTCAACCAGCTACGACATATCCACGCCGGGGGCCTCCAATTCCTGCAGCGCCTTCCACGTCACCATGGCGCGGAACATGCAAACAGACGACCTACGCTCAAACCTCCGTCTCGCAAGCCCGCTCATCATGCTGCCGCCCCCAGGGGTCAACTGGACGGTGTCATTCTGGACGCGCTTCGACACCGCGCACGAGGACTCCTTCCTCGAGCTGTTGGCCAACGAGGCCGTTGCGCACCGCGTTAATGCCACGACGGAGTTGGCGGAGTGGACTAAGGTCGAGGTCCCGTATAATCTGGAGGACGGTGATAGGATGTTGCAGTTTGTGTTCTCGTTTGTGCTGGGGGCGGGGGCGGTTAGGAATGAGGTTTGGCTTGATCAGGTTGCTGTTGAGGTTCCGGCTACGACTTCGTAGGGTTTGGATGGGGGTTTGCGACAATGTGGGGGATGTATTTGGGTGATATTTAGAGGTGTATACATATTGGGTAGGTACCTAGTAGGTGTGGAAAAGGGGTAGATCTGGTAGACTTATTACTGTTATTATTCTTGTATTTTCTTGCAGTGTAGTTTTAATTATTATTAGACTGTAGGTATGATAATGGTAGACCGGGATGGCCCCTCATTTTTACGGATTACCCGGACGGGATTGAAAGGTACCGTAGCTGCGTAGGACATTGAAAAAACAAATGGGAGTGTGACTAAATTCTGTCATATCTCACAAATCTCAGATGGTGGTAATTAAGGCATACCGGTAATAAATAGAGTTTTTTCTCGGATGTGGCTTGCTGCTGCTACTCCAAGTGGACAAAGGCTATGCGAGTTACCCCACGTCGCGATCTCCAATATTTGTGTGTACGCTGTAGGTACACATGTACACCGGTACCCACCTGCCTACTTGCATCATGCATGTGCTGTAGCGAAAAGTCTAGGCAGCGTCGACCAGCGACCAGCGACCAGCGACCAGAGCCAGAGACCAGGTAGGCACCTGGTACGAACCTTGGAAGTAGCTTAAAGAATTCGTGGTGGGGTTTTTCGGGTCATCATACCAAAATGCTAGAGCTCTCATCCGTCATTTCCCTCACATCCTTCTTTCATTTTCTTCCAAGCTTCAATGTTCTAACTTCTCACACATAAGACATCCCTTCTTTCTTGTATTCCCAATTGTACCCAACCTTGTATTCGCTCGGTAAGACATACATTGGTCTATCGGCATTTGGATTGCGTTTTCGGGAAGACCCGCTAGGAAGGATTATCGTCAGCCTGACATTACCTAGTACCTTCGCGCAAGCCCTACTGTCGTATTCCCACAGGTGCATCGTAAGCTCGTCAGAGCTGGTGATTCGGCGCATGGCACAGCAGGTAGAAACGACTTACATTGCGAACACTGGCTATAGGAGGAAAACAGGTCAAACAGGTATCCAGAAAAGCCACCGTCAACATCTTATCCACATTGACTCAAACCACCACCTCTCGCGCTATTCTCTTACTCAACCGAAAATATGATGTCAGCACAGCTCCAACAGCCTGGTCAGGCTGGAGCTCAACTATCCGCTTCCGAGAACAAGTCAAGTGATACCACCGTTCTTTCGGCAACAGAACAACCAAAGCTTACTGAGACCAAACCGCTCAAAAACCGTGCTCTGGAAAGCAAGAGCCCGTACGTACGAGCAAATGCCGATAGCCTGGTAGCATGGCAACTGCTGGACGACGATGCAGTTAGTCGTGCCAAGAAGGAGAACAAGCTGATATTCCTCAGCATCGGCTTCCTCGCTTCTCACCGTATGTGGCTACTGCCCTACCCCTGCGATACTAAAGTCGTGATATATGTATAGTTTAGTAATGCTGATTTCCATCCAGACTGCTATCTGACGAGGCAAGAGTCTTTCTCCAATCCAAAGGTCGCGTCCCTACTCAACGAGCATTTTGTACCCATTCTTATCGATCGCGAAGAGCGACCGGATATCGATAGCATCTATATGAGCTATAACCAATCCCTTAGTGGCAGTGGAGGCTGGCCATTGAACGTTTTCCTTACCCCAGAGTTGGAGCCGGTTTTCAGTGGAACTTATTGGGCGGCACCTGGCGTCCAAGATGATATTGCGGTGGAGAATGATGGAGTCGAAAAGCCTCTTGATTGGGTCGTGGTTATTAAGAAAGTTCTCGCATCCTGGCTAGATGAAGAGTGTCGTGTTCGCGATGAAGCCAAGAAGATGGTAGTTGAGCTGAGTCATATTTCCGCTGAAGGCACCCTGAACCATGCAGGGAGTGATTTCTTGCATGCCCCCGCCTCGTCTACTCAAGGAGGAGCTGCTGTTGGAGCTGTGGATTATTCTCGTGAAGTCTTTGGTGAGGTCGACTTAGATCAGATCGAAGAAGCGTACGAACGAATCACAAGAACCTTCGATCCCATGTGTGGTGGTTTTGGCCTGGAGGATAAGTTCCCGACTTCGGCAAAGCTGTCCTTGCTCCTGAGAGCAACCCGGTTTCCGAAAGTTGTGCAGGATGTAGTCGGCCCCAATGATTGTAGTTACATCAGTGGAATGGGCCTGCATACTCTACGACGAATCGCTAATGGTGCTGTTCATGACCATATTGGAGGTGGTTTCCACCGATACTCGATCACGAGGGATTGGTCCTTACCAGCATTCGAGAAAATGCTGATAGATAACGTCTTGCTGCTCGGACTTTTCTTGGACGCCTGGCTCCTTTCTGGAGGTACTTGGCGCGATGAGTTTGCTGACGTCGTAACCGAGATCGCCGATTATCTCATCAGTGATAGAATGCTATCACCGAAGGGTGGATTCTTCACTAGCGAAGCAGCAGATTCCTTCAACCGAAAGGGTGACAAAGTAATGCGTAATGGAGCATACTATCTGTGGACAAGAAAGGAATTTGATGGAATCGTTGGCGATGTGCATGAGAGCGAGACTGCTGCCACTTATTGGAATGTACAAGAACATGGCAACGTCGATCCTAATAATGACCCTAACGACGATTTCCTCAACCAGAACGTTCTCCAGGTAGTTAAGAACTCCGCGAGATTGAGTCAGCAGTTGGGAATTTCGGAGTGGGAGGTGAACCAACGAATCGAGGCCGCAAAGGCAAAACTACGCTCACATCGACAAAAGGAACGTGTTCAGCCTGATATTGACACCAAGATTGTCACTGCCTATAATGGCATGGCTATTGCTGGTTTGACCCGACTAGCCCTTGCTTTCCTTCACACGAATGCCGGCATGAATCAACGAGGAGAGAAGTACTTGGAGATAGCGAAAAAGGCGGCCTTATTCGTGAAAAATGAGCTTTGGGATAACGACAAGAAAATTCTCTATCGAGTTTACTCCGATGGCCGCACAGATATTGAGGCATTTGCCGAGGACTATGCTCTATTGATCGAGGGCCTTATAGAGCTTTACGAAGGTACTGCAGATGAATCATGGCTTGAGTGGGCGGACGAGTTACAGGCGCTCCAGATCAAACTTTTCTATGACAGCCCTACACCTGCACCTACGATGGCAAACGCTAGGTGCGGAGCCTTCTACTCTACGGTTCTGGGTGCACCGTACACGCTACTCCGTATCAAAGATGCCATGGACACCTCACAACCATCGGTTAACGCGGTATCCGTCTCTAACCTGTTTAGACTAGGGGGGTTGTTGGGCGATAACAAGTACACGTACTTAGCGAAAGAGAGTGTCAATGCTTTCGGCGTCGAGATGCTGGAACATCCTAACTTGTTTCCTGGCCTCTTATGCGGAATCATCCCTTGGAAATTGGGTGGCGAACACTGGCTCGCAGTCGGAGAGAAGCATGACCCTGCACAATTGGCAATATTCCATAAGGCACCTCGTGCCGCCTTATGCACGCTCCGCCATCACATCCCAGGAAAGGCTGATTCATGGTTGGCTAAACGGGATGCGAAGACCGCCACACTCCCCCAAGAACCTGGGTTCTACGCAAAGTCATCGGATGGGACATATCGCAGATTGGATAGTGATGAGCTCGCGAAGCAGGATCTAGGCCATTCCCCCTTTTCCCGCGGCTAGTATTCTGGAGCATATTGAGAATTGTTAGGGCAATGAGTATACTTATATCAGGGTGGGGATCATTATTAACAAGCATCGACATGGTTATATTGGCGGAATCAAATGGGAATCCTAAAGGGAAGCGGCGAGCCCTACAACGATTACTGGAAATACTTGTATGTGTCTTGATACGGAGAGGAATCTGGTGTTTGTATCCCCCAAAACTGACTTTCCAAGCGGATTACAAGGGCCATGTTGACGAAACGGCTGGAATTACACGAACTAACGCATTTTCCCTTCTTTCTATGAGGTACTACTAAGGATTTATTATCGGATCGTGAAAGATACCAGGGGGCGTCTATGGTACACGGTTTAGGGGGTGAATGTTTTTTAAAACGTGTGTGGTGGGTGGGATGTGGGATGTGTTTATTTGCATTGCATGGTTGCATAGGTAGATGATGTTAAATGAATGAATTGATTTAAATTTGCGGAATATTGGCTTTGATACCAGGTATGTTTGCTTATGATATTGTGAATAGGTTGTGAATGTAAAATATAGCATTTGGCTTTCCTTGGCCGTAATTTGATGTTTGGGATAAAGTCTACGAGGTAACCAACAGCGTCTCATCACACACGACCTGCCCTCGGATAAAACCGACATCATGACCTTGACAAAACATGCGTATAGCTTTGATTAGGTATTTTTCTCTTCATATCATTTATTGCAAGGGGTATCTATTCTACAGTCTCGAACCATAGACGCAGGGCTCGCCTTCTCCATCTCCCATCTTTCACCATCACCATCACCACCACTACCTCCTCCCCATCCCCATCCTTTCTCCAAAAGTCCAACATAAGTACACAGAAAGACGAAGTACGAAGGAGGCGGAAACGGCCAATAACTCCGAGTACGTGCTAATGCGAGGCTCTCTTATTTTTTGTCTTCTCAACCTTCGCCGGAAAAAAACCCCTCTCCCTTGATACGTGGTAAAAACCCCCTTTCCTTCTCCCTGATGCCGATGTGGTATGGTTCCTGCATCCGTAGGTAGTTGTACAAATTGAAAAGAACTCTGATCCGTCATCGTGAACTGAATCGACTGTGGATCGTAATGCGTGGTATGGTTGGACCGGATGTGTGTTTGGAGTGTCCCGTTTGATTTCGGGTTTAGCCGTCCGCTTGTACGGGCAAGTTTATTTCTCCTGAGTGTTGGTCGCCATGTACGCGTCTCATATGTACATACTTCTATCATGCCTTAGTCACGGGACCCGGGGTTGTAGGTTTTCTGTTCATCAAGTTGCCGAAGAATTTGGCAAGTGTATCTGTATCAACCGGGGCCGATCCTTCCTCGAGTTGAGATTCGTCATCCAAGTGAGGTTCAGGGGAATGTCCGTAGGCCTGACGATCCTATTGACAAGTTAGTCTTGTTCGTAGTCTTGTTCGATGTCCGGGGAATAAATATTGTTGGCTTACCTTGAGGCGTTGTACCATATCGTCAGCATCAACTTGGATGCCTCCCATGTTGAATTGTACTGGGCCAATGTGATCGCTAATCATGTCGTCGGTTGTACTTTGCGCGAAAGAATTGTCCTTGCCAGCTTTCTCGTCTGCCTTCTTTACCTGTTCGAGTCGTTCTAACTGGTTCGCGAGGAAAGCTTGTGTATCGACTGATGGTATCTCCAACCTGCTAGTGTCCTTATTTCCCTGGGCTAGTTGTAGGGTATCTAGGCTTGTGTCTTGAACCTGCTCTTCGTATAATACCACCGCTGATCCTTCGGGTTCGTCGACGCCATTTATTTCACCATTTGCTTGGTGGGCGGCGTCACTTGTGCTGTCGCTCCTAGGCATGGGGAAAGGTTGGTCAAGATCTATTACCCAGCCCTCGCTAACTTGCTCCACATCAAACCCATCTCGCAACACTCGGATCTTGCCCCAGGAGTCCCAGTTTGGAGGCACCACAATCTTGTCTCGGTCGATGACGTTGGTTTTTAAGGGGGTGCGCTTTAGTAGCGAATGAATTCCGAGACTGGCGTGAACAAGCGTCTGTAGAGGCGATGCCATCGACGGTGTCGTGTAGATAAGAGAGGCTCCATCTAAAATTTGTCAGCGAGGGATCTGATCCTGGGTTGTGTATTGGGGGCCATACGTCTTAGTAAGACAGTTCTGAGATACTGGAGAACGAGGTCGAACTTCTCTTCCTTCCATCCTTGGGTTTTCTCTAAGTAGTCTATTCTCTCGGACTATGATATCGCTGTCAGTATACCCAGTATGTAGATTGGATCAAAACCACTCACGTTTTGACAGACGACGCATAGTGGCAGACCAAGTCCGTCTTCCCACTCTCCTGGTCCAAGGGGTAGCGCGACATCTCCCTCTGTAGCAACCGCACCTGTGCCGTCCAAGTTAACGGACCCGCCCGTACGTCCGCGGTCTCTCCAGTTGTTCATAGCCTCTTCCATAGTCTCTTTACATTCGGGGCTTAGAGACATGATGACTGTTCGCAGCAGCAGCAGCCACTCCCGCAGTTGTCGCATCCATAACCAGGGTTGCGACCAGTCGAGTAGTATTACTATTAAGGTGTTGGGGATCGATTGGGGAGTCAAGAGCGGTTGGATGAGCGAAGTGAAAGAAGGCGCCGGGCTTGTAAGTAGGTAGAGAGATATTCGTGCTAGGATGTCTGGTCTTGGTCAGCGCTGAAGTCGTTCGCCAAAGGAGACTTCGGACTTCGTCGACTAACCTTCTTGGTCTGCGTCCAAGACATTATAATATGTATAACCAAGTGCGAAGCTATTGGCGATTGGTGGGATCTTCTGATTGTTCCGGTCGATATTCTTTCGTGTATCGTTGCTCGACAGGGCTTCGAGGAAGTCTCGTTGCGAATCTACAGAACCGCCTGATATGTCGTGTCAGTCGCCGGTATCCTGCGATTCAAGATACGTAATTCATATAGTCTACCATACCTAGAACCAACAAGTTCTTCTCTGGTAATCTCTTTCCGCTAGCGACGGAGTCGAGCATAGAACTCCACATGTCCTTCTTTTGATCATCCTTCTTTCCCTCCGAACCGGTACCGGTACCGACGGAGGTACTTGTATAGGTCGAGAACCGGTTCGAATTGGCCGTCATGTTTGATTTCGGTCGATTGGTAGCATTGGGGAATAGTTGAATGCGCCCAGAAAGCAGAAAGGTCTCGGCGTAATCGGTGATGCGATTATGGTCAGACCCTTAGAGCGCGTCTTAAGAGTTGACTTTCACCTATTAATATTCGCCTATGTAATTGAAACGCGTTGAGAATGACGATCGATCTAAGATTGGGAAAATTTAATTTCCACCCTCTCTTTTTTATTTTAACGAAATAAGACAACTCAAGACACGATGACAAAATTTAGGTGGGGTGGTTTAAGAAACAGATAAAGAATTAAAAAAGTGAAATCGTTTCACCGATCATTCTTTCTTTCAACATGAAAAACATCCATCACTTTTATTCCCCTTGAAGCTTCCACCTGAGAGCATTTGATTAAGGTGCTGGCTTACCGGGATTTAGTGGATCTTCTGCCAGGTCCTGACGGTCCGACGTTTCCCCAGCACAGGGGTCCGCGGGGCGGCACTTGTCAGGTACAGGTACTTATTTACAGCTACAGGTACATTCGGATATCCCGTCCGAAAAAAAACAATACCGTCATAATTCAGCCTTGCAGCTAAGCTCTTAACATTTTTACCAATTTACAGTAGCCTTCCCAAGCTGCGTCCTATATGTTTATAATCCTCCAAATTCCTCAATTTTGGTACTCGAACTCCCGATAATTGTATGAGCTTCTGAAGATACAGCACAATGAATCAGATACGCGCTATCCAAGCGCTCAACAAGCGCGAGATCGAAAACGGAGTGTAAGCCAACCTCCCTCTTCCCTTAAAACCTATTCCACTAGCTAACAAACAAACTCAGACCACCAGAAGCCTCCTGGCACACCGACTATCGCGACACCGCCTTCGTCAACTTCGGCGGACTGCCGTACGAGCTGTCGGAGGGCGACATCATTACCATATTCTCTCAGTTTGGGGAGCCCGTGTTCCTGAAGCTAGCGCGCGACAAGGAGACAGGGAAGAGCAAGGGGTTCGGCTGGCTCAAGTATGAAGATCAGCGCAGCACGGATCTAGCTGTAGACAACTTAGGCGGTGCTGAGATCAGCGGGCGGCTTGTGAGAGTCGACCACGCGCGGTACAAAGCCCGCGACGACGAGGACCCGGAGGAGTTCAAAATTTCGTGGGAGGATATCGTCAGACGTGAAAAAGCAGAGAAAGGGGAAGATGTAGAGATGCAAGAGAGTAGCGAGGAGGAGGAAGAGAGGCGACCGATGATTAAGGAGGAGAGGGAGTTGGCAAAGTTGCTCGAGGAGCATGATGAGGATGATCCAATGAAGGGCTTTTTAATCGAGGAGAAGAAGAAAGAAGTCGAACGCGCGTTAAGGAAAGAGGGAGAACGGAAAGAAAGGAAGGAGAAGAAAGAGAAGCATCGGCATCATCACAGTCATCGTTCTAAGAGGGATGATAGGGATAGGTACAGCGAGGAGCGCGATCATCACAGAAGGCCGAGAAGGGATAGGACTCCCGTTGCAAAAGATAGGGGTAGTCGAGAACGAGACGAAACTCCTCCGAGACGAAGAGACAATTCTACAGATCGCGAACGAAGGAGAGGGGACGACAATCGTGATCGACATCGCGACAAAGAACATCGAAGAGATCGAGATGATAGAGACAGACATAGCAAGCGCTCTCGCTATAACGATGACGAAGATAGAGAGAAAAATAGGGACAGGGACAGAGATCGCAAAAGCAGACGGAGAAGCAGGAGCAGATCTCCACGGTCATATAGAGATTGATGAAAACTGCCTAATCGCTAATAAAGATACCCCCATTTAAAGTCAACGCTGTTTACTTGAGATGACCTCGCCGCACATATCCTAGTGCAATGTGATTTAAGACGCCCTCCCCGACCATATAAACGCCAAACCCCACGAGTCCTGTTACTCCGTGCTGATTTCCCATGCCTAGCCCGGCTTTTAAACCAATATCACCCGGTTCGATGTGGCGGGCCCCTTAAAAATAAAGGGACTTTAGTATCGGGGTGGTTCTCGTAATGTTCCTTGAGCTCATCCTAATTCCCCAAGTATCTCTTCCAGCCTTCCCTGACGACCACGGTACGACCCTCCTCCTCTCTCAGCACGAACTTCTCCCATCGTGCATCCTGGCCAGCGCCGACGACGGCGAGAGAAGTCTCGTCTATCCATCCAATGACACCTTTCATTGGCCTACTAGTGCCTAGGACTGTGTTATCACCCCTTTCCACTGCTCTTGCTGGGCTAGGTAGAAGGGGCTCTTCGCCAGTTTCAAAGGCAGCCGAAGTAAAAGAATAAACGTCGGAAAAGGGTCCAAATGGAATATTGCTTAGGAATCCCCATTTGTTCGTGGCCTCGGCATTTGAGCTACCTCCACCAATGCTCGGGGCCGGCGAGCTAGGCCTACCTTTGCGCGGGTTAGGAACATCGAAGATATGTAGGCTCCCCTTATCCGAGGTGCAAGCAAGCATGTTTCCTGATGGGCTAAAGCGTAATGAGTATATGGTAGCGAACTCGCTACCCCGCCGTCGTTCTGCAAGCTTCGCACAGCTACTCGTGGAGAAGATGCGAATGATGGTACCCTATATATAGTCAGCACATGATACATTATAGATAATTGAGTTCTCATACCTTTTCGCTTGCTGTAGCGAGTAACTCCCCATCTGCACTGAGCTGCAACGCTCTCAAACTCGAAGAATGCGCAGGGATGATGCTAACACTGTCTGTCGCCAGTTGCACAACCTGGACTTGACCAGGCGTCCTACCAGGGAAAACCAAATACTTCTCTGTGAGACAGCAGAGACCAAGGAAGTTGTCTGCCGTCTCATATCTAGCTAATGGCAATGGTGGCTTTTGGAAAGCGTAAACTCGTACGCAGTTCTGTAAGACAACAGCAATTCTTGACTTGGAGATCTGAACTCCGCGAACAGCGGTCAAGGTAGCTAGCTCTAGAGCTATTTTGCCCTTGCTATCGTCCCATACTATGACTTTGTTCTGTGGGAACTTGGGTGAACGACCGCCACCGACAAGAGCAAGATAATTGGCATTTCCCATCATCTGGACAAGACCAAGGCCCGCATTGAAAACTACAGATTATTAGGGTTCATCTTCCGTGAAAGGATGAGGATCACCTTACCTCTTGCGGTTTGTATTTGAGATGAGTTTGAAAGGAAGACTATAAAAAGCGTGTAAGCATCAGGACAATATTGGTATAAGTCGGAAATATGAACAGATCATAGCTAAGAGGGATCATACTGCAAAATCCCGAATCTAGCCCAACAACAAATCGACTCGCGTCACTGTTGAAGGTAACAGATAGAGCAGCATGCTCAGGAGGGCTTTCTATAACCGGCCGAGTATTCATGATGACTATGTATTAAGGCTGCAGTGATAGTAGAGGTAAGAGGTATAAGATGTTAAATAAAGAGTAAAGACCACGGCCGATGAAATGAAGGAATCGAAGATGCGAAGCATCAAAGGGAACCAGATAGTTCGAGAAATGTCTCGGTGCCCCAGATCATAGCTGTATTGCACATTCGTGAAGCTCCCCGTCTTGGATGACTTAAATGAACCTATGATATGAAGTCCACTGGAGAGAGCGTAATGATAAGCGCTAACCAGTCTAAGCTTTACAGTGCCTCAGAGCCGCCGCAAATGACCGGAGCCGATAAAACGAACGATACGATAAAATCGGAGTAAGTATCAAATAAAAAGAAGATGTAAAGAAGTTCGGAGAGAAGAAATACGATAGTTGTAGAAGTGAAGATGTTAGCTATCACGACTTGGCTTTTACTGAAGATTGGACGGGATGAATGTAATATGTTGCGCAGGTACAGTACACGTGAGAGGTCCACGGGTACTTCGAATGGATACGTGAGGTGGTATGGAGATTCTAAGATGTCGTGCACGGACCAAGAGCCACACACACATATGAGATAACCTTGTTAGATCCAGCCTACCGTTTTGGGGAAGAGCTACCAGACCGTGGGCACTGGGCAAGCTCTAAAGTAGGTGACTCCTGAAGTTACAGTAGGTGAGCCTTCACCCGCAGTTTACTAGTGGCGTAATGTTTCAATCTAACATCCATGAAGATAGGTACTCCAGGGCTGTGGCTGTGTTACTAAGTGCCGTGCCGGTCTCGACTTCCAAATTCTTACTATCGATGGATATCCGCATGTCCCCGGTACCGTAGCCGCGTGGTTTGCAGTATATATGTACATAAGTACATTGTAATGTACAAAAAATGATAGAGCAGTTACGGTTGGATACCAGTTGGTAACCCCCCCTAGTCTCTAAGGTTCTTACCCTTTTAACATCTTCCAGCCTCGTGTTAATTTGACACGGGGAAGCTGCAACTGGGCCAACCTAGGACAACCCTACCTTGTCCAATTAAATCGTTGTACCCAGGTACAATAGTTATTAGTTTTTTGTAGCTGCTAGGCACAAATCTAGGTAAAGTACAGTTGCTATCAAGCCTGAGCCCCTGAATTTGGGAGTACCAAGGTGATCCGTGCTCAGATTTGGTGCCTTTCTAGTGGCCCCATGCCCCCTGTCTAGTCCCCGTCAACGGCAACTTATTTTGTGCTGTTGAAATTGCACTTTTTTGGAGAGGAGACTTCAGGGAAGGAGAGAACTGGAACCATCAACAGCTACTTTGGTCGGTGGTGTAAAGCGAGACCCGAACAACTTTTCAAATCTTTTCGGTTTCTACCTTTCATCAACATTTCCCAGTTGTGATCCGCCCCTTTCACAATCCACCGTTTTGAGATACCCCATTTACGAAGATCCGTTTCGCTTTTTGACGAGTCCTGTTCAATTGTCAATCATTGTTAATTTCAATTCTCTACTAGCGGAACTCGTCAGCCCATTGGAAACCCAAAGTCTTAGCCTAATATGTCGTCCCCAGCGGTGAGCACACAGTCCCCTATCACGCCTTGTCCAACTGCTACACACTGCTACTCATTCCAAATTTGCATCGATTATTGCTACCTACCTGCATCTGTATCCTACCTCTACAGACTCGCGTCTAACTCCTATCCCAATTCATCGTATACTGTTTATCAGTACAGCTACTAATCGGTCATGATGCGTTCACAGAAGATGATGCGCCGGAAGAAGAACGTGAAGAAGGGAATTCAGTTCTGCTTGATGGTCTGCGGTGCTTCGGGAACAGGTATACCTCCCTTTCCAACATCTCGACGCGTTCGACGTACCATTGCCGCCCGAGCGACAGATACTCGATCGCCTACGTAGTTATCAATTCGGTTGCTAATATTTGCTCTCGTCATCTAGGCAGAACAACTTTCGTAAACACCCTCTGCAGCAAGAGCGTCTTGAACCATAAGGAATCCGACGATGCCACCGCTGCCCACGTTGAGGATGGCGTTAAGATTAAGCCTATCACCGTTGGTTAGTCCACCAATCAGCTCGAGGATGACGATTGATTCTAATTACCCCTTTTAGAGCTCGAATTGGATGAGGAGGGTACTCGTATCTCCTTGACCATCGTCGACACCCCTGGTTTCGGTGACCAGATCGACAATGAAGCAAGGTAAGGTCTAATACTTGTCGCGGTCGTTGTCACGATTACTAATATTTTTGGGTCTGCAGCTTTTCGGAGATCGTTGGGTATCTCGAGAGACAATACGATGACATCTTGGCTGAGGAGTCGCGTATCAAGCGTAACCCCAGATTCAGGGACAACCGTGTGCATGCGATGCTGTACTTTATCACACCTACCGGTCATGGGTATGTATTGTTTTTTGCCTAGTACATTTGCTATCTACTTACAGTATAAACAGTCTTCGTGAACTCGACATCGAACTGATGAAGCGCCTTGCTCCCCGTGTCAACGTCATCCCTGTCATTGGCCGCGCCGATTCATTGACCCCCGCCGAACTTGCTGAGTCGAAGAAGCTAGTGATGGAGGATATCGAGCACTACCGAATCCCCGTCTACAACTTCCCCTACGACATCGAGGAGGACGATGAGGATACTGTTGAGGAGAACGCCGAGCTTAGAGGCCTCATGCCCTTTGCCATCGTAGGCTCCGAGGATGTCCTTGAAATTGGCGGCCGCAAAGTCCGAGCTCGTCAATATCCGTGGGGTGTTGTAGAGGTCGACAACCCTCGTCATTCCGACTTCCTGGCCATTCGATCGGCTCTTCTTCACAGCCATCTTGCCGATCTAAAGGAAATCACCCACGATTTCCTCTACGAGAACTACCGTACTGAGAAGCTTTCTAAGAGTGTGGAGGGCGGTGCTGGAGTGTAAGTGGCCCTGGAAAGTTTGTGACATGATTTGTATTCTAATGTGGTGTTTACAGTGACTCGTCAATGAACCCCGAAGACCTGGCTTCCCAGTCTGTGCGCCTAAAGGAGGAGCAGCTTCGCCGAGAAGAGGAGAAGCTTCGCGAGATCGAGGTCAAGGTCCAACGCGAGATTAACGAGAAGCGACAGGAGCTCTTGGCCCGCGAATCGCAATTGCGCGAAATCGAGGCGAGAATGGCACGAGAAGCCGCCGCAGCCTCGGGAACGCCCGAGGCGAATGGCGAGAACGACGGCAACTAAACGCCCTAGAACGACATCTTTTCTATCTCTACTTCTGGTATACCGGCGGCCAGATAGCAGTACGGACTTGTGGCGTTGGGTGTTTGATATCCCCTAGTCCCCGACTCCCCTGAACTAAGGCCATTCGAGACGACGTTATATGAAACCCTAAAAAAGCTAATGGTTGGTGCATGAGGTGTGCGAAGCAGAGGGTTTGGTGAAGAGCTTGTCAGGAATAAGACCCGGGCAGCATTGATATCCCCTACAATTATTGCATGCCCAATTTTCGGAAAAGGGACGATGGTACTATGGGAAAAGAAAACAACCTTTGTGTTCCCCGATTTTTCATATCTAGGCACATCGTCCCGCTGAGAAGCCGAAGGTGGTGAGGGGGATAGCCAAGCTACCTTTGAATCTTCTGCGAGTCGATGTCCATTTTACTAGTTGCAAACTGTGTAGCCTTTTTCTACTTTCACGCCCCCTTTTCTCCTAGTATTAGTGCCTTCTAATGCAGATATCAATACGAGTTTTCTTTGATGTCTACCAAAATTGGCATTACATTGTACTTATAAGGAATTCGTACTTATAATTTTTTTGTAAATCCTGCGTGTTATGCATCGATCTGTAGGAATCATAATATGTAGATGTCGAAGAACGTATGAAGGGGTTAGTTGGATATTGCCCAAAGTATATGGGACGAGTCGATCATCAGGCTCATCCCAGTTTCTTGCCATCAATATGAATATCACATAGTTAGAAGAATACGCATACAATTGCCTAGTATGAATACGCTCATAATTCCAAGCATCAAACTAAATTAAGTATGCTAGCTACCAAGATCTTAACAACTCTTATAAGCAACACTTCTGATATTAAGCTCAGGTTGCTTCCTACAACGCCGTTTCCCTAACCTGTACAATCACTGAAAGGAAAAGAACGAGAGTCTAGCGAAGACAAATCGAAACGTCAATTTCCATATAAAGGACTACTCGGTCCCTCCCATCGAAGACAATCCATAGTCCGTAGTCGAAGTCTCATTTTCCCTTGCCTGACCCTAATCTCCCTATCCTATATCTAGATTCTGATAACAGCTTAGTTGTTACTTTGGCTGTTTAGGATGCGCAGGATGGCGAGGAACAGATTCAGGATGTCGAGGTACAGGCTGATGGCGGCGGCGATCTCCTCCTCAACGTGGTGCTTGCGCATGACGAGCTGGGTGTCGACTAGGATGTAGCCGGAGAAGATAAGAGCCGCTAGACCGCCGTAGATTAGCTCCCCGGTGCTGCTGTACGGCATGAAGGCGGCCATGAAGCCGAAGAGCAGGAGACCCCAGAGAGCACCGAAGAGATACGGCATCCATGATGTGAAGTCGTACTTGGTCTGGCAGGCGAATAAAGTGAGGAAGACGAAGATTCCACCCGTAAGGATCGCGGCATTTAGCACGATCGAGGTTTCGTAGAAGGACACGATCACGCTGACGCTGTAGGCTTCCATCAGCGTGAAGGCGGATAGGAAGAGCAGGTTCGTCGGGTACGACTTCCGCTTCCAGTACGTCAGCAGCAGGAACACGATCGAGCCTGCTAGCGACGCCCAGACTAAAGCCGGGTGCGACTGGATCCATGTCTTGTACCCCGTGCTCCAGAAACTCAGGCCGCTTACCGCGGCCGTCGCGATGAGTTGGGCCGTTAGGATCGTGTACACCTTCCGGATGAACTGGTTTCGGATCTCGATGGTTGCCTCGGCGACGGATCCCCCGAATTTGAAGTCATCCGGGATGTTGTCGTCGCTGCTACGCGACGCGGCTTCGAAGAGTGGGGACGAGGGTGTGTGTGTTGTGGGTGCGCCCGGCGTGGCTTGGTAGGAGGGCGGCGCTTGCGACCAGGTGCCCTCGTCGGGGTCCTGTGTCGGCGCGGGCTGGTATTTGGTGTTGGCGGCCATTTTCGGCGGTGCGAATCGCTGGTCGCGGATGGGTGAGACTTGGGGGAATTATATCTCTAGGTGTTGAGATTTTTGCGATGAACGGCTTGATGCACAAATGAGAGAGAAAGGAGTAATGATCTACTCGAGGCTGGCGTTGATGGACGCGATGGAGGGTCGGACGGGATGAGATGGATGGATCGATGAGGTTTAGGTGCGAAGGTGGAAAGGTGGACGTGAGGAAACACGGCGGCGAATCGCGGGGCGTTTAATGTACCTAGGCAGCTAGGCTGCTAGGTCAACTCTTAGGTAAGGTTCGGAAGGCTCCAGGCTGTGTCATGCGCTCAGTGGCGATGCTTACTGGTATTTTCTCAGTGCTTCTAGGTTATGGAAGGCGCGATGTGATTGGTTCTGGTTTAATTGCTGGAAGCCACATGTGGCACGGAAAATGTAGGCAGTGTGGCTTAAGCTAGGACGAAACTGGACAAACTTAAAGTGCGGGGCTAGCTGGAGTTCTCGATCCAAATTGCTGCTCTGAATGGTTTCTACAATTGAGGAACATGAATGATATCCAATCCTAGAAACCATATAAATTCATTAGGTTGAAATTCAAATAATATTTCAATATCATACTTGCTACATGAATGTATCAATTGTTAGTTATTACAGTTTCCTACGATCCATATGTGGTCTTCAGGAGAAACAGCAAGGTCTTCCAAGGTCGACTCCATGAATAATACCTGGAGCCTCGGTAGATATTCCTACGGAACCAGGAGGCTCAAACAACTGGCAGGATTCCCCGCCCGTTAAAGCCCCGGAGAATAAGCAGATATGCCATAGGAACGACAGATATCTGGTTGTGCGGAATTCACAAAAGCTTATTCGGGGAATTGCCACTTAAACTCATGGATAATAAGTGACGAAAATCGACTTATGCAGCAAGTCATCACTAACTACCTAAGAACTTAGTTAACTCTCATTGGCTAGGAGGGAGGGTTTGCACATACCCACGAGCTGTTACTTTGTTAAGAGCTTAGTGACGTTGTAACGTTGAATAGAGATGGCTGACGACAGAGAAGGAACCTACCATTACCTAACACATGGAAAATGCAACTGTCGTTGTAGAGTATTTAAAGTTTCCAGCGTTTGGAGAAGTGGGTAAGTATGATCATGGTTTTAGACTTTATATTGTTTCAAGATTGTTCAAGATTGTGTTTATAGAAATAACATTGAAGCTACCAACTTCTGTCTACCTCGCCTACCTCATCTACTTCATCTGCAAGCATCTACAAGCTAAGAAAAGGATCTCAACAAATCATCAGATTAGCTCCCAAGTTGAATACTACCATATTTGGTAAATATGGTATATCGATCGCCGATCTTATCCCCGGTCTAATTCGACTTTCTCCCCAAGCTCACACTAACTCGTGGACAGCTACTCAAAACCATGGAATATCGAGACAATTAATGTACGTATTTTAAACGTGCGTACTAGAGCCGAGACATAGAAAGGTAGGAGCTTTAGCGATGTGAGGGGCAAAAGGCTCGAATGACCAAATAACCCCTATCTATTAGCGATCTTCAAAGTTTACAAGATCCACTATCCCCTTGCTGGAATAGACGCTACCATGTTAGGTAAGTGACTAGGCGGTTGCTAGACGGTAGCTAGAACCCCTCCTCCCTTTTTTCCCTTTCACCGCCCTGACCGCCCCGGCTTCTTCATCATCTTGGGCTATCAAAAACTTGCAGACGGTGGGGAGGTTCCACCTTCGGTTCAACGTCTTCTGCATCTTCAAAACACTAAACACTTGTCCCTCGTCAAGTCTCGGAGGTATATTCGATCCTACCAGCCGAGTCAGGTAGTTCGTTATCCTTCGTATCTTTCGTATCCTATCCGTTAGTACTCGGAGACTTGTTCGACACACTCGTTCTTCTCATAGAAAAGAAGGTGATGATTTGTCTATTCACGGAGTATTTTCTTTCTGCTGTTCCTGATTCTTGACATTTGCTCGTTACCTAGCCACTTAGGCGTGAAGCCTTCGTTACGTTGTTGCTGTGTATCTATAACGACGGGTTTGCGAAAGCCCCCGTCGCTCGCTACCCACCGACATTTTCACGATCGATTGAGAGCCCGGCGCAAACCAATTGGGTTCAATTGAGCTTGTTTGCTATAGTTAAGCTTCGAACCGATCCCTTGATTTGAATATGAACGACCCAGCGCCTAATGTCGCCAACGTAGATCTTGGTGACCTTGGCGATGCACCGACATCCCCAGGTACATCAGATACACCAGATACACCAGATCAAACCGCGATCACCATGAAGCCTCGGGCCGAAAAGCCCAAGGCAGCTACTGTGAAGCCGAACATGCAATCGCGCAGTCGCAGTTACATGAACGGTCCATTGTATATGCAAACGAGTAACAATAAGATCTTGATTCGGAGAGTCAAAAGGAAAGATGATGGTGCTTTGAAGAGCTTAGCACGTTGGTTTCTTAACAATCAAACGGGTATGTTTTTATCGTAATTAAGCTTACTATAACAATGCGCAGCCTAGCCTCCGTTCCCCCATTGGAAGGTGCCCTGATCCCTAGGAAGGGTTTTGGTCTCACGATAGTAACGCCGCATCACTTGTCGGCGCACCTATTCGGTCTTAGCCACCGCTAACGGTTCCCAATCTTACAGGATTCTCATTCAACCTCATCACTTTGATATTCCTCGCCCACATATGCTTACCTAAAGCGCGCCCTCATACCTCGAAGTTCTTCACTTTGTCGTACTACAATTCGGAATCGGGAAAATACGCGATCGGATCAAATGACTACTATTTCATCTCATTCTTCATTCTCCTCTTTACCGGACTCCGCGCCGGCTTCATGGAGCATTTATTGGCGCCATTTGCAAGGAAATGGGGAGTTTCTAAGAGAAAGGAAATAACTAGGTTCTCGGAGCAAGCTTGGATGCTGATATACTACAGCTTTTTCTGGACCCTTGGCTTGGTATGCCGTACCCCTTTTTGCCTCTCCTATACTCACCACCTCGTCTAAAAAGCCCGTTATATGCGTTATTATCTATACTAGTTGGTCAGTTATACTAATTCTCGGGTAGTATTTATACGTTCAGTCTCCTTTCTTTCTAAACATGAAGGAGCTGTGGACGGGTTGGCCAAATAGAGAACTTGATGGGCTCATGAAGGCATACCTTCTAGCTCAGTGGGCTTTCTGGTTACAGCAACTTCTCGTTATCCACATCGAGGAGCGCAGAAAAGATCACTGGCAGATGCTTATCCATCATTTCATCACCATCACTCTCATTTCTGCGTCTTATTGCTACCACCTTACCAGGGTCGGCAACCTGATCCTTGTTCTCATGGATGTAGTTGACATATTTTTGCCAGTAAGCCGAAATTCCCCAAGAACAGTTAGCATCGTATATCGGGTGTGCGTGCTAACTTTGAAAATAGCTTGCAAAGTGTCTGAAGTACTTAGGCTTCACACGATTATGCGATGCCGCATTTGGTGTGTTTATGGTATCATGGTTCGTCGCTCGACATGTATTTTACCTCATGACATGCTATAGCATTTACAAGGACGTGCCCGAAATGCTGCCTAACGCTTGCTTCAAGGGCACTAACGCCAATTTGACTGGGCCTTTCCCTATTCCTGACGGATGGGGTCATTATCTTGAACCTTTCAGCGATTTCGAAGGAACAATCTGTTTCTCGAGTTCTGTACAATGGGGATTCTTGTATTGCTTACTTGGTCTCCAAGTCATCACCATATTCTGGTTCTTCATGATCATTCGAGTTGCTATTCGCGTACTGAAGGGTGATGGTGCTGACGACACTCGAAGTGATGACGAAGGGGAGGAGGAAGAGGAAGAATTCGAGTACGAGGAAGCACAGCCGCTAGAGGAAGAAGTGGGCGTTGAGGCTATTGATTTGAAGGGGTGGGAGCGCCGGACAGGCGTTAAAAGGGCCGCAAGTTCTTCTGGCGTTAGCTTACCCGGTCACAGCGATCGTAAGGAGTTGCTCGGTCGCATCGGTTGCGAAAAGCAGGTTGATTGATCAGTTACGGTACGTGACTTTGGTAACTGATAGGCCCCGTCGTGGTAGCTGCTGGAATTTCATGCGCACTGTTAGAAGAAGGGCCGTTGAGGGTGTCGGATACTCGGGTAGTCACGGAACAAAATTTGGCGTAGCGATCTCATTTCTGTGTTGTTCATATGATGGGTTGATCTGGGGGTGGCATCCGTGTGCGCTATCATACGGCGCTGGCGAGGGCGGGGGAATCATTTACTCTGACTCGGTACCTACCAGGTATCTATATACCTTACATAGACTTGGAATTCAGTAATCATACCCCTTTCTATGATAGCCCGCTTGGACCTGATTGACCTCGTTAGTAAGCGTGGAAGCCTTTGCTTTGGCATCTGGCACGACCATATTATTCTGGATCGCCTCATCTTAAATGGTTAAGGCCATCAGGTGGGAGATTTGCTCAGATGATATAACTCTAAGATCATGTCGGTAAGTCCTTTCAATGTTCTTATTTCCTTACCTTTCACAGTGCAGCCATTACACGACCGTATCCCCCTCCCTACTAAGCATCGAGTAGCCCCAAGTGCCACCGCTAAAGTCTCATCAGGTGGCCCAAAGCGCAACTCTATTCGATGTTTTGGATTGCGGAAGTCCCAATAGTGTCATAAAAATCGGCATTTACGAACTTTGTTGTGTCGACCTCCTATACCGATAGTTTTCGATAGGGTCCAGCTCTTATGCCATATGTCCAAATATGGCTAAACGCCCCTGAACTCAAATCGCCAGTAGCCTCAGATGACGGACAGAAACCGACCTGACTGGTCGGAATATGCTATGTCCCTGTTGTTCCGGTGTAGGGTCCAGCAACTTTAAGCATATGGGAAGGGGGCTTTGAGTTTGCCGTGCCTGTTCTAGAGATTAAGGGTACAGGTGGTCTTCTGACAGGGAAATGTTGAATCGTGAAATAATCCCGCCACCTTTTCCTGGACTCTACCCTTTTCCCTCTTTTTTTGCTTCCTACAACACCACACCCATACGTGTTATTCATACACTCAAGTTAAAAAAATTAAGACAACAATACGAACCACACATGCCTCATCCACTGAACTTTAGCCTGTTCGAGGAAGGGGTTTACGAATACCGGCTAGACATGTCGTCGTTCAACGCACCTGACGAGGCGCTGCTGCGCCCGTGTCCAGGCTCGCCGTTGAATCTCTGCCAACGGTCGGGTCCCTACCCACCGCCGGGCCTCGACGGAATCTTGTACAGCGAGGCCACCTTCGAGGAGCTCAAACAACGGCTCCGCAGAACGACGGAGGAAAAGGAAAAGCTCGAAGAATGGTGCGTGTCGAAAGCCCAATCCGCTGAGAACATCGCCAAGGTGCTGCTGCGCAAAGTCCACCGCCTCCGCGTCGCTCTCCAGGAGAGCGAGCTCAAGAGACGGCCGGATGCCGTTCCTAAGCCTATGCACACTATTAACCCACCGCCCCGCAACCCGACGCCCCGACGGCGTCCTTTTGTCCCCACGCCGGCGAATAGAGCCGAGCCGGCGTGTTTGGACCGCTCGCACCAGGGCATCATCGCGGCGTTCGAGCAGAGCGTCAAACACACTACGCAAGCTATCCGCGGCGAGGAGGCACGCGCTCGTGAGGCGGATGGGTTGAGAGAGGAGCTCAGCGCTGCTAACAAGATGCTTAATGATGAGCGTGGACTCTCCCGCGTGCTTACCATGCAAGTCGAGGGTATCCAGAAGGTTCTCAATGTGCAGCATGACGAGATCAAGAATCATAAGCAGGAAAGCGCGGATCTACGGACCCTTGTTAACGCTCTGCAGCTTGAGAATAGTAGATTAATGGCCAACGAAGAGGCTGTGGGGGAGGGAGAGAGGGTGGTGGTGGAGGAGTTGGAGGGGAGGATTGCGGGGCTTGAAAGCCAGGTTAGCGAGTCTGAGAAGTTGAATAAGGCGTTGAAAACTCAGTTAGATGAGGAGATGAAGGCGAGCGAGATGCTCCGCAGTATGGTTAAGGATACGGAGAAACGCGTTAATGCGGAGTGGCATGATATGTGCACCGATTGGTGCAAGGAATTGGGCGAGATTAGACAGGGTATGACTGCCTTCGAGGCTAGGTTTGTTGCGTTCCTCCATTGGCAGCGAGCTGCTAGAGAGCAGCACCAGCAACAGCAGGAGAATGAGGCTCCTCCCCTGCCCCTACCCTTGCCTCAGGTCCAGGTTCAGGACTTCACGGAGCTGTCAAGCCCTTCTATGATTGATGCGGAATGGGAGAGTCCCGCGCTTGCGGTTCACGTCAACAAGCCGACTACTCCGAAGCTAGACTTCGAGGCTCGCGTGAAGCAGCTCGAGCAGAAGAACCGCGATCTCGAAATCGAGCTGTCGAATGTCCGACACGTGGGCGCGGAGCTCGCGGGGTTTTACCCGCTGCGCCGGTTCCATCGCCATGTTTCGCCTCAGATGGAGAACCAGCAGCAGGATCAGCAGGATGATGATGACGATGATGTTCCGGACCTGGTGCCGATTACCACTTCTCCGAGTTCAGCTTCGCTTTCTGCGGTTGATGCTGCGGGGGATTCGAAGGGGTGGAATCTCGGGGTGCCGGATACGGATGAGGAGATCCCCGAGCTGAGATTACCGGTACGTGATGAATTTTTGCTAAGCCATTTGAATAGTGAGGAGAATGTGGCTGACTTTCATTTTTGCAGTCGCCTATTACACCATTGATAAGGGAGGGGAGTGTTGGTGAGGCGGCGTCGGAGACTATTGTTGCCCGGAGTTTTAGAAGCGACAGTGACGGTGGTGATGAGAGTATGGCAGAGAGTGGTGTGGATGAGAAGACGGATAAGGAGGAGGGGCAGGAAGAAGAAGTAATGTGGGAAACCACCTCGGCTTCGGAGATGTGTAGCGCGGACGACGATCCCTGGTCCGATGGAAGTGTGGCTAACTTGTTAGCGTGAGGGAGCCAGACGCGTTGAATGCTCGGCTCTGTCTGTTTGCTTGGATCGTTGTTGCCTGAAGAAAGAAGAAGAAAAGAAAATCATATCATAGAAAAAAGAAGGATAAAAAGGGGTATGGGGAGATGTGGAGCTAGCTCGCATCGCATAGATCTTGTTTAGGCATCTATCTCATACCCCGTGAGGAGTGGATTCCAGGCACCTGAATAGCCTAGGAAAGAAGAAAAAATGAGCTGGACGGCATGGAAACCGAGAGGGAGAAGAAAGACTCTGTTTCTTGTTGGTTTCTGCGAATTACGTCCGAAAAGTTGCCCTCTCCTCGGATCACCGCCATCCGCAAGCCAGTTGGTCGTACGTCGACTCATGATGGCTGACGACATCCAAGTCTCTTACAACAGGGAGGGGAGAGGTGGATTGCAGTCTCGACCAGTTATGATAATTTAGACATTTCTCTTTCTCTTGCTTGTATAGTAGGTCATATGAATTTACTCGGTTCTCCACTAATAACCTAACGAGAGCACTTCAAGCACACAGAGTTAGGCAGAGTTCGAATAGGCTTTTCCCTTGACTCTACCTGTCATGCTGCCTCATCATGTGGCTCACGAACTTCCTCATGTTCATCCTACCTTTTAAAGAGCGACATGATTTTCATTTACCCTGACTAATGATTCTTATCGAGGCGGCGTCGTTGGCATCTATGTCATAGAAAGGCCCTTGTAAGTAAATAGGCAACAGTTTGTGAACTGTCAAGGGTTCCGCGTCACATCGTAGTGAGTGCATTAATGATTTAGCTAAATGCCTAGTACCTAGGCAGCTAGGTAGGTATAGAGGCCTGTATGTTGGAGTGCGATCGATCGTTAAGTCTTGAAATCGTCTCGATGTTCGGATATAACAATGCCGTCGCCGCGTAGAGATCAACAGTTGTTGGAATTGACTTCTTATGCTTCGTACAGTCAGCCAGTGGATGCCTCGGAAGAAAGCTGATGATTTCCACCTTTCCCTTACATGCGTTTCGTTAGCATTGGTAAGGCGAGTACGTTATGGTCAGTGACAATCGTCGTAGTTTAACCAACGTGAAAAGAAACTTCGGTACTTATGACAGGTAGACGAATAAGTTCTGATAGAAATTGCAACATCAATAGTTACTGTGTTGCAATTATTACATAACTCTACCGCAGATTTCTCGTATGGAGGATTACTTTTGGAGAGGCTCTGCACTCCCTTCCTTCGCTCCAGCATCGGGTGACATGTTGTGATCCGACAGGAAAAGGAGAGCATCCGGTGAAACCGCTTTGGTAAAAGCCGCCTACGTAAATTGTCTCTATTGGAGAGATGTGACTGGTCAGTAATCTACATCGCATGAACACGCGGCCATCTGCGAATCGATACGAGAATTTTCCAACACCCGGATCTCCCTGCGTCTTAAGTTCTATTATATCAATCGTTTTGGGCTTCAAGGAGCGAGTCCGACGTCAGCATTGAGACGTGTATTGAAGCTATCTTCACCGCTGTGAAGGATAGGCGCCTAGGCAATAGTAAAAGGCTACCTTTTAGCTAACGCCGACATGTTCTTTTGATGCGATGCAGAACCGAGGAAGCCAGACAAAAGCAAAGGGAACTCCGATGATTTGGATGCAGCATCGTGGCGTGGTTACACTCGATCCACCACTGTATGTTCGGTGGTTTATGGGGTAATCGCTTGTCGGTTGTGATGGGTCTCTACCGAATCCTTTGAAAGAGAACCAATCGGGAAGTTTACCTACTCTATTTACTTTGATGCTTCAGTCAGCTGTACGCTACTGAATGAAGTATTGCTGGTGACAAGCTTTGAGCTCTCACACGGCTTTTTGGTGCTTATGTGAGACATACGAAAAGACATCCCAGCATTCCAAATTTAGTCAACCCAGCAGACCAGTTAATAGGTGAAATCTCTTGTCGATCGTCAATAGTCTTCGTAAAATGCATCAACTTGAAGGTTACCCAACATACTCAAAACCCCACAAGTGCCGGGCTGTGATTTCTCTGGGCGTAAGACGGCAATTCCCACTTCGGATAGATCTTCATCGGTTCCGTCACCCCTGATTGGTTGCTTCGTTCTCAGCTGCTAGGTTGGTAAATAACCTACCCGAGCTGTGGCTTTGTTTGCCAGGAGGCTCAGTTCTAGGGTTTACTCCTTGCATCGTCGTTGTTTTCGCATGCTCGGATTGGGTGCCAAACATCGTGTTCGCCAGATTCAACGGACGAGAGTCGTCAAAGCACGGTGTTGCCTGCACCATGGGTTACGAAGAGGGACGATACAATAAAGAGAGACCTCACGTTATTATAAAGGGAGGATAATCGACCACAATCTCCAGACATCCATCAATCACTCCCACAGTACTCTCTCGATCATAAATACCACCAGCTCTCAATCTCAACCGAACAATTCTTCTACCTCAACCAACCATCAAAACCTCAATCACCATCAAAATGCAGTTCACCACCTTCATCGCCGCCGCCGCCGCCGTCGCCTTCGGCGCTAACGCCAATGTCATTCCCCGCGACGACGCCCGTCTGGGCCAGTTCCGCGTCTTTGGCGCTGACGGATGCTCCGACCTGAACTACGGCTTCTACACCGTCGACCAGTCCGACGCCAACACCTGCCACGAATTCACCGGCGTCCCCGCCTCTCCTGGTGTCAAGTCTGTTGTCCTCGAGGGAATGTACTACCCCGCCGCCAATGGTTGCAACTGTAAGTTTTCCTGCTCTCCAATCGACGTATCTATCTAGAAGCTATCTAGTTCTGTTATATATGGCGGATGGCTAACTATGAGCGCAGTCTACATCTACACCAACAACATCTGCACATCCGGCCGCCGCTCTCTATCAGTCTCGTCCTGCAACGACGTTCCCCCGCCAAACGCCAACTGGGCTTCCTGGAAGATGGACTGCTCTTCTGGCAGCGCCAACGGAAACTAGAGCGATCGCGATTGAATGGGCTAGGGCGAAGGATTTAATGGATATGGGATACGGGATATGGGCATGGTAACATAGCATTGAACGGAGCAGATTCAGGCATTCATTATTGGCGGGAAAAGACGATATGAAAATTTACCTAGACCTCTTTGGCATTTACTTGCACACTTCTTATAGTTCTTGTAACTAGTATATACACGAGTGCTCCCATCATTTGAGGCTATTCACAGAAGCGCGATGTTCGGACCTGTTGCGATTTGCTTTTCTCTATCTACCTACCTAGGCACCTACCAGGAGGTAGGTACTTGCAGCACAGTCCCCGGAGTTTTTAGAAATACGAATCTCATCTTTCCACCTCGATACCGAGTTTCGGTTGTACCGTTCTGGAAACCCGAAAGTCCCCTCGTCCTTGCGGAGATCATGCGTATCTCCGAACACCGAGATCGCATGCGGGCCATTGCAGATTGATAGATTAAGTGTGGAGAAAGGGGTGAATCAACGAGGAGCTCGTGATAAGTCACCTGGGAATCATTGTATGATTTAAAGTATCCGAAGTGACAAAGTTGATACTAGTGCTGGCTACACTAAAGTTCGCCTGGCACCCCTTCGGGGTGCTGCGCTTTAATTAGCAAAAATACCAGTAATTAGCAAAGTACCCCTATAGAAAACTTTCTATACGATTTACATATAAGAATACTTACCAAGACTCTCATGTTAATAAAGTACTTACGATTAAGAGAGAATCTCTCGTAATGGAAAGTATTTTGCTAATACCTGGTCTTTTTGCTAATTAAAGCGCAGCACCCCCTAGGGGGTGCCAGGCGAACTTCAGTGTAGCCAGCACTAGTATGCTTTACAATAGTTGTTGTAAAATCTCATCACATGTTTCTCCGTCTTAAGCGATCGTTCCTTCCTGCGTTTGACCTAATGGAACCGGCGCGCTCCACTATATCCCGGACCCGCACCGGAGTGCTGGAACTAACTTAGGACCCACTCATTCCGCAATGATATGTCGAAGACACGATTATTAGATTGATTGCTAGGAGGTAGGTAAGCAGTAACTTCATATATTATGACGAAAACTACAGAACACTAAGGCATACCATTCATTGCGACTTCCTACGGGCCCTTACAGACCGACCCCGATCCCGCTAGGCCAGCAGTCGTCGCTGATCCTCTAACAGACCAGACCTCTAACACTGGTAAATGACCGACCCTTATCTATCAGATCTCTCTGCCATAAGGCTGTCCCTTTTGTCTGCCCTCTAACGTTGTTGGAAGAGATTGGGTCCACTTGAACTGCCTTTCCTTCACACAACTCCAGTCGAACGGTTTCATAACCCGTTTAAATCGGTTGGGTTGACGGTCTTCGCTTTCCTTGGGATATTGCGCTAAGTCCGTTCAATTATACTTGTTGACAATCTTCTTGCAATCTGCTTCTATTGCAGGTCTGACTCTAGTCTTGTACCAGTTGGTTTGGGCTTCATGGCTCTGACGACTCTCGGAATAGTACGCAGTGCGAAATGGCGGTCGTTTGCTTTCGTCTTTCCCTTGATCGTTCACAGCTTCCCCGGTACCCTCCCATTCTGTCTCGTAGATATACTCGTAGTAGAAATACCCGGTGGATTTGTGTGACATGATGGATATAAATAACTAGGTAGGGTAATTAATAGTACCCATTGTTTAAATTTCCAGCGTATAGGTTTTATGGTGCTAAGTCGTACTCAAGCCTTGGGGTTCTGTTATGAAAGTAGGTATGTTGTGAGATTACACGACAGAGTTCGAGGCTTGGTCGAATAACCCTGCTACATAAAAATTTCAGCCCCCAATCCATAGCCGCGACGGCCTGCACACCCTGAAAACCTCCGTCCAATTGAATAGAATCATTCTTCAGGTGATGGATGAAGTGGTGGTGTGATGCGTAGGGTATCAATTGGTTCTGTTATTCGTGGAAACACAGCCGGTGTGAGAAAATTCGAGGAAATTCCTGACTTCTGAAGCTATCATATGTCGCTTGCATATTGAATCATCCATTCAAAATCATCAGCGCCTATATAGATGAATCCCACAGCCCCCACGCCAGACAGCCTGCCGCCTATACGGCATGCTGATTACCTGCATATGTACTGTCTTGCGACTACATAATGATTTGGTACTATTGCCATGGCGTATGATCTGTCCCGGTATCTAGCATTGTGCCCCAGTATCGTACCCAGTAATTGGCTGAGAATCGTCGACAAGCTGACCTACTTCTGAGCCGAATTGAATTCTCCTGGGAAGAAGCGGCGAGCGGTTATTTGCTAGGACTGAAAGTTATAGTCTGAAAAGCCGTATTTACGAGAGAATGTGACAAGAATCAACTACATTTCTTATTATTAATTCGAGCTAGAACGCTGTCGTGTCAAGAACGAAATGGGTTAGGTAAGCCGTATTTCGGTCGAATAAGCCGTGAATCGTCTTCAAAACTTCGAGGTTTATATGAACTCCTCCTCGCACCTCATCAAATTCTACCTCAACCAAAGTACCTGCAGGTGTGTAGCAATCATGGCGCTATTAAAAGCAAAAGTCCAGCGCGCAATCACGTCGATGCCGTTTATCGGTATCGCCATTTGGTGCTTTCGCATGATGGATATTGAGAAGATAATGACCAATCAGCAGCCTTTCGTCGACTCGGGGATAATTGAGTGGGAGGGTGGAAGGGTTAGGATACTCGACCATTTCCACAATGTGGATTTTCTCGACCAAGCGTGGCGTGGAACGATGGGAACTTTTTCTCCGTCCACGTTCGGATACGACCCTGTGGCTTGGTGGCAGATGTTCTCGTTCCTTACTGATCTAGGGCCACTATATGCGCTATGGATCTTGGAATCTTGCCGTGCCCGGAGCTCTTACACACCGGCATACATGTACGTCTGCAATAGAAAGCCCGGTGCATGTTGGAGAACTAGTACCTAGCTGATGAGTCATTCTAGACCAACCATATTCAGCCTTCTTGGGCAATTCACAGGGCTGGGATCGGTAGCTCCCATCTTCTACTTTCTGTGCTTCACATCTGGTCCGACGGCTTCAGATCTAGCTCGAATGCCGGTGCGAAACCGAACCGTTCGACACGAACATGTCGGGGTCTTGCTTTTGGTCGTCTTGCTATTCCATACATCCCAGGTGTTTGGCATGTTCCTCTCTCCGGAGTTAACGACACGGCATTTCTGGACCTGGGCTTGGCAGCTAGCCCCTTTCTGGATCGGTGTCGGTAACGTCTTACTCACCGCGATCAGCAAGCCACTTCTGCGCAAATCGATCAGTCTGACATCAGAGAATTTCATTTTATTGGTACTGGGCTTGATTTCAGCTGGTGTTTGGGGTTACACGCTACTATATTCCCCTTATCCCCTGCCCACCCTCTTCTTACCCGCCTTGGAGTCCCAATCCGAATTTGTCGCACATTGTCGAAAAGCGCTACAGGCCGACCACTTAGCTGTCTTCGCAAGCTCGCTTCTTTGGTTGATATATTCGTTTTACGATCTTTACAGCGCGGGTATGTTAGGGGGGGAATGGTTGTATAGGTAACGTGGTACTTCTGCTTATCGTTACCGCCCTCGTTGGTCCTGGGGCTGGTTTCACTTTTGGCTGGTACCTAAAAGAGAAAGCATTATCAACCTACAAGAAGGCTTAATTTGTTTATAAATCAAGAATAGATCGCTAGACCCCATGTACTATATCATTTGTGGGTTGTAGGCGCAAGCACTTCGGTGAGGATGTATTATTGGATACCTAGGTAGATTAGGAAGTCTCTGTTTTCATTGCTTTAGGCAACTGTAGCCCCCAATGCCTTATGACTACGTACCTACCTAGTACCTACCTACCTAGTGAGTATCGCCGGCATCAATGACAGAAGACAAGCAAGAGCCTGCACTGTCGATCGCACATATTCGATCGTTATTAGAACGCCAAACACCCAGACCAATGAACTTTCCGTTAATAGAGTGATATGTACCAACAAGCGGGTATCGCAGCCTTTCCCCTGATGTCCTTAATATCACATCATACAATCGAGGTATTATTCGACGCTGTACAATGCCGTTGGTTCCTGAGATTAAACCAGGAGATCGTAGGTGTCCCAAAGCAGATATCCACTCATCAGGCGTGAGATCCTCGCCAAATACGATCCCAGCACCCTTACCATCCCGTACTGGTTTTATGATATAGTCATCTTTCATTTTGGGCGAGAGACTGGAAAGCTGAAGAAGCTGCTCTAGCTCCTGGGATCCAGGAAGTATTGTGTGTGGGATTCCTTCGTCTAGAATTTTTGCTTGCGCCGACGTCAATACTCCCTGTGTTACTAATGGCTCCAGCTCTTGTTTCACGATGGCCAGCATGCGCTTGTCGTGGATCAAGAAGATAGTCCTCATGTCGTTAAAACATCGTCGACTGATCTGGCGTAGCATCTCTGGTTCCAGAGAGATCAACTCACTCTGGAAGAGTTCGAGGCCAACTTGCTTGATCTCTTCAACCGTCTCCCCGCTGGATGTTGTAAGAATGGAAGATTGGGCAAGATCATAGACGTTGTCGTTGTTCTTGATAATGCAGCAGAGAAGATAGCCTTCTTTCGTCTTTGGATCAGGCACTAGTCTTAGGTCTGAAGGGTGGATCACTCGTGTTATGGCATCTCGACGACGCTTAGCGGCATCTACAAATAAATGTATATCAAATCCAACCTCTTCTCCCATAAGAAGATGCAGAGGATCATCCGGTGTAGCGAAACTGAATACGCCGTCCAAGAGCTATGCTGTTAGAATCTAGAACGGCTAGTAGTGGTTGATCTGAGGTTACCTTGTCTGAATCTACTGCACTGATCAACCCCTTAGTTTGGATACCCATGTCTTCTAGAGCTCTTTGACCGTACGCTGCATGCATGAACCCATTGAACGAGAAGCGGGCATTGATTTCCGTGATTCGGAATTTCTCCACCATCCCATTTTGAGGATGACTCTCATCTTCCTCAATCATGAAATCTGGTCTCCACTGTATGGAAGTTAGTAGTTGATTCTCTATAGGAGGCCCTCAGCAGTTTTGAGCATTTCTCCATAGCACGAACTCTTTTTCTGCTTAAATGAGAGTGATCTTTACTCTTAAGATAAGATAAAGGGGGGGATAGAACAGCTGAGGATAAGCACATACCGATCCCTGGCATGCAGAGTAAGGTGGAAAATCTCCGTGGGAAACTTGGGATTCTATCCACTAGCAGTTTACTGGTCAGCATGAATCATGATCCGAACGGTGCTGGTAGGGAGAGGATGATGGCATACTTGTAAGAAATCCTCCTCTTGCTTTTCCAAAGGCATGCGCTTAGGGAATTCTGCTTGTTCGTCAGTCCACCACCTTCCAACAATATCAACAATTGCAATAGACAACGCCTGGTGCAATTCCGATAACTGTTCCAGATGCTGTTTGCCGACAAGTATTGGCCGAGGGCAATATAAACGATAGGAGCCTCTAGGCCATACATCAAAGGGACACAGAGATGAAATAGCGGCTTGATAATCATCATGTTCCCGTATATACGTGCCTGGCTTGGCTTTGTGGTGCGTTACAGGCTCGTATCCGCGAGGGCCGACCCCAAAATGGATCTGCTGTAACTGAGGCGGACTGGAACTCCCCATGATGGATACAGCTTCAGACTGAATATTATAATTGGTTTATGGATGGAAAATATACCAGAAATAGGCTGCCTTTCGATAGGTACCTAGATTATCTAGGTAGGATGAACGAAACAAACCTGGAATATAACGGAAAGCCATGCTACATACTGGCTAGGTAGGTAGGTAGGTAGGTACCTACCTAGTAGCCATTCACTGCGCCGGTTATCGCTTATACCGGAGCTCCGAAGGTTACTATGTCGCACCGAAAGCATCGTGGCGTACTATGATAATGTCTATTGGCCGGCGGGGTTGGACTCGGTCTTAAATTAGGACTAGAAGAGAAAATCTCGTTCTCCCGCTCGTTTCTCCCCTTTCCTCTTCCTCTCTTCCTCTCTTCCTCCCTCCCCCCTTTTCTAGGTAAACAACGCGATAATTTCATTCTTTATCTACCGAGAAAAAAGTCGATCATAGAGTGTTACTCTTTTGGTTATAATCCAAACCTTGAAACATCACCTATCTGTCGTATCAACAACACGCTGCCTTACATACCTAGGTAATAATCGTCCGGGTCAAGCCAGTAGTGCAACGCTCTTCCAGACTCCGTGTCTTACGGCAACAACAATGACACTAGATTTAGCTTCGTGGCTAATACTCCTTCTAAGTGGCCTCGTGTCTGTCCTTTTCTTGATTAATTATAAATATTTACGACCCTGGCCGTGGCAACTATGGTCTAAGAAGAAGCGGGATCATCCGGCTCAAGGTTCGCGGTTTGAGAAAAATCAGGTTTGTAGGCTCAACAATCCACTAAACTCGTACTAATATTATCGTTAGAACCATGCCCGACCAGCCCTTGAGATATTATATCCTGGCCCGACAAATGGTACCAATGAGGGGGCTGAGGTTGAGTAAGTGTTCAAGTTAGGTAGCTTAGGCAAACGTTGGTCTAACCAAGGCAGCATCATTGCCGTACACGGCCTCGGGTCGGACGTCGACTGGGCGTGGACGTATAAGGACGGCGACAAGCTTATCAATTGGCTTCAACAATCCGACATGCTTCCTGCAAAAGTGCCCAGGTCGAGGATTATCGTGTACAACTACGAGTCGAAATGGCACGCCGATGCCCCGAAGACACGCCTCGAGCTCTGCGGAGAAGAGCTGGTACGCAGCATACACGACTGGGAGTTTCGCAAAAATAACAAGGATCGTCCGATCATATTTATCGGACACAGCCTTGGTGGGAATGTTATCATGAATGTGAGTCCTATTATATGTTACATCTTGGGGCTGGGTTACTGACTTACAATCATATCGAGTAGGCCCTTATACATGCCGATTCCGATTCCGAGGACGAATATGCGTACCTGCCTAGGTTGGTGGTTGGCCTCATTTTCCTGGGTACACCTTTCCGGGGCACTAAAATGCAAGCCCTGCCCGACATCATTGCACGGATCATGCGACCGGCCGGCTCGCACGACGGCATTATTAGAGATTTAGCTTATGAGGGTCCGGCTGCCATGGACAAACTGCACAGCTTCTGCAAGCTTCGGAACAAATTGTCGACGCCTACATCTTGTTTTTCTGAGAAACACAAGACAAACTATGGGAAACGCATTGGATTGACAATAGGAGTGTTTAAAAACCTGTTAGGAGGAATGGTATGTTCTGCGGTGAAGCTAATCAGTCCTAAGCTGACTACGTCTGTAGGTCGTGGAAGAGTCTTCCGCCCTCATACCGGGCTTGACTAGAATACCCCTCCAGAAGAATCATTTAAATATGAACAAATTTATCAATACGGAGGATCGCTCGTTCTTAAGTATTTCGGCAGAAATATTGAAGATGCATAACAATGCCAAGAATATCATTCAACGTCGGCTCAACCGTATGTACCTACCTTCATTCCAACGGCCAATTTTTACTAACCTCACCCAGCGAGCAATATAATTACCGACCGCAAGCGTAAGTTTCCTCGTCGCCATTATTCATAGTGCCCTGCTAACAAACTGCCAAGACGCCTTGAAAGAGAGACCCGAGGCCGGGGACTGTTTACGCGACCTCTTCCTGACCGATCCACTAGAGGACAAAAACGCGTTAAAACGCAAGAAAGGAACGCGTGCTCCCGGTACCTGCGAGTGGTTGTTCGGCACACAAGAGCTTACTGCCTGGCTTGGTTCCGACCAGACGGATCATATCCTGTGGCTTCACGGGAACCCAGGGACGGGGAAATCAACCGTGGCTATGTATCTTGCCGAGGAGCTGCCGGCGGTTTTCTCCAAAACGGACGGTAAAACGTTAGCATACTTTTTCTGCGACTCTAGTTTTGAAAAACAGAAGACTGCCATATCGATCATCAGAGGACTTCTTCTTCAGCTCATCCAGCAGCACCCGCAGCTTCTCGATTACCTCTTACCAAAGTACAACGAGCGCGGGGCGGAGCTATTTAAATCTTTCGACGCTCTCTGGACAATATTCATGGCCGCTGCAGCCGATCAGAGCACGGGTCGGAAATACTGCATCATCGACGCGCTAGATGAATGCGATCGAGACTCGCAAGAGGTCCTGTTGCACCAGATTCAAGAAACCTTCCAGAGTAGAGATATTACGTTGGATATCCGGATATTGATCACAAGTCGGCCATATCCTGAGATTCGCCAATACTTGAAAGGATTTACGAATAAAGATTTCGCTTCTTTTCCTGAGACGAAGAAAGACATTGATCGATGCATCGAGGAAAAAGTGGCAACTCTTGCCGAGAGAAAAGAGTACACGAACAAGGTGAAGGAACGGGTCCGCCAGATTCTCGCAGACAAAGCTGAAGGCACTTTCCTATGGATTGGCTTAGCATGTGAGGAGCTAAGGGATACCCCTTCGAAGGACGCCGTTCAAATCTTAACAGAAATCCCCAAAGGACTTCATTCTCTCTACGACAGGCTCATCAAGACAGGTCTTGGACAGAAGGGGGCCGAACTAATTGACATCCAAAACATCCTCAGCTATGTTGCTGTATGTTTGCGGCCACTGAGCCTATTGGAGCTTGCTGACGCTTGCCAACTACATCAACATGAAAAAGACATTGAGACTCGGGAGAGATTTACACGTGAGCACATCGCATCCTGCCGCCTGATGGTCGTCGTTCAGGCCGATAAGGTGCTCCTATTACATAAATCAGTGAAGGACTATATATTTAACGGTCGTTTGAGATATTCTATCGGCGAACTCGAAGCGCATGCTCGCTTTGCCTATCGCTGTGTTGACCTTCTTATCGAGGAGTTCCGTAACCTGGACCAGTCGCACATCAGCTTATCAGATTATGCAAATCGAAATTGGCCTGATCATGCGCGCATGGCACGGTCGAAGTTTGAGATCAAGAATTCGCACGCCGACTTCTTCCAAATTGATTCTCCATGTCGAGAGCACTGGCTAGAGAATCTAAGGTCAAACCGGCATTTTTACCTAGAAATTCCGCAGGGATTCTCGATTTTACACGTAGCTGCACAGTGGGGAATTTGCACCTTAGTGGATTACGTTTATTCTCTGAATCGTCAAGATCACGAGGGAAAAGAGTCGGCTGTTCTCGTTCATCCTACCCGCACCGATGAACATAGTATCACGCCTCTCGAAATAGCTGTCCGGGGTAGATACCTGGAGGTTATTTCTGTTATTTTAAACCGCGGAGCAAAGGTGACCAAACCAGCATTGGAGACTGCGGCGGCCATGGGGAATAAAGAAGTGATGGAATTACTTCTTGAACGAGGAGGAAACGAGATTATTATTACTGAGAAGGCTGTAACGACTGCAGCTGGGAATCCACATTGTGGCAAGGAAATAATGGAATTACTTCTTGAACGACGAGGAAACGAGATTACTATCACTGAGGAGGCTGTGAAGGCTGCAGCTGGGAATCTATATTGGGGCAAGGAAATAATGGAATTACTTCTTGAACGACGGGGAAACGAGGTTACTATTACTGAGGAGGTTGTGGAAGCTGCCGTTTGGAATCATGGAAAAGAAATGATGGAATTGCTTCTTGAACGACGAGGAAACGAGATAACTATTACTGAGAAGCTTATGAATGATATAGTTATGAAACTCGGAAAAGAAACGATGAAATTACTTCTTAACCGACGAGGAGATGCGATTATTACTGAGAAGGTTGTGAAAGTTGCCGTTTGGAATCATGGAAAAGAAATGATGGAATTATTTCTTGAACGACGAGGAGATGCGATCATTACTGAGGAGGTTGTGATTGCTACCGTTTGCAATGATGGAAAAGAAATGATGGAATTATTTCTTGAACGACGAGGAGATGCGATTATTACTGAGGAGGTTGTGATTGCTGCCGTTTGCAATGATGAAAAAGAAATGATGGAATTATTTCTTGAACAACGAGGAGATGCGATCATTACTGAGGGGGTTGTGGAAGCTGCCGTTTGGAATGATAGAAAAGAAATGATGGAATTATTTCTTAAACGACAAGGAGATGCGATCATTACTGAGGAGGTTGTGATTGTTGCAGTTACGCATTCTGGAAAAGAAATGATGGAATTACTTCTTGAACGACGAGGAGATGCGATCATTACTGAGGAGGTTGTAAAAGCTGCCGTTTGGAATTATGAAAAAGAAATAATAGAATTATTTCTTAAACGACGAGGAGATGCGATCATTACTGAGAAGGTTATGATTACTGCTGTTATGCATTCGAGAATAGAAATGATAGAATCATTTCTTAAACGACGAGGAGATACGATTATTACTGAGGAGATAGTAAAAGCTGCAGCTGGGAATGTATACGGTGGTAAGGAAATAATGAAATTATTTCTTGGCGAGCGAAGAAAATCGACCATAGCATTTATTACGAAAAAGGTACTAATCGCTGCCGCGGCCTCTGGGGATATCCACATGTTGAACCTCTTATCTCGACAAAATAACCTAATTACTGTTCCGGCCGAATGGCGTTGTTTTGCAGAGCTTTATAGTGCAGCAAAATCTGGAGACGCTGACCGCGTCGAACAGCTTATACATGAAGGAGCAAAGCTAGATATGAAGAATATTGAAGGTCAAACGCCTTTATGGATTGCAGTAGCGCATGAACGTGATGCCGTCGTTGAAGTTCTAGCACATAGGACAGGCGTAAACGTTAACTCGGTGTCAAATACTGGGCAATCGCCTCTTCTTCGAGCAGCTTGGATGGGTTACGAGAACATTGTGACTATTCTGATGGAGGCCGGTGCGGATCCGCACCTCATGGATAAGGATGGGGATACGGCGATCACCATGGCAAGAAAGTTCGGACACAAAGACATCGTTAAGATACTCAAACGACCGGTTGCGCTTCGTCAGAAGTCCAGTCTAGAGAAAGACTAGTTGTTAGGTACTTACCTATAGTATTAGGACTCAGCCGTGGAGGCCCATTGAGTCCATGAGGTCCTCTCCATCGCTAGCTTTGGGAAAAGAATAAGAAAAAGGCCTCATTTGTATATATATCGTGTTTCCCTTAGTAAAAGCACTTTAAAGCTCCTTGCGTAATAACGTCGTTATTTCATTGCTTTTTAGTTCCGCTTTGTGATATAATTCTATGTAAGCTTTCACTGATTCGAAGGAGTCACTTAAGACCATCGCGATTGGCTATGAAAGCTAGCCTACGGTATACAGATATGTTGGGCTTGACACAGTAGATCAGATCTATCGAGGCTCTTGATTTAACTACCGCCCGTGAAACTGTGTACTTTACCGCATGACTTCAACCCCACCATGACGGCTAGAACGAACACTTCACTCAGAACCATAGTTCTCATGGCCTCAACGTTCTAAGTAATGCCCGTATCACAGTTCACTCATGAAGAGAGTCTGATTATATCATTTATCTTCGTCCACCTATCCAAGATGTCTTCAACAAGATTGACCAGGATGGGAACACGCCATCGTCTTAATTTAATCTAATTTCACTACTGTTCTCAACGTTTGTCGAATTGCCCTGGTTTTCCGAAAGCGGGTACCATGTATCCTTCTGGTCGCCTTTACTAGACTGATTGACACTTTTACGTTTCACCGAGCTGAGCAGCGAGTTGAAGATGCTAGTAAAGAACTCGGTGAAGGAAAAGGAGCGTATGAGCGGACCGTAGGTGGGCAGGCAACCAGCGATGATGGAGCAGCAGCTTTCTAATTCGGCCCAGATTACGTTGTTGACGGAAACGTCTGGTATCAGTCAGTGGATATGGCCTCATGGAGTTGAAGGCTTGGGGGCGGCGACTGGTGCTTACATGAGAACTCTTCGTCGGACACGGGCCGCCCAGATCCAGCCTGGCTTAGCTTATATCCGAAATAAAGTCGAACAGTAGTTGCGACGACGCAGCTAGGATTCACGTTAGTTTCTATTCCTCTGGTAGTTATAATTCGCGAAGGATCTTACAAAAAGCCCATCCAGAAGACACCTAGTAGTAGGAGCTTCCGTCTCCTATTCATGTGCAGGCTATTGATGATCGGTATCGGAAGAGACAAGATGGCGATGTCGAGGGCGAGATCGATGGCCGCAAATGAGGTGAGGAATGCGCCATAGTTGATAGTATAAGTTTCGCCTAGCGTCCACCAGTTGTAGATAGGCCAAGCGGAAAATATCTGGGTCTGTAGGATGGGAAGGATTAAGCGTATGATACGATAGCATTATGAGAAAAAGGCGTATGAGATTGACTTACAAATGTGGCGGCTATCATGAACAGGATTACAATAGAAATGATGACGTTCGCGTAGAGAACGAAGCTTGCAACTGCGAATATGCGCTTGTAAAACTGCAATACGGCGAGCTTAACAAATCCGTAGGACAAATGTGCAAGAATAACGCCAAAATACAAGTGCTACTTCATATAGTCAGAATGAGCTTCTCTCCATATATAGGTAGCTAGGGACCTATCAATTGACCTTTTGGTAGTTGGTATACTCGTCTGGGGTAATAGTACTATCATCCGATTAGCGAAAGCTGAAGCCTGATTTTCAAGAGCCAACACAAACCTCAAATCCTGTCCGATACTTGCGTGAAATGAGCCATACAGAACAAGGCAGCAGTATGAAATGGCAAGCGCCTACCGAACGACAAAAGTAGTTAGTATTGTATCTTGTATGTTAATAGAAATAACTAGTAGGAATCAATGCTTACCAGCGCAACGAGTGTCAGCCAGTCATCCGGCCCCAGCTTCGATTGCTGCAACAGGTGCGCCCTCAGCCTGAACCCCACGGCAATAATAGCTAAGGTCGGGAACACGCAGCTGCACACGGCTGCCGCAACGGAGTACGACGAGTACATGGCTACCTAGGGGCGTGGGCGCAAGTCTGTTTGTGCGGAAACAGAGCCACTCAAAGCGACCGATAGCGGTGGCGACAACGACGAAGATAAAGAAGACGAAGAAGACCAGAAGTAAGAAAAGCACATAATCTACAGAAGTCTCACAATGCGATCGGGGGGAAACACAGTTGCCTAGTACCCACCCGTACATGATTAGGTATGTTAGGGGCATCATACTTGGCGATACCACGCTGCATGTACGAACCGCCATGCGTCTCATCGAGGTACTGTAAGTACTACACAAGGCGAAGGAATGGGGATACGCGTATCAAGAGCGAACCGTTCTGTAGTATTTCTCACGTATGAGTACATGAAATGGTAACGAAGCACGACATTTATTAATAGAGGAACCAACCTGCCAACGTGGATTAGGTGATTTGATTGGACCAAATTCCCGGAAGTCCGCTTTACTGGGCGTTGAAGATGTTGGTTGGAAGTTGGAACTGATGTGCATGAACATTGAAGGATGCGAAGGATTTGATCTGGCCGACTGGGCTGACCCCGGTACTACCTACCTAAGACTTAGGTACTAGATACCTACCTAGTGAGGTTGCCATGCATACAACGGGATGGGCCGCACCTGGTTGGTTAAAAAGTGAGACTCCGCTATTAGGGAGAGTGGGGGAATGGGGTTAGACTTTCCACTCTATTCGTCTAGGAATCGGGGAATCGTTTGTAAAACTGTTGCTCTGAGGAAGTTATCACCGGTAGAGTGGGCCACAGTAATGGGGATGCATTAGGTGTATGTGCCATCAAGGGACATTCTGAGATCGCTGTGTATCTTGCCTAGGTATCTTCTAGGCTTACAATCAAGTCTGGTGTTATAAGGCTGTAAGGGTGCCTCTAGTATGAGAATAGAAAATAACTTGGAATGGTTTAATCGAGAAGATCATCGTCGGGAATCGGATGCGGAATCGAACATGGGTGGAAAAGTCAGAGTGGAGATACTTGCAAGGTGCTTAATTTGTGGAGAATCCCGTTGACAGTATCCGAGACAGCCTTTTCAAATGAACCTTAAAATAAACCTCTGTATTGATACTCCCCATAGGTACTAATTTATCTTGTCGCTGGGGTAAGTGATACAAGGCACCCATGAGCGCTCTTTGCTGTTAGAGCCACCTGTGCCTGATAGGGTTTCTCGTCTTCGCTCTTGATTGCGCTAAATTCTTGCAATATCCGTGATATTATATACGAAGCCTCCATAGTCGCCTTCTGCTGTCCTAAGCACTGTCGAGGTCCAGCTCCAAATGGTACGAATGTGAATGGGGGAGGGCTGTACTCATTTTCCCAGCGGGAGGGGCAAAACTCATCGGCATTGGGACCCCAAACTTTCGGATCGCGGTGGAGAGTAGCGAAGCAGGTATCGAATAGAGTGCCTGCTGGCGCGAACACTGGATCAGTGCCATCCAAACCCCCTCCTGTAGGTAAAATTGTATCTTTTAGAGCAACGCGATTCATCTGCGGAAATACAGGGTATAGACGAAGAGCTAGTCATCGCGTTAGCTATAACTTTCAACATAGAGCCAGATAGCCAAATATTAGCAGGCATACTTTCGGTGATAACATGTTGTAGGGACTTGATGCGCGGTAACTGGTCGAAATCCAGTGGCTCGTCACCTAAGGCCAGAACTTCATCTCGTACTTGGGTGGCTATGATAGGGTTGCTGGCTAAGTTCCGGATAACGTGACTAATCAAAGAAGCGGTTGTTTCGGTTGCTGCCATCATGGCTTGCACTATTTGGTTCCGCAGAACAGTCCTATCAGCCGTCGCTTGTGCCATTGTGAAAAGCAGGGTGCGTCGCTTTTCTTTGTCTTGGCCGTATTCGGCCGAGTTGATTTTGTTATTGTACTCAATAGCTCTATCGACATAAATATCGGCGAATTTGCGAACCTTGTCGCATGCCTTGAGCCAGGAGCCCTTTGGCATCAAGAAGCTTAGAGGCCCCAAGGCGATGCGCATTCCGCAGCCATTGAAGCCAGCCTGAAATGCATCCAAAAAGCCTGTTGCATGCGGTGGAGGCGTGCCGGAAAGAATTCCGATAGGCTCTCCGAACAGAAAGAGCGTATTTAAGTCAAGATACTAGTGTGCATACGTTAGTGCGTCATATGCGTGGGCAGGGATTCGCAAGACAAACAAGTCTTAAGAGATATGGCTGTAAATCAAACTTAGAACCATCCTTTGGGATCTGTCCTAGGAGGATCTGGAGGTGCTCTTCAAGGGGAGCAAAATCCGAAATATTAGACCTGTGGAAGCCGGGCTTGAGTAGGTCGTGGGAGAGCTTCCAGTCAGAGCCGTCGGTGGTGATGAATCCCGTGCCGCAGAATGGGCTCATACTGTGTAGTCTCAGAGGCTGAACGCCCCAATCTGCAGCATTCTTAGAGAAGACCGCCCGTAGGTTTTCTGGGTGGATAGAGGATATGCCAAGCGAACCGAAGTTCAGACTTTCAAACGTATGGCCATATGTATCGTATCGCCGTTGGTGCTCAACCAAGAATTGGTTATTGGAGATAGCATCTCCAGTTCTCAGGAAGATATCCAAACCAAATACGGGGTCTTTGTGCTTATAACGGGCTGGGGGCTGGCATCCATGCTGTTGGACCGCGAGTCGCAGTGTGTAGGTTAGATATAGGCGATAAGCAGCAAAAGCGGCAATAGAAGAAGCCAGCAACGCTAGAAGCGACACGGCAGTCATGATAATGATTTTGGTGTAGTTGGGGAGAAGGAAAGTATGCTTGGGGAGGAAGGGATGAGAATTTGAAATAGTTAGTCGAAAGTTAAAAGTTTCGTTTCCAACATGTTGAACTCAATCAATCAATTGCTGTATCGTGTTGCCCTTTTGTGCAACATGAAGTACATAGTAGACCACGTCGGAATAGGCCGGGGTGCAGGTGCACCCGTGCGCACCATCTGATGCGCCTGCTTATAACAGGCGAACAGCGCTGTAACCGCTATGTCATAACGTCACATGCGCTGAAGCTACAGCTACAGAGCAAACGATGTGAGCTCCATAACTTAATCGTTTTATTTACACATCTTTTTCAATTAAAACACATTTCAATTTCATTTAATTTTATAGAACTTATCAATTTACTAAGCTAGGTACTTACCAATTAGGTATTTGGCGGTTGCCAAGTGGCTGAAATGAAAGCCAGTTCAGCGCCTGGCACGGTCTTGACGCCTTCAAACCTGAACTGGGAATCCGCTTCATCAAACAACCTCTGCCAGTCGCGCTGTTCCCTCTCACGGGCGTTGAACAATTCCATCATGGCCAGGTCAAAGCCCCGTACGAGTCCCTCCTTATACCGTAGCGTCGTTCCGGACTCGGGCACGACGAAATCCGACACGATGACCCTGGCGCCCGACTTCAACGCCGGTGTCAGCGTCTTCAGGAGCTTCACGCAGTACCGGTCCGGCCAATCGTGGAAGATCCACCGGAAGTGGTAGACGTCTGCGTCACTGACCGGTTGGTCTTGGAAGAAGTCATGTGCGATGAAGGAAACGCGGTCTGCCAGCGCCACTGGGATCGATTGTCGTGCTTGATCCTCTAGAACAGCTTGATCTTGGATGACGATGCTAACTTGCGGCAGCCGTGTCGCGAGTGCTACCGCTGTCGAACCCGCCGAACCGCCGATGTCGACAACCTTCGAAACGGATTCCCAGTCAAAGGCATCGCAGATGTGGTGCGGCGCAAGGTCCGCGTTGGAGTTGAAGTAGACCATCGCGTTGGCGAAGCGCGCCGCTCGCTCGGGCTGGTCCACCAGCATGTCGAACACGTGCGTCTCCAGCCCGTGCGCAAGTGCAAACCCCTAAAGTTTCCGTATGAGCCGCGATCTCCCTAAATAGAATTCAATTGCATCTGCTAACTTACCGAGTGTTGCGGCTCCTGCGACCTGGGCCACTTTGCTAGGGCTGGAACAGCCTGTGTTGCGGCGGGCCACATCTCTTCGCAGACCATCCCGATCCACTCCATCATCATAGGCGATTCGGCAAGCATTTTGGACGTGGCTGAGTGTGCGATCCCGTCACCGCCGTCGACTTCTCGGAAAATGTGCTTTGTGATGGCGTATCGTGCGATACGGCGAACCACATCCTCGTTCACTTGGATCTTTGCGGCTAGCTCTGCGTAGCTGATGCTGCCCTCCGTGGGCACCACGCTCGGGAGTTTGAAGCTGTAAATGGCATGTAAATTGACCAGGTTGACATGCTTAAGCGTCGTCAGTCATCGTTTTTAGGTATTAACCGCCACGGCTGCCCACTAGCAAAAAAGGGGTTGCTCACTGCCAGGATCTGGTTGTGTACATGCAATCTTGGACCTTGGACGAGAGTCTGTAGCTCCGTTGTGAGATCCATCAATGTGCTTTGCAGTGTCGTTCCTTCCAGTGGGAGAGCATCGTTCCTTGGTGCGTCCGCATCGTGCGATGGCAGTGGGCAGCCATTTTTGCGTAGTACTGTTATGAACTCCTGCGTCTTGGATGCGATATCTTGAGCTAGCTGTTCAAGTTCAGATATGCCTACGGTGCCAGGCACGGCAGTTACTTGGGATGTTGCCATTCTGGCCTTGCACGAGACAAGAGTGTAGTGGTCTGTAATACGCTGCAATATGATACCCTTATTGGTTCTGTACTGCTACATACTAGCTTCCTATTGAATTATGCTACTTGCTGAGAGGAACGGGTTTGGACAAGACCTCATATTAACCTGTGTGGTCATGTTTCTGGGGGGTGAGTGGAGCATCTATCCCCTCGTATGGTCGGATCCATTCTAACAGACCCGGCCAGTCGACGCAGCGATGCATCGTGCCAAATCCGGTTACTCCCCCTAACTCCTCGTTCTTCAGCTCTATTACCAGATCAGCATTACACATCAGACTTTGTCGTAACAAGTCGATGCAATGTCGGATGTGACCCAGCGAATGCTCTTGCAGTGCGCGCTTCCCCTGCTTTGCCCAGTCGCTCCTATTCCCGACTTGATGACTGCTGATCATTTCTGAGTATGACAAGACTTGGTCGTGGAGCACGTAGAATCCATGCCGCAGTTCGTCCTATGTAACGTCAGCTGTGTTCCAAGGTTATGGTGTTGGCGCCAAGTGAACCCGAGCTTACCAGGCAGTGCAACTGATGGAAGACAGAAAAGGCGGATCGTTTCTGTGCCAATTCGGGATGTACAAAAAACCCGCCATGTTGTGGGAATAACGACCGCCATGCAGCATTGGTTGCATCCGATGGGGTCTCTCCAAAAGTACGGTTGTACTCGAATAACTGATCTTTCATCTCGACTAGGGAGTTTTACGTCAACATTCTGGGCTCGGTGTGCAAGGCATGGTAGGTGTTTTGACCAGACTCACGTCCAAATGTCTTGGTTCTTTCAGTGTTTGGCACACTCGTCGAAAGCCTGCCTGCAAAAAAGCTGGAAAGTATAAGCAGACCGACTAGAGCCGTCTTGAGGGATAAGTCCCGGAACGAGCGTCTAGTTGAAGTATGCGTGGATGAGCCTTTGCTGTCATCATCGCCGTGCAAGAGGCCGTAACCGTTTCCTTTGGGAGAAATCCACGCAAGCAAGTTCATTTTCGGGAACGAAGGCTATGAATACGTCAATGTGTTTGTGCCTCGTGATGGACGGTCGTTAATACATATATACCCACCATTGTTGATGTTAGCTGGAGATGGTTGGAATCTACCTAAGCTGCCCTACATACATGTACATATATCATGGGTACCTTGTATGTACATATGTAGGTACATATAAATGGGTATGTAAGATATCCTGGCGGTTACTGGTTAATGATGGGATCCATGGATAGGGGTGATGGGGGATCCCGCGCCGAACAAAGGCCAACTGAAGACTCGATGGTTTCCCCAACCATCGCATCACCACCTAACATAAATCTTCTGATGGATGGCAACGACAAGGAAGAGAACGAGCACTTTCTGCAGCATCACGACGATGATGATCCGAGCTCACGCAAGTATCGGCCACGGCGGACTCTACTCTTACACATAATTTTCTTCATTCTTTATGTTTGCTTTACCGCAATCGTCCTATTTGCGTACTACCCATTGCACAATAGTGGTATACGTATGAACACACTGAGTGAGCATTCTTGCCCTCTACATCCTTCAATATCTCCTAATCGAGCTTTCTAGCTTTGAACGGTGAGCCTCTTGCACTTCGCTGGCAGCGTTTCGTCCTCTCTGAAGAGAGCCCATACGCAGGCCCGCCCCGCGAAGACATCGATCAAGCATGGGCACAATTACTCGATCACGTCAACATCCGCGCATCTGACAGCGAGCTTGCGTCCTCGAACCAAACTTCGGTTCAGTTGCCCAGAGGGCAGGGCTCTTTAGTCTGGATGGACGTGAGTCACCAGTTGCACTGCGTAGTAGGTACGTCGCTCCCCTAACTCGGGCATCGTCACCAACTTCCTCCAGAAATATCTCCGCCAGTGGATCTACCGTGATCACTATCATCCAGAAGTCAGCCCTGAGGAAACGCCACACTGGCTCTTGCATATTGGTAAGTACAGCAGAGTTGCCACTGTTCGTTCCCCAGGTTGGACTAATTTTACTATTTAGATCATTGCTTAGATCTGCTCCGACAGGCGTTGATGTGTCGTGCAGACACGTCACCGATGACCTTCCGCTGGGCGGCGGACAGACGAGAGCCCATGCTTAAACTGGAGTCGCCCGAACATGTCTGTGTGGACTGGGAGGACCTGATGGGAAAGGTGGGATCGCGTAGGGTTAGCGACGCCGATATGGCGGTATTGACGAATCCAAATCTAGAGCCAGACGGCATGTAGATATTAAGCGACGTGTAGCAAAATCGCAAAATACACACATATAGACAGCAATGAAGAGAGGAATTTATGTACGTACCTAGTCTGAATGTCTAAATCTTGCTAGTGACGGCTGTGGTGATCGATAGGTAGGTAGGTAACTATGGGGTGGTATGTAAGCTGACCCCTGTCGGCCGCATGTACGCCCTATACGTTTCCACCTAAGAATTATCCAAACTTCAGATCCCTTTTTCTTTCCCCCCTTCCCAGTCTGGCCTTGCACACAGTCTTACCATGAAGAACCAAAGTGAAGCGTGTTTACCCGAAGAGATTGAACCGCTGAACAATGACGCAGAGTCATTTTCACGACCCAAACATGGATCATCTCGAAGATTGAAGCTTGTCATTGCTCTGCTCGTCGTCTCGATATTATTGAACATTGGCCTTATAGTTAATAGTCTTCGAAGAAAAGATACGCGGCTAGACTTTTCACCATACGGTAGACCCCCCCTCTCTCCAATCTGGTTGGTATTCTTCTGCCATGTCAAGATACTGACTTTTACCTACCTATCCATAGCTCACCTACCTCGAGATGTCCCAACCAAGTACAACTCACATTCTCCCTTCGGAACGGGGAGCACCACCGAAGAGCAACGAGCACTCGCATGGGAAAGCATGGACTCGAGCGCGGGAGAGATAAGCCTAGACAAAGAATGGGCAGAAGCACACGATCTACCCTCGTCGGCGCCTTTCTTCTGGGACGAAGGTCGGCAGATCTATCTGCTGAACGCGCATCACAGCCTCCACTGTATGGTAAGCACCTATGATCTCCCTCCCACGCCACGAAGCGTTTACTAAACCCAACCTCTCTCCCAGCGCAAAGTCCGCCGCGCGATCGTTCTCTACCACTACAAGCGCCCGCAGCTAGATTCGTACATACACCTAGTGCACTGCATGGACCACCTAATGCAGAACATCATCTGCGAAGCGGACGACACGCCGTTCTACACATCGACGACGTCGAACATCACCACGGGGCTCGGACAGACGCGTATGTGTCGCAGCTGGGACCGGTTGACGGAATGGGCCAACGAGAACACGGCGTGTTTCGCGTACATCAACGAGACGCAGGGCGTCGACGCTGTTATCGAGCGCTTCAGATACTGTCCGCGCGGGAGCTCGCTACTGGATCCTATGAGGAAGTACTTTGGGTATACACAGGATTGGTTCCTGGAGAGGCCAGGGGATATCGATTCCTTGCCGCGGTACTGGGAGGGATTGGATGAGGAAGAGAGACGTTAGGAGAAGGGGAGAAGGTGGGGTGGGACATTGCATGCCAAAATCAATAGTGAGTTCATTAATTAGGATGCGGGGTTACATACAGTAGGTGTAGGTACATTAGGTAGTAATAGAAGCCTAGACTACGCCGCAGGCGGGCAGCTCCAGTGTTGGCTGCATGAACCTCAGCCTTTTTCGGCCTTATTCAGCCCTCCAGAGATTTAATGTTTGGGAAGGTGGGGGGGAGAGCTCCCGACCCCTGCATCCCGCTCTGCCGCTGACGTGGGGGCTAAATTCGAGATTCGTCATATCTGTAGCAATATAAACCTTCAAAGAGCCGATTGGCCGTGGTTGGAGTGGTACTAGATAAGCGCTGTCGTACACTGGACTTTCCACGTTACACAAGACCCCCCACCAAGTACTAGGTAGATCTCCATCCTTCAATCGAACGTTATAGACGTTAGGTTACGGCGCACCTGCCGGCAGCCGTTGGCAATTCTAAGGGTCCTTTTCTATCGATCCTTTCCGCTTTATGAAGATTACATGCATATCCCCGACCTTAGATGACCGGCGATGGGACGGGTTGGGCATACGAGGCTGTGCATTTGTCATGGGTTATTGGCCAGCTTCCAACATAACGTCGTGCTGCGATGTTGCGATGCCAACTCTCTTCCACCATCTTGCTGTGCCGCCGGGTGATGTAAAAAGGTAGGTGTCTCTTGGCGGGGTTGTGTCGGAAGGCGTGTGATGATGATGGGATATCTTAGGGGACTTAGGGGATGTAAAAGGTTTTAAAGAGTAAAGAGACGAATCTGTGGATTGTTCTCGTTTCTCTGCTTGAGTCCGATAACTACCTACCTACCAGTCTACATACGCACATCCTATTACTCGTCCACCCCAAGAACACTCGCCCATTTCATTCAAATATTATACAATCTATCAGTACTCTTATACCTCTATCAACAATGCGGTTCATCATCTCTCTCGTCATCCTCGCCACTTGCGCCATGTGCGCTCCCGCGCCTATTAACAGCGGTATGTTAATTCTCATATCTTTTACACGTAAATTTCTAACTAACATTCCTTGTTCAGGCCGCGCAACAACAGTCTCCACCGTTGACGAAGACGCAAAAGTCATTTACCCTGACTACCGCCGCGCAGAAACCGTAGACGAGGATGCGAAAGTGATCTATCCTGATTATTGAAGGGAATTTTTCAGGAAGCGTGAGCGCTATGAAATGGAATAGTCAGGATGCGTGTTTGGATTGTTAGTTATATCTTATTGTTAAATCCACAATTCGAAGTTTGCTTGACTCCGGCTTAAGGCTTAGTAAGCAGTTGATCGATGTGGTGTTACATAGCAACACAAATCTTACTTTTATTTGGCAACTCTCACCCTGGTTCAACTCTCCAGATGTATAGGTACATACATATGTACTGTATACGACGCTATTCTTCGGGCTGTGTAACCGCCGTCAGCTGCTGGGCAGTGAAATTTAATTCGTTACCATGGGCGCACAGCGTTGGTCCCCAGCACCCCCTGCGCCTCTTACGTAGTTCAAATAATAGATACGCAAGAGCTCTCCGGCACTCCGTTGCCTAGCAGGATTGTGAGACGCCTTCCAGTGTTGGTTAAATCTATCTTCGATCCCAGAGGCGTCATCACTCGAAACAGACTCATTTCGGTCGATTGTTCCACCTTCCTTTCAAACCGGTCTTCGGGCGGTGCCCGAGCGCAGAGACCAAAACGAAGCGACCAGCGGCCGAAGCCGTCGCTGACATGTCGGTTCACATAACGACCGCCGAGTTCGATGGGATCTGTGGTGTAAGATCAGCTCATTCGTATTATTATCTGCTTCGCTATCATTATTAGAAGAGAGTTCAATGGTCTTCCTGCTACAGAGGCGCGTGCTGCTGCTGCTTTCGGGGGACTGTATTTCATTCGTGGAATGACTTCGCTTTCTGCTGCGCAACCCGGTCCTATCACAGACGCCGGAACTTCGCTGTCACGTCACTAATGCCAACCCATTCGTGCCTTGTGTCGCTCTTCGATGTGGGTTTTGAGGGGATCGCTGTGGCGTCGCGTCGCAAATGTTGTTATCTGTCATTGGGGACGAAAATATGAAGTCTGAATCTTGAATCGAAGTTAATGATACAGAATCTCAAAATTTCGCTATCATTAGTGAATATACGCGCTATTTATATATCATATCATCATAAAACCACTAATAACCTGTATCGCTAGGTCTTTTGCCGCATAATAACCTTACCCCTATTCAATCCGTTCTCCCAACAAGGGTGTCGTCTCCGAAGGCTGACCCCGAGAGTTTTCGCCTCTAGCATTTTCACCCTTAGAGTCTTCTACTTCGGCATTTTCTACGCCGACGTCCTCGTCATTATCCTCCTTTCGCGGCATGGCTCTATATTTTCCACTAGCAATATTCCTCACGAGCCAGCTACCGTCGTCTTTGGCTAATGCGAAGAATCTCTGGTTTTCCTCGAAGCTCCTGCCACCTGTCTCAGGCGATAATAACCAGGTAAGAACTCCAGCTACTATGTTGGTGATGGCAAACACAAGGAACAGCCAGTACTTCAAATTGTTGAATCCAATCGGAGTTAACAACGTGACGACAAAGTTGGAGAGACCCCATATGATGACGCTAATAGAGCTTCCTGCTGCACGCGCACAGTTTGGGTAGATTTCGGTCGGGATTAGCCAAACGGTAGTCAGCCAGCATATTCCAAAAGTCGCTGTCGACGTATATAGTGTGGCTATCCCCAAAGCCGGCAACAACCATTCCGGGGTGTCGGACTGCTCTGTAACAGACTGAGAGCCCAAAAACGTTAAAACAAGGTAAAAGGTCGATAGGCCAACTGATCCTATGAGCATCAATCTCCTTCGGCCGACTTGGTCGATTAATATCCAAGCCAATGTCATCGTGGTGGCATAAAAAAAGTAGTTCCCGAGAGTCCAAAGTTCTGCTTCTCGAACGGGAAATCCCAGGAGCTCAAATATCTGAGGGCCGTACACCGAGACAGCTCCGTAGCCTGTCAATGCTTGGTTGATCTGGCCCATTACTGTGATCATGGTGGGGTGGAATTGACTACCGGTAGGCCAGACCATGTCGTAGTATCCAATTCTGTGATCCATTTCTTCACTTTGTGCCTTGCACAGTTCCTCCAGCTTATGCTCCGCTTCAGCTTCCCCGTGGAATTTTAGAAGGACGTCTCTGGCGTGATCCAATCTTCCTTGGCTAATAAACCAACGCGGCGATTCTGGCAAGCCTCTAACTATGAGGAGTAGAACGATGGGGAATATTAGCATGGCTGCAATAGGAAACCTCCAGGCTAATTCGCTATCCTTTCCTCTCGTGTGAGTAAGGAAAACGTTGATTCCAAAAGCGGTAAGCAATCCTAAAATATTTGCTTGAAATTCTTTTGCCACTATTGGCAGAAATTAGTAATCATCGCCCTTGATTCTTCACAATGCGCTTACTTGAGGAGCCACGGGAGTCATCCTTAGAGAGCTCCGAGCTATAAATTGGAATAACGGCATCAATGCCCCCAATACCCAACCCAAGAACCACACGGCCAACAATCATGAGTACTATCGAGGCTCCACGCCATGGGTTGTCGCAGTTGAAGGGATAGATGCCCGGGATGAACATGAGGATATCACCGATGACGCTCGTCCAAAGACACGCCCAAATCGCAGTCTTCCGCCCCCTCTTATCGGCTATAAATGAAGCCAAAATCGCACCGAAGAGACACCCGATGTAGTAGATGGAAACGATAACACCGACGAAAGGGGAGTCTTCCGGAATGGCCATGGTGCGGAGATAAGACTGGTTTGTATTGACCAAGGACATCATACCTTGATCATACCCGTATAAAGCAATGGCAATACTCGAGAAGCGGACCATAACATTTTTCATTGAGTACCATTCGGCATACATCCCCGAGACCGATCGTGAGGCCCATGATAGTAACCGTTGCGTCTTGGAAAGGGGTGGTGGGGGATGTGGGGCGGGTTCGTTTTGCTCGGGCAACGGAGAAAACATCTTGAATTGGATTCGAATTCGCGATCGTATCGCCCGCTATTTTTATATTATTGAGGATATCTAGTTCAATTGCGGATAATTCCTAGATAAATGAGCGTCTCGGCAAGCCTCCTCCTTAAGATTACCTATCGTTCAACAAGTAGGCACCTAATAATCGTTATAAAATATCAATGGACATCAAAGGGTAGGTTGATCATAAAGAGAGTCATATGAAAAGAACGAGAGAAATAGATATCTTGGAGTGTTAGTGTTGAGACTTGAGTAATGTCTTGAGGTCTAGATCTATTTGAGACGTAGAATGGAAAAGGTGAGAAATCTTACTGAAGCATCGGTGCCATCAAATGGAAAGGAGGGACAACTCAGATGTTAAGGGGCAAGTCCTATGCAGTCTCGTGTCCAAGCATTTACCACCGATCGTAACTGCTAGGGCATCATGTGTTGCATCAACTAAAGGTATGCGCACATCAATCGCGAACTTGAGCAGTCACGTTCGCTGTAGCTAGAAATATGACATCACGTCTATAGCAACCCTTTCCGGGATTGTCTTGTTTGATTGGTCAATTAGAAGCCACCAACGCTAATGATAAGACCGTTATCTAAAGTGTTAGGTGCTCCGTGTGTGCACAGTAGCCCCCTTCACACTTCGTACAAGGCGTAAATTATGTACATCTCATTCTCATTCACCAAACATTGCACAATCTATAAGAAAATGGAGTTTTCGCTGTGTGAATTACTTTAAAATAGCCCGTTATATTTATAATATGTTTCTTATTGTTTCAATGGAAACTGTTGTTGAAGGGAGTGCATTCTGGAGAAACTTATCATTAGGGAAGGTACGCACAGTTACCTAGGACCTAGGTACCTAGTAGTTACGTCATACAAGATAGCTCTGGAGGTACCTACAGCTGCCCCCGCGGTTTTTTTTTCGCAACTTCCAAGGAGCTTCTAAATATAAAGTTTTCTTAATTAATATTACGAACACATTCAAATTCAACGCGAAGTTGTAAATAACACAAAATGGAATTATCTATTAGGTACTGATTCTATATAGGAGGAGAATTTGAGGGTCTAGGCGGCCGAACGACCGAGAAACCTTGTTCCGTCGCCTGTTGCCCGGAAATTTTACGCCATATGTTGAGTGCAGATGAAGAGGACGTCTGACGTTGCGATGTTGATGGTACGGGTGTCCCGGTTGATTCCGACGGTGTTTCCACCGATGGTGGCCTTGAAACCCCATAAAAGAGATCCGACTCTCGGAATGAGTAGTCTGCCCATCGCGGATGCAGTGACACCGTCTCGGTCGTGCTGGTGAGCGTCTCCGGAGACATCGCGGTTGATTGGACTGAATCCGAAGAGACAGTTTCATCTGATGAGCGTCCACCTGAGTCATCATCCGTTGATGGATCACGCGACACTACTATTTCGTGGGCACCAATTTTCCAATGATGGTGATCCATTGAAGGAGATGGCGATAATCGTGAATGTCTCGGCGGTCGATAATAGTCGCGGCTTGAGATTGATGGTGAATCGGCGCGGAGCATGCTGGCACTGACCGAGCGACCGTGTGTTGGTTCCACATGGGCAGGAAGCCCCAGGTCAACATTCGAATCGATAGAGGTATGAGAAGAATGAGCACGCTCTGGCAAATGATTCCTCGAGGCTTGCCGCTTACGAAGCTGGCGGAGGCTATAGACCTGTTCCGATATGTCAGTCTCTATATCATGGATTTCAAGGATTGTATTCAAAGGTATCAAGAAACATACATCAGGACCAGGTGCAATCCACCAGATAGCGCATAGTTTTGCGAGTTGTACTAACGCTGGAACGAAGAACCCAAGCAAGAGCATGGACGCGTGAAGCACCAAGACGAAGTACCCAATAGCGCTCCTAGCGCTATATGATGCGACGCTGGGTACAAATGCCACCATACATATCAAACTCCCCAATCGCACGACGGCTGAAATAGTGCCTATGGAGAGCATGCTGTAAGCCTGGAATTGCACTATACAAACTAGCAGTATTAATTCGCAGGTCCCTAGTACCGCTAATTGTGCTCGTCCCGAGATTTGAAGTCCGCCGATCGCCACGCCTCGGATGAAACACAGGATAAAAAGCGCGAGAACGAAGGTGTGGTGCCGAGTCCCTGACTCCGGGGATACTTGACGATATCGCCGACGATTGTCAAAGATAAAGATGCCTAAACTCCGCGTCGGTATCGCCGTAAGCAGCCAGATGAACGCGGCTAAAATCGCGGCGATAACAAAAATAGCGAGCGAGATGTGGTATAGGGGTAACCAGGCCACGTTATCAAGTTGGTAGAATGAGAGTGCAATGAGCGGCAGCATGAAATAAGACAAGACAACACGGAGTGTCCGGTTCATGGTGAGGCGGAGGTCGCTATCCGAGTTTGAACCTGAATGAACGGGTCGGTGCCAATACGAGTATACCCCCAAACATAAAGCCGATAGAGTTGTTATGGCCGCGATGAGGATAACCATGTTTAACCACGTATCCATGATCGTTGGAGCACCTATAATCTGCGTCATTATTTCCAAACCATAAGTCCCGCCGAAGGTCCCATTGATTTCGTAGAGTCCGTCATTGACGCCTGGGTAGGTGTACCCGTGGGTGATTATCCCATCGGAGAAGAGTGATAACCAGCCCAAACCGCTTACTGCGGGCTGGTAGAAGCCTGGGTAGAACAGGCTCAGGCTTCCCGTAAAAAATACGAATTGCAAATACTGAAGGCAATCAGCGAAGCCGGGAAGTAGGGCCGGTGGTGGGGATTCATCCTCCAACTTGGAGTTGCTGCTGGTAACGGACTGCGCGATGCCTACGAGCAGGACAAAGAGAAGAATGCTAAATGGCGCATATCTTAAAGTCGCCTGTATGTTAGAGCTGATCGCGGGAGTGATATTGGACTCTAAACAACTTTTCTCTTTGGCGTCGGGACTAACTAGATGAATAGTGGTGTGAAAGGTAGAAAGAGAGAAGAACGTGGGAAGGTCCAGATCATCGGTTGGTGTAAGATATAGAAAGGAACTATTTCTTCCTAGCCGACATGTCGCGTTGATGCTGGAAGTGTAGGAAGATGGTTGGCCTAATGAATCAATTTCGACTCTCAACGTTGATACCTCGGTCGCCCACCGATCGCATTCACTACCTCCAATTCTACCACCAACTTTAAGAGAAAGCCAATCATGGGTGTCGTTTAGATGGACCAGTTCAGCCGACAGAGACTCTGGTATGAAGCCATCCGGTTTGGATTGGTAGCCATCGCAATGCTTCCATTGAACGTAAGCTGCCGACGCGCAAGTGGCCAGCAGTTGAAACAAGCCAAAGCGCAGCATCGCGCCTTTGGATGCGCTTCGAATACTTGGTGTGGTAAATATCAGGATTCGAGAAAGCCTTTCCGTCTTACACCACACATAACGGAATGACTAAATCTCTCTTCTCATCGTAAGTTAAGACCTTGGAAGTAAAACATGAGTTCATCGAAAATCATCATTTTCAATTGAGGCAGCTGAGCTGCATTGAAGATGGTGTTTCATTATTGACTTAGCTTCAAATTTTTTGAGAATTTGCCCCTTAAAGATACCGGCGCTAGAATCAAATACGAGCTTCTCTTTTTCGCGGATATCCACAGGCGCTACAACTATATTCGGCATAAATCCACCACGGGCTAGTCGTCTTCTCATCCCTGTCCTTAGACGCTAGGCGCCCAGGACTTCTAATTTACAGGCAGAATGGAGTCAGAAAAGACCGCCCATGTGCTAATACTACTGTTTTGCACTGTGCAAGTAAGTATCCTTTGTTGTGCTTATATTGGCAACTTATACCCAGTATACTCATCATAATTGGTAGAAAATGCCTGTTGTGTAACAAAGGGGATAGTTTTAGTGACAGTGCAAATAGTAAGATTAGCACATGGGACACTTTTTCTGACTCCATTCTGACAGGGAATAATGATGAAAAGTTTGATGTTTATACGATTAAAAGGGAATCGTCAACTTGGCTTTTTGTAAGTCATTGAACTTCACCAACTTCCTTCGTCTAGTTCTAACATTTTTAAATATTCCTGGTACCCACACGAGAAAAGGAGAGCATGCAAATCGCATTGAATATCCCCTGCTTCGCCCATATAGGTAACTCCCCCATACTACGGCGAAGAGTGGATACTAGCCCTACAAGACAGGGGATAGATTTAATCACAGTGTTGTACAGTAAGACTAACACATGATGGACTTTTTCTGACTAATAATATTCTGACACGATAGCATCTCTTCGGTCTCTAGTGTTACAATTTACCAATTCCTCTATATCTTACAATAGGAAAGACCCGAAATAAAATTCCGCGCATTGCGAAGTGAACTACTCGGATACTCCAGCGCCAAGTTTCATCTCGAGTACCTACGTAGGGAGGGGCCAGGTCGTGGGTAACGCGTTGTAAAAACGAAAAGCGTTGGTCGGGTCATACTTCTTCTTCAGCTCGACTAGTCGGGGCAGCTTCGATTCGCCGTATAATTCCTGAGGCGTCTCGTCCCCGTACGCGTAGTTGACGTAGACGGCCAAGCCGCCAAACCCGGAGTTGGCGGCGAGGTTGCTTCGGGTTGTGCGCGCGAAATCGTTGGCAGGCCCTTTTACTGGATCACTGGAATTATCCCATTTCATCTGGATCATGCTGCATTTTTGACAATTTGTTCAGTTAGCCCGTAAGTACACAGAGTATGGTGGTACTTACACATAGGTCGCGGTCTCTCTCCATGGAAATGCGGTCGCGTTGTCCGGCGTAGCCACTGTGGCTTCTATGGGCCACGTTTCAAGTATTATTCCCGAGGCGCGCGCGCTCGGATGCTTTTGGAAGAAAGATGCCATATCATTGAAACTGGACACGAGCGCGGGGGCAGACACATTGCGGAGGTTGACACTCCATGAATCCAATATCTGTCCGTCCTCGCAGTTTGGGGCGTCGAGAAGGAAGTTTGACTCTTTGCTTACCTTGTTCCAGGTTATTTCTTTGATATTGGAGTAAGAGGGTCCAAGCTTGAGAAGAGGGTCCATGGCCTTGATTGCTTCATTCCTCGGTCCTGCGTACATTAAGTTGGCCGAAAGTTGAGGCTTGAGACATGGATTGGTTAGTTGAACATGTTTTTCCGTCGTAAATTTATCGTTTTCATTCTCACCTTGTTGAGGGTGATGTTGTATCCCATGGAAGTCGCCACAGCCAGCTGAGGTGGAAGTGGGAGCATCTTCGCGACAGCATCAAAGTAAGTAACATTCTTTTCTGGTGGGAATAAGAGATCTGCATTCGTCCAGATTCCCCTATTATATAAGGGGTGAAGCCGGTAGGTAGCCGATACGACGATCCCGAAATTGAAACCGGCACCCCGGATTCCCCAGAATAGCTCAGGGTTAGAATGTTCCGAGGCCTCGACGATTTCAGCATTAGCCGTCACAAGGCGTACTGATTGAAGAGCGTCAATTATCATGCCGTCTAAGCCGTGGAGACGCCCGATTCCCCCACCGAGAGTTGCCCCCAGCATACCAACACAGCTACAAGCCCCGGTTTCTTTAGAGGGTTTAGCTACAAGGTATATAATTGTATGAGAGTATCGAAAAACTCACGTATCTGGAAGCCAGCCTCGAACACAAGGTCGAAGATATCCCTGAAACGCACACCGGGTCCAACAGTGAGGGTCTTGGCGGACCTGTCGATTTTAACGGAGTTCATTTTGCTGAGATCGATAGCAATTCCACCTTGCATCTTCGCTAAAGTTGTAGAATACCCGTGACGACCTCCTGTCGCCAGGAATGGCGTATTGAATCTCTTTGCTAGTTTGACCTAGTTAAGCATTGGGCACCTAATGTTAGTCCACTGGCTTGTTTTTGGAATGGGGATATTATAAAGTTACCGCGTTTACAACATCTTCCTCTGTTGTGGGCGAGATCGCCGCCGAGTAGGAGGGGGGTTTGTAGACGGTCCATCTCTCCGTGGCATCATGGAAAGCTGAAGAGTTAGGGAATGAGATTACTGTTCCAGGAGAAGGGTGTGTCTCAGTGCTTGGAGAGCGCGGGGACACTCTTGTAGAAATGCTGATTTGGGCAAGGCAAAACCAGGCGAGAGAATTAGCTACAGAGAAGCGCATTTCGACCTTGTTTTTGGAACTCTAATGAAGATTTGTGTGTTGTCTTCATCTCCGGGGAAACGAGAAGCACCCCATTTATATGTGGTGCAGGCTAGTACGGCACTCCGTAAATGGGATGCTGTCCCACGATAACATATAAAATTCGTACACAAATCACAACGTGGCTTGTCAGGCTTATCCTCGGTCCTTCGCTAAACTGAATGTCTCGTAAGGTGTCCAGTCATGAGCTGTGTAGATACCTAGGTAGGTACAGTTGGTTGGCGTTCTGGGAGTCAGGTGATTTTCAGGTAACCTTTGCTTATGCTAAAGTATATAGTCGAGCCAGATTATTGAATAAAAATCCCTAGCTTCATCATTTATTCATCTTGGCTGAGGTAGCGACAGCGACACGAGACCTCAAGAAGCATACGTACCTATCCACTTAAAAAATATGAAAACAAAAGCCCTTCCTTAGATTAATCAACCAAAGTAAGAGATGTTGCCCAGTCAGGTGATTACCGTGATGAACAGCAGATATCTGCCTAGTAACTACCTAGGTAGTGTCTCCGCTTTGACTCGGGCAAAGGCTCCTAGGAGGAATAGGTTTGATTATCAGGACTGCCTAAATTCGGAGTTTTAATGAAATCCAACCCTTTAATTTACTACAGTCACCAACAAGGCATTCCGCGAGATAATTACCTAGGTAGGTAGGTAGTGAAGTACCTAGGTACCTACCTACAAGGCGCGGGAATGTAAGCGCAGGCAGATGAGTTCATGCTCACTGTTGTGCATAGGTATAGATACACTCTGCTATGACCCGTAGTAAGGTAATGAGAGCAACAACGCCATTAAAGTTCTCTAAGGACCACCTGGTCTTAGACAGTGAGACTGCCGCTATACCGCCGTCATGACCGAATTCTCGGATTCCAATAGCTAAACTTTCCACCACGATCGTACTGACTGATGGAAATCTTACCTAGGTAGGTAGGTATATATACTGGTACATGAACTGCACGCTACCGTTTCCATATGCGTAGGTATCCAGTTGACATATGTACTTGCTAAAATATTAGGCTGACCACAACCTCAAAGAACCCTAGTCTGTTTGACCCAGTCTCTACCAAAGCCATTGAGTAACAAATTCGGTGAATAAATCACTAGAACAAAAAGCCTATAGATTGAGATAGTTAGTTTCATGATCGGGATTCCAGACATGACACATATATCATACCACAAGAGGGACCTAGTTATCGCCCTGGGTAGGGATTGGACGAAGTGACATGATCTATTTTCACTAACTCCTCCATGATAACAATCCCCCATGGTGACTGCTGACCTTCTTAACATAGGTCTGTCTCGCTTTACTTCTTTCTCGAAGAGGTCGTATATATGCTGTTACAAAATTACATTCTTCGCCTATAGGCTAGAACTGTAATGTATGTGAGTGAGGTTACAGGCGCAAAGCTACCTATATCTTCCTATATTCTAACATCGGCTGCTTTAAAATATGAAACATTCTCATCCCTAGGTAGGTAGTTAGGTAGTTAAGACAGCTTCTATGTCATCAAATGTTGTAAGATAGTGCAAGAGGGCAATTAGGTAATACTGGTGGAGGTCACCTGATTGCCCCACGGGAAGAGCTCTCTGATTATGTCAGCTAAGGGTGGATATATTAGACCAGGTCACTTCTGGGAGCGAAGCTCCCTTTTCCTTAATACATCATACCTTTCATAATGCGAGAGATCGGGAACCAGATACCTATGTTATAGATAGGTATATTTGTGTGTTTGCCATGGGCCAGAAATGACCACCCGAAGATAACCTAAGTAAGCTAGGTAAGTTAGAAGAATTTGAAATCGAGAGTTGACAAGTTTGATTGATAGAAACCTTACGTCATCTTTGGTAGGTAATAATGTTTAACATAGGTTGGTCGTATTGCGGAATATGTAATAAGATAAATCAACATGTCGGGAGTAGATCTTCTCTAAAGGCCCATATCAATCTGCATGCCATCGGGTCTTGTTAGATTGGTTATTACCTATGTTGTGATTTCGACTGACGGGATGGGACGGAATGTACCTACCTAGGTAGTTATCGTGGATCTCACTTTCCCAACTAGGTTAAATGATGGAAAGTTAGGAATCATGCTTCTTGTGATCTCCCTCAAAGTGAGCTATAATCTGACATCGATACATGCACACCCTTGATTTGCAGGTGGCCCTGTCGTGACACCATACCTCGGATATTGCGTCGCTAATCTTTAGCCTATCTCCAGATCCTAGCTTTATTCAAAATCAACAGGAGCAGGTATAGCACACTGTGTTCGGTAATCTGCGACCGTAAGCTTCTAGGCTGGGCTTTGATCTGCGATCTACTAGGTACGATCCGAGATGCAGGTAGACTCCGAGATAAATGATGTGCAGGAATCAGGAATGTTCGTCTTATATAACCTCTCGTGTCCACTCCTCGTAATATAAGTTGACATAATGATACACCAAATGGTGGCACTAGGAAAAAGCTACATACCTAGTATCTGTAGGTACCTAGGTAGTGGTCTTTTCAATAATGAAAGATGTCCTCCCTAAGTGACAAATTCGTTCTTATCACCGGGTAGGTTGGCTCCAATAAATTGAGAAACAACGAAGAGAAACAATAGGACAAGCCTAACGGACTTTTCACTATATAAGAGGTGTTGCTAGGGGGACATTGGTTACGCACTTGCTAAACAGTTCCTTCAAAATGGCCTTTTCGTTATAGCAACATTACTGCCCTACGAGGCACGAGAACATCTGGATCATCCTCGAGTCCATGTATTTGACCTCAACGTCACATCAGAGGAGGATGTGGTTGTTTTCAAGAAGAAGGTTGAAGACATCACGAGTGGAAAGCTCGATATCTTAGTCAGTAACGCGTGAGTATGAGTAGCCTGGAGCGGTCTGTTCCATCTGCTAAACCTAGCGTAGAGGCATCTGTACGGCGCCACCCTATTCCGATCACCTATTCTAATATTCTGGGCAGGTTACACGATGACAGCGGCCGATACGGACGTCCGACAAGTGGAGAAAATGTTTGCCGTGAACGAGTTCGGGCCGATGCGCATGGTACGCCACTTCCACCGAATGCTCATCGCTGTCAGGGGAACCGTGGTTAATATTGAATCTATCGGAGGTACCTAACAGGTACCTACGTACCCCCCAAACTAATACTGACCATTTCTAAATAGATTCGGTTTATGGCCCCCTTGCGGGGGCTTTTAAGGCACAGATCAACAGAACCCCTGCTTAGTAATCATTGCTATCATCAAAGGACATTTTACGATAGCTGAGGGTAAATAGATATGATTCTAAAAGGGTCACCGCCCGACTGGTTCTGGCATGGCAATGCGACTATGCTTGTGAGAACTCTGAATACATTCTTCCCACGTACCATTTGGGTAGGTCACCTCATATCCTAGGTAAATATTTATCATTGACACTATCATCTAACCGAACGTCTATTTCATAGGACTAGCTATTCTCTAGATGGTTTAACCTAGAGTCTCTCAAAGTGGTAGCCCTTAAATAAAGAGGGCATTGTGCCTTGCTTAGTGCACGATAAGATTAGGTGGTATGTAGGTGGGTACCTAGTTGGAAGCAATTGAGAAATAGGGCTCCACTGTATTAGGTCCACGCCAAGACCTTCTAGGTAGACCTGATAGTGATGTCGCTGCTGAACTTTAGTGGATAACCGCTATAGTTTAGCGAGTCAAATCACTGAAAAAACAACCTCTGCCTCACTTCCCATGCCTGCACCAAGGTAATTAAATCTGCGAAACTTGACCAAGGCCAGTATCAAGTACTAAGGCGATGATAGTATCATCGTATAATTGGAATAAATAGTGCTATGTAAGTAGCCATACTATATAAGATTATTGAGAATGAATCTGTTCGAGACCGTCTATAATCTGCTAACGTGTCGAAATATTTTGCGCATCCGTCAAGGTAGACTCAAGTTTTACTGGGGTTCGCTATAAGTTCGGGGGCATTTAGTGCTGGAGTCCACTACATTTAGTATACACTTGAATATTTAAGGGAAGGTTATAGCGTGTATCCCCTATAGCAATGACCTAGCTAAGCGACAGGCGCTCTTTTCAACTAATTATATCTCTCGAAAGTCTGAATATCGATTCGTATGCCACAATACACTTAGTCAACCAACGTACATTTCTCAGATTGAACTACGGCGAAATTCTAAAAACAAAGTCAGAATGTCACTGGGTGTAAGGTCTTATGCATTGTGTACGATATACTTTCTGAATGGAAATGGAATGGAATCTCATGTCATACTTGGATTTAGCTTAGCTAATTTAAATCCAGGACAGCGCTGACATAATTATGGATTATGTAATTCTTGAACAATAAAAGCTGACTCAGCTTTCAACCATATTAATTACTAGGTAGCTAATGCAACTTCCTTATTACATAATCAGTTGTCAAATATTACATAAACAAAGTTTGCGATTTTCGTAACAGAATCTTACGTAACGCATTCATCGATTCGCTTTAGGGTTATATCCACTATATTTTCAGTGGCCTTTAACGCCATAGGCCCTGTAATTGTAGCGCACCCCTATCTACAAGTGGGTCAGAACTTTTGCGAAAAGGGGTTGATGGGTCTTGATTAAGAAAACTTTATTATTCACTTCAATTGCGGTGGATATTATCAATTATGAGAAAAGTCATTCGAATTACTATTATTCAAACACTAGTATGAGACGACTTGACCTAATAAACTCAGCCTACACCTAACATTGTCGTTGCCTTTTCCTACGACCGTATTCCCAACATGAGACATCTACACGAAGGGGTTATAATAGCTAAACTGATTCTTGGGATCATATTTCTTCTTCAGGACCCGCAGTCTAGCAAGCCGCCATGGTTCGTATCCGTATATCGACTGTATCGACTCATCACCAAAGGCGTAGTTGACATAGGTGGATGGCTTGAGATTTGGTGCGCCGGCATTCCACAAATCTCGTATCTGTCGAGCTAATAAACGACCCAGGGCCAGTGTGTTCTCCGACACTTGTACCGGTAACTTTACCTCGAAGCAACTAGATACCCCAAAATTAGTTCCATTCCTTATAATATTGTGTTTGTAAGTGTTATTTTTAAATCAGGAGTAAACCTTACTGAAGAAGGTAGTAATCACGCCAGGGGAAAGCGGTACTAGCAGGATCGACTTTCGCGACGGCTGCGGTTGAGTATCCCTCATGTATGACTCCTGAGTCGGAAATTTCAGGGTGCCTAGCTATGGTCTCATTGTAGAGGTTATAGATCTGGCGTTCTGCGGTCACATTGTACGTCTGAATGGCTGAAGTAGATTGAATGCGTGTATGATTTGGGGCGCAGATCGGCTGATTTTTGCCAGTGTTCATAGCGTCAGAGATCCCGGGGAACGGGACATCGCCGCTGCCCTCCCAGGCAGCGCTGATCCGGTTAAATGGCGCTAGGAGCCGCTCGGCGTCGTGAGCAGGTCCGGCGTAGCCGAACGACCAGCTTATAATGGGCTAAAAGCCAATTAGTTAGCCTGGGATATAAACTACGAGAGACGAAACTTACCTCGGTCTTGCTGATGGATGTATTCATTGAAAACCCACCCATGTTCAACCCCATCAAGACTGGGGTCGAACCATTTCCATGAAACACATTCAGCGCGTCGAAGAAGCGTTCCAGCTTATCCTGAGTAAAGACGTAATTATGGTAATGCCAAGAATCAATCCTTTTGGGGTAGATGTTAAGTTCGAAGCTGGTCACGATGCCAAAGTTGTGTCCGGCACCTCGCATGGCCCTATAGAGAAGTAGAGTTAGCATTCAGGGGTAAGATACTCGAACTGAGTCATCACTCTCGGCTTTATCTTTCCCCTAGAAGTGAAGATTAGCAATACTTTCGTCTACAACTTACCACCACAAATCGGAATGGCTTGTAGAATTGACCCTGATATGCGAGCCGTCGCCGCGAACGAGATTGATGTTAACGAGATTATCACTGATCAATCCGTACAAGCCCTGGTACAGTCCATGACCACCACCAAGACCAGGACCCATCATACCAACACAACCACAGCTTCCCGTCGCTATCAGTTGAAGTGAGTCAGCAATTCTAAACTTGAACAGATCTCTAAAGATTTAAACTAAAACCAGACCCACTCGTAACATAGCCTCGTTCCCACAAGTACTCCATGACTTGGGAATCCCATGTTCCACCCTGGAACCACGCCGTTTTACCATGGGGCTGGATATCGATTTTTTGAAGACCGGACATGTCGATCTGTACACCCTTGAATTTCCCTATGGTGTATGTCATAGCGTGGCCACGGTTTTTGACAAGGAACGGCAGGCTGTTCTTATTGGCCCATTTGACCTGCGTGCGGGAACACGGATGTTAATCTAGGTACATGCAGATAATGCAGTCGTGATCGCACTCACGATGATTGGGATATCAGACTCCAATCCTGGGACGACCACTAACTCGATCGTCGGAGGTGCGTATGTATCATACCGTTCCGTTGCGCTGGCGAACTTAGTATCGAAAGGTAGGTATATGCTCGTGTTGTAAGAGACACGTTCGCCAAGGTCTTTCTGGAATTCCATGAGGTTTATCTGGCGCTTGGTTATCGCAGCCCGTTCAAAGTAGGATGGAATAATAGTGCCGGAGGCCAGCGAGAGGCCAAATACAAGGCCAACGGCCGTAAACTTGAGAAACGAATTCATATCTGTTATTTCTACCTTACCTAGGCGATAGTGCTTGCTCAAATGTTTGAGTTTATTGTCGCTTCAATGTTGAGAAATGAAGTAGTTCTCATCAAGCTTTTATATTCTCCTCAAAAGCATTGAAGTCACTTCCGTGCCATTGACCTAGGATTGAAGGTATTTTGGGGTCCTACGATCACGAGGACGTAACCCCTTTCCAGCTAACTGCTTACTCCATATCATACAAGACGAGACATACAACACAAGTGGGCACCTCAGCTGAGCAGTTGTTTGACAAGTCCTCCAGAAGGCCCTACGAGGTCTTGCCTTGCATCTGTAGTCCCAGGTACGAGGGCAGGAGATACATAATATGACATAATCCAAGATACGGCCTCACTATGTGTTTCATAGCTTAGGTATGTGAGCATGGAATAGGTCAATTGGCTTTATAATCTTAGTTTATACTCTGTGGTCGTTTGACAATCATGGAATATAAGACCCCACGGTTCTCCAGATGTCTCAGAAGACTCGTGTTAGTGATTCACCCCTGTCCTCTACTTGTTCAGGTGCTCGTGGAACATTTCCGGGTAACGGTCTCCAACGACCTCCATCCTGTCCAAAGCGTTCTGGAGCTCAGCCGCCTCGGCGTCCGTAAGCTCGACAACGTTACAGTTCTCAGTGGCCCGGTGGACCTTCGTAGCACCAGGGATAGGGAGCACGCCCTGCCACCTGACCCATGCAATGGCGATCTGAGCGCTCGTACACCCTTTTTTCTTGGCGACCTCCTCGATAATCTCAGCCAACTTAACATTCTGTTCGAAAGCGCCAGGCTGGAAGCGAGGCCACATTCGGCGGAAGTCGTCCTTTGGAAGGTCATCTAACGTCTTGAACTGGCCGGTCAGCCAGCCGCGATCAAGGGGGCTGTATCCTAGTAGTGGAATTTTAAGCTCGCGGCACGTGTCGGCAATACCACCTTTCTCAAGAACGTGGCGCGAGAATAAGCTTAGTTCGACTTCAACGGCGGCAGGAGGGTACACGGCGTTTGCGAGACGGATTGTTGCCGCGTTGACCTCGCTGAGGCCATAGGAGCCGATTTTGCCTTCCTTGACCAGCTGCGCTAAGGCACGGATGCTGGTCTCTATGGGGACTTTAGGGTCAACACGGGCACACTCGAAGAGGTCGATAGACTTAAGCCCATCGAGCACTCGCAGAGCTTCGTCGACGGAAGTCCTGATACCTTCCGGGCTACAGTCAGGGGTTTGGTTAGCGCCGTTATACGCTCCCTTAACACTGAGCACAACTCGAGATGCATCTTCGGGGTACTTGGTGAAGTAGTACTTGAGGAGATGGAGCGAGTTGGCGTCAGGGGTCCCGTACAAGGTGCCCTACCGAGTAAATCAGTACTTAGACATTGAGAATAGAGTATGGTACTTGTGCTTACCGCATTCCAGAAGTTGGCACCGTTATCCAGAGCAGCCTTCAGTGGCTTGATTCCTTCCTCGTGTGGGATGTTGCCGAATAGGGTGAGATCTTGGCCATGTTAACATAAAGACTTTAGATAACAGAGACGCTCTGCCTCGACTCAAAACTTACTCATCATCCCAAACGCGACAGGGCCTACGGGCCTACCTGCGATGGCTTCTGGAGGTGTTGCTCGAGACATTGTGAAAATGGATACAGAGTTTGACTTGGAAATAGAGACGTAGAAGCACAAGGTTGTTGAGTGTTCAAGTAGGTTTCAACTCGGTGTTTACTTTATCTGCTCTTATAAGAGCTTCTCTCGCCTCATATGATGGACGTTACGTTCGAATTAATCAGTTTCTGTAGTACGAAGTACGTACTTCGCGCGGAGATAAAGGTCTAGGCCGGTTGATGTGCTACTAGGTATGTTTATTGTAGTATTGATTGTCTTGTGATATTGATATCGTCCGTAGGGAGAGCTTTGATAAACCTTGAATGTTTAACTTAGTACTCAAGGTACCATACTGGTCCTGGTAAGGATCCATATCTTGGTATATTTTAAGCTTATGATACCTAATAGGAGACGTTTACGTCATCTCTGCCTATTAAGATGGTCTGGGATTTCTAAAAGGTAGGTACAGGTATGCTTTGTAAGCAGGCACGACGATTGTTTTTTCTCTTTCCTTCATATAATATGTCATAGGAAAGTTTTAGGTGTTAGTTACACGAGAGGTTTCACAAGAAGGTTACACAACATCGGATCTGGAATAATCATTGCCGGTAAGCCGATGCGATATACCCGATCGGCCGTAAGGGTCTTAACTCCGTTTCCAATTAGACATCATTTGTTCCTCCCTTACCTCGCCATTCCGTATCTTTCTGTTGTGAGGACATATAATTGTTTGTTAAATGCATGCGATAAACAGGAGCACGAAAGCGCCTATACCTAGACATTGAGCTAGTAACATTAAAAAGGTCATGACTGGACGGCCGGTTGATGGATCCAAGGCACCGTCCCCTGCTTGTCGATGAATGGGACGTACGACAAGACGTTGCCATACCTGATGAATGTCATGGATGGGGTTATGTCCAAGGAATATCTCTCCGGATTCATCCACGGAAGGATATACCTATCCCAGAACCAATTTACCCATGATACATGCGTAACCTCGCGAGCCATCGAATATGCCTTCTCCCATAATGGTTTTACTGCGCTTTCGCGCTCTTTCTGGTAATGAGAGAAGATCCTGCTGAGCGCATCCACAGATGGTTGTGGTCCTGTAGTAACCAGCAGGTTCTGTAGCAAGTTCGCGAGAACCGCGGCGGAGTGCAACCCAAACGTCACGGCTAAGCCATTAACACTTGTGCTTTTATGTGCCGAATCACCAACTAAGACGATACGGTCATAATGCCAGCGACTCATGAAGCCCTCCTCCTGGTTCAACATCATTGACACATTCTTGATGGCTCTCGCCCACACAGCCCCAAACGTAATACCGGGGCATACCACAACGTCTGCGATGGACGCAGCAAACTCTTCCATCTCCTCTTTAGTATATCTCCTACGCTCAGTCAGAGGCTTAGGGAGCGGCTTCAATGCGACGAACTGCAAGAGGTCTCGCGTGGCAAGGCACTGGAATGCGGCCCCGGAGCCCCTAGACTCAAAGAAGACCTCGGGCTCGATAGGCAAGTCCGCTATAGACGCTTGTCCGAAAATGCAGTAGAAGTTCGAAACCATATTCTCCGCATAATCGTCCCTGGCAAGCTTCTGCATGAGCTTGCGAGTCTTGCTGTGCACGCCGTCTGCCCCGATAACTAAGGAACCTTCCACGGTAGCGCCATCTTTGAGATGAACGCGGACTCCTTCTGAAAGAGTCTCAATATCCGTAAGTTCGGCGCTTGTCTTGACATTAGTGTCCTTGCCCTTCAAACTTGAATAGAGGGTCTTAATGAGATCGACTCTGTGAATAGCTAGGAAGGGGTAGCCGTGTCTGATTCACCCGTCAGCTGACTGGCAAATGTAGGTACCTATAAAGAAAATTTTCGTAACGTACCTTACTTCCACATCGTCCAAAAAGTGGGTTGCAGACATAGCCCGACCGTCGCTACCGGAAATCCGCTTCCTGCGATGTAATGGCATAGCCAGTTCCTTAAGATCCTGAAACAACCCAAGTTGGTCGAAGAGCCGGGTCGTCTGTGGCCATGTAAATAGTACCTGTCCCGAGATCTTAAGAACGTTTGGCTGCTGCTCAAGGAGTACATATTGGATCTTTGCCCTTTCCATTGCATGAGCCATGTATAGGCCAACAGGGCCTGCGCCGACGATAATAACGCGAAAATTATCTCTATCTTCCATAGCGATTTCAATATCAATAACCGAACTTCAACTTTAGCCCTATGATCCACAAGTGGGTTTTGAGTAGCAAGGCATGTCAATACGACGTTCTTAACGAGATTCACCGTTCATAGCCCGTCTTAATAAGTCCATGATGGATTTAGTTGATATAGGTCTTTTTTAGACAATTAAAAAAGCTTACAAAGACATTGCTAGCCCATATACGACATCCCTGAAATCTAGGCAGAATCGGCTACCTCACATTATTCCCATTATCTAGCAGCTGAAAGATGATTGTTGGCAGAGTCAATTCAGACCTAAATTTCGCACACAAAACTCAATCCAACTTCCCTGAACAGAAAATAAACGTTACACATCAGAAAATTTTTCGCTGTAATAGTCTGGTAGTCCGTTAGTTTCTTTACGCCACGCAAAAGCGAGTTCTGTAGAATTATTTCTCGGATACCGTACCTCCGGTGTCGACTTCAGATCATAGTTGTAGCACAGTGCTACTTAGGTCTGTCTGTGTCGTACATTATACATCATAGTACGCTATACAGTAAATGTAGTAGAATTACACGCCTCTCTACAGAATATATCTCCTTTATAACAAGAAAATTTGCATAAAAGACTGGTTGTTTTTACCTCTTGAATGTATCTAAGATCAGAGTCCAGATAACCTCTATTGCAGCTGTTACCTGGCGTTTATCACGAATATTCGGTATAATGAATCTCGATGGAGCCACGCTTGTCGTCGGTGGTAGGTTTCTCATCCAACTTGCACTGCATGCTTGGAGGGCGCAAGCTGAAAACAACCTCATAAAGCGAGCAGGATCGGTAGAACATGCGCATTGGCGTTCGTGAGGCATGGCATCTGGGGAATCGTTGTCGCGGATATCGACCTTGAAGCTGCTAGCGCTCTTGTGGCGAAATCGCGGAATGCAGCCGTGAGCACAGCTTTTCGTGCAAAGGCTGTCAGCATTGACGTAACGCTAGAGGATTTGATAGGTGTGGTTGTAGAATATGTGCCTTAGGTGTTTAATCTGATAGACTGCTGCGTTAATACCGCAGGTGTAAGTAACCTCCTTGGCCATTTTGATTTTTTGGCTTCCGATGTTGATTATATTTACCCATCTAGGTCAGAGTAAAATTTGCTTGTGGAGTAGCGGAGGCCGGTCCGGATGAATTCGAGAACATGTATGAGATTAATGTCACAGGAACGTTCCTTGTCACTCGTGCTGTGCCAGCCTCCATGAAATCTCAGGAACTAGTGGCGGCTAGCCCGCAGGCCTCTGAGAGGGGGACCACTCGTGGTAGCATAGTCATCCTCGGATCCACCTCGGCGTTTATCGCGACGCCAAAAATGATTCAGTATACTGCGGCTAAGCATGCTGTGCTCGGTATCACGAAAACTGCAGCTTTAGATAATGCGAGTTATGGCATCCGCGTTAATAGCGTGTGCCCATCATGGGTTGACGCCCCTATGGTGCGTAAGGCTATGGACGATGTCCCTGACCTGGAACGTACGATAAGAACTGCAGTGCCTATTGGGAGGATTGCGCTAGCAGACGAAGTCGCTGATGCTGTCATGTTTCTCTGTAGCCCCATGTCCAGTTACGCCGTGGGGTGTAACTTGATACTGGACGGAGGCACGACACTGTCTATGAATATATAGTCAGTCATCCATTAAAGACACATCTCAAATGCGTTAGAATAAGAGGGGTGGAAGCCAATACAGCCTACGCGTTATCGACTCTAAGCATTACGTGACTATCTGTATATGTAACTACTCAGTAATTATCTTCAAATATCCTGATGATCCATCCATCAGGGACCCAACGTGCTGTCGATAATATGAAGTATTAAAAATACCTGGAAGGTAAGTAATCAATAACGACCTTCTGACAACTCTAAGGCTAGAGTGTATCTCACTCTGGAGTCGGACTAGTATAAATACCTGGTTTTAATGGAGGCGTAATCTCGTTATTGAAAATTTTCTCCTGTTAATGGCTCTCTCGCTCCAAGTAATATCACTTCCAGTACCTAGAATCACTCACCTAATTCGTCATGGCTCAGAACACAAGCGGTTATCAAACTGAAAGTTTCCCTGCCCCGGGCCTACGTCAGATTTTCCGACACATCACCGGTCATAATGACCAAGGCGACTCCGTGTTCTTGCAATCAGACCATGGGGAACATTGCCGATTGATGGTAGAGAAACAGGCTGTTGCCAACATACTTTACTCGACCTGGGAGACTCCTGTTGAGTTGAATGATAACGTAGATGTCCAGAAAGCGAAGGAGCAAGAGGTGCGTACCCCACACCTTACCACCTATCAAGAGGTCGACCTACCGAGGCGGCTTAGCCACCGTTTCATCACGAGAGAGGATCCATCGTCCGCATGATAGATTTCGGGCCAGGCGTGGAGTCTCCCTTCCACAGGGCTGAAACAATTGATTATGGGATTATCGTGGAGGGAGTATTCGAAATATCGCTCGACTCAGGCAAGAAACGTATCATGCGCCAAGGCGACGTGTGTGTGCAGCGAGCTACAGCACACAAGTGGAAGAACATCACGGGTAATGGTACCTTGCCGGGCCGCATAATGTGGGTTCTACTAGATTGTAAGCCGGTCTATGTGAACGGCAAGAGGATGCAGGGTTATCTCGGAGACCTGACGAAGGAATATGCGGGTCGAGGAACTTCTTGAAGCGATAGGAAAGAGTAATGGTGGGTAGGATTTGATATTGTGTTGGTTAGGTTGACTTCAGAAACGGTAAATATCCCTCATAGTGTTAATTGCACCTTCTAGGAGGTGAGATTTGAGATCCTATCCGATCACGTTACATTGTGTACCATGAACCGGGTAGCCGGAGGGTGGGGTATCGATGTGGGGCACCTGGACCGGAGTGGTGGGTGTAAAAGCGACTAAGCGTACCCCACTAATGTTACACAACCGGAACCTGCTGCGGGGCAGGAGAGACCTTCATACACAGTTTATCACAGTGTAATTCGCACATACTTTGTAGATAGACATTTACCTAGTGCAAGTGTCACGTTACTTAACCAACCTGGAACAATCCCTTAGTACTTGACTTCTAACGAATTTACCTTAAGCTACCTAGGTACCTAGGTAGGTAATCCGCCCTACCAACCTCATAATGTTGATTTCGCTTCTGCTTCTTACCGCAGAAGACTACCTAGTAGCATGTGTGAAAATAAAACAGGGTTTGCATGTTTACGACTTGGTACAACTAAAAAAGGTCGAAAACTCCTAGCCTTACCCGGATGGCATCACCAAGCTTCTGATCGTCTATATCGAGAGTAGGAAATATCGCGTGATATTATTGATGCTGTGATTGCCAAGGAGACCAAAATCAACTAGTTAGATTATGAGATTACGTAAGCACACGATGTATGTTGCATACCTTTCACCCCACTACAGTTGAACGTCACCCCGCTCGAGGAATTTGTAAAGAAGAATCCAAAGTTCCGCTATCAGCTGCAGAACACAAGCTCGGAGGCCGAGACCTTGGCTAACGAATCCTCGGCTCACCTACGAGGCTTTCTAAACACAATGTTTGGGGGTCTCACCCCCGAAGGCTTGGCGGGCTTTGACCCGTGGGTAGGCCTTTTCCCGGATCGCATATTAGAAGTTCGGCCATCGCCCCTAGTGACGCCTGAGATGATGAACTACTATGGTATCCACCCCTTATCTATCGCACGCGAATAGCTGGCTAATGTGTCTTTACACGACTCAGTGTGCGAGTTTTCTCGTCACGGCCTCCATGGTCCCATAAACTGGTACCGCACACGGTCCATTAATGGGGAGGAAGAGTCTCGTCTCGCCAAACAGGTGGCAACTTTCAAGTTCCAGATTCCTGCTATGTTGGTCATGGCTGGTCAGGATCCTGCGCTGACGCTGGATCTAGCTGATGGCCAAGAGCAGTATTTCGAAGCAGGGTTGAAAAATGGGATTGTCGAAGATGCTTCGCATTGAATTCTGATCCATTACCCTAAGGATTCAAATAAGTTCATCGGGGAGTTTGTGAAGGGTGTTCTGGGTGAGGAATAGAAATATGTGCCTAATTGGTTGAAAAGAGTACTGAAGTGGACGTAGATAAAATAGTGATAAGCCTGCCTGTAACTCCACTACTGATATATGGTGGATATCCACTAGGTGTTAGGGGCTGGTCCACTAAAAAACAACGCTACCCGGTATAAGCCCAGTGTCTTTTAGCCCTCAAGCAAACGTGCGAGATCCCAGGTATTCATCACTACTACTAGGTAGGTATATATCATGAGAATCGTGCAGTATACAATTGAATATTATACCTATCACCTCAATTGTCACAGACACGCTTACCACTGGTCCCGTTTGGCAAAACATTCTAACCCTTACCCTAACCCTAACCCCCACCAATTAACCCCAATTCTTTGGTGGGGGTTAGGGTTAGGGTTAGGGTATCTTGCATTTCTAGGTATTTAAAGGCTGGAAGTCATTCATTAGGTATCTAGCTAGGTAGGTACCTTATGTTGCTCATTTAATATCTATATTGCTTACTAAGTGAGAGACTACAAGTTATTTGATGTCGGTAAATAAAGAAAACACGCGAATGGTAATGCCTGGTCTAAGGCACAACCCCTTTTCCTTACCAACATTCGTTTTCTAAACTCTGCTTTTGTAACCTTAATATGGATGTGCATATAAATGATGCCTACACGGCCTAGAAGCCTCTAGGAGTAGGGGGGCTTTAGGATTTGAAAATGGCGCCCCTTATGCCAGCTTCAAACCCAGTATGACAATATCAAAGGTTTGAGTTTAGCTTTATAAGGGCGTATTACCTAGTATGCATGGGCGCAATAAAATAAAGTTTAAACACAAATTATACTCAGGTATCTGATGTAATTATTTAAAGGACTCCCCATGACGAGGCACTAAAGCCACTAAGGACTAAATTATGGCTAGTGTTATACCGCCCACCAAAAGTTTGTTCTTTGACCACATAGAAATGGCAGGCGGAAATTCAATTAAGCAAAGTTTATATTAACTGACGTATCTAAATCCTGCCAAATCCATCTACAAGTTTTAGAATTCTTTCTTTAATAAAAAAGCATCATAACTAAATCCTACACATACAAGCAACCACCACCCTCCACCATGTCTTCTGCTACAACATCTAAAAAGCCACAATCCACTTCGCCCACTTCTCTATCATCAAAGTCGAACAAGGAGCACCCCGACTCCGATACTAGCACCAAGCAAAGTGATTCGAAAAGAATAACAAAAGAAGAGCTGGACAAGATGTTCCGTGATGCTGCGGAAGAGTGCGCTAAGACGACTCACGAAGAGGCACTCAAGAAACACCCATGGCTAAGTAAGCTATAACTCGAAACACACTGTCATCAATTGCCAAACTAATATAATATCTATAGAATACTACATGAAAGCCACTCCAACCACTGCTGATCAGGTGCCGGATCTTTGGGACGAAATTTGAGACTGCGGCAATCATATGTACCTACTAGCATCACAGCCGATCCAGTTGAGAGAGTAACGGAAATAACCTACCTAGGTAGTAAATTTTATCTCAGTCAGCTCAGATTAGGTGCCCCGTTTTTTATTGTACCAATGCGCTACCTACAGGAGACCTTCCTTTGTTCTTGACTTCCCAGAAGATGAGGCTATTATGGCCTTGCTACAGGCCGACCCTGTCTTAGGGAAGCCTTCTAACATCGTTATCATAGTTCACATATACATATAGGACGTCCTATCGACATGTATGTCAGTCGTAGTTTCCTGTATGTCCTTCCTAAGTATGAGGTATGTAAGTGTTGAATGGATCTTTGACCGGCAGGTGTGCATCAATATGTGTTGCGTGATTCTTAATCGTTTACACGAACTTGTTGTCTATAACCGGCAGCTCATGCCTATCGCTGACTCTTTAACACCAATGGCAGAAGAGATTGATATAGCTACAAAAGCCTGGAGGCAGGCGTTTATGAATGGGCCCTATTCATCGTTTCATATGGTAGATGCTATAGTAAACTGCTTGAAGTGGTTTTTGAGTGTTTTGAAAACGCCGGAATTCCTTTGGGGGAAATCTCAGGGGCTAATGTTGGCTGTTATGTGGGGAACTTCGTAACGGACTTCATAACGATGCAGTTTAAGGATTCGGAATACGCCCACCGCTATACGGCGACTGGCCTTGGTACTACGATCTTGGCTAATCGTATTAGTCATGTATTTAACCTGCAAAGCCCGAGGTATGCAATTTTTTGCGAGAATCCCATGACAATATTTCTAATGCTGATATATCTTCGCTTTATAGTTCGGTTATAGATACAGCTTGTTCGTCTTCTCTCTATTGTCTTCATGCTGCTTGCACTGCTCTCCAAGCAGGAGAATGTGACTCAGCCGTCGTAGCTTGTGCCAATCTTATACAATCGCCAGAGCAGCAGCTAGAGACCATGAAGGCAGGAGTTTTGTCTAAGACGTCAACTTGCCATACCTTCGATTCATCCGCAGATGGATACGGAAGAGCCGATGGGATAGGAGCCTTCCTTGTCAAGCGGCTTAGTGACGCGATCCGGGATGGGGATGCAGTCCGTGCTGTAATTCGCGGCACTGCCGTGAACAGCAACGGCAAAACAAACGGTATTACCCTCCCAAGCGCAGACGGACAGGAAGCTGTTATACGAAAGGCGTATGCTCAAGCAGGCCTCGGATACGAAGAAACTGCCTACGTCGAGTGTCACGGGACAGGAACGGCAGTGGGAGACCCCATTGAAGTAGAGGCGGTTTCCCGCGTCTTCAAGAAACAAGAGGGGTCTCCGCCGCTAATTGGCTCCGTAAAGAGTCATCTAGGGCATAGCGAGGCAGCCAGTGGAATCTCTAGCATCATAAAGGTCGTCCTGGCATTGGAGAATAAAGAGATCCCTCCGACAGTAGGGGTTAAAAGCATTAACCCGAAGATCAAGCTTGACGACTGGAAGATTCAAATCGTCACACAGGTGACACCGTGCCCAGACACTTCCCCACACAAGTCAAGCGATGGCATTCGGAGAGCCGGTGTCAATTCATTTGGCTATGGTGGCGCTAACGCTCATGCCATATTGGAAGCGGCAGAACATCATCTGCCCCTAGGATACATGAGCCCATCAGTCAAACAGGCCGCAACTCTGTCGAGGACCACGATGCTTTTACCTGTCTCAGCGAGTAGCGACACCGCACTAAAACGTAGAGTATCCGACTTATCTGCGCTCGATCTCAGCTGTGTGAACATCACCGATCTGGCCCATACATTAGGAATGAAGCGATCCCATCTCTCTGCTCGAGGATACGTCCTAGTCCGCCCTGAGTCGCTACAAGAAGACTTCATCCTCGAAAACACCCACATCCGGTTAGAGGGAAAGCCATACTCGAAACTACCTCTAGCTTTCGTTTTCACTGGCCAGGGAGCGCAATGGGCTGAGATGGGTGTTGAGCTGATACACGAATACCCCAGCTTTCGGCAAACCATTCAAGTGCTCGACTCAACACTACAGTTGCTGCCACACCCACCGAACTGGACTCTACTAGGAGCCCTTCTCGAGCCTGCTAAGACGAGTATGATCAACCACGCCTCGCGTAGTCAGCCGGTATGCAGGGCCATACAGGTCGCTATGATTCAGCTTCTTTCGACTTGTGGGATTAAGCCCGAGAAAGTCGTCGGGCACTCGTCGGGTGAAATCGCTGCCGCGTATGCCACAGGCCATATCACAGCTGAGCAGGCTATCACCATTGCCTACTATCGTGGCTACGTGACGAGGAGCCCTAATGCGATGGTTGGTGCCATGATGGCCGTCGGGCTTGGTCGCACGGATGCTGAAGAGCATATCGACGCACTTGGCCTCGATAACCAGATCTGTGTAGCTTGCGTCAACTCCCCCGAGAGTGTCACGATAAGCGGAGATATCGATGGCATCGATAAGTTAAAGACACATCTCGATACACTTTCCATCTTTGCTAGGCAGCTAAAGACTAACGGTAAGGCCTATCACTCACACCACATGGCCGCGGTAGGACAAGAATATGAAGAATATCTCATTGGGGCAGCATCTGAGATCAATTCCCCAAAGATGAATGGTTCTCTCCCATCTAGTTCTGGGGTCCAATGGATCTCATCTGTCACTGAAGAAATAGTGGACAAGCACCTCGTGAGACCCTCATACTGGCGAGCGAACCTCGAGTCACCAGTGCTGTTCAGTAATGTCGTTGAGAAACTGCTACAGGACTTCGGTCCGCATCACCTGATTGAGATCGGTCCTCATTCAGCCCTGGAGATGCCTATCAGACAGATTCGCACTAATTTGAAAATGGGTGAGGACAAGGTGCACTATGGAGCTGCATTGTCGCGCGGCAAGGACTCGGTCATCACATTCCTCAACCTCGTTGGAAATCTCTACCTCCACGGCCACAGCATTTCTTTCAAACATGTCAACGTGGTCCAGTCATCCCCTTTTAGAACCAAAGGAGGATACGCGGCTCAGCAAGGAAAAATGCTTCTAGACCTTCCGAACTATGCCTGGGACTACGATTCGCAGCCTATGATTAACGAGCCGCGGGTTAGTGTTGAGTGGAGAAACAGGAAACACCCTCGTCATGATATTCTCGGCTCGCAGGTACACGGCGGCAACGGAATTACGACAACATGGAGAAATGTGCTAAAAGTGAAAGATATACCGTGGGTTGAAGGCCACAAGTTAGACACGACAGTTGTATTCCCCGCCGCTGGATACCTAGCGATGGCGATCGAAGCCATGCGCCAAGTGGCAGGGATCAATGACGTCGACGAGGCCTGTGCTCTCAAGCTCCGAGACGTTACCATTACCAAAGCATTGGTATTGGGACAAGAGGCGAACGATGCGGGTGTCGAAATCTTCACGACATTACAACCAGCCCAGCTTCCGGGACATGTCGATACTGAATGGCACCAATTCAATATCAGCTCCTACAGCGGAGAAGAGGCCACGACCCACGCTAAAGGTCTCATTCAGCTAGCAAAGGCATATGATTATGCCACAGTCTTAAGCCTTCCGACTGTCAAGCCAGAAGGCATGGAGCCCAGCGCGCCTCGTACATGGTATAACAAATTCGCTGAGGGGGGCTTAAATTTCCAGGGCCGATTCCAGTCACTATCCCAGATCCACCTGCATAGAAAGCGGGAGGACACGCATGTTCTCGCCAAGACTGGGCTGAGACAAACAGAAGGCGACGATAAGAACCCGGAATCAACATACATGCTTCACCCCGTCACCATCGACTCGCTCTTCCAGGCCGGAATCATGGCCAGCACAAGTGGTATAGTTCGAGAGCTTCGAGCCAAGGTTCCTGTCCACATAGAGGAGATAATTATTAGGTCTCCCACACATGACCACTCAAAAGTATCAGAAGAAAACGAGTTGAATATAAAAGCGGTATCTGAGCCCGTTGGCTTCGGCACGATTAGGGTCTCGGCCGAGCTTTACGGAGATAACGGTCTACCCGTCTTGCAAATTAGTCGATGTCGTCAGGTTGCATATCAGAGCGGCACGCGGCAGCAAGATGGCGGCGATGAGCGACATCCCATGCTGCGGGTCATCTGGAAGCCGGATATCTCAAGACTTGGCCCAAACGACCAAGCCGCATTCTCCACATATATCGAACAGCAAGCAACTCATGCCGCAACGTCGAGCGCGGGGAAGCAGGATGCTTCCTTGACGAGATTAGGGACTGCTCTTGATCTCCTAGTCCACAAGAACGCCAGGCTCCGCATCCTAAGCCTATTCGCAGATGAGAAAGATAATAACTACTTCATTGACATCCTCCGGCTTACCACTGCTTTCAAGAGGTGCCAGTCATTATGGCGCGGAACCTACGAAAATGGATCTATTAAATGCGTGGAATATTCTTCAGACGATGAGTCTGAGGGAAAGCCGAGAGGTGATGGTTCGGACTTCGATCTAGTATTGCTAGGACCTCAGAGCAATAATACAAGTATCGACCTCGCGGCCATTAGAGACCTCATAGCGGAAAATGGCACCCTGCTTTCCGTTACCGGTTCCGACGAGGCCAGCACGCTCAATAAACTGGGGTTTACGACACTCCAAACGCAACTTGGAGGAGCCTATGAGACTATACTCGCGCATCCGCCTAGCAAAGAGAGCTCTGGGAAGAAGAAGGCCGCCGTGTCAGGGGAGATTCTCATCGTGAGTCCGAGTAGAAATAATAATATCGCCATAATAACTTACCCATCTTCTAACCCTTCCCATCTTAACAGGTCGAACGAAACACCCACCACACCCTCAACAGCGCTGTCGCAAACCAGGTATACCAAACAACCGGACACCATGCCAAGCGCGTGTCCCTAGAGAAAATCACACCCAGTCTCCTCAGCACGCACAGCGCCGTCATCACAACCATCGAACTAGAAACTCCGACCCTCTCCCGCGTCACAGAAGAGGAAATGCGCCTCATAAAAATCCTAACAGACAACTGCACAAACCTAATCTGGGTCACGGGTGGACAGCTCCTGCAAGGCTCTCAGCCAGAAATGGCCGTCGCCTTCGGGCTCTCGCGCGCACTAATGCTAGAGCAGCCATCCCTGCGTTTCTTCGTCATCGACGTCGACGTGAACACCAACACCGCCACCCCAGACATTGAAACCACAGCGCGCCACGTCTTCAAGGTGCTGCAGCAAGCAATCGAGGACCCAGAGCCCGACTTCGAGTTCGTACAAGCGGCAGGCATGTTGCACGTCAGCCGTTTTGTGCCTAGCGAGTGGAAGAACCGCGTCTGTGAGTAATATCCAAAGTTCTTTATTGCCTCTTCCTAGATAGGTACCTAGATAACTACTAACAAGTACCTATTTCACAGTCCGCGAGAAACAGGGCAGCGAGAAGACAGCCCTAACGTTAGGCGAAGCGCGGCCTTGCAGGCTTGATATCGAACAGGTCGGACACACAGATGGGATCTTCTTCCGTCGGGAGGAAACATATGCAGAGGAGCCCTTGAAAGCGGGTGATGTCGAGGTGTCCGTGATGGCGGTTGGTCTGAGTACGAGGGTAAGATACCGACAGCCAGTTAGGTGAATATGTGTGTTAATTATGGTGTATAGGATCTCCAAGCCATCAGCGGCAATGCGAAGAACAGTAGCGGCTCCATATGCACGTCTCAGTACGCCGCTATAGTAAGTCGGGTCGGCGCGGGAGTTGAAAGCCTAGCGCCAGGAGACCGCGTTGTAGTCATGGCTCCGGGCAGCTTCTCCACCAAGGAGCGCGTCGCGGAGTGGGCTTGTCAGAAGCTCAATGACAACGAAGACTTTACAGTACGTCTAAAATTGACACCAGATGATAAGTGCTAACAGCTTTTTCTCTTTAGGGCGTAGCTTGTCTCCCACTTGCCCTCAGTGCAGCCATTTACGCCATCAACACGCGCGCCCACCTCCAGCCAAACGAATCAATCTTGATTTGCTGCGGTGGCAGTGATATTGGGGCTGATCTCGTCGCCGTGCGCATGGCTCAACTTATCTGCTCACAAGTCTTTGTCGTTGCTACCAATGAGGATCAGAAGAACGTTTTCTCCGATTTCAAGTTGCCACAAGGTCAGGTCTTCGTCGCAAACGATCCGGAACTTGATGTCAAGCTACTGGCAGCCACTAAAGATCGTGGTCTAGACGTTATCGTTGCCTTTGCCGATGACAAGCCTCCTGGTGTTATACTCAATCGTTCAATCATCAGCGCCATCAGCGCCGACTGCGCTCGTCTTGTGCAGGTGGGCGTAGGCGGACCGAGTTTAGTCGATGCGGTCGTTATGGACCCGCGAATGTCGCGCAGAAGCATTACAGTGACGCAATTCGATATGGGGAGTCTCATCGCACTCCAGACGCCAAACGGACAAAATATGCGTCGCAGGTATGTTGCATTATTGTCGCTGAAAAAACACCTAGAAATAATATTAAGATAAAACCGACTAACCCTCATCATCACGCAGGTTGCTTTCTGACGCTATGTCCCCATACCGCAGTGGCGACCTGGCCACTATTGACCTCTCCCCCGATGTTTGGGACATTTCAGCCGTAAGAGAAGCATTCGATTCTCTAGCGTCTCCCAAAGTAGAGAAGGGATCTCACAACGGAGGCGTTGTTGTTTCCCTCGAGAACGACACATCGTCGGTCCCCGTGCTGCCTATCAAGTACGACACCACTTTTAGCCCGGATAAAACTTACCTACTTGTTGGTTGTCTCGGGGGCTTGGGTAGGAGCATGTCGAAATGGATGCTCACACGCGGTGCTCGCAAGTTCGTCTTCTTAGGTCGCAGTGGAACTGACAGGGCCCCGGCGCGCCGTTTAGTCGAGGATTTGGAGTTTTCAGGCGCTCAGGTGACTGTTGTGCGAGGCGATGTGGTCAATCTTGAAGACGTTGAGCGCGCCGTAGCATCTATAGACGGTGCAATTGGTGGTGTCATTCAAGCCGCCATGGGTCTTGATGTAGGTGGCTCCCGTGTCTCTTTCCCAATTATGGCAACGATGCGATACCGCCTATATTTTACAATTGCCCGCTGCTAACTCTATAACCCCCTACAGGAAGCCCTATTCACCACCATGTCTCGCCAGTACTGGCTTAATGGCCTAAAACCCAAGATTGTGGGATCCTGGAACCTCCACAACGCCATCCGTGGCCATGACCAGGAACTCGACTTCTTCCTGATGACATCGTCCGTATCAGGTAGTGTTGGTACCGCTACCGAAAGCAATTATTGTAGTGCCAATTATTTTCTCGATGTGTTTGCCAGGTACCGCCGTGGCCTTGGTCTCCCCGCTACCTCGGTAGGCCTAGGTATGATTTCCGAGGTTGGTTACCTACACGAGAATCCAGAGATCGAGGCTCTTCTTTTGAGAAAGGGTATACAGGCCATTAACGAGGATGAGATGCTGCAAATCATCGATATTGCCCTTTCCCAGCAGACAGATGTGCCAAATACGACCGGCGATGCTTACGATGAGCTAGGCCTAGGCCACGTACTGACTGGCCTGGAACCTCTGGGTCTCAGAGAACTTCGCGCTAAGGGCTTCGAGGGCACAAGTCCGGTATTAGGCGACCCCCGTGCCTCCTTACTGTCAGCTGCACTAGACGAAGAAACGTCAGGGTCCGGAAGTGGTAGCGGTAGCGGATCAACGAATGGCCTCGCCGCTGAGATAGCTGAAGCGATTAACTCCGGCAGCTCCGTGACTGAAGCAGCCTTGGCGATGGTTGTTACCAAATTTTCAAGCCTAGTTCTCATGCCTAAGGACAAGATCGATGTTCATAAGCCAATGAGCGGGGTTGGTATTGACAGTATGCTTGCAGCCGAGTTTCGAGCATGGGTTTTCCAGGCGTTCAAAGTCGATGTGCCTTATCTGACACTTCTTTCCTCTACCGCAACACTTTCCACGATTTCTGAATTGATATCCCAGACATTGATGAAAGTGAGGGAAGACGATGCTTAGTAAGCAGAAGCAATAGGGTATTTGAAAGAAGGGGCCTATTTATGAGGTCCTGAATGCTACACCCCAAGGGTGATTCCTGAGACACGATTAGCGAGATTGTTTTTCCTTGTTATACGATAAGACAGTGTGCTATAAATGAAGTATGCCTTGGTGGCTCCTTGTGCTCGAACATAAACCGACGCGATATATGATCATGAGGAAATCATCTCATGTGTATAATAATGATATGATTCTGTATGTCATTTCAACTTAACCGCATCCAAGCCATATCTCCCCTCTGTTAACTCTGATACGAGTTCGCCATTCATTAGTGCCGAGACATACACTTCCCCGATGACAATCATGTAGTCTCCGGCCTGGCGTAATACAAGGGGAACATGACATCCTTTGAGAATAGCAATCTGGTCCTTCGGTTGGATTTCTGGTGGCCCAAGTCCCATTCGGCCTCCTTTTGTGATAAAAAATCGTCGCCCTAGCACTGCTCTCGTCACGGCGTCTGAGAAGTGTTGAACGAGTCTCGAACGAATCGTGTCGGGTCTCTTGATGAAATCATCAAATATCCTCCCAAAAGACACCGAAGCCTGGTTTCCCAAGTGATCTTTATCCATCACAATCGTTCTCCAGAATAGACTCATCATGGTAATATCAATGTTCTCTTTTGCGATACTCTGCCAGCGCTGAATTGTGGATGGGCTTACATGAGCAAGTTCAATTACGTCATCGAAGCAGGTGATCGTATCTACCATCCATCCTTCGGCTGTCAAGCTTGACGGAAATTCTGCCATATCAACTACAGCGTGGGTGTTTCCCGATGCTCGGTAGAAATGACCGCCAACCTCTTCACTATTTAGCGGTCGTAGAGTATTCAAGCCTCGCCAATCTGGTAACCAACTTGGAGTAGTCGAATTCGAATCGACGAATCGACCAGAAGAGATTATATCGAGGTCGTAACGATTACTCACCATAAACCTAACCAGGTCAAGAAATACCTCTTGGACCGGTTTCGTATAGTCGGGTATAATGTCGTCGGATGTTACATCCGAAGCCATACCGAGAAGCGCATATAACTTATCGCGCGAGTCGGTTGCTTGGTAATCCTGTGTGCAGTGGACAAATCGGACAAGAGGCATGGCCTTATTTCGCCGGAAATGGTCTAAGACCGTAAACTTCTGATACCCGCAGGAACGGATCATAGATGCCATGGGGTGTAGGAGAAACTCGGCCACCTGGATCGCCCGACAGAGATTCACTAGCATCATCCAAGGGAAGATGGTATCTCCTAAGAGTACAACCAGCTCACGTGCGGCAACCACTTCTTGAATTATCCAAATGCGCTTCCACCATGTTCGTTTGAATAATTCCTCGAGTCCCTGAAGCGCTTCTTTGGGGTAGTTGAAGAGATTCTTCTTTCCTCGACTCCAACTACATTTAAGGATCATTTCCAAGGTATCCCGAACATTACCATCAGAATCACCCAACCATACAATGACAGAAGATGCCGTAGAGAATATCCGCTTCATCATTTGTACCTGGTGATTCCGCTCCTGGACGTTTCCCTGGTCAATGCAGATCGCATCGATCCACAGACATCGTGACTCGGTTGGAGACCTTAACTTTACCAAGGCCATATAAAGGTTTCTCGTTATACCAAGAGCCTGTCCATCAACAGCTATCTCATTGGTCTTCTGAAGATCGCCCCACGTATACGACAGCGCATCGTATGACCTTGGTGTGTATTCGACGCGGTTGCAATCGAAACCTAAAACCGGCTCTTCCACGACGAATTGTCTTTTATAGGTTAGTTACTAAATACATCTAATACCTCCAATGCGTAGTAGGTATTCTACTTGAGAAACACTAACCTCCCACCAATCGATCTTCGCCTAGGTCGCTTGCTTGACGCAAATAACTTCCAAGGCCAAATTTCCCCGCCAAAGTCAGCTGATTCCACAGATTGATGAGAGTGAGCTTCGAAAATATCAAGTAGTCTTCTCGTATTTCGAATGGCTCTCGTATTCTGCTGTCGTGTATCCCCCGAAAAGGACACCGTCGGCGAGAGAAAAGGGGGAAGTTGAATATGATTTATAGACCCTTCTAGTCTGTCAGTCCCCACACCCGGATTTAAAGTGAAAGTCCTAATTTCATCGGGATGCACAACTTGAGAATAGACGAACTCGGACGTTGCCATGTCTTCGATAGTGGGCTCGTTGGCGATGCCCTCGCAGGTGGTACCGAATTACATCACTGGAATGACCATTACCCCTCACTGCCCTCACTTTGCTTTCTCGATGTCAAGCTATGAGATAGCCGATAACCATGACGATACTACATCAACGGTCATATCCTATTAGAAATGACAGTTTCAATCGGTCAATTTGCATTGAAAGTGACGCATGAGAAGCTGTTCCAAGATCATTAGTTATTACAACAGAATAAGATATCACATTATGGTACATTTCAACAGAAAGGGTACCCCGGTCTGATAGAGCACAGACCACTTCAACGCCCGCAATACCCCCACTAAGATCCACATACCCCTTGCAGCTACCGATTCATCATGCATGATCTTTAAAATCATTGGCCAATCAGAACTCGTCATTGACGTAGTTTAGCCGCCTACTTTTCAATAGGAACATTTTAACAACAAGGATGTCGGCAGTCCTGCGATCACCTTCAAAGTTAATTTGCAGAATCGTAATATCCAAAAAGCTCCATGCTTAACGATGAGGAATGATTCAAGGAAATCGGAATATCATAAATTAAGATAAATAGGTGGAGTATGGAGCACACTTCAGAGGTCCCAGACCATCCCATACGTCAGTGGCTTGACGACCACAGATGATCAGCCACGGGATTTCCGGGATTCCTAGCTGGGTAAGCCCGAGTGCCCCAAGCTGACAATTTCTCCTCATTATCCTCCAAGATCACATCTATATCGAGGTTAGATTCTGTCCTATACCATGCCCCATCCCATCCCATCCTCACACCCCGTGAACGCCCCAGGCCTAGCGGCCATCCTTCTGACGAGCCAAAACCACCTCCTCCAAAGGATCGTATACTCGTATATCAGCCCAATCTCACCACCATCTCACCCTCACCCTCCCAACGCACGCCGCGTCAAATCCTCCATCCATCCTCACCCCAAACTCACACCCACAACCAAAACCTAATACCCAACAAACCACCTCACAGTATGCCCCTCACACAGCATCGTCCCCTCCGCACTAACCTTCCCCCCATGAGCTCCCCCAAACCTCTTAATACTCTCCCCAATCAAATCCACAATATCCTGATTCGCCACACTGAACTCAAAGCCCTCCGTATCCGCATCCGTCTCGCGGGCTATCCCAAACCGACATCCGCTGAGGAACATGCCGTCGACGTACCCGGCAGGCTGTGCGCGGAAATCCACGCCCCAGTCCCCGGCGTCGGCGAGGACGGACGAGCACGTGGATTCGCAGGATGTCGTTGTCACGGAGGTGGATTGCGTTACGTCGTTGTAGGTTAGGGGTGTGCAGTACCCCGCGGTGGATTTGTCGCCTGCGCAGGCGTCTTGTTGGGCGAAGAGGGAGGGGAGCGCGGTGGTTAGGCCGGCGAGGGCGAGGAGGAGGGTTGAGGGGTGCATGTTTGGGGATAGGTTGATGTTTTATTGCCCGTTGTGCGTGCGATGGTAGGTTTTTATGCTTTACGATTATTCCGGTGTAGATAGGTAGAGGTAGGTATGTTGCAGGCAGTATTGATCGCCGTGAAGAAAGAAGCAGAACAATCCCTAAGCAGGAAAAGCGCTTGGTATATATAAGAAAATATAGAAGCTCTCGTCCGACAGGCTCCTACTCTAACGGGTCCAATCACAAATGCGACGTGACGATGGAGATCTGCGCAGCGTGATGGACCAGACTTTCCACATCACAAACGTGACCAATCAGATCGACACCCAGCAAATGCGCCGAGGCGAATCAGAAGGGAAAGACCCGTTCGCTCCAACGACGTGCCGTTCTGGGGTAAGGGGTGAGCGTCCAACCAACACGTGGGGACGTTAGGTCGATATCACTTCGGGGGTTTGAATGGGAGGTTTATGGGGTGGCTTGTGGGCATACGGCGACCTTGTAATTCATGCTACCTGGACAACGCATCCCTTGGACTTGATTGTGTTTTACGAGATCACGAATTCATTAATATGCTCAAAATAGGGTGAGTTTTACCATATCTTACTTGCCCATGTGTTAGACAAATTGAGGCTGTTTAATCCTATACATAGAAATGTTTGCCCTTACTCGACCGGAGATGCGCCCCGCCCCATCCCGATTTCCGGGTGTCTGGACAATTCAGATCCCGTCGCAAAGTCCTACCGTTAGGATGGCTCGAGATCCCTGTGAATGGTATCGGCACAGCCCTAGCTGAGAATCCTCAGCCCTCGATTAAGGCTAGGGCTGAACTGGTACTGCAAACGGCGATGGGGGCAATTTAAAGGATTCAGGAGTTATCTTAAAGCCGAGGTGGTTCACTGGTAGACAACAATCAATGTAAAAAAAGAGACGTTGACTGTTTGGAGTTGATGCGAGGGGAGATGATAACATGGTTGTATATTACTTGATAGAATTAAGTGCACTTATGCCAAGTGTGCTCGCCGTCGTGCTTTGTTCTTGAATGTACTATGTAGTGCAATTTACTCAGCCCCTTCCTTGAGTTGCACCGAAAGCAACAGCTACCTCCTAGGTGAATGCAATGGCCTTGAGTTATCTCCCCCTCTGATTCATATGATTCATCTTCTCGGTTTGCATCATTCGTGTATGTTTCGATGTCCCCGAGTTTGGTAGATTTTTGTTTTGTAGACACGTCATGTTATGTTGTGTCGCGAAGAGGAGAGTTGGCAAGTCGAAAGAGAGGATGGGTGAGAACTGTGCAAGGAGGATTTGTGAACCTTGAAACAATGAGCCACTGCAAGGGAACATACCACTTTAACTGTGAACCCGTTATTTTGATGATCACAAGTCCGACTCCCTGTGGTGGATAATTATAGATCACATCGATTTCAAAGCTACCTCCATCTCTGTATCCTGCCTTTGGCATAGCTCGCAGCGCGGTTCCTGGACGACCTCTTTAACTGACTGGCAGTCGGGCGTCTTGCAGGGCGTATTGGTCTCATACGGCTTACAGCCACAACGATAGGTGATAATGAGCTTGCACATCGTATCGATTAAATTCAATGAAGGAACTGTCGTTTAAGGGGGTGCGAAATGTAGCGCAGTTGTAGTGATCGATTGCATCGTGGTGTTAGGTTTCAGACTCGTCTTCCGTCTTCCAGGGGGTTATATAACAACATCTAGGAAATTAAAACGCCCATCTTGTTCATATCGAACGAGACATAATACATAATATGATCATCCATCGGAGAATTTTGCCTAGCATAGCCTCTATTGGCTTTTATCGAAGCCACAGGTCCTAATGCAGTCAACCATTGAGAGTCGAAAATTCAAAATTTTCGGAGTGGCTAAAATGATAGCTCTCTTTTTGATCGCGACGACACGATTCAACATCGTCATCTATTCATAGAGGTCGGGCGACTCGGAATCTGTACGGGTATCTGCAGATTTCAGTTTTCTGATGCCCTTCCATCCTAGTCAGCTCGTAATAGCAGGTCGCACAAGATTCGGTGCAGGCCACGAGCGCCGACGAATGCGTTTTGCAGATGACAAAATTGGCATATGTGGTCGGGAGACTCTGCATGTAAAAATACTTAATTAATAATAACCGACTGGGCGATCTCGTAGTTGCACTAGCTGAATCTTGCAGGAAGCAGGCACAGCATGCATCTCCGAACGAGGCGATCACCCGCGATCTTAAACCTCGATCCGCGACCAATATAAAATTGACGAAAATTTCAGTACCTTCCGTGGACAAAGGGGCTCGGAGTTGCAGACCGCTCATTCCGGCATCCGCGTCCAGGGAAGGCCTCAAACTTCCAAGACAAAGACGAATTGTACTTCCGCTGTCATATATCGCATAGTACCTCGATCGTTAAATTTCGAGCACGGGGCCTGTGTCACCATAGATGGGTCTCTCTCAAACCACGGCAACGTTCCAATGTTCTTTACTTTCGCTTCTTCATCTGTTTTTCCGTAGCACATATCCCAATTATAGCCCTTAGGGTATGAACCTACCATCTCGAAACGGCCCGTGAAATCTTGGAGGAGTCGATGACCGACGCCAGCAGGTAAAATCAACACGTCGCCTCGCACAACTTCCTTCTCCACCTTTCCCGGATTGTCCTCACCGCCAAAGCAGAGTTTGGCCTTACCTTGGCTGATACATAGCACCTCGTGAGTGGTCGAGTGGAAGTGAGTTGTGCTATACATCGTATAGCGCCACTGAGGTTCCACGACACCAACTTCTGTAAGATGCGATTCTATGGCAGATGCGGTCAAGGTCGAAGGAGGGAAAACTTCATGGTAATGTAACAATTGTTTGTTTTGGATGCTAGTGTTGGGTATGAGATTGTGCGCTGGGATATAGTAACGAGAAACTTGTAATGAGGGTAGAGGAGTAGGGTTAAGTTTTAAAGCCATGATGATAATTGCTTAGGTATTTCTTAGCATGTCACTTTACGGGATAGAATTTTCTGTAAGGCAAGTTAGAGTTGATTGAAAGTATATTCATTATTAACTTTCCCGTTTGATAGTAAATAAGTCAAGTTTACGTCATCGATGGCTACCTGGCTGTAGCTATGTGCTCTTAGATGAATATGTGATATATGATACCTGCTTATATTCATTTGAATGTTTTGTTACATATTACTGTAATTTGAACCAATAATATGAGACGATGGAGTGCGGGATTCTCGGCGCCCGCTTCTAAATACAAACAGTTGCAAATAGGCCATATATCCAGACCTTCCTCCTACTTAACTCCGGTAGAACCTGATGATAAATTGAAATAAATCTGCGCCGTCCGGAGATAGTTTCTATCATCGCAGTTATGCAGAGGTGGACTGAATCTCCTATGTTGCATTCCAGGGGCAAGTGTCTCCTATTGAGGACTTGCAGTCCAGGATGTTCGTGGTATATAAGTCAGTAGATATGGCTCTCAATTGATGTAATATGATTAATAGCTAGTATAAACATATCTCGTCTTTCAGTTGATATCAGTTCGCAAATAAAGTCCAACAAGTCTCTAAGAACCCAAAGTTGTAAACAATTCTTTTAGCATTCCGACGTCTGTACGAAATCGTCGCAGTTATGACTTACCAGCGAACTATTATCGTCACAGGAGGCACGGTTAGTCTGGGCTACTACACCGCACTCGAGATCGCGAAGGCTCATCCCGAGTACCTAGTCGTAGTCTCATCACGAACCGACCGCGAGCACGCCGCAGACACCATCAACAAGAAGCTCGGCCAAACCAACACGATATACATCCCTCTCGACCTCTCAAACTTGCAGAAAGTCCGCGCGTACGTCAGAGATTGGGAAAAGAAAGATTACCCGCCAATCCAAGCACTCATCTTCAATGCCGGTCTTCAGTTCCCTGGTGGCCTGACAAAGACAGTCGATGGGCTCGAATCCACTTTCGGTATCAACCACGTCGGCCATGCTCTACTCTTCCACCTACTCTGCGCCTATCTCGCTCCTAAGGCGCGAGTTGTCATTACCTCGAGCGGAACCCACGACCCAGACCAGGAGACCGGCGGGATGCCAAAGGCGAATTACGTCAGCGCCGAGTTGCTTGCTCATCCGACAGGTGCGACGGTTAACGACCCCGGTCGGAAGCGGTACGTCGAGAGTAAGCTAGCAAACATATTGTGGGGATATGCGCTCGATCGCCGTCTAAAACAGCGCGTTCCGGACCGAGGAATCACGGTGACTTCGTTCGACCCCGGCCTCATGCCCGGCACCGGTCTAGCGCGTGAGACAAACGCTTTTGAGAGGTTCATCTGGATTTACATCTTGCCCAAACTCATCCCGCTACTTAGAACAGTGCTATTTCCGAATGTACACCGTCCGCAGGAATCCGCGGTTGCGCTGGCAAGACTGGCGATTGGGTTAGATGTAGAGGATGAGAGTGGGAAGTACTTTGAAGGGTTGAAGCAGATTAAGAGTAGTAAGGATAGCTATGATGAGACGAAGCAGGATGACCTGTGGAAGTGGACGGTTGATTATCTCGCGAAGGGGAATGGTGAGCGGGAACGCTTTGAGCAGTTCAAGTAGAACGTGCTCGACTAAGGGCAAGCTGAAGTCTACATCTCATAATTACCTACCTACCTACCTCTTATTAAATTATATACCAGAATGGATTTGAACATTTAAGTCAAACACCCCCCTCGCGTTCCACCCTAGTAGGGACCACCCATTTCCCATACAAAATCGCTTAACTCCGATACCTATATTTAATTAAATAAAATACTTAAAAATATAAGATTTTAATTTTTAGGTTTTATAATATAATTTATATAAGCTTATTTAATTTCATAATTTTCACATTTTTATATTGTTATAAAATTCGCTGTTTTTTTCGCTTTAATAATTATTCATATAAATTACACGTAAAACTGTTAAGGCATTAAAAACGAGTATAACTTTACGAATTTTATATATAAAATTTTTATTTTTATTTTTTTAAATTTATTAAAATGTAATTATTATTTTATATATAAAATGAATTTATTATATATTATATTAAAATTAATATAATTAAAATAAGTTTTTTTATATTAATTTTTATTAATGCCCCGAATTTATAAAAGGTTATTATTTTGCATATTTAAATTAAAATTAATATATTAATTAAAAATAAAATAAAGTGATTTAAACTTAAAAGTATATAAATAATTATTATATTTTATTTCGTAATAAAATAATAAAATATTTTCATTAAAATATATTTTTTTTTAATTAATTCTTTTATACTTAAATTATATTATAAATTAATAAAAATGGTATATATTTATAACGTTTAAATTAAAAAATTAAATAAATTAAGTTATATATATATGTAATATTTTTTTATTAAAATATTCGTTATAAAGTTTTATTAAAAATTTATAAACAATTACGCATAAGTTATATAATTAATAAAATTTATAACTAATTTAATTTAAATCATTTAATTTAATAAAAAATTAAAATAATATATTATTAAATAATATATTATCGTAAAAAATAATTTAAACGTTAATTAATATATAAAATTAAATTAAAATATTTAATAATATATTATTTTTATTTTTACATTACGTAATTAATATTAATTAAGTTTTAACTTAATTTAAAATTACTTAATTATTTTTATACGATTTAATAATTATAATGTAAATATTTTTAAAATTTTTAATATTATATTAATATAAATATTAATCTTTTAAGTTATATTTTTAAATCGTTATATTATTAAAATAAATTAATTTTTTAATACTTTTTATTATTTTAAAAAAAATTCGTAATTTTATTTAAAAATCCGGTTTAATTTTAAATAAAAAGTATAAATTAATTAAATTAACTATTTAAAAAAATTATACATACGTTAACATAAAACTTAATTTTTTATATGTGAAAATTTTAAGTATTAAATTAACATAAATTTTTAAAAACGTTTATTTTTAAACCTTAAAATTAATAATAATAAAAGTAAAAGTCAATGTAAAATTAATTTTATTAAATGAAAAAATATTTAATTTAAATATAACGATTTTTTTTAAGAAAATAAATAAAATTCCTTTTTTTAATTTAAATATTTTAAGATTTTTTATCGTTTTTAATAATAAAAATATAATTTATAAAAATTTTATATAAATTATAATAATATTATTCATTTTATAAAATAAAATATCATTATTAAAAATAAAATTCTTAATAATATATTAAACATTATTAATTATTTTAAAATTTTAATAAAAATTTTTAATAATTTTAACCGGTATATTTTAAATAAAAAGTAAAAATATAAATATATAAATAAATAAATTATTTATTATTTAAAAAATATTTTTTAATATTTTTAACTTATTTTTTAATTTTAAAATGTAATTTAAAAAGAAAATATAAACTTTTTATTATTTTTTTTTCGTAAAAATAATCGTAATTTAAAAATTAATTAAATATTTTAAAACGTTTAAAAAAGTAATAACTTTAATATATTTATTAAAAATAATATTTCGAAATATTATAAACCGCTCATTTAATAAATTAATATTATTTTTTATTTACTCGTTTTTTCGTAACCGATTTAATAACGTAATAAATACGAAATTAATATTTTTTATTTATTAATTTAAAATAATAATTAAATTAAATTTTAACTATAATTTATATTTAATAAAATGTTTTTTATCGTTAAATTAAAACTTTTTTTTTATTTTAATTAACTTTTAAATATTTATAAATTAACTTAAATATAAAAATAATATACTTATAATAAGTTTAAATTAATAAAAATCACTACATAAAATAATAATAAAAATGCCACTAAAATTTTTATTAAAATAATTATAAACATTTCAAAATTAATTATATATTTTTAATAAATTTAAATTAAACATCATGTTATATTTATTAATAATAAAAATATTAACTTTTTTTAATATCGTTATTTTTTTTATTAATATTTTTCTTTTACTTACCGTTAATAATTTTATAATAAAATAAATAATAATACCATTAATATTAACCTTAATATTATTTAAAATTATAATAATTTAAATTTTTTTTTAATAATCTTTACTTTTTAAAGTTAAAAACAACGTTTAAATAATAACATTTTTACTTATTTTTCTTTTTCCGTTAAAATAATAAAAAAGTTAAAAATTTTTTTTTAATTTTTTAACTTAAATCGCGTTAATTTTATTTAAATAACGTAAATATATATTTAATATAATTATTTATTTTAAATTAAAATTTTTATTTTTAATTAATATTAAATTAATATTCCTTTAAATAAAACTTAAATTATATTTAATAATAATTTTAATAAAACGTAATTATTAAATTAAAAACTTAAATAAATTAATTCGTACGAAATTTTTAACGTTATTATTTATATTAAAAAAATGACGATTTTTTTCATTTATAAACTTTTTAAAAAATATATCGAAAAAGTCGTTATTAACCTCCTTTATTACTTCTTTAAACTTAATTATATTTATTTTTTTAAAACGTTTTTTCCATTTAATAATATTATTAATTATAAATTCCCTTATACATTAACCATTTTTTAATAAATTAAAAGTTATAAAACTTAAATTATATATTAAATTTTTATAAATTTTAAGCTTAAAAATTATAAATAAATTAATTAATTTTTTCACATTTTTACTTAAAAAAAATCTTCTTATAAACATTATACTTCTTTTAAAAATTAAAAATTATCTTTTAAATTTTTTATTTAAATAATATAAAAACTTAAATAAAAATATAAAAAAAAATTTTAAATTTATAATAAATTAATTATTTTTATTATTTTCGTTTATATTATAATTATTATTATCCGAAAATTTATTTCTATTAAAATCGATAAAATTATCTTAATTCATACGAACATTTTAAATTAATACATTTTTTTAAATATTTTTTTTACTTTTTCTTAATAAATTGAAATTATTATTATAAAACTTAAAACGTTTAAAAAAATTCTTATTAAAATAATTCCAAATCTCCGTTAAAATATTAAATTAAAACAATAAAAACTTTTCTTAAAATACGAATAATTTTAAACGAATAATAACTATTCGTTTATATACATTATTATTTTCGAAAGTAAAAAAAAATACCTTAATAAATAAAAACGTTATAACAAGTTTCTTTTATATAATACGTTAATAAAATTAATTATTAACATTTAAAATATCGGTAAATTTTACATATAAATTAATTTATTTTTTACGTGGTTTTTTTATAATTTTAATAATTAAAACGTAATTATAAAAATATAAATTTTTAAACTTAAAATTACGATAAAAATACGTTTTTAATAAAAACGGTTTTATATCCGTTATTTCGTATAAAAAAATAATTTTTTCATTATTTCCTTAAGTGATATAATTAAACGTAATGGTGGTAAAATCCCGAAAATATTTTTATTAACGAAAAATAACATAATAAATAATAATAATATAAAATTAACGTTAATTTATTTTAAAAAAATAATAAATATTATATTTAAAAATATAATTATATATATTTATAAATAATAATTTTTATTAAATATAAAATCGATTAATAATTTAAATTATTAAATTACGCGCCTTTTAATCGCCATTTTTAAAATTTACAAATTTAAAATAACGCGAAAACATGTTAATTTAATACGTTATAATTATAATTTAATTTTTAATAAAAATATTAAATTTTATTAAATAATTTATAAAATAATGTAATAAAAAATATTATTAACTTTACGTAAAAATGAAAATATAATTATAATTATACCGTAAAATATAAATTATAATTTTATTCCATTTATTATAATAATTATTTATACGATATATATAAAAAATACTTTTTTTATTTAAATATATAATTATAATTAACTTTTAAAACTAATTAAACCGACAACTTTAATTAATTTTCTTTTTATGTTTTTTATTATATTTATTTTTTAAATATTTTTTATAAATATTAATATAACGATAAAATTATATTATTATAATTATAAATTAAACTTTATTTTTTTATTTATTTTTTAATTTATTTAAATCGTTTTAAAAATATTACGAAGAATATAAACGATTATTTTTATTAACTTTTTCTTTAAATATAATTTAATCGAAATTTTTTTAAAAATATTTATTAATTTATTTTAAGAATTTTTTAATTTTAATAAAATTTTAATTATTATATAAATTCTTAAAAATCTCGTATAAACTAATATTATTAAAAAATTATAAAAAATTATGAAAATAAAAAACATTATAACCATTAATTTTTATAAAAATAAAATATATATTAATAAAATTAAAAGTATTATTTTTATTTTTTATTCGAATAATTTTATTAAAAAAAATTTAAATATAAATATAAAATTATTAAATCGAAAAAATAAAATCTTAATTTATTTTTTTAATAATAATACGTAAATTATTTAAAAAACTTTTTTCGATTTTATTTTAAACTTTTTATAAATAACGATTATTACGAAACTTATAACTTAATTTAACATAAACCGAAATTAATATATTATTCGAATTAATTATAAATTAAATAATTAAAAATTTATTTTTAATAATTAAACTTTTTAGTTTATTTCTTTAATTATATCGTTTTTTATTAAATAAAAGTTATTATTTTTTATATATAAAAATCTTTTTAAAAAAAATTTTTATATTTA